TATTATTTCTTGGCTTTAATATTAGGTAAATATAAAATCCGGATCTTTTTTTTATTATATATAAGATAATTAAAGTCTAGATTTATTTTTAACTAAATAATATTTATTTTATTTAGTTTAAGGAAAAATATTTTAAGAAAAATATTATATTAGAGCTTATTAATAATATATATTTTAGCTATAAACTTAACTATTTCTTCTTCTATTATAAGAAATTATATAGGAATATATATAAATAGTATTATAGCCGGGCTATTACTAATATTAGATAAATTAATAATATCTTTACTTATTTATTATAGAATATTAGGAAAGTAAATATCTATAATATAATAATTAATAAGGCAAATATTAGTACTAGTATTAGAATAATAAAATACTAGATCTTTTTCCGAATTATAAATTATAGCTTATATATTTATATAAAACTTATAGGCTTTATTATTAATAAAATATATTTCTCTAGTTATTATTACTTTTTTTAGATTTCTTTAATTATATAACTAAGAAATAGGTTTTATAGATTATGGCTTACTTTCTATAAATAGTAGCTCGGGTTCTTATAATAATACTACTTATAGCTTTACTAGTAAAGAAATAAATCTTAATTCCTATAAAGCGAGACTAAAACTATCTAATAGTCTAGTAATTAAAATATTATTACTAGAAATATTAAGAATATAAGATAATTATACGGGATTATTATTTTATAATAAAAGAAATATAAGATTAAAAAGTATTTTTAAATAAGAAATAAAATAAGAAATAGCTAATAACTTTTATATTATAAATAATACTAAATTTATAATTATAAGATTAGAATTAAGAATAAGGGGCCCTTTTATTTAATTTAGAAATAGTAGTTTACTAGCCTTATATAGCTACTATTCTCGTTTTCCTATAAGATATTAGGATTTATAAATATTAGTAAAAGATAATTACTAGATAAATTATTATTAAACGGGCCTTAATATATAATATATATATTATAAAAGATCTAGTAAACTAATTCGAAAACTTAAATTAAGTCTAAGTATTTATTATTATAGTTATTATATAAATAATAGGCTAATACTTATAAGCTATTATTACGGAAATTGAAATTACTATTATAATTATTATAGCCTTTTTAATAAAATCCGTTTTTATAATTATAATAGCCTTTATAATAATTATTTTAGTATTTACATTTATTTTAATATTTTTTATAGCTATTATATTTATTATAATTCTCGTATTCTCTATAATAATTAAACTAATTTTAATTACTATATAGGTCTTATTTATTTCTATAATTATTATATATTTCCCGATTATAGCCTTTATTATTTTTCTTTTAATTTAAATATTATTAATTAGGCTATATAATAACTAGGGTATTTGGTTATTATTAATATAGATTACTAAGAATTTATATTATAACTTCTTATAAAATATAATAAGGAAAATTAATAAAATAAAGGTTTTCCTAGTTTTAGTAGCTCTAGTTTCTATTATTTTAATAGTTCTAGTATAAATTATATTAGTTATACTAGTTATACTAGTTGGAATTATTAATAGAACTTTTTATATTTAATTCTTTAATTATTTTATAAATAAAGATATACTAGTTTCTAGCTAATATTTCCTATATATAAATACTAGTTATAAATTACTTAATAATATTAGTATTATTAAGCTTAATTACTAGTCTAAGAATAAGATTAAGTTCTTTATAAAAATATTAAATAATTAGGTTCTTATTAATTTTTTTAGCTTTAATATATAAAGCCTATTTCTTATATAAATAGTCTTATATAAGAAATTCGGATTCCTTATTAAAAGAATATTATATATAATTAGCTTCTTATAATATAATTAATATATTTATTTAAAACTATATAATAAGCTTAGTTATTTATATTTCTAGAAAGTTATTTATAGCTAGTTAAATAATAATAAAAAAACTATTAAATTATAACTAAGTTATTTCTTTTATAGCTCTAGGAAATAAGCTAAGAATTACTTTTTTATTATATAGCTTTATTATATATTTCAAGTAATTAATATATAATATAATTTAAGTAATATTATTATACTAGAGATTATTAGTTTTAAGCTTATTAGTATACTAGGTTCCGGATTATTTTATAAGAATGCCTTAATATTATTATTACTAGTACTTTCTTTAGCTAGGTAAATTAAAATATATAGAACTATTTCGGAATTATTTTATAAAGGCTATAAATTAACTAATATTAATAATATAGCTATTTTTATTTATAAGATCTTATATAGTTTTAGTATAGTTTAGAATATAAATCTCTGGCTTAATAATATAAGTAATAGCTATAGTTATTATCTTATTAATATTATTAAAGATTCCTATTATTTTAAGATTTAAATAATTTATATAAATTTATTTCTAAACTATTTTAATAAAGGCTATATTCTTGGCCTATTATTTTATAATATATCTCGTATTTCTTATAAGAGTAATTATATTATCTAGTATTTTTAAAATAAGTATTTCTAGTAAATCTTTTTCTTAGTATTTATAAAAGGTTTTAGAGAAAAAAATAGGCTTAAAAGAGCTTTTAAGATCTAGATTTAAGTAAACTAGTAATAATTATTAGAAATAGATAAATAATAAGTATATAGAGTTTTAGTAAGATAGAGAATACTATCTAAGTAATAGGTTCTCGGAAATAGGAGATTTGTTTTATATAGGCTCTTAGTAGTCCTAAGAAGCCGGATAAGATATAATAGGTTAAGATATAGCTAGATAAAGGATAGCTTAAGAAGGAGGCATAGTAGTTCGAGGTCTCGTTCTTATGAGTTAAGAAGCTCTCGGAGGAGAAGTAAGAGTAATTAAGATATTTGGTATAGTAAGGAGAGCTAGAAAGAGTTCTGCTTAAGAGGGTCCTGCTTCCGGTAAAGGTGTTCTGGCTAGTACCTTCCTAACGAAGCGGCCGTCGGGTCCTTACTTTTTATTTTTTTAATTCTTTTGCTTTCCAGTCGGTATCTAGCTAATCTATAGGAGACGTCATAGCTCAGTACGCATAGTAGCTACTAAAGACTATGCGATTCTTCGATTAGCGATTTGGATTCGAATTAATGGCGGATTGAGAGGTGTGGTGGGGTTAGTTGGAATCGCGAATCTGGTTATACATACGGAAATTGGGCTTTCTTCTTAAAAAAAGGAGGTCAAATCAAGAATCTTGGGGCATTGCTACCATATTACGTCCCTGGGCTGAAGACCTGGTCTGGTAAACAGCTCTTTTTGGGTGTGTATGTAACGTCTAAGGAGAGAAAAGAAGAGAGGAGCGGGGAGCTCGAGCTAAGTACAGGGTGCCACGCTAGGGCCAGGTCATGTGACGCTGACGTCACAACATAACTTCACATGTTAGGAAACTTCTATACTTCATATAAAACAAGGAAACAGCGATAGTGTGGTGATATACTGCTTGTGCTCGCTATACCCCAACACGAATACCTGATCCAGCGTCCCAGGGACCTCGCAAAGAGAGAGACAGAAGCCTGAAATTTAGGAGGCCCTCTTTTTGGCTCATTCAAAACCAAGACTCCAGCCATTTCTTTTCACTACCTTGAGCGAACGAACGAGCGAGCGAACGATAAATCGTCATTTACAGCCGTTCCGATCGATACTCAGCACAGCCAAAGTACAACCGGGAAGCCATGAGTTCTGGCTGGCCAGATCCTCGTTTCTGGGACTCCCTTCACGGTTTTATCACGCAAAGATCGAGCTGAACTGTTATTCAGCCGCGTATCTCTATTCTATTTATCTCCAAATCGCCAATCTTAAAGACAAGAGTTGACAGTGGTGTTGAAGCTGGCAGCAAAAGAGCTGCCGACGACGAAAGGATAAATGGGAAATCTATGACTGAACACTGGATTCCGCGCCTCCAGCTAAAAGCTCAATCGGGAAGTTTAATAATCGAGAAAACCTCAATCACAGCCCTCGCAGCTGTCCTACTCGAATTCGCATCACTTGTCCCTATACCCAACTAGCCAACTTTCCCCCAACTCCTCCCTTCAAATTCGGCCTTAACTCACCTTTCCACCACCAAACCCTCCACTTTGCTTCATCATACCGGACCATCGGACCTACCCACCCACTCACCATGCCCCACCCATGCCCTAACACCCACATCCCCTCATCTCTCATGACATCAAAACTCCATTTCGCAACATTATAAACACTCGGCCACGGCCTCCCGGCGTACCTTGTTTTCGCATGTGGGATATTAGGGATGATCAGCTGCATACTTTATGCTTTATTATCTTACATGTGGAACTTGGGAGCCTAGGAGGATGAGCTGGTTTGTTGAGTTGGATAATTCTACAGTGGCGAAAGTTGAGGTTGAGGCTTGAGTGCTGGTGCTGGTGGTGGAAGTTGCGGTGAGGGTTTATACGGTTGAGATGGCGGTTTGGTTGTCGGAGACGACGAGTAAGTTTGGCACTGTGGGGTCGGATTGGATGGTCGCCAGGTTTATGGAGGGGCATGCTGTGCTGCTGTGAGGGGTGAGCTAAATCGGGATGGGTAGGGAGGGGCAGAGGGAGGAAGGGTGTTCCGCCTACATGTGGAATCCCATCCTGTACGGTGGAAGGAAGCCATATGCTATCCTCTTTGCTGTGGAGAGCGTGAGTATAGAGAATAAAAACGACGTAATACAGCGATATTGCGACATGGTAATGAAGAACTGGAGATAAAAATTCCAAACGCAAATCAACGTGATATCGAGGAGAGATGAGATGGATGGATGGGAGCTGTTATGAAGTAAATCACGAGGAAGGATCAAATCACATTACCAACCGATGATCCCCGAACATTGACATGAATAGTTCTATTTCGAGGCTGTTCGCATACTCCGGCCCCTGTAGACTCAAGAGGGTGGTGGTAAATAAACGATATGGCAGATTTGATATTTTGGCCAGCTAAGCGACAAATAAAGGAGGCGGACCTCATATATTTGACAAGCATGCAAATTCCCCTTTCCTTACTCCTCCCTACCCAATACCGTCCCCTGCAGATCGATCCATTCGTCAACAATACCCCTGTAGTCGGCCGGACGATAATCTTCTAACAATTCCCTCCACCAGCTACCCTTCCTCTGGAACTTCAATCCCAAATCCCTGAGCAACTCGTCAAAGTACGGAAGAGAATCAAAAGCTAGCGTAGCATGCCGATCACCATAGTCGGCAGGATACCTCCAGTGTCCAAATCGTGTTGAGAGCTCGGTGGAGTACTCGATCTCATCCATCGATTTGGGAAGCTGGAGTGAGCCGTCCAAATATGCAGTTATCCACAAAGCTTGCATTTGAGCATTTACCGCAGAGCCGAGTGAGAGTACGGCACCAGCGATGGCAAAATTCCTTTCGTAGGTTGCTGCAGGTGGTACCATGTACCTGTAGAGCCGGTACGGCGTTTTTCGGCTTTTTACATCTACGGCATGCCTCTTTGCTGTTACTTGGGGTTGATCTCTCAAACTTGGGAAGCGTTCGAGGATCTCAGTATCTGCCACTCGAGTGAGATCGGTGCGGGATTCGTCGGAATTAGTCGGAAGCCCCAGTTTGGCGGCGAGTGATGGTGGGGAAATCTTGATCGGGGGTTCGTGTTTCCATCCAGTTGAGCAATGAAGAGCGTCGACTTTAAGTGCTTCACCAGTCGAGAGGTGTACTGTGTGCCGTGTGAGATGTGTAATATCAGCATAATGGATTCGTGCTGTGCCGTTCTTGACGTATTGAAAGAAGTCTGTTGGATAATTGAGAATACTGAGACTAGGTCCACTCCAGAAGGCCGGGAACAAGGGCTTGAGCTTCCTGATTTCGGGATCTTTGTCGAATCCATTCAATTGCACGACATCACCCTCCAAGGTGCCCCAAAACTTGCCTACAAACCATCGACCTAGTACGGTGCCGTGAAGGAGACGACGCCAGAAATCGTATCCGTCGTTGTTTCCTAAGAAAGTAGGATTGAACAGGGTCAAGAACCGAGTCAAGACTAGGTGCTCCAAGCATTTTTTCAGAGGAGTTACCAGTATGGGAGACATCCAACAGGGTCCTCCTCCCGATTCTCTGATCACCCACTCAACTTGTATTCCAGAGGTAGAATATGCATAAACAGCATCCCACTAGAGATGGGAAGTCAGCACTCACTTCTATTGAAATTACAGTCTTCGAGGAGTATGATAAGCACAGCAGGATTAAAAACCAAACGAGAAAACATCTGAGAGCCTGCATGCTCTTACCGCAGATTTCGAGCCACCATAAACAACAACTTTCTTGGCTGTCCTCAGAAGTTCCTTCTTCTGGAGAAAATCTTTAGCATGAAACAGAGGTGCATCGAAGGTGTCTGCTCCCGGCATATCAGGCATGTTCGGATTTCCAGTAACGCCAATGGCAAAGATCAGTTTATCAACAGCAATTTTCTTCGTTAACGTTTCCTCTTTCCCATCGTTGGATTGAGAAGTGGTGAGAGTGAGGATCCATCGTCCATTTGTTGCCTGCTGAATCTCTTCAACCTTGGTACGGAAACGGATTCGACGCCAGATGTCAAATGTTTTGGCGAAGTCTGTCATGTATTGATGAACAACTGTTCCCGGAATGTGCTCGCCAGGCTTGACTCCGAACTTATCTACGGTCATGGGAAAGTCGGGGTTCTCATAAGATCCCAGGATGCTGTTCGTTCGAAGCCCTGGGTAAAGGCGATGGCTCGCCCATACTCCACCCACGGAGTCCGCAGCTTCAAGAATGGTGAGGTCGACATCTGGATGAGCTTGGATGTACGTTTTGGCGAGGGTTAGGCCAGACCATCCTGTTCAACGGCTGTAAGCACTCAATACACAAGACGACGGTTGCTTTGACGGGGAGGGGTATGACTTGCTACGTTGTTGAGAAAACACATACCTGCTCCAATGATAACTACGTTCATGTGGTCCATGGTGTTTGGAATAAGTTAAGGTCTGGTGTCGCGAACAGTGTTATGAATCAATTTCCATCGTAGATCCCACGAAGTTGAAGTAGAGTCATCAAGGCGGGTATCGGGTATGTAAGATAGGAGGTAGGGAATGAAGGAGCGGCCGATCTGCAAGGATATAGCCACCGGGTGACACCCTGTTCTGGGAGCCAATCACCCCAGTCCCCGCTGAAGAGCGGTGCCTGCCTTAAGTATCAACTAACAATGGAGGCAGCTCGCCCCTAGGACGGGGGGGAGCGGGTGGATTTTTTAAGTTGATAGAGTTTTCCTTCGGATCTCAATAGAGTTGACTATTTAGCTTCGTATTGCTCTTCTCATGGTGGTATATAGCCTGGCGACCCCTCCCTGACCACTATCTCTTCACTTCAAACCTGAGCTTGTAATACCCAAGTGCCACAGCCCTCGACTCATGGCAGCAGTGTAGCAACGGTGGTATGTCTCTTTTGGCGGCCGATGTCTGGTTCCATAGGGACTGGTGGGATCTGCGTCCCGGGCTTGGAATCTGGTTAACGTAGATGTTTACTGTCGATGCGAAGGACGCGAAGATGAGTCTTCAAGTTTCGTGGCGGATCTCGGTTGGCAGTCGTTGGAACGGTTCGAAATTCGACCGTATCTGCGGCCCTGTACTCATTGTCGCCATGGCAGATGTGTTGAAGGAAGGAATTTGTGAATAGCCTCGACGTGCTTAAGGCAGTGTGTTGAGGTCCGAGCGCAGCCTCGTGCCTCTTGACCACAGCCTTAAAAGTATTATCAAGATTTGAGAAGAATTGAGGGACATTATTATCTCATAATATTCCAAAACATTCTTTTAGAATCATATCGACAAGACATGGCTGACGCCGAATTCCATTTCTTCCCACACCTGCCAGCAGAGCTTCGTCTCAAAGTCTGGACATTCGCTCGACCAGCACCCAGGCTCATTCACGCCCATATAAAGACCGGATACGAATTGTATTTTACACTTCCCGGAGAAGTCTGCTTGTTAGTGCTTCATCTTGCCATTCTCGGCCGTAAGGCACCGTCTGTTTTGCAAGTATGCAAAGAATCCCGAGCCCTTTTGCTCCCGACGTACACGACTAGCCTCAACTGCACACGGACACTGTTTCCAATGCCATACCAGTCCGGAAATTGGCACCCTATCTCACCACGAGATAATGCCTTATCAAACACGTTCTTCCCTTGCCATCACGAAGCTCTGATCTCGAACAAGAAGAGCACGATGTATTAGGATCTAGAAAACGACATCTTCCCTCTTCACACGGAAACATGGATGGTGGATCAGGGGGACTTTTTGGCAGAAACAGCTTTTCTTTGGTCAACTCTTGGCTGGAGCGGTCCTAAGATCCGCGGCATAAGGAACTTTACCGTGGAGTTTAAATTCTTCATCAATTGGCGTATGGAAATGTCGCCTGCGGATCCTTCTACCACGAAGGGAGGATCGTCTATGTTATCCTGAATAGGAGGAGTGCAGATGGAGATGGGGGATGGAAACGTCATTTGACCAGATTTATGTGTTGGCATCATCAGTGGGAAATCGATTACCCTCGTGTTGAGGAACAGAGATCTAGTTGGGAGCTTAAGATAGTGGCATGCTGTGATGGGGATCTGTCAGATGGTGCTTTTGAGGAAGCAGTCTCTGAGCATGATATTGGAGGCTGGAAAGATGATCCTCATATGGGGAGCTGGCTAGCTGATGGAGAATCGTGGAGAGGCTAGCCAGACCCATCCTCTTGAGGGATTCCCTCCCTTTACTTAGCCATCACGCGACACAATGTTCCCTGGAGAAAGGGGCATCGTAGGGAACGAATGGATGGATGAATGGAGTTTGGCACGGAGGAGAATAGCGTGTTTCTTTTTGAATGTGGGAAGGGCTTCTGAGGTGGTATTGCGTGCCTGGTAATGCTCTTCGATGCTCTTACTTTGAGTACATCGATCCTCTAACTTCGAGTGCAATGATCTTCCTTTGTTGAGTCAAACATCCGTCCGATCAAGGTTCAATGATCTCTACTTTGTGTTGAAATACCCCACAATCTCAACTACAAAGTTCTTCCTACTTCGAGCTGAATGCTTCCCGAATGCAAAAACAGAAGGGACCTTGTAAGCGAAAATGGTGTATTGTTCAATCCTTCTAAACTTCCGGCACCCGTGATGTATGGATCGTGGAGTGGTATGTTTGTCGACTTATCTTCATTGCGTAAAATGGGTATCATATATCGTTCTCGATCTTTTCTCCATGTCATGTCTCCATCTTGTAGGAGCACTTTGACTGCCAGGACATGCCGCCAGCCATCGCCCTAAGAACCTTCTCACTATTTCATTCCATCACGCGATGCCCTCCCACTACGCATTCCCCACCCCCCTATAGACCTCCCTCAAATCCATACCATCCACCTCCCCCTCCGCAATCTCCCCCACCACCCTCGCCGGGCGTCCCGCCACAACACTAAAACTCGGAATCACCATATTCGGCGGCACCACACTACCATCCAGGATCCTTACATAGTCCTTGATGATTGCAAACTTGCCGACTACGACGCTTGCCCCGATGTTGACGTGTGAGCCGATGAGCGCTGCTTCGATGATGGATGAGGGGCCCACGAAGACGTGGTCTGCGATTTTGAGGGGGTAGTGGGAGAATTGCCTGCAAACACAAACACCGCCATTAGCCATCAATTCTCGCCGTTTTGCCCCCGTTTCGTCTTTCACATAGCCTCTCCCCTTCCAACAGAAAGGAGTGAGTAGGCCATATGAATGGAGAATAAACGTACCCCTTATACAACTTCCCCGGCGGCCTCAATTCACAACCGCGACTGAAAAAACAATACCGTCCAATAGCAACCGCAACCGTATTCCCTTGCTTCTCGGACGGATTACTCGGTGGATACGTCCTTAACAGATCCCCGCGGATGATCACTTCGGCTTGGATCACTGTCTTGCCGCCGAGGATGATGTTCGTTGTGCCAATTATTTGCGAGCGCCGCGAGACTTTGTTGCCTGTGTCCTGAGGGGAGGAGTTAGCTTTTTTGAGGGAAGAAGAGGGGGGGGAGGACGTACGGTCTCGATGTACTCGCCTTTCGGCTGTTTTTTGGACATGGTTGTTACATGACAGGATTATGGTTTCTGGTGTCGATGTCGCGTTGATCTTGGAGCAGAATACTGCCGAAGGCGGTGTACAAGAAACTTGGGACACGTGACGCGGCCTCCTTTTCACAGTATCGGGGCAATTTTAGACTTTATTGTACGAGGTGTGGTGAAAAGGATGGTTTGATTCGTGTGTCCTCTTGTCTGATATGAAAGTTGAAGGTAGAAATCCCAAAGGCGGCTCCAAACTAGCGCGAACATCACGCTCCAGCAATATATTCCCTCCATATCAACGCCCTTTACACCATGTCACCAAAGATCGAAGACCACCTTAAGTCAAATTTTCATATTCTGTGCAGCTCTCATGTTCGAGATCCCACCGCTTAGCCGCCATAATGAGACATTGGCGAGATAGGAAGCTGAGCCGTTCCATTCCAAGCCCAACGGATCAACGCAAGCTGGCTTCTTTAATCAGCGCACTTGTTCTTCACATTTCTGAATTGACTGACAATGTCGAGAGTTTTCCCTCCTCACCACCTGCAGGCACAGTCATCTTCTCTTTAGTGTCCCTCACAAACACTCCCTCGGTTGCAACCTTCCAGCCATTCGCTGCTCTCTTTACATATTCCACAGCCATATCCCAAGCATCTTTGTCGGCAGCGTCGCCGGACTCGAATTCTTGGAGGTATTTGTAATTGCCAATCGGTGGAGTGCTGAAGAGTTCTCTCATGATTAAAGCATAACAACCATTTCTTTCCATCCACAGATCCTCGGCTTCGACTTGCTTCATCTTGCTCGAGTCTTGCAGAATCTCATTTCGCGGCACAAGCTGAACGTAGAGTCGATTCAATCTTGGGCAGTTTGCAGTGAGTGCAGCGAAGTGGGTTTGCATAGGAAACATGCCAATGTAGGACAGGTCTCGGATTGTGGGACTGATGAAAGGTCCATGTGTGGAACCATCGTCCTCTGCTGCTCCCACAAGGTCTGGTAGAATCTGGTAGGAAGGTTAGGTTTTGGTGATCATCTTTGGCGGGAACTCACCGAAGGGGGCTTTCTCGACCAGAACTCGTACGTAGCATAAGCCCTGATGAACGAACCTTCATTAAGGAGAAGCTTTGTCCAAGGTCGAATGTCCCATAGTGTAAGCTCCTTATGTTTTTCTCCGGCAGGAGTCGACGAGGATGCTTGGAAATCCGAAATTCGAGCAGTTTCGCTGATCCTATCAAAGGACTTGTGCACTTGTGGGACCTTGGATGGACGTGCTTGCAAACGTAGATAGTGGCAAGAGCAGTGGAAACTCCAAGCATCCGACATGAAGACACGACAATTTGTGAGCATCCCAAGAGCCTCGGGAGGAGCAACTATGAGCAACTCCTGTGGATCAATGACTCTAAAAATCCCCTTCCAGAATACTGAGAAGCCGTACGTCATTTCCTGACGGTCCAAAATATCCGCAGCCTCCTTTAAGCGGACGATAAGTGTAAATGATTGAAGGGTTCTGCATAATTGATGTTCTAAGACGAATTCCAAGAATTGTTGTACCATCTGATACAGTGTATTGTAATTTTGCTGATTTTTCTTCTCGACAACGAATTGTGTGTGCTTGAATAGCAAAGGTATTGTTCCTCTTCTCCACCGTTTCGACACACAAGATGCGGCTTTGAGAGGGGCATTGTCTGATTTGGTCAATTCGAAATCAGGTTCGTCGTGGAGGGCTGACTCGGATGATGATGGCTTGGGAGAATCGAGGAATCCGAAGATTTGTGATAATAATTCGTTCGGCAGGAGTTCGACGGGAGGCTTCACTACCAGCACGGCGGGGTCGAAGCTGAGGGGTCGCAGTTCTGGTGTAAGGGTAGCTGCAGAGACAGATCCAGTGCCTTGAGCTCCTTGAGTGGCTGTATCCACTATTTTGGTCATAATGCTATAGTCTGCGACGTCGTGGTTTGTTGTACAACGAGACCCCAGGGAGCCTTGTGCTTGTGAGGTCGCACTATGGTTGTCTGTCGAAGAAGGCTACACACGATTAGCATTCACTTGAACATATCGGAAAGTGCTTACCAATGCCTGAAATACACTGGGGTTCGCAATCGGATGGCAGATCTTACAAGGCTCTGGATGCCTGTATTAAAACTATTTCAGGCTGCCGGAGCTTCTGCGGAGCTGCAGCAGGGATGTGTGGCGTCGCTGACTGAGTTCCGGGAATATGAGTATGGAAAGCTGTACAGTAAGACCTGATGTCTGGCGCGCTTCCGCTTTTCATTTGCACGATTAGGTTCACCTCGAGTCCGGACTCAGGTGGAACAGGGGATCTCGTGCGGGGGTTGGAGACGAAGCGCAACCGCGTTTCAGCAATTATCCAAGACCAGACTCGGTTTCAAGTGCAGCTTTGAGAAAGATGATGATGGAGATGGCTGCTGTTGCTGTAGATTGTGTAAATGGGTAGAGATGTGGTTCGATCTGGCATCCAGTCACTGGGGCCGATGTTCAGATCAACCCCTGCCACACAGAGGAGGCCTGTAATAGTAGTACTATCCATAGTAGTGGTAACTATGCCTCTCCCGTACCCAAATAGAGCTACGCCAATATTTGTTCAGCGGAGGCGTGAAGCCGCCCTTGCTAGCGCCCTTTAGCTCGGTATAACTGAGATTAGTATCTGTGATTATTGAAGATAATTTTATGTATTTCCAAGAGCTAAAAGTAGGGGCCCTAGAAAGCTACTTAAGAGCGAATGAACCTGGTTTCGTCCGCATGCGGAAATCAACAAGGGTTTGGTGGTTCTACAAGCCCCCGGTGCCTCCAAGACCCGCTAAAATGAACGTCCGCCCCAGTGAGGACACATCGGATTTGGTCGCCTGTACGTGCAGCAATGTCAGAATTAAACTTTCAGGTGTAATAGCCTCATGGTAACAGCATAGCGACATATGCTCGCGCTTACAAGGGACAAGCCGATACTTCCAGCCTCTCTAGCAGAGTCTTCATGAGCTTGTTCATGGCCAGCCTCTGTTTTAGCAAACAGATTGGATGTGCTAGGCAGACATTTCAGGCCACAACATGGAGGGGTAATTCCGTCATCCAACTCTCGACCTCTCCCGTTGGCAAGTATCAGATCCACACACAACCTGGAAAACCCCTGAGGCCGAGGCCCAGCAGCACCATGCGCCGCCGGCTGTCGGCTGCATGATGTTGGTTCTGCGAGCGGCTTGAGTGGCTGCATCTGTTGTGCTCGGGGAGGAGAACGGCATCACTCTGTGGGATATTATTGGCAGGCAAAGCTAGGCCATGATGTGGAAAGCAGAGAACCCCTCATTTCATGCTCTCGTCCTCATACTCTCCATCTCTATTATTCCTCACTATCTTATTCTTATCGCTATCTTATAGAAATTCTTAGCATCAGCACGGCGTGGAACATGTCTGCAAAGCACCCCCAGCGTCCACCTTTCAGGGCGGAGCACCTGGGAAGTCTGCTTCGACCCAAGGCGTTGCTTGATGAGAAACACCTTGTAGATCAGAAGAAAGGGGACCAGGCAAAGCTCGTAGCAATTGAGGATGAGTCCATCAATGCAATTGTGAAAGAGCAGCTCGATCTGGGATACCATGCTGTTTCTGATGGAGAGTATCGACGCCATATGTTCTGGTAAGACCAGCTTTCAACACCCAAAACACCGATTAACAACACCAGGGGCACATTCTTCCCAGGTCTCGAAGGCTTCGAAGAAGTCACCGACTTTCCCGATGATATATTCCGCATGTACGTCCCCGACATTGCAGCATTCACGGAATCAGGTCACAAGCCCGGAGAGACGGTCCTCTGCACCGGCAAAATCAAGCATGTTGGTAGCACGTACGTCGACCAATGGAACTACCTGAAGAATCTCCTCCCAAAAGAGAATCAACGGGAAGCGAAGCTCACCATGGCTGCTCCAAATTGGTATCACTTGCGATACAAGACTGGCCGAGCTTTCCCCAAGGAAGTCTACGCGACAAATGCAGAGTATTTCGCCGACATTGCGAAGGCGTACCGTACTGAGCTCAAGATTCTTTACGACAATGGACTCCGCAATGTGCAAATCGATGACCCAAACTTGGCTTGTATACTTCATTCTTCCCCCTTTCATCCGATATACTTATAACGGCCCCAGACTTCTGCTCTGAGAAAATGCTTGCGGGCTTTAAAGCCGACGGCGAGGACTCTGACGCTCTCTTCGACCTCTACATAAAGCTCTACAACGACTGCCTTGCAGAGCGCCCCTCAGACATGCATGTAGGCGTGCATCTCTGCCGCGGAAACTTCGTCGGCGGTCGACACTTCTCCGAGGGCGGGTACGACGCCATCGCCACCAAGCTCTTCCGCAACCTCAACGTGGACACCCTTTACCTGGAATACGACACTCCCCGCGCCGGAGGTTTCGAACCGCTCAAAGAGTTACCTAAGGGTAAAAATGTGATCTTAGGGTTGATTACGAGTAAATTTCCTAAGTTGGAGGATATCGGGGAGATGAAGAAGAAGGTGGAGCAGGCTGCGAAGTTGATCAGTGAGGGGACTGGGGAGAGCTATGAGGAGGCGCTTGATAGGTTGGGTGTTAGCCCGCAGTGTGGTTTTGCGAGCCACAGTGATGGGAATAATGTCGGCCACGATGATATGGTGGCGAAGTTGAAGCTGGTGAGGAAGCTTGCGGATGAGATTTGGCCGGGTCAGCCGTAGTTTGGTTATGGCTTTGTTAGTTTGAATGTTGATTTGCAACAGCCAAAGTTGAGCGAGTTGCCTTTTTCAACAAAAGGAATTGGGATGATGTTGCTCTCATTTACTATGGTACAGTTGTAACTTGTACAGAAATTGAGTTTCCCAGGTCTCATATGAGGGCCCAATCTACCTTGTACATGTGAGTTATCTCGTCTGAACCTAGTCAGCGTTGGTGGTGATACTTAAGAGCCGTTGGAGTGACCTACCGCTAGTTTCTAATTATCCACCTCTTTGGCCGAAGCTCTGGAGGGAGACTGGCATCAGTTGCCACTAAATTTCTTGCACATCCTCCGAGATTTTCAAACCTTTTGCTCAGTCATCTCCGAATGTCGCAGAGAACATCCCTTTCGGCATCTTCAGAATTGCTCCTCCCACCCAAACCGCCAAATACCAATTCAGCGACCTCTACTCAGTCCAAGGAACGGAAACTCCGCACCAGGGACATCCTCCTTCTCAGCATCAGGCTCGTGACCAGCCCTCTTCCACAACTCAAACCCAACAGAATTCATCCAAACACCCCCAACCCTCTCCTCCTCCCTCAAGAACGCCTCTCTCAACTCCCAAACCGCCCTCTCCGCCTCCCCTTTTTCCACGCTCTCGAAAGCAATCATCTTCGACCCGCTCTTTACCTTCCAATTAGCCTCCACCTCTTTCAACCCCAATTCCTTCCTCTCCTCCCTCATTTTTTCGTGTCCCAAATACGGCCTCAACTTCCCTAACACCTCATCTAAACCCTGTGACTCGGTTTTAAAGTAAATGTTCTTGCATGTTACCCCCCTCACGATCCTGGAGAGTAGATGGGGGCCGAGAAGGCGGATTGAAAGTAGGCGTTGGATTGAGGCGAGGCCGGAGGGCAGTTTCTCGCATGCGGGTGTTGGGAAGAGGGAAGTTTGGTGAAAAGGAGAAGACGGGATAGATTGAGTGCGGCGAGGTGGCCTGCTGGCGCGTGTTTTGAGAGGAGGGAATCGAGGGTGGTCGATGAGGCAAGGTCGAATTTTGGGGCGATTATGAGGACGGAACCGGAGGAGGAAGGGGTTCTCATATTGGTTAAGGTGGAGGAAGGATCAATTTAGTAGAATGTAGAATCAGATGCTCGGTTTGAGAGTGGCTACGGTCGACGCTCTGGGAAGTGGGAGGAACATGCCGCTACCTCAACTCGTTCCCTTTGTCTGATATCTTGGGCTCAAGACGGACACAAGTTTCCATGGTGCGAATTCCATCGTGGTTGTTGTGATGAGAGGAGGGTCACTCATGGTCATGATTTGAGGTCGATGATTTCAAGTCTCGAGATTCACGTGATATCCACGTGATAGCGAGCATCCGAGACATTTTGAAGTTGTCCAGGTTGTTACTTTTTCCTGAATTATAAGTATCTAGAGGCTGTCAAATGAAGTGCTTATATCCTCTTCAAATATCAGTTCCTCACGCAATTGGGGCCAATGCCTCAGTCCCAAGTCTGATCAAAGTCAAGGAGCACACAAGAGGGCAGAAGGCACCAATAATAAGGAAAAGCAATTCAATTTTGAGGCCAGGGTTCGAATGACTGCCTCTGGCTTTTCAAACGCCAAAGAGAGCCTTCCGTGTATCATATGTGTACTTCAAGTCCAGATGCCAGTAGTTTGGTGTGTCAGGCTGGCTTACTTTCCACGCCTTGTCAAGTGCTTGCAGAACCTCTTCCGGCAACGGTCCTTTCTCGCAATCCTTCAAATTCTCGTCCAACTGCTCAAGGTTGCTCACACCAATGATAACACCGTCATTGCCGTCCTTGATGTTGAGTGCCGAGTGGTTGACGACCCATCTCAAAGCAGTCTCCACCATCGTCAAACCGTGCTTCTCCACAATAGGCTCAATGATAGCAAGGGCCTCAAAAGTCGAATCCTTAAAGTACCGCTTTCGGTACATCTCGCCCATCTTCCCAACAGCATCGCTGAACCGGCCATCTGTCGGGATATCTTTGGCTTTGTACTTCCCACTGAATAAACCTCCAGCAATTGGATTGTAAACCACGACATCAAGGCCATAGCGCTTGCAAGCGGGGATAAGCTCGTGCTCGAGGGAGCGTGTAATGGCGTTATACATTCCTTGGTAAATTGTGGGTCGGACCCAGTTGTTGTACTTGCAGTGCATCACAACTTCCGCAACCTCAAAAGCTGTGAAATTGGAGAGACCGAGTTGGACAAATTTTCCCCTGAATAGATCAGTCACGGTCTGTTTTTCCCAAGGTGCACATATTGACTTACTGCTTGTGGAGCTTGTCAACAGCTGCTAAGGTCTCCTGAAAGGGAACCGAACGGTCCTATACTATTATTAAACCGAGTTCAAGGACAAGAGAAGGGAAACCGTTGGACTTACTGCAGCATGAAGATAAAAGATATCTACACAATCAGTGCCAAGCTCCTTCAGACTTGTGTTGAAAGCTTCGGTCAAGACTTCGGGCTTGTGCTTGCCAGGCTCATTGGGATAGACCTTGGTCGCGATGGTCAAGCCTCTGTCCTTCCACTTTGCTTCACGGGTGAAGGCTTCTTGCTTCCCCGCCACATAGGTGCGAGCCGTGTCGATTTCATTGTACCCCGCGGCTTGAAGGTGATCCAAGAAGGTGTTGTACTCTGGAAGAGAGGTGATTCGAGCGCCCGCATCTTTGTCTGGGCCAAAGGTCATAAGACCAAAGATGACTCTTGGCTTCGGCCGATTTGCTATGAGAGGCATTTTGGTACAATTGAGATCAATTCTTCTGTGAAGATGGAAGCTTGTTCGAGCTTTCTTTGTATTGAGGTTGAGAGGTGGGGTATATCATGCTACGTCTCGTCTTACATTATCTCCGCAATTGCCGATGATGACATTCGAACGCCTTTGCCACAACCAGACTTGCTTAGAGATGCCAAGAACCACAGGGTAAGCAGGAGAATTGGATCCCCGACTGAAGCTGAGCAAACTCTGTCCCGATCACCTCGGAAACCTAATTTTTGTAACCTGACAATCTTTACTGCATCTCTTCAACACTGCATCGGCAGCTTGTAGCACCAGCTCCATATATCGCTGCAATGCAGTTGAATAATCAAGCGCCTCCGATCTCACCCCATTTGAGTTTATATTCAAGCAACCGTACTCAAGGTACTCTCCCCCTAAATTAAACGTAACGTGACGAGGCTGGCACGGCCGTTCTAACGTATACCCCACTCTGGCCGCGCTACTGTACATTTTACTTAGGGGGTGGGGGGAAGGCGTGAGTGCGAATCCGGCCCAATTGTAAGATCTTACAAAAAGGGACCTGCCCTGCTCACTCCCTCGACACAGTCGATACGAGTGCTCATAAGCGGGTTGAGGCCTGAGCAACCGAATTTCTTCTCGACGGAAAGCTGGACAACGATCAGGGGCTTGGGAGTTATCTTGCTTTGGATAGGGATCAGTACGGGCCAACAAGTCAGAACCCCTGGCGAGTCGGGCGAGCTTTCGATTTGGCAAGGTTAGCAACAAATCATCCTCAATTCCTTATCTCGTACATGAAGATTGACACAGGGACTTCATAGACTTATTGACCACAGCCGCACGAAGAGTTGAATTTCATAGTGATTCACGTGGTCCAGCGTCCAAAGAAGGCGATGCTAGCGCTTTGTGGGGAATGTCGTCGTCAGCCTCCTCTCGCTTGAGCCCCTGAGTCCGCACCTACACTCGCGAAGAAGCAGGGGTAACGGCACAGATCTTCTCTTCTCTTGGCAACGCTCATCAGATAATTCTGGAGCCATGCGAGCCAGGTTCCAGGGCCGGACTGTTATCTAAGTTCAGATCTCCAACTGCACAGCATCTGACCAACCATGGGTTCATCTCAACTCGATTCGACAACGTCTCTAGGGAAATTAATGTAGCGAGAGAGCCAAGACAAGGGGTAAAAGCCAATTAAAAGTTCGTATTGTTTGCTTTCTGGTCCGTGCCAGCGCGGAACGCCCCTGTCTCGCTACATTATTTTCCCTAGAGACGTTGTAATTCTCCGTACCACTGCTCGAGGGTCTACGCGTCCCCGCTCTTGGGGCGGATCCGGTGTAAGGGCCACAATGTGGCAGATGCTCATACCTCCGATGCATCTTCGTATAGCCTATAGGGCCAAGAAAGGCAAGGACTTCATCCCTTGGCCCAATATAGACCGAGGGAAAACAAGTGTTTCTCCATATTTTCCTTTGAGCGTTATTGTCGGTCCAGGGAAGAAGAAGAAAATATTCAGGGAAGGTCCTAGAAGCGTGTCTGCAGTGTAGAAACGTTACTTAACAGTGGATCCACTGACTCCCGTCAGATGATCTGCGTTCATTCGTTGACTCGTACAGATTACACCTTGCAGCTTGCAAGGTCAAGGCAACCTCGAACTCGGGTAAGGTTTAAGCGTTCTGGAGACGAACATTTGGTGCCGGCTTTCACTCTGGACACGGCTCAGTGCGCCTTCCAATGAGATGAGCACAGTTCCACAGGACTGCAGTCTTGCCAAATTAACGTCTACCTTGTCATTTTTGTAAGCTTATCTCGTTTCAACGCTTCGTCCCAACTTTTCTGCAGTCATCACATAGCTCTGACAAGCTCAGGTAGCCCATCTCAAAGCGCCATTCCCGTTCCCTTGCTCTGCGGGAAGTATAAATAAGGAATAGTGAAGCGTTGGTAAACTTGACCATTCGCTGCCACGAACGTGTACGCGCCGAGTCACGGATATTGCAGCCTCAAAAAAGCGAATAAAATGGAGCAAGAATTGTTTAAACCCTGCGGGGGTGTCCATTTTGGGGCTGCTACAGTGGATAAACATGTAATAAGATGTACCTAAGAAGTATGAAGGTAGATATCTCCTTTCGCCATCAACGGGACTTCCCCTCCCGAAGTCTGTGATCAGGCTATTGAGAGTACGTATTCACATCTGCAATGCACCTTCATTGCAGACTTACAGCGGGGCATGCGTCTCTATGGAAGTTAACAGAAGAGGCGTGCCGTTGTGTGGGCGTCTGCTCTCATCGGCATGGGGGTAACCTCATGATGAACCCATCACCGGGGGTGGGGGGTGTATATAAGGTGTCGTTGAGAATGTTTGAGTACTTTTTTTTCCCAGGCGACTCAGCTCATCTCGAAACACATTCGTTTTTCACATAATAATCCTCTTCGACATGAAGCTCGCCGTCTCTACTTTGCTTACTGGTTCTTTCTTCCACTCTTTAGTTTCAGCAATTCCATTTACTTCCCAGCTATCACCTCTCACTCTACGTCAATCTTGTGAAAACACAGCAACATCTAGAAATTGCTGGGGAGACTACTCCATAGATACTGATTGGTACTCCGTGACTCCAGATACCGGTGTTACAAGAGAGGCACGAGAGCCCCAGAAGTTTAGGTCTTAACTTGACAAAACTAATATCAAAACAGTACTGGCTCTCAGTCGAGAACTCAACCCTTGCTCCAGATGGATATGAACGATTGACATGTACGTTCAACGGCACCATTCCAGGTCCGGCCATCATTGCCGACTGGGGTGATAACCTCGTAATTCATATTACCAACAACCTTGAACACAACGGAACATCCATACATTGGCACGGTATCCGCCAACTCAACAACGTCGAGTATGACGGCGTTCCAGGGGTTACTCAATGCCCGATTGCCCCTGGAGACACCATGACTTACAAGTTCCAAGCAACTCAATACGGATCCACTTGGTACCACTCACATTTCACTCTGCAATACAGTGATGGTCTCCTCGGACCTCTCATTATCAATGGACCAGCCACCGCCGACTACGACGAAGATTTGGGATTGCTTTTCCTCTCCGACTGGGGCCATACTCCTGCCTCTCAGCTCTGGGACATTGCCAAACTTGGCGCTCCTCCCACCCTGGAGACAGGTCTCGTCAACGGCACCAATACTTGGGACTGCTCCGACTCTGACGACAAAGCTTGCATTGGCGGAGGCAAGAAATTCGAAACGGTCTTCGAGGCTGGGAAGAAGTACAGAATCCGAGTCGTCAACACCGCCATTGAAGCTCATTTCCAGTTCTCCATTGACGGCCACAACCTCACTGTCATCGCAAACGATCTCGTGCCGATCGTGCCCTATGAGACTGAGAGCCTTCTCGTCAGCATTGGCCAACGATATGATGTTATCGTGGAAGCGAGTGCCGTTGCTGACAACTACTGGCTCCGAGCTGGCTGGGTTACTGCTTGCTCGGCAAACCTCAACCCTACTAACATCACTGGAATTGTGAGATACGACAACACCAGCACCGCGGATCCCACCTCCACTGGCATCACCGTCGGCTCTAACTGCGGCGATGAGCCTCTTGAGAGCCTTGTCCCGTACTTGGCGATGAATGTTGGCAACTACACGGAAGTGACTGAGGAGGCTCTTAGCTTTGTTTTCACCAACTACTTTACCTGGACCATCAACAGCTCTTCGCTGTACTTGAACTGGTCCGACCCAACAATTCTCAGGATCTTCAACAATGAGACGATCTGGCCGACAGACTACAACGTCGTTCCTATTGATGTAAGCAAATCCCTTCTTTCTTTCTGGAACTAAATATTGACTTTACGATAGCAAGTCGATTCAAGCGACGAGTGGGCCGTCTACGTGATCCAAGACAGCTCTAATCTCGGCCTCGACCACCCAATACATCTCCACGGCCACGACTTCTGGATCATCGGCCAAGCCACCGGCGTCTTCGACGTCGACACCAGCGCTCTAAACCTCATCAACCCGCCCCGTCGCGACGTCGCCACCCTTCCCGGAAACGGCTACCTCGCCATTGCCTTCAGGAAAGACAACCCCGGCTCTTGGCTCCTACATTGCCATATCGCGTGGCATGCTAGTCAGGGACTGGCGATGCAGTTCGTGGAGAGTGAGACGGATATTGCGGTTAGTATGACGGATACGGCGGCTTTTGAGGATGTTTGCGCGGCTTGGGATGCGTATACGCCTACTGAGGTGTATTTGCAGGATGATTCGGGTATTTGAGAGAAAACATATGATGATTGGTGTTCTTTCTTTTGTTGGGATGTATGGCAGGCTTAGCAGCATAGTCTTTAATTTTGAGTTTGAGTGGTTTCTGAGCGAGCGTGTTGGTTTGGAGAACTTTTGCGGGGAATAGTATTGGTAATGGAAATGAAATAGTTATGATCGACACTTGTATCTCTTCTTTGATTCATAGCGGGTCCAATTGTTAAATCACCTCGCTTGCTGAATACGCGAAACGAACGTTAAGTGGTTAGTTGAATTGCGTTAGGAGAAACAGAAGATGAGAGAATAGTTGAAGACGGCGCTGAATTTGCTCTGATGTTGCTCATTGGGGTTCTTCCACTGGGAAATAGCAAAGTAAAAATCCCCAACAAGAAGGAGAAGTCCAACCCTTAGCATATCTTGCAAGCGGGGATCTCTTGTACTTGATTTCTGCTCGAAATCACCCAGACCCAGTCCCACCAGTCCCCACAAACACAACCAGAACAGCAGCGTAGGTCGCAGTAGCTACGAAGATCTCGGAACTCTTGCTTCTTATAATAGCACCAAGGAAGAATCCCGACAGAACGACAGAACGAGAAACTGTGACGAGACTTTTAGTGCGGTTTGTGTTGAAGCTCATAATCGCCATGGGCACAATGAGAAGGGCTCGGCCAAAGATAGTAATGATAGTGCTGGCGATTATTCCAAGCGGCAGTGATGTGCGTTGCGGGGGACGCCCTGAAAAGAACTTAAGTTGCAGCTTCTCGTAATTTGTATACGTCAGGCTCGTGCGAAGTATGGAGATGAGGGCACTGGGAAGTCGACTTGATGTCGGGTCTTTGCGCGGTATTGTACGGTATTCTCTAAAAGACTTAATAACAAGTTCCGGGGGGGGGAGGGGGGGGGGGCGCATTTTATATCTGGAAATGAGGACTCGGGGTGTTCAATCAAGGACATGGAGGATTTGTTGAGATGTATCGTCATATACTCATAATTGCGTACCGCAGTTGCTTCGAACTTTGGATCAGAAGATGTGCTATTTACCTGGAGTTGAAAGATACCTTCTTGGTCTTGAAGCAGGTTGCCCAATTCTTGCTTTTCCGCGTTGGATATATAGGTGCCCTGTGTTGCATGAAGCCGAGCTTCTAAGTGAAGCAACTTGTGGTCTATAAGGTTGAGGTCACAATGTCGGAATAACATGAAGTAATAGATCGGTTGACGAGTTTCGAAGACTGCCTCCATACCGACCGCAATTTTTGAGATGCTCCATAGCCGATCAGGATATGCCATAAGCAAAGGGTCTTGATCGCCAAGTTTTCCCGAATCGCTCGATAATAGGACATTCGCACCCGGCTCCAAATCTGTCTCAAAGGCTCGCAGGGTGGACTGGTCCTGTTGTTGAGGGCTGGGTGGCAGAGGCAAAGAAGGCATGTCAGACCACTTCGGCCACCACCACTCGCTGTCGAAGATACTATGCTCGCCCGGCATATTCTAAGTGATGAGTAACAATTTCAAATTGTGTTGAGTATAGCCATAAAACAAAAGTAGGGCAGACTCGAGCCCTGGGCCGAAATGGACTGCTCAGCCGCAAAATTCCTCAAGCTGTTTGTGTTATGAAAAGGAGATTCACCGACAAATGAGAGGTTGAGCAGATTGGATCTCCAAGGCTTTTATATACAGAACCTTCTACTCCAAATTTGGAAAAACAGCACGCAAGATTCAAACAAGAGGCAACAGCCCAGGTGGCCTTTCTTTGTATAATGCTGCTTTCGCGGCCCCGAACTAGTACATGGTAGGCGAATAGAGGGGAGAGATGGTGGCACTCAGTAGCCCATCTTCACAGCGGAATCCAAGATTTGCTGAGCCTTGAATGTTGGACTCGATGATACCCTGGAAATTGGGATTGGCAAGCCGAGACTAAATTGATGTAAGTTTCGATAGTTTGGCGATGAAGATGAAGCAGGGAGTCGGGTGGGGTAAGCATTTCTCAGCCTTGCATCCGGCCAGTCAATCAGCGCACCGACCAGGGGTCTTTCGAAAGCTGTCCTTTTAGGAACATCGTCCCAAAATATCAGGTCCACGACAACCTCAAGCCTCCCAGGCACACACTCCCCAGAACTCCTCGAATACATTCATTTAGCTACCGACCTGACATGTTGATGTGAGCGCGGAAGGAAAGGTCATTGCAAGAGAGAAGCGCAGGAGATGAACGGCTTCGCATCTCATGGCCTGGACGAGGATGCCTTTGGGGAGAAGAGAGGCAACATCGTCCAGGCGTTCGATGCGTTTCGTACGTCCGTTTTTCAAACCCTTTCCCAAATCTCTTTCCCAAATTCACAACTGGATTGGAGCGAGTGGCATAGACTGACTGTTTCACAGCCAAAGCAAAGCCCCAATATGTAACGCAGACCTCTGGCGGCGGGAAATGGACCGTCGCCATGCTCTGCGTTTCTTTCCTCCTCATCTTCTCCGAGTTCACGCGCTGGTGGCGCGGACACGAGACACACGCCTTCGCGGTGGAAAAAGGCGTCGGCCACAACCTGCAAATCAACCTGGACATCGTGATCCCCATGCAATGCTCTGATATCCACGTCAACGTGCAAGATGCTGCTGGGGATAGGATTCTGGCGGGCGATATGCTGAAAAGGGACCCAACGAATTGGAGGCAGTGGGTTGATGCTAGGGGTGTGCATAGACTAGGGAAGGACGCGCAAGGGAGGGTTATCACGGGCGAGGGGTTCCATGATCACGAGGAGGGGTTTGGAGAGGAGCATGTGCATGATATCGTTGCCCATGCTGGGGGCGGACGGGCGAAGTTTGCGAAGACGCCGAAGCTGAAGTGGGGGAGACCTGGTGGTGACAGCTGCCGGCTGTTTGGCAGCTTGGAGGTGAACAAGGTGCAGGGAGATTTCCATATCACTGCTCGAGGCCATGGATATCAGGAGATGTTTGCTGAGCATATAGATCACAGCTGTACGCCCCCTTCCCTCCCCTTTCCTTCTCTGGTTTTAGGGCAATTGGCTAATATGTAAACAGCATTCAACTTCTCACACATCATCTCCGAGCTCTCCTTCGGTGCCTTCTACCCCTCCCTCCTCAACCCCCTCGACAGAACTATCTCCACCGTCCCAAACCACTTCCACAAATTCCAATACTTCCTCTCTGTGGTTCCCACCGTGTATTCCGTCGACGCGAGCAGCATCTACTCCTCACGCACGGTCTTCACAAACCAATACGCAGTGACAGAGCAATCAATGATCGTGGGTGAACGCTCTGTCCCGGGGATATTCTTCAAGTACGATATTGAGCCTATGTTGCTCACGGTCGAGGAGAGCAGAGATGGGTTTCTGAGATTTGTGGTCAAGGTTGTGAATGTGTTTAGCGGGGTGCTGGTTGCAGGGCATTGGGGATTTACTTTGACGGAGTGGGCGACAGGGGTCCTGGGGAGAAGGAGGAAGAGGATGAGCGACGGCGTGCTAACGGGGAGGGCCCATGAGCGGGACGATTAGTTTGTTTATATTGTCTCCATATTCGCTGTTTATGATATTTAACGGTTTCCTGGGCATTTTCAAGGCAGTGAGGCGTTTTGATAGTTGGGAATCTGAAAAAGCGTCAACCTTCATCTTTTCACTTTTTGACTCAAAAATGACTATAAAGAGTGAAGGTCTGGTCTAAAATCGACGGAAGATGCTTGAATTCATTAAGAACAACCTTGCTGTGGAAGCTGTGGCTGGTGATTACTATGGTACTTCGCAAACGCCAAGGAAACCCATCAACTATACAATCCATCAACAATCCAGGTTGGGAATCAATCAATTAGTAACTGTCTTCGTCGTTTTGGCAGCCAGTCCAACGCCCAATCCAACACCAAGGGCAATAGCCAGAACAATAAGCACCACGACCAACAAGCACCACCACTTTAATCTGTTCCTGCGTCTGGCGTGCTCATTCGCTTTGTCGATCTGGGTGTTTCCTTTGTCTACGTCCTCGGCTGTCTGGGTGGCGTTCTGTTCCGTGTGCTCGATTACTGGGTCCTGAGCCTCTACAATCTGGGCCATGTCTGCGAACATAGCTGCTAGTTCTGTGAGGGTGGCCTCAATGCGCTGAAGTTCATTGTGACGAGCGCGGACGGCACCGAGGACTGAGGAAGCTTGTCCTGAGCGGTTGCTCTTAAGCTATTCATTTGTCAGTGAAGCCCTCGAGTACTAGAGTGAGGATACTCGCAGCAGTCTGGAAAACACCTTCCGAGCCCCAATCCATGTTTGAAGCCTCCTGAACCTCCTGCTCCGACGCCTCGGGGTTGACAATCCGATACTGTCTGGCAATTTGGTCACGATATCTTTGCCTGTACGCGACCTCTTCTTGCTGGTAATCCTTCAGACTCTTCTCAAACTCCGTCTTCAAGTTCTTCGCCTGCCGTGCCTTGACGCTCTTCGTGCCATCCTGCGTCTTCACGGCATCGCCCTCAAGATATTTGATCTGGTCCCGGATCTGCGTGTTCTTCAGCTGCGTCTGCGTGACCAGGTTCTCGAGCTGCTGCGAGGAATTGCTGTCGGGCGAGGACAGGGCCCGCTGATGCAGCGACGCGATCTCCTGGATGTTCGAGCTCAGGTTCCTGATCTCGGATTTGGCAAAGTCGACTCGCTGGAGGAACTCTTGTTGCGAGAGGACCGTCGAGGCGTGCGAGACGTCCGGAGCGCCGGCATTCGAGTAGTTCGAGGTCTGCGAGTAGTTGGACATCTCCTGGTTCAGTTCTGGTTCTCCTAAGTATCCCTGCAATGAAGGAGAGGTTCAAGTCAGTCTTGATTCATTCTGTCTCGCGCGCATCCAGTTGAGGGTAGAGGAGAAGCCTACTGCGCCGCCTTGTCCAGCTTCTGCGTTAGGGCCATTGTTGTATGGATTCCCGCCATACTGCTGGTATTGCGTGTAGGACATTTTGCGTGCTCAATTGATGAACGACCAAGACTCGCGCGTGGCGGTGGTAAAATGGTTTTAAGATGAGGACGTGGTGAATGACGTTCTGAATAATGCTGTCGGGGAGCTGTCGGCGCACGATGCTGACGGACTGTCAAAACGAGATGGGATGACCGGATCAATATAATAAGCGGCCGTCGTTGGCGCAGTAATTAAACAATTGCAATGGACGCCCTTGTAAGATAAGTTTTCTCGCACGTAAATAATTGAATCCTACTGCGATGGCGATGGAGAGAAGTCAGGCGTGTCCAACCTGAACAGAGTTCACCATTTAGTGCTGCCTCTGTGGCTGGCTGGCTGGCTCCTACCTAACTTATTCAGCAGTGGATCAACCCAGTGTCATTTGCCTCTTCACGGACTGGTCAACGTTTCTGCCGACGACGCGGCGAACGCTGCGCCCGGAGCGTTGTTCTAGAGTTCCAAGTTTGGTTCTGATGAACGGATCTGAGGAGAGTTCGGTGGCAGTGTCGAATTGAAGCCTTGGAGGTTCAAAGAGGACCTTGCGATGACGTGGAATGCAATGGCGCGGTGAAGGGTTTCGTTTGCAGCTCAGGGATCCTGGACGACCCTGGTCACCTGATTCGAATCCAATCGTCAGACATTCTCTTTCCGATTTCATCTTCATCTGATGCCCTGCTGTCTCGAGTGATGCACAGCCATGGTGTGATGTGAATTCAGATGCGATCTTCAGCAAGTTCTAGATCATTTAGATTTCATAGGCTTTGTTTTTGAAGCTGAGATAAGTTGACTAAACGGCTCAAGACTCGAAGTATTCGATCCTATATTCATGGTCTTCGAGGATGCTCCAGTGGGCAATGTTGTTTTAATGGTTCCTTCATACTCTTCAAATTATTCGTATTAATTGTCTAAAAGAAAAAGGTCACCCTCGAAGGAAACTCATCTCAGCTCAGCATGTACGAAGTAGCGTTGGGTTAAGAGCAATGGCTCGTATCATTCCTTCAAGCTATAGGCTATTGTCCACCACCGCCCACGCTACCTGCATAAACAACTTGCACGGCGACAAAAGCCGCCGTTGCTGCAAAAATCTCTTTCCGAGGAGCATCGGATGTGGAAACCAGGGAATGTCCTTTCTATATCACGTCCATTAGCATTAAAGACCTCATCCTGTAATGCCCCTGTCGGTGGAACCGTACCCAGAAGAAGTGTGGTATAGGAACGAACTTTCGAATGGATAAACAGGCTCAGAGCCTTGAAGCTCAAGCTTGTAAACCGAGGTTTAGGTGGCTGCTACAACCACAAGTAACTCTTCGAGAGCTCTCATATCTATTACTCGTCAATTTCACCATTCGTCAAGTAAAGAAGGCGGAAGCACGCAAGGAGAATAGTGTATGTAACTATCCTCATTCGCATTATAGATACCGCAGAACGCTCGAGCAAAACATCGCAGTCTACAAGCGCAAGAACTCTAACCCATCTACTTTTGTGTCGTCCTCCTATTAACAACCACCCATTTCCCATTAAGCATTAACACGTCTCATAATTTTCCAAAGATCTGAAATGAAACACAACTCAATTTGAGTCCGTATTAAATCTTTCTCTTTCTATGCGGTAAGTCCATCCTTCGCCCAGCCAATGATATCCCTCCCATTCTGCACATTCAGATGTCCTTCCGGTCCCTGTTTTCTCATTAGCCTCTTCTCCATCCGCAAAAAAAAAAAAAAAAAAAAAAAAAGGAATCAAATTATGGGACAAACTCACATCCCAAAACATAACACCGCCCAACCACCCCCCCACCCCATTCTGAGCCATCAACTCCCTCACCCCGCTAACCACCTTCTTCATGCCTTGCGCACCCCCTATAATCCCCTTGTACGCCATCGGACTCGCGTCCGTCCAGGCAGGTGCACCGATATACAGCCGCGGCTTTGGGGACAGGGTGGAGGCGTTGAGGTTCTTGGTCCACGAGATGATGCTGGCGTTGAAGCCGGGCGCGCCGATTTCGCACGCAGGTGAATTGTAGAATTGGACCCCTGGGTGAGAGGGGTTAGCGAGCGAGCCCCTTTTTTTGGAAGGGAAAAGGGAGAGGGAGAGGGAGAGGGAGAGGGAACTTACAGACGAAATCGCATTGTAAGAGCATTGGCAACGGATCCGAGAAGGGGACGAGACATTGCGGGGCTGAGGAGAGGTAGTAAGGTTTGATGGCGGTGGGGAACAGCGCTCTGAAGCTCGTGGCGAGATACGGCCAGTGTTGGGGGAAGTTGTCTTCATTATCTATTTGCCGCCCCACCGTGCATCAGCACTCCTCCCCCTCTCCCCTCCTACACAAGATCTTGGATTGGGGGAAGGGGAAACGGAGGGAAGAAGAAAGAGAAAGAGAGAAGGAAGACGTACCAATATCAAACCCATCCACCTCCACCATCCCAAATGGCCTGAGTTCAGGATCCACGTTCCCTGGCGGCCCGAACAGATTCCACAGCACGCCCGCAAAGTCCTTCGCCGCCTTGTCACTCGAGAACTTGATAAGGCTCGAATCGCCCCCAATACTCAACATAACCTTCTTCCCCCAGCCTCGCTGACACGCCGTGATGTTGCTCGCGAGCTCAGGACAGTACAACAAGCCCGGGGCCTGTTGAGCCATGAGAGGTGTCTGGCCGCCGCACGCGGGGCCGAAGTTCAGCTGCGGGTAGGCCCCGCCGTCGAGCTGCTGGATCACGAAGGAGAGGATCACAATGTCGGTGTTTGGGTCGGCGCATTGGGCTTCGAGGGTTGTGGCGCCCGTTGCGGACGTTTGGCCAAAGTAGACGGCGACGTTAGATTGAGAGGTAGCGTTGAATTTGTAGGTGACCGCTGCGGAGGGGATGGGTGTGATGGCGGGGAGGGTGGTTGTTGCTTCCACTTGTTGCTGGTCTGTCAGTGCTGTTGTTAGTAGTAGATCCGGGACGCCTTGGTCGGTTGTTGTACTTGGGACGGGAAGGGCGTCAGCTGATATTGTGAGTGTCGTCGTTACGGGATCTGGCGTTGCTGTTGTTGTGCTTGTGACAGATATTATGACTGTTGAGATCGAGGTGCTGCACTCCGGCTTTGGTCGACTGCTGACTTCGAATTCTGCATTCCCTACAGGTTGGATTGAGGGGATGGGGGTTGGTGCTGCTAGGTCTGGAGGGGCAGCCTTTGCTGAGTTCAGTCCATCTGCAACGGCTATGCCACTAACCATTGCCAGTGTTGATCGTTCGTAGGCTTTTAGCATCTCCAGGATCTCATGTACTTGGGCGCTGGAGACCGGACTTAAACCTGAAGTCTGCCTGCCGGAGATGTTAGTATTGGGGCATACATACTTAGCCAGATCTCCGAGATCTGGCAGCGTGACCTGTGCTGATCCTCCATCACGTTGTTGTACATCTTTTGGTTGTCGAGAGGGGATCCATCCTGCCAATGAGAATGGTTGTAGAGCTGCGAAGGTTAGGGTAGAGAGAAAGGTTCTCCCGTTGTAGCGCATGATGCGTTTTGAAGAGATGAGTCTTCAGTCGATTTTGGAAAGATGAATCTATCACAGTCCAGGCATTCTCTCAACCCCTTATGTAGACCGTACCGAAGTAAATAAAGCTGTACATAGCTACGCATTCCAAGCCGAAACGTCGGGATTCAGCTCACGGGAATGCTCGCCAAAAAAGGCAAGAACTTCAAATCGGCCCCGAAAACTGGCAAAGAAACTTTCCTTGGAGTCGAGACTCATAACGGCGTGAGCAAGTCTCCGATCGAAAGGTCCGCTCCAGCCGTAGTGTTGTCCCTCCAGTGTTTGAGCGTCACTTGCCCATAGTGAGCACCATTCTTCAGGAGCCTCACAGTCAACGTCACATGAAGCTTTCAGCCTACTATCAAATTATCAAAAGCACGAAGCCATAAGAAACAATACCCGGAGGATAGCTAGACATCGTCGTAGCCATCCTCGTGGCCCATCCTAAAAGGGGTTTCAGAAAAGCTCAACAACCTCCAGTTTCTTCGACAACAAGACCAAATATAGACTTCCCTCAAACCTAGGGACTTGCGAATTAGAGGCATTTGTCTACACTTGACCCGGAAGAGTCTTTCCATCATGCCTCATCTCAGCTGCTGCGAGATATCTGCTGAAGGAGCGCTCCGGCGTGATCAATTTCATTCCACTTGGAAGGATATAAACTCTTGCTCAACCAACCGCTCGTCCACCTTGCTTTCAAGGAAATCAACAAGACGGCTTTTAGACCGCGAAAATTGAAATATCTCAATCAGACTTTCAATCAGGAACACTCATTCCATATCTCCTCAAGACACAGAGCGCAGCTCTTGCATGGTTAGCATTAACAATCTTTAAATTACTAGTCTATTTACGATCTCAACTTCCGCCTCCTCCACTGAAGGGTAAATCACCGCTGTACATCCATCCACTTTCACCAAATGACCCCTCACTCTTAACCTCCCGGAACTACGTGCGCAAACTCGCACCAAATGCACAACCTCAATTCAATTCTCAATCCAGCCGTCAAGCGCGTATGTACTGAAAGCAAAAAACGCCACTTCAATCAACCACTGAATTCATCGTATCAAATCGCCTCGCCTCTCTCATACTATGCCCCGCCGCCCTGTGCGTATGTGATGTTGTGTGCGTGAGAGTGTGCTGTGAACAAAGGAAAATTGTGTGCATGATGTTTGATCAAACGCCCCCAATGGTATTCCGGTATGATGTGATGGATATAACTACAAGTGCATGTATCCGTGGTGTCGTTTATTGTTGCAACAGTGGAGGATTCCGAAAATTCGACTTTTTTTGAGACAAGATGGTGGAAACAAGACAGACTTGATTAGAAGTTTTGGGAGATGCCGGCGCTCTGTTGGGGGAAGTGTGAAGGGTTTTCTATCCGTGTGTTCCTCCGAGCTTGAACATCGCGAATGACGGGTTGGCCTGAAACCTCTGCTCGTCCTGGTGGACTTCCGTATTGTGTGTCTTGACCGTACGGATTGCCTGTGTCGTATTGGTTGTTGTAGTATGCTCCAGGAGGAGGAATTTCTCCAGATCCGTCTGAGCGATTCGCGGCACTGTATGATGATGATGCATTCGAAGGGCCACGATTGATATCTGCAGTTCTGTTGGCTGACGCGGCTGGGCCCATTGCACCTAGTGCTTCTAGTTCGGGAGATAATGGCCGTCCATCCATCAATGGATTATCTGATCTTGTATCTGATACTGGCCCTCGGGTAGGCGATGTTCCTTCTGAATACGGTACCCCAGCGCCACCGGCAGCAGACTGTCCACCAGAGATTGTCGTCGATGCTTTTCGTCCTGACGAAGCCAAGGCTGTAGTTCCCCACCCACGGTATCCCGACGAACCATCTTCCCTCATCTCGTAAGGGCCATCAGCGCTGCCGCCGACTACACCTACTGCAGGTAACGTCGGATCATTGTTTGGATTGTATCCATATTCCTCAACTTCCTTCCGCCGCAACTCTTCCTCGTCCTTTCTTGCCTTTCGTCTCCGCCACAAGAGGATACCCGCGATGACAAGAAGGGCAACGACCACGATTGGCACGACGACGGCGACGGCGATGGTTCCCGAGGAGCCCAAACCGCTTGATGTGGCCTTTGCTCCTGATTGTAAGCTGGCAGTTGATGCTCCAGATGCGGATGATGATGTTGATGTTCCTGTGTTTGTGGGTGTGTCTCCCCCCTGGGTGGATGTCTTGAAAACGGTGATCGTGGAACCTCCTGGCTCAGTCGTAGTACTGATAGGAGTCGATACAGGTGGTGCCGATGTAGTAGGTGTAGGAGTTGGAGTTGGAGAAGGAGTGTCGCTTTGTGTGGTAGGGGGAGGAGGAGATGAGGTGGTTTTTATTATTATAGAAGTAGAAGGGCTGGGGGTATTAGGAGGAGTAGTTGAGACTGGAGGGGGACTGCTGTTAGCAATTGAACTCGTCGACGGATTAGACGTACTCGTCGGCGACGGCGAGGGAGTAGAAGTCGTCGGCACACCGGTATCCGTACTTGTAGTAGAATTGGTAGCCATCGTGAACTGCCTCTTGAAAACGAGTTTCCTCGGCTGTCTGGATGCCGCCATGTCAGCGAAAGGGAACATCTCAAGGGTGTACAGCAAGAGCCAGCACATCTATCAGGACGAGGCGCAGCATACCTCAAGTCTAGCCTAGATCAAAAATAAGCTCTGCAGCAGCGACCCAGATTGTTTGGGTGGTGACTGTGTGAGAGTCGATGTTTCGCGTTTGGAAAGGGCGTCGGACGTGCTCCTGGCGAGTTTTTCACTGGTGGGCCGATCGCTGTGCTTCGCTGCGGGCTGCCCTGAGGCCGTCCGAGAAGGAAAGGGAGTGGATGAAGAGACGGCGACGACCACAACCGAATGCGTCGCTCTACCAAGAATGTCGAGGGTGCAATCGTAAAACGTCGCGATGGACGATGATGGCCGAAGGTGGAGGTGGAGGTGGAGTTGTCGAGGAGAAGTGTTGGATACGAGGCGACGTTCCGCAATAGGGAGGTGGAGGTGGAAGGGCGAGTGCCGGCTGATTGCAGTGCAAAATGAGGTGCGCGAGCGAGCGAGGACTGGGTGAGACAGCAGAGCAGAGCAGCGCGACTACGGGTTCGCGGGCCCCCCAGCGGCGTTTCTTTTTGGCTGCCGAACGAAATTAGATCTTCTTGGAGCGCCCATGCAAATCGAAGCGGCAGTGGCTGAGGCGATCTTTGCTAGGGAGCGTCGAGTTGGGACGACGACGGAGTTGAGAGTAAGAGTGAGGTCTGGAGGAGGAGGAGGAGGAGATGTTTGTAGGTGAGGAGTGAGGTGTGAGGTGTGAGGAGTAAGGTGAACTGGAGACGGAGCTGCAAACCACGTCTTGGCCACGCTCAGGTCCATAAGGGCCTTTCTAGTCTGCATCTGCAGCTTTCTTCGCTGAGGCACTAAGGATAATACGGGCTTTAGCAGATGGTTGCTCTCTGCTCCACTGCCTGAGCCGTCCTGCCATGGCACCATCAGAATCTTGTTCGTGATCCCTTACTCCCAGTTGGCCCGCCTATGACCTCAACCCTCTCCGCTTCCTCTGGACAAGCCGAAACCCAATCACAGATCTACTTGTTTTAAAAATACTAACTTGCACACGAGGGGCTCTCCTGCTGCTTGTCATCGACGGCGTCGTCGCCACGATTTCCCGTGTGGGTATTTCCTTAGGGCTGTTGAGGAATACTTCTCATAGGACGCACCTCTCACTGATCGCAGCAGATCACGATCACAATTGGCCTGTGAGAGAGCCGGAAATCCAACGATTGAGGCTGTGCACGCAGCTTCTCTGCACCCTCTTCTCTTCAGCTTCTAAAGCCAAAATCCGCAACGTTACGGTTTGCGCCTCCCAATAATCCTCCTGCTCCGAGAACCGACAGATATCTGTCATGGAGCAGAATAATGAAAATCGGAGTATTACGGTACTGTATTGAACGGAACATACGATCGATGCGGCGACGGATCTCAGATGGTTTCTGGGCATCACGCCAGCAATGCCTGATTACTCTCCTCGCCATCAAAACTTCCTCCAGTTCCAGAACTTCTTCGATTCTCTCTCCGTCATCAAAAATATAAATCTTCGCTGCGTCCTCTGCTCCTTGGCTGAAGCAGTCTCGCCGGGCTGTACGTTGATGAGTGAGCGGACTCCTCGTGATGGATGGAGGCTTCCTTCCCCATCTGAGACGAGACGATCCCAAACCGCCTCATATTTCCACAGTCTCAGTCTCAGTCTCCTTGTCCTCATGCAAACCTCTCAGCAGTAAAAAACAATGCCCCGAACCCATGGAATTCAATTGTCCCCTTCTCAACACAAAACCTGTTTCCGCAGCCGCTACGGATCCGCGCCGACGAGCTGGAGCGCATGCACGCTCCTGCACTCCTGTCAATCCCTCCTCCGCCCCAAACCCTCCAGGCTCCAACCAGCCCTCAATTCGTGAACCCCGTGACTGTTCCCGCGCCCCGTGCTGCACCTCGAAATTCCCAGGTACTGTACATCCACATCTACGTAGTACCTGCACTCCAACTCCTTTCCCCTTCCTGCCATCACTTACCGTACCAGCCTCGCCGTATGCACACGCAGCAGAGACCTTCACACCTTCCCAACCCCTGCCTCGCACCCGATTCCTACTCCTCATTCCTCATTCCTCAACCCACAAATCTCTCGCCAGCCACGCCACAACCAAGTCAAAGCAAATCAAATCAAAAATCTCCCAGGGACCTCTTCCCTCCGCTCCGCCCCACTTCCGCCATCCCCCAATCATCACATAATTTAATCTCCGTAGTGTGGACCCTCCCCCGTCCCCCCTTCGCGGCCAAACTTTCCTTGATTTTCTTGTGGTGAAAGGAACTTTAATAATCATGGCTGGGGCCCACGCTCGTTTCCTCGTGAAATGAAACAAAACAATGGGAATGATGTAGAGTGCTACAATTGATACAATGATATACCTTTTGATGTCGGATTTTGATTCGAATCTTATAGGAAGGTGAGAGTTTAATTGGAAAGGGGTCTGTTTGTGCGTGCGTGGGCGAAGGGAATCACGGGGGTGTTCACGTGATATTTACGGTATAGTCACGTGAGTGAAAAGGGGTAAATGGAAGCGAGGAAGGAAGCACATTCAAGAAGGATCATCCATTCCAATGCTACTATACAAGACCTCATCCCATTTCTCCATATCCCCTAGTGTTCTTCTCTGTGCATCTATATGCATTCTCCGCCTTCCTTCCACTGGTCCATCGGTTAGTTCAATCAATCGAGAAAAGTAAGCCCAAACCCCAACCCCATTGATCGCCCAACCATCTATTACAAGAAAGACATTAGACCCAGAGTCTGTGGTAGAGTTCTCTGGAAGTGATTCGATTCGATTCGATATGCAGAACCGGCAATTCAATCCATGCATATACGCAGCTAGCTCATGACACATGAGATGCGGTCGCTATTTGACGTTTGGTCGGAAGAGGGAGGGTTGTGAAACCGAGCACCAAGTATGTTGGTGTCCTGTGCAGTGAAAATCAAAAAAATATTTGTTGCTTTATGCATGCGCGCTGAAATGCTTCGAGTGGTTGCCCAAGCGGGAAGACCACGAGAAAACTGGAAGACATTATTGTTGGTCATCAAGTCTAGCTGTTGTGGGGGCGCATGCCCCATTGAGGCTTGAGCTGCGTTGCTAGATCGTCTCTTGTGAAGACTACGTCCCCTGGGATTCGGCTGACACGGTATGCTCCGTTACGGATAGCCCCTAATTGCCTCGTGGAAATTCCACTTTGGTTGCTTCGAATGCTACCGGCGTCGCTCATGCTATCGGGATCCCTGAATTTCTTGGGAGGTGCGAAGTCGAGCGAAGTGAACGTTCCAGACTTCCGGAGCAAGTGTCTGTTCTTCTGTTAGAGTTTGTGCACACCTGGGTTGAAGATTACTTACGGGCTAGGAATTGGTGCAAGTTCTTCAAATGCACTGGCAATTGGAGCAAATGAAGGTACTGCTGGTGAATACGGGCGTCTCTCGCCCAACGGGCTCTCCGACCGACCAGCTGCCCTATCTCTATAGGACTGCGGTGGTGCAAAGTCGATAGCTCCCATCAGAGCAAAAGAGTCGTCTCTCAGTTTGGATGGGGTTGGCAAGCTACTGAGTGCAGCTGGAGGAGGCATTGGGCGTTTTGGGCCGTTGTTGTATGCTCCCGGTCCCATACGTCCAGATGCAGAAGAGTATGCTCTTGGACCTTGGGGATATGGCCCTGGAGGATACATTTGAGGGCCACGCATTCCGCCAGTGCTCATCGCGCCCATTGAACCTTGTCTAGGTCGAGAAGGTCCTTGAAATCTTGGAGCACGTGGAGGAGGCGTCATAGCACGACGGGTAACGGGTTCAGCAAATGGCATGACAAACTGATTAGAGTCCGGATCATGATATGAGGTCTCTTCATATCCGTTGTAGTTCTCGTCATAATCTTCATAATACTGTCCTGCCGGAGCTGGTTTGTTCTCGTCAAAGTATTCTTTGTAGAATGACCGAATTCGATTGGCTCTGATCTCAGGATCATCAGTCTCCATCAGGTTGTTAGGTGGCAGCGGGCGGAATCCCATTGAAAGTCGCTTCGGGTCGAATCCAGGAGCACCCAATCCAGCTTGTGCGAACTCCTCGGGCGGAACATCCATAGAATAACGTTGCCCCCGAATTTGCTCTGCATTTTCACGCCCGGGCGATGGGGGGGTAATTCTGACACCATCGCCATAATCGCTCTCATCATCCATAAAAGTCTGAGGTTGAACTGTAGGGACTGATTCCTTTCGTACCGGTCGAGGGTTTGAAGGCAAGCTATTCATGCTTGGGGGCGGCGATTTGCGCTTGATTGGTTGCTGCTCAACTGCTGGGAGCGTAGGGAGAGTTGGTTCCTGCTCTGCTGCTGGGAGTGTTGGGAGCTCACGATCTTTGCGTGGAGACGGAGGAGTTAGCGAAGGCGCGCCTGAGTTGATAAAGCTTCCCAAATAGTTGTTGCTATTTCTGATGGCTGACATATCGCCAGTTGACTCGCGGTTCTCATCCATGTTTGGTAAGGTTGGGGCAAGATTCGTTGGACTCTGCCCCGGACGTGGTGAGTTTGGCAAGCCCTTTCTTGGCAGAGCTGGCAAAGGGAGGACATCGGGCATATATGCTTTGGGTGGTTCGGCGGGATACGGCGGTACCGGGTCAGAGAGAGATTCGACAGGGCTCATGGTTTTTGGCGGCAACGAGTTCTGACGACGTGGAGGAACAAAGACTGCTGGTGGGCTGCTGCGTGCCATGCTTCCAGCATTGCCGACAAGGTCTGATGTGCTCATGTCTTGCATTCTCGAGGGCGCATGGCTCGAGCCAGTATAAATGGAGGAACCTTGTTTTGATTGTGACCGGATAGATGCGCCGTCTCCTGGGTAATACTGAGTAACTGGATGGTACGGATCTTCATGTTGTGCCAACGATCTCGATAGAGAATGGATAGACTCGCGCGAGTTGTGAAGCTCCGGTGGGAGAAGATATGGACTGTTCATGGCCATATCCATAGACACCTGACGCCGGCTCATACCAGGCCTCTCTCCGTACTCCTTCTCATTCCCTAGTGCAGATGGCGCTCTCTTCTGTCTGCCAGGTTGTGGCACATCTCCCAAGCCAAAGTCCATAGATGCATGGCGATCATTTGCATCCTCCTCTCTTTGCTTGCGTACATGTCGACGCTGTAGGATGAAGAACAGGATGGCGGCGCCGATAACAGGGATGCTGTTCCAAATTAGATATAATGCTCAAAAGACTTCAATTTATACTTACGCAACACCGAGGACAATGGGCAGGGTAAAAGTCGACGAGCTGACGGGTTGCTCGCAGGCGCTGGAGCCGCAACTGCTTGTCGAATCCGTAGAGGATGAAGTTGTGGTCGCCGCTCGCGCCTCTATAACGCGGTCTGGAACAGCAATGTTCATTATTGTGTCCATTCTTCCCACGATCTGTGGAGCGCGAGCCGCCAACCTAACAATATTTGCGTCTCCGTTCTCCATCTTGGCGGAGGCCAGCAACCTCGCGGTCACCTGGACGAAGTCGACAAGCAATGGTTGACAACGCTAAAGGTAAGTTGTCGTGGCGGTGCTGCAAAGGAAGGCGCGACTGGTTTCGGTTGCAGCTCGTGATAAAAGCAAACAAGATGGCGGATTGTGTTGATTGAGGCTCGTTTCGTGGACACGCTCTCCGCGGTATGCAATGCTCTTATTGAAACAACTCCGAACCAGTAAATGCAGAACGTAGTATGAATTGAATTGCAACACGCACGCGAAAAAAAACGACGGACTCGAAGGAGTGACTATGGTCGGAACATGAAGAAGGAGCGGAAGTGGTCGTAAACCTAAGGAATGGCAGACCCGACTGGCAGGCGCTCTCGGTCGAGGAGTCGTGAAGTTAGGAGGTGGAGGTGGAGGTGAAGAAGGTGAAGGGGAAGGAGAAGGAGAGAAGGGACGAACAGGCCCAGCACCTGCAGTTGCAGCAGCAGCACAGCAGGCGACTGACTGACAGCAGCGGTTTGGCTGGTGTTGAATTGGATTGGACCAGGGCCCAGTCGGGACCTGGCTAATTTGGCGGCAGCTAGCCCGAAGGAGGCAAGTCCGCGTGAATGAGCTCGGCTCTGGCTTCAGGGGACGAAACAGTGGATTTTGATTGAACAAGCATCACTTGCTCTGGCGAAATGAGAGACGGCGGCTGGGCCTTGTTGCTTCTGCTGCTGCGGCTGCGGCTGCGGCTGCGAGTGCTCTCCACCCCCAAAAGCTCCCGGAAGACGCGCAGCATCTCTATCATCGTCGTTCTTTCTTCACAATTTTGCATCTTCTGCATCTATTCATAGAAATGTTGGGACTTTGGGAGGAATGAGGCATGACACCACCTCCAAAACGGCGTCCGCTAACCCCAAAGCCGTTACTCAGGTACGAATGGTCAGGGATGGGCAAGCCTCATCAAACTGGCCTGTCGATTCGTTGCCAATTTGTCCCTCCACAGGCCACAGTCCGGGGGGACGGCAGGCTCGGCCGCTCGGTGTATGAATAGATATATCTGCGACGCATGCTCTGGAACTGGTGATCATTGACTTCACTCGACCCTGATCGGCGTCTGGTCGGTGAATCATTCTGGAGATTCACCGTGACTTCAACAAATCCAAAGCACGCTCTCCCTTGCTTATTATTTATGAACACGCGAGCGAACACTCTGGTTGAAGACTCACATCTAGAACTTCAACCATGGGGTTTGATTGGCATCTAGCGGGGCCAAGGAGATTGGATTGGCGTCCGCGCCGTTTATTGCAGGCTTTTGCAGCCACAGTGCGGGCCCAAAAGTAGGAAGCGGGCCCAAATCTTCGCCGATATTGCTTTTAAATTGACTTGCGAATTATCCAAAATCCCTGAGGCACGACGTCGTGAGCGTGGCTGAGCAGCAGCGGGTAAAGAGTCGAGAGGCAAGTGATAGTCAGATTTGAAATTTGTGAGCACTGAGCACAAAAACAATAAAATTAGGTTCGTTGGTTTTTTCCGCCTTAGGCAGAAACATAGACTTTGCTCCAAATTTGACCGAACATCAAGATCACCTTCGGACCCCGTGACTTGACTTGACTTGTCGAAAAGGGGGAACAGGCTTCTCGAAGCGAAGACAGCCGAGCACTATCAGCAATGTGAGGCCAGTCATCATGGCAGACTTCGACCTCGCTGCCACCTTCATCCCATCCCTCCACAAGCCAGCCTCACTTCTACCAATTGCTCGACATAGGCAAAATCTCCTCTACCTCATCGAGACTTATCCAGTCACAATAGTCGTTGGCCAAACCGGCTCAGGAAAGACCACCCAACTTCCTCAATATCTCGAGCAAGCAGGATGGTGCTCAGACGGCAAGGTCATTGCCGTTACTCAGGTATGCACTCTGCCTCGATTACGGGACTAGCTAACGTTTCGTAGCCTCGGCGAGTAGCAGCAACGACTGTGGCAGTTCGGGTCGCAGATGAGATGGGTTGCGAAGTTGGTAAGGAGGTGGGCTATTCGATTCGTTTTGAAGATGTCACTTCGGCTGCAACGCGGATCAAGTTCCTCACAGATGGCCTTTTGCTCAGAGAAGCGTTGGTGGACCCTTTGCTGTCACGTTACTCGGTCATCATGGTGGATGAAGCTCATGAAAGATCTCTGAGTACAGATGTCCTTCTTGGCGTGCTCAAGAAGATTATGAAAAGACGGCCAGAGCTACGAATCATCATCAGCAGTGCAACCCTGCAAGCCGAGGATTTCCTGAAGTTCTTTATGGGCGATGAAGTGCAAAAGCCCACAGCTGAACCAGCCCTCACCATTGACGATCTGATCTCTCAAGGAAGCTCGGGGCCTCAGGATACAGCTTTTGGAGGCAATGTTGGTCGCATCATCAGTATAGAGGGCAGGATGTATCCCGTCGACATCCTATACTTGGAGAATCCAGCCGAAGATTATGTCGAAAAAGCCGTACAAACGGTATTCGATATCCACACCAAAGAACTAGAAGGTGACATCCTCGTCTTCCTAACCGGAAGGGAAGAGATAGATACAGCCGTCCAAGCAATATCCGAACGAGCAGCAAACCTCCATCCTCGCTCTCAACAAATAATGGCCCTCCCCCTCTACGCCGGCCTCTCAACAGAGCAACAAATGTACGTCTTCGAACCCGCACCAGAAAACACCCGCAAAGTAATCTTCTCCACCAACATCGCCGAAGCATCCGTCACCATCGACGGCATCCTCTATGTCGTCGACACCGGCTTCGTGAAGCTCCGCGCCTACAACCCCCTCACCGGAATTGAGACCCTCACCGCGACCCCGGTATCCAAGGCTTCCGCAACCCAAAGATCAGGACGAGCCGGGCGTACCAAACCCGGAAAATGCTTTCGTCTTTACACGGAGTCTTCTTTCCAATCCATGGACGAAGCCACCGTCCCCGAAATCCAGAGATCCAACCTCGCCCCGGTGATACTGCAGCTCAAGGCCCTAGGAATTGATAACATCGTCCGCTTCGACTTCCTCACCTCACCCCCGGCCGAACTCGTCATCCGCGCCCTCGAACTCCTCTACTCCCTTGGGGCTCTCGACACCTACGCCAAACTCACCAAGCCGCTCGGAACCCGCATGGCGGAATTAGCGGTTGAGCCCATGATGGCGAAAACTTTGCTGTCTGCCCCCTCCTTCAACTGTCTCTCCGAGATCCTAACAATAGCAGCTATGACGAGCGTAGGAGGCAATATCTGGTTCCACGACGGCGAGAAGAAGAAGATGGAGACTGCGCGGAGGAAATTCGCTGTTGAAGAGGGCGACCATATTACGCTTCTTAATGTGTATCAGGCGTTCGTTACCAAGGGGAAGAAAGAAGCTCGCTTCTGCCACGACAACTTCATTAACTTCAAGTCCATGACGAGAGCTGTATCCATCCGAGCACAACTCAAACGCTACTTGGAAAGATTCGGCATGAACGTCGACGAAACTCTCTCCTCCACCTCCACCTCCAATCCCAACAAGACACCACTAGCGGTTGGTGGTCCCGATAAAGGCGAGCAAATCCGGCGCTGCCTAACAACCGGATTCTTTGCCCACGCAGCAAAGATGCAGCCGGACGGCACATTCAGGAACGTAGCCGGAGGCACGATATTACACGCTCATCCTAGCTCACTGATGTTTAACCGCAAGGCAGACTGGGTTATCTTCCACGAGGTGATGGAGACGGGGAATAAGACTTTTATTCGGGATGTGAGTAAGATTGAGAAGGGTTGGTTGGTGGAGTACGCGCCGGATTTCTATAAGATTCGATAGTTGGGTTAGGTTGGGAGAATGAATGGGTGAGCATGACCAACGACACTCTGTTCGCTCAAACCTGCGGCTTTCCATGAGGTTGAAAATTGTCTCAGGCCAGAATGAAAGCTTTGACAAGATACAACGCGGTGCGTGCCCGTGCAATGAGCACGGAAACCCCGCTACTTTGAAGCCACACAACTCCTACTTCCAAGACTACATGATTAATGGACCCAATCTCTCTTTAACGTCCAACTTGAAGTCCTCACACCCTCCTCCCCTAACCTTGCTTCTAACCTAATCCCCCTCCTCAAGCTACCAGTAGTTGGGGATGCTTCCTTGTCTCGCGCGGCAACCAGTCAATTCACGACTGTCATAAGAGAAGCCAGCCTTGTCTGAAGACGCGACGATATGTCGATATATAAACAAAAGTCGACGAAAACCAAACCAAAATCCCTGTTTCTTTCTCTCTTCCACGCCGATAACGAAACAAAAATTGACCGAGAAATAATCAAGGAGCATGGATGGTGCGGTGTGGTGCAAGTAAAAAGTCTTGCTAGATATTGCTCTACCTCATTCATATCAAAGCTAAGCAATAAAAATGTGAAGAGTACTCGTGGTCTGTATCTTCGCCTCTCTTCTCTTTGGATTTTAGATAGATAGAGAATGAATGGAAGTGGAGCAAATGAAATTTTGACAGGGAGAATTGCCTTTTGCGTGATGCTTGGGGAGAGTTTATATACGCAGCGGGCTCGTTTGTTTTGTTATATATAGTTGACATGGAGGAGACGCGTAATGCATGGGTGTGCCCTCCACAGGTTGGGCATGCTCATCTTAGGCCAGGAAGTGAGGGGGCATGCTGGGTGCAAACTTCAAAATGAGGGTGAGAGTTGTTGTCGAAGCATCTCAAAGAGTATCATCCATCTACCGCACAACAATGGACCCTACTCCTCTAATCCCAGATCGTTGACCCCGTCCGGGAAGTTGTCATCTTCGCACATGTATTTTCATAATCTTGGGAGTAACACTGATTATCTGGTTGCCACTTCCAATTGTCCTTCAATCCGGCGCTCCTGAAAGAAAGCTCCACCCAGCACAGTTTCTTGCATACAGTTAATCTTTCCCCAGCATGGAACTAGCTGTGGACAGATGCCTTATTCCGTTTCACAAGGGTAGTGTGAAATGGACGTGCAGTTTGCGTGCCGTGCTAAGCAAGTCACATCTGTTCTCGTTCCGCTGAGATTCCGTGTGTCGACTTAAATTATCGTTTGATGGTCTGCCTTTATCGCTCTTCTCTTCTAAATTTCGAATAACTCCGTTCTCTCCATCCAGTATTCACATTCCTTTCTAACTTCTTCGTCAGAAGTAACTTTAACCACGTCCCCTTTATCTCCCCTACCAATAAACTCGGTGTTCCCTTCTCCGAATACCACCATATTGTCCTCCTTATCTGCACTAAATCTCGGCCACACAACTCTATCCCCAAACTTCCCCTTGACGGCATTTGGATCTCCTGTCAAGATAAAACTCGCCCAGTATGCATGCATGACATTTGAAATCTGATTGACGGTAGGTGAGAGACGAGCAATTTCTGGGTTGTGCGTTATGAACGGTGCATGTGAGCCGTGGTAGGCGAGGAGACTGCTATTTGTCGGGAGGGCGAATTCGTAGAGGTATACTGGTGGTGTCTCTTTCCTTTCCTCCACTTTGGAGGCGGAGTTGGATACAGACGGAGAAGAGGAGGAAACGAACAAAGCAGTCTGCAGCACTGGCGCAACATAAGCAAAATGCCCATACGCCTGCTCCAACCTCATAAACTGTGCCCCGAGTCCTCTTCTCGTCTCTTTATATTTCTCATCTTTTCCCATAAGGGGATCAGGGTATACTTCATTGAGCAGAACGAGATCGTCTTTCGGAAGGGAGGGCAACAATGTCCTGAAAAAACCGGTAAATTCTTGCGACTTGGAAGCTGTTGCTGGGACGAAAATCGAGCCCTCGTTTGCGTTGAATCCTGTTAGTATTGGGATGCGGTGGAAGGAACCAGCTTTCCAGGCGGCGATTGGAGCGATGGGGATCATGCCTCCTGGGCCGTCGATTACGGGTTGGAAGGGCCAGCGGACTGAGGGGTTGTATTTCTCGAAGATAGCTCCGGAAGCGGCTTTGATCTCGAGGAAGGTCTTTGACCGGAGAGCGGGTAGTATTTCAGACGTGTGCAGGGAGGGAATGTTTAGGTTTTGGAGGAATTCATGGAATTGTTGCTCGTGGAGGGGATTAGAGGGTGCATATACAGCGCGGGCTGTTGCAGCTCCCGATTCGAGGATTACTCTTTTGAAAGGAGGTGCTTTGTGGGTATCATGGAGGAGATGGTGACCGACCTAGAAGATTGTTAGATGTTTGTCGGTGAAGTGTGGAGGGAGGCAATACCGAGTGGGCTCCTGCACTGCTCCCCATGATCGTCACGTTATCCGGATCTCCTCCAAAGGCTGCAATATTCTGCTGGACCCATTCAAATAATAGAGCTTGATCTTTCAAACCGATATTCAGGAGTCCTTCCTCCTCCATAAATGTCGAAGGCAGAAAGCCGAAAGCTCCAACACGGTAGTTGAAGCTGATTCCTATCATTGGTTCTGCGGACCATGCTACCAGATGAGGGATTTGCCTAGCATTCCCAGCACCGAAGTTGAATGCTCCACCATGGAGATAAACCAATACTGGCAACTTCCTGCTCTCATCTCTGATCTTTGGCCTGAAGATGTTGAGATTCAAGCAGTCCTCTCCCTCTGGCGTTGCATCACGTGAGCCGGACGGACACCGCTGGCCATAATGGCTCGCATCAAACACCTTGACAGGCGATACAGGAACAGGAGGACTGAATCTCCTTTCACCGCCTGTGGACAACGCATACGGAATCCCGAGGAATTGTTCAAGAGGCTGCGGAAGGCCGTGCTCAACCTCGACACCGACGATCGTTCCTTGGCGGGTTGAGACTCGTGGTCTCGGCATTGTCGGGATGAGGTGAAGTCGTCCCGAAGAATTGATACGCAGGAGCCAGATGCTGCTGAGGAGGATGCTGCTGATGGAGACCGCTGCTAGCCACTTTATGCGGTTGCCTGATGTCGCCATGGTGCCGAGTCGCTTGGTGTCATTTCACTATCGATAGTGAATAATGGTCTGTCTGCCGTGGCAGTAAGTGAGTCTTGTCATGGTTCTTCCTAGATGAAGACAAGAGTGTTTAGTTCTTTGGAAAGAGTGGAGTTTGAATGCTCCATCTGTGCAACGAGGTGTTGCGCTGATGTTACTAGTAGGGCCCGAAGAGGGGCTGCCAAGTTCTAGTACGTCACGTGATCAAGGGCATTGATGGAAAGTGAGAAATCACTCTTCAAGAAATATGGGTATGACACTAAGTTATTGCTCTTGTAGGAGCTCAAGGTAGGAGTCCGACGATTTTAAGGTTTCTGGCTAAAGATTTAGAAATACCGATAGCCTCATTCGTCATAGAGACATCATGTAACAACAACCCTTCTTCTATACCTGGTATTTGTTCTAGGACCAACATCTCAAAGTCAGAATCTACCTTTCACTCAATTCACGGAGGTCAATGTAGGGCTGCCAATAGAGTATTTGGACCAGGTTTCATATAGGTTATCCTCATCCCCAACTGGACTGTCCTTGACACCTTGTTCCACCCCTGACGTCCTCTAAATCCCTCAGATGATTTTACGCCGAGATCATAAGCGCCCCAACTCCAAACCACCAAGCCTCCCTATACATATTCCGTAGCCCATTACCAGCCGAACGCTGTCTACTCCCAGCCATGGTACTATTCGTACTCACACACAACAGCCTCGAATCGCGAAGCTCGTATCGTTCTTGCTAAAAGCAATCATCAAAACTACTGACACGTCATTGACAAGCTTATCATAATTCGTATAGGTCTACACTGCGTCCGATTTAGTCCCTGACGCAAAAAAGAAGTTCGAGTTCGACCCACCCTCTCCAATATTTCTGCCACACAGCTCACTTGTGTCGGTGTATGGGTTTGGGTCCGGGTCACCGAAATTTTCGACTTTGTGAAGGTTAGTTCGGAGTCTCGAGCCTGGGAGGGAGCATGGATCTTACTGGCGCAGTCTATGTTGTTGAAGGGTGAAAGTCTTTATTGGGCTTCTGGATAGCAGGCTGGGATGTATTTGAAGGTGGCGTTGCCAAGTTGGCCCCGACAATAATCACCTGCTATGGGCTCGCCGAAAGTCCCAGCAAGCCGTTGGGCAGCGGGGAGTCCAGCAACCGTGAGGTTTTGTTGACAGTCGGCGCTGAGGTGTCCGTCGCAACTGTTGCCTGTTGTTGCACCTTTCCCAGCATTTTTGAGAATGAAGATGATTCTGCAACCTGCCCAGGAGAGGTCGAGGGAAGACATGTTCTGTGGTGGTTTGATATTGAGCCACTCTCTTGTGTTGTCCGACTGCTTCGTGGTGGTATTTTGATAGTTCTCGACTTGCATGTGCAGGGTCCATAAGCTCGAACTTGTGCCAGGTGGTGCAAAACTAGTGACTGCTGCTGCTGCATTACGATTGTGGGATTGTTATGTCGTTCGAGCATTGTGCTGAAATCTGGGTGATGAAGTTGACCCAGACCAAACCGAGCCAGTAATTACTCGTATCCGTCGCCTTCGATTGAATAAGAGATCAGTACCCTTCAAGAGATGAAAATAATTGGCCCTACTTGACCAAGGTAGAATTGTAGAACAACGAGCTCGAGATAATAAATGAGAGGAACATCCATGTGGCCTTCTACTTGTAGTTTCGTCAAATCGCCAGAGTTGCACACTGTCCTACTCCCCAGTTTATTAGAAAACCTGGGTCTGCAGGGGTATTTCGTATTTACTAGAGTTTGTACCCAAAAGGAATGCTTGAAAGACGGCTGAAAAGCCATCGCGCTGCAGATACCCCCTTCGATGCGACAGCGAAAGAAATTGAATGAAAAGTAGGTAGAATGGTTAATGAAAGCACGAAGATTTGTACATCCTCAAACTCAACAGCCCTGAGACTCAGACTTCTGAATACATCGAGTACCCCGGCTTTTGCGGCAAGGGCTTCACAGCTTTGGGTGGATCTGCAGCGCGCTTGAGTTGTTGATGAGAGATTCCACATCGAGAAGCCACTGGCCCCTTCAACGATAATTAGCAAACTCAGGAAACTTCTCCGAGGCTAGTGCAAGTTTAGTATTGTGAGAAGCGCTCAAAGTGGAAAGATAACATGCCAGAAATCTCTGGGGTAAGCGCCTCCTGCAGCATTCGAAGGAGAAGAGGCGATGCGCGTAACCGTGGCTTTGTTATATTCATTGTTTTTGAGAAGTGGATGGAAGGTTGAAAGAGCCACTGGCGCGTAATAAATACTTGGTGTGTCCCTGTCACGCGAAGCCTGTTCTCGAACATCCTGGTCCGGCTTGCCGAGTCGACAACCTCGCGTCATCTCGACGCGCTCCCTTCATCCTCCTCCAGCACAAGCACACACACATGAACCCACTCGGAATGGGGAAGCCAGAAGCTGCTGAGGAAGGGATGGGGCCGATGGACAAAGGTCGACATCGCTATGCAAAGGGAGACTATGCGCGAGCGCTTGTGGCCTTCACACAGGTATCCACTTCACCATCTCGTTCCCCCCTTGTTGCACACTGGAGTTCCTATATGTATGGTGATTTGGATCATTCGCCGTGTCTGGAGGAATCTCATTGTCTAGTTTCCTTTGAATCCGATCATCTTCACGGTCCTGTGTTGGCTACGCAAAGCTTGATCAAAAGTAGTTACCATGTTTCAAAGACCTTGCTAACAATTACGTTAGGCTGTAAATTACAGCTCCCAGCATCTTCTACTCAATGCTCTCGACGCTCGAGCTGCAACTTATGAAAAGTTGGGTGATCTGCAACCAGCACTTCGGGATGCCAAGAAGATGATCGACGAGATGCCAAAGCTCTCAAAGGTATGTCTCAAATCATCGATGTGTGATTGATCCTCTGACGAAACCCAGGGCTATCTCCGTTGTGGAAAGGTTTTGCGGCTTCTCCAAAAACCCGAACTCGCTTTGAAGATATATGAGAGAGGCCTTTCAAAGGTCAAGATTGGGGCTGACGATGATCGCACTGTAAGCCGCCCAAAAGCAACTGTGAGGTCCAATGCTAATGTTCCAGAAACTGCAATTGGTATACAACCAGTTCCGGCAGGCGCAGACCCCCGAAAAGAGCCGTGATCCTCTGGAGTATTTACCTCTGGAATTAGCAGAAATGGTCTGTCTGAACCTCTCCATGCGAGATCGAATGTAGGTTACAATATTGACTCAATCGCAGCTGACATCCTACTAATTCATGATGTCAGTGTTTGCCTTTCTGTCACGCAGTCATGGAAGAGGTTGCTTGAATCATCACACAAGTTGTGGACGACGTTGGATACAACAAATGTCAAGAAAACTATTAGCCAGAAATCGTTGAAGGTCCATTTCAGGCGGTCGAAGTGGACTCTGGATCGTGCGATTCTGAGTATGAAGGCTATTGACTCGCAGAGGCTGGGATTCATAACCAAATCCTGCAGGATGCTCAAGGAGCTACAGATGCATGGTCGAGGGATGATTGGTGATTCGCTGACTTTCGCGTTGTCTGATGCGAAGAGTCTCGAAACCCTCTATGTCTCTCAAAATACCGAGATGAGCCTTTCCACTGTCCAATCGGCTCTCAGAATTTGCAAATCATCTCTGGTTACTGTTACGGCCCTCAGAGTAACCGGACCCCGTGGTGGATTTCTTACTGGAAGATGGGCTGTGATGGAATCACTCAAGACCTTACATCTCGAGTCCGATGGGCAATCAGCCCTGGATATTGTAAGTGCCGTTCCTCGGACTTCAGTATATTTTATAACTCGACTGACTCGCCTTCAGCATGGCCTTCGGGACTCTACACCGAATGCTAGTTCAGTCACCTTGAATAACTGGGGTAACCTGCCAAACCTCGTCGACTGTACAACGTGGACTAATCTCGAGCATCTGGATCTCAGTAACACACAGATTAGGCGCCTGCCCAAATTACCCAACACATTGAAGTCTCTCAATCTGAGCGACAACGCTTTGCTGCACGTTGGTGTGGATGAAGAGGGCCCAGCAGAGCTTCCTTTACTCGAAACCTTTAACTGCGAGGGCACTAACATCAGCTCTGATGTGCTCAAAGTCCTCACCATACGATCAATTGCGAATGGAAAACTCAAGTCTCTCTTGATTGGCGCACGCCTTTCCGAGCATCGCCCAGGACCGGCTGCAGACGAGTATCCTCCGTCCGAAGAATTGGAAGAGCTCTCACTCAATACGATGCAAATACACGATGCAAGGATCCTTCAGATCATCGAATTGTACCCAAAGCTACGGAAGTTAGATGTCTCAGGAACGAGGGTGACTGGAGTCTCAGTGCGGAAGTTTGTTGAAAGGGGGATCACATCCTTGAACCTCGATGAGTGCGTCGACGTTAGCTCGGATGCTGTGGATTGGGCTCGGTGGAAGGGCGTTGAAGTGGAATTCAATTTCAACCGCAAGGACTCCAGGAAGTCGTTCTGGAACAGTTCTTTTGCGCAGAAGTTTGCATAATCGTAAGGATGGCAGCTTGGAGCATTTGACTGAGGGCGTTTTCTCTTCATTTTGTCACAAAATCAGCGTCTACGAAAGGATAGGGTGATGCATAAAGGGCGTACACATCTGGAAAGTCTGAATTTGACTGGTGCTGGCAAAAATGGTTTGTTTTTCCATGTGGATGTAACGCTACACACTCGCAGAAGCTTCAGATTAGCACTGGAGCCAAAACGAAGTCTCATGACCATCAAATTTCAAATTGCCTCCATCTAGAAGTTTCTCGTTCCAGACTCAGGTTCTCTGGTTCCTGTGCACAAGTAGCTGTAGTTCAGCCTCTCAAACTCTGATCCAGACTCGTGCTTCCAACCGCAAAACACGACGTTTCGTTGCCTCAAACTGGTGTCTTTATCAAGAATTTTCTTCATCTCTATGTCGTAGTTGTGAAGAAAATGGGTGTAGTGCCACAATCACGCAATGAAAGCTTTCTCGCATTATCGCATCCTCACTCGTACGCCTTTGGTTTCCGCACCTCACCTCTATCTAGCAGTTTCTTCACTGCTTCGTTGTCTAAATTCCGCATCTTGCCTCACCAGCAGCAGTATGTTCGACCGCTCATTTTCTCCCCGTCCCTCGCCTCATTTCAAGACTTTCTTGCCTCAGCCAAAATATCTCAACTACTCAAGCTTCCATCTTTTCGGCCGACCCTCTACGGCCGAAACAAAACTCCAACCCGTCAAGTTCGCCCGGTGACAGCACCTCAAGCTTAACCCAGTTCCTAATCCCACTTACTAATCACCGACTTCTTATCGGTATCCGACCCTTCTCCCACTACTCCCGAAGACCTTGCTTGCTTACTACCCCTTCAACCATCGGCTTGGCAACTACTTTCCCGTTCCGCTTCCGAACACGGAGCCTGGCTTACCTCTATCGTAACTAGAGCTGTCCATCACTCGGGCAAAAATAAGCTCTCCTTCGTGGCCGTGATTACCAAAAGGCCGCGACGAGACGGAGAAGAAGCTGTTTGGGGACAATGTATCTATCCCCCATCCAGATAAATTACGTACTGTCCTCCATTCTTGGCAAGCCAGATATCGGATGTAACGTCTGACCTGATCTACATTTCCCTCTTCCTCTCTCTCAAAACATAGAACTAAAAATAGCTTTTCAAAGTTTGGTGCTCCAAAGTCAAATCAAAAGTTAGTCAGTGTCCTCTGTTTTTCTACGCGAAGAGCGCTTCGCCTTTTGGATAATCAAATGCGGAGGCTTACCAAAATTTCACTCACTCCAAGCTGGAGTCCCCAGCCAAGATATTCAGGTCTCGCCACCACACAATATAAGCGGGATATTTCATGTGCCTTTTGCCTGGCAGCGTATGTTCTGGGTCTCGCGTGGATACAGGGACCTTTAAGCGCCAGCGTGTGACATAAGTCTTACACATTGGGGCAGGCGCGCTCGCCCGCTCCCTGTCACCACACATCAGCATCAGCATCTAATACCTTATCCAAGCTACAGAGAGTGTCAGAGAAGGCAAAGCGAGGCATACTCGGAATTCTTCCGCGATGTTTTTTTTTTTTTTGGGTGGGATGGGCTGAGGTGAAGGCACGAGTAAGCTTGAGATTCAAGGGGAGGGAGGAGAACGGGAAATCATGTTGCCGGCAGCGAGCGAGCGATATCTAGGCAATGGTCCCACGGGCTCTGCTTGGGATCGGGAAAACTGGAAGCCTTGTCGAGTCTTGACTACCGATGCCATTTTAAAAATATCTTTTCATGGGAGGGAAGGGGGCAAATTTGCTGAATTTGGATTTTGCTTTCGTATCAAGCATCAGGTTCGACAAATGCCAATCCTATATCCTCATTGGACGTGACTTACCAGCCGGGTAAGAGGTTTCAGCTTCAGCCCCCAATACGCTCCGAAAAGTCAAATCCAAAACCCGCATCACCCATTCCAGCCTCTCTACCCCGCCACTCTTCCCCTCCTTCCGTCAGAATCTGCCTCAAAGGAGTCCGCCCCCCGTCCCTGTCCCAAAATACGAGGCCCCTCGCCCCATAGGTTCACTCGTTCCTCTCCCTTTCCCATGAATCCCCCCTCTTTCCCATCACCCTCCACCCCCCCTGAAGGAGCAAGGGTCTCGCGTGGGACAGGCTGGCTCGCCAAGGCGAGGCCCGCCAACACCCCACTCCGCCAGCGTGGGGTCTAAAAATAAACCCCCCTGAATGGCTGGGCTGACGAGATGGCACGGCTCCCGCACAAACCCTGCCTTTTGCCCAGCAAGTAAGTGGTCATCTCGGAATACTGTACTTGCCACCCATTCCACAAAACCGCCAACAAAATCAAATAATAATTAAAAATTGAAATTATTTGTTTAGAAGGTGTTCTAGATTGAATAGGGAAATGGGAAGAAATTTAGTTGAGCTTTATTTTATTTTAATCAAAATAAAAGATTTCTGTTCAATGATTGAAGGAAAAGAGGACTTGCGTCATTGCTTACATCGCCTCGTACCTTAACGAGCCAGATCCATATGTAGGCAGAGTACAGGACAGGAGAGGTGAGGATACATTCTGCCCGTCCCAACGGCCTGGCAAACGAACGGGGCGGAACGAAGGAATGTCTCATTCATCCCTTCATCCCTTAACCGTTAATATACGACCAAGGTAAAGGCAGTGAAAGGCCCCGAGTCTCAGAGGACAGTCCGAAGCGTCGGGACCGCCTCGCTGCCTTCGGGGATTCGCACTGATTCGGAGACCGTGTTAAGGCAGTTGCGTCGATGTGGACAGATGCAGATTGATGCTTGAGGGGCGAAAGTGAGCCGACTTGGATTCAGTCATGAGGGCGACCATTCTGTGATTCTAGAGGTTATGTTACTCGGCATAGGGCTATCGGGGTTCGGGGATATGAGGACGATGATGACAACGTTAGGAGTTGACGAATTCGAATTCATTACACACACTCCCTGATCTCATGACCTTTCAACTCACCATTGAGGGATTAAAAAGTTGAAGACGCATTTTTATTTTTATTTTTAACCCGCACCGCGTAGCTCTTACTAGAAAGAGCCAGCCGTAAGTAGGCAGTCCGGAAATGGTTGGGGTCTAAATACAGTTACACCAGGTATGAGTGTGCTCGGAGTGTCACGGCCTGACAAGGATATGATTGGACCAGCCCAACGTCGCCGGTTCCTGCGATGACTGCTGCGACTGCCTGAGCCTCGTCATCCAGTTCCTCACCCAATACATCACACGAGTCCGTTCCATTGCACAGCAACGATGTCCACCACACTACATTATACATCAAAAGTTGAAAGCAGCAAGAAGAGCAAGAAGTAGTGATAAAGTAAGTGATTCCAAGTACACAAGGTCATGATCAACATGGTGACTTGAAAAGTAGCAAAACGCGCGATCGAGGAAAACAACATGGTATTCAATATCCGTCTTCGCGCCTTTCCTGAAAGTCCTTTGCCTTTCGTGTCCCTGGCGACGCTTCCTGCAGGCGCAGCCTGATTGCGATCCGAATCCGAAAGATTGCCCTGCCCCTCCATTCCTTCCGTCGCCTTGCTTTTTTCTGCCTAAAAAACTATGAAAACAAGAATTTTGCGTTGCCTTGATTGCTGCCTGAGCGGGAGTTCTACTCCTATAGTGTTGAGAAAAGCGAATTTGAAAATAGGAATTGCAAGAATAATGAATCTCAGATTACATCATTGTAAAAATAAAAAAAAGAGAGCAGAGAGTCCCAAAATAACAAAATGTATCCTTCCAAACACCTTGGTATCATATCCATCCCATGCAACGATTACAAAAAGAAATTCAGAAAAATAGCAGAAAATAAGGAGGAGAGAAATGACGCGCTGAAGAGAATGAACACCATGCCCAATGACCCAATGCCGACGCTATGCTGTGGAAAAGGTACCGCTAAATATGCAATGCAAAGTTTCGATTCGAGGAGTGTAGTGTCGAGATCCGAGTGACCATCCGTGTATATTTTGTTCGGGCTTGAGCCCACCGTGTATGTTCCCTTCTTTGCGCCTTCGATAACTTCGTGAGAATCATGGCATCGCGCGTATCATTTCGTTCTTTCGTTGGTTTTCGTTCGTCGTGTCTCGCGAGGTACGTTGTTCATGAGGAATAGACTCGAGGAAGGGTTGGGGCGAGTCCTTCAAGGCGCAGAAGAAGCCATCAATCGATCGTGACCGACGAGTAGGAGTGTGAGTTCTGATGGCGGCGCCGAGGAGGTCCTTCCACGAAATGAGAAGAGATAATGACTCCAGTCGTCGAACTCGAAGCGCACGAGAGGAAAGATCTGCCATGATGCATAACCCGTTACCGAAGACAATATGTTTCATCTCCGTTGCCGCCGTGACGATTGGTGTCGGTGCGAACCATGGCTCGCTGTCCCATAACCTGAATCCGAGTAGCCACCCCTTGAAGATGACTCTGCTGGTTGTTGATATTGGGAATGTCGCTCACAGGCGTAGCCGACTAGCACGGTTCTCTCTTGAATTGGGTGCCCTTGCTGACCGTATGCCGCGCACATGTCGACATTGTGCTTGTAGTATAAGCAGCGGCACACTGAGTACCGTTCAACGACGAGATAGCACATGGTGAGATGCTATGCTGAGATGAAGTTGAGGTGTAGTGGGGGAACAGGAGCAATGGTGGAGGGGTACGCCGGACGGATTGACAAGAATTATGAAAGGGCCTGAGATAAACGGCAGTGAGGTTATGAAATATATTAAGAAGCAGACTGAAAGAGAAGTCTGAGCAAAGAAATTCTAACGAAGGCAGACGACAGAGAGCGAGGTGATGCAAAAGAGTCATCTGCGCTGAGGGGTATGACTGCCTTAAGAACCACTGAGGCTTGGCTAGAGGACTTGCCAGAGAAGCATAAGGCAACAGTGAAGGGTGGTGGAGGGGGATGAAGTGCAGAAGCCGTATGCAAGCCAGCATGCAGGAAGTTATACCAGGGAGGGGGGAAGGGCAGAAGATGAGTCGAGGGTGGAGTGTCTTTACAGACGAGGACAGAGGGGGAGAGCAGTGCTAGTCCAGAGTCCTGCAAGGAGGGGCGTTGTTCCGAGGCCCCAAGACCCAAACGGTTGGTCTGCCCATCGGTGGCTTACAGGATGAGAAAAGGCCCCTCGAAGGCTGAGAGATAGCTCGTTCCATGTGCTGAGTAGGAGGACCCTCAGCCTCGAGCGTAGTACCTGGCTATACCGGAGGCCTGGTCCATTACGCGATCTCGCGGATCATTTAGGTTAGTGCGGCAACGCGGGAGATGCTAAAGAGGGAACCACAGCGGTCCAATTGGCACAAGTGCATGTGGCTCTGGGTGGACAGGCTCCCACATGTGCCTGGGCCGGGTCGTCGAGTCCTGGACGCGTGCGACGGCAGATGGGAGAAGTATGAGGTGAGCCAGAACTGGGCGTCGTCGGGGAACGAATGAGTGAGCGGGCCGGGGCACGTCAATCCCGTGGTGAGCGATCGTGAGGCCGGACATCTGCGGTGAACGGGCGGGCTGATTGGGGGACGACCATGCCATGTCGCTGCGGAGTAGTAGTTGGAACGATTGTGGCAGACAGATGTCCAGGATGATGAGATGGGTGAGCTCGGGGCGTTGGGTCGCGGGGAGGTCGAGTGCGGTTCGCGAGAGCGCGAGAGCCTAGAGGAGGAGCAGCCGAGTAGTGAGCGAAGTCAGCAGCACGCTGAAATTAGAACAGTTGGCTCGGCTGCTCGCTTTGAAGTTACCCGCGACCTGGCGAGTACCACCAGCACCAAACTTGCACGGTGGCCGAATGCAGGGGCTGTGCTTGTTGCGAGGCCCCTGCCACCGCAATTGGCAATTGCTGGAGCGCCGTACGCACGGGAGCACGGAGCATGGGATGGAACAGGGAGCATGGAAGCATGGAAGCGATGGTGGAAGCTTTGGGCGCAGGCCGTTGCGCACCAAGAAAGTGCCGGACAAATGAGAGCCCCAATGGCATCCCAGAGATCGCCCGAATGCCACCACCGATGGCGCCGTCCCTCGATCGCGCCTTTCTTGTGCTCTCACGATCCTCGAAACCCATCTTCAGTCCGCGGTTCCACAAGCGCGGCCAGTCCTGCGGCCGTATCTTCACCAATCGGCCCCTGTCACCAGCCTTCCACGGCCTGAGGCTCGATAAATGAGTCTGGGAGCCTGGTCTTGCGGTGCTAGATATGCAGTCAAGAGCAGATATGACTCCATTGCCGTGCTCCTTCAGCTCGACCAGGTGATGAAACAATTGCAAAGGACTTGCATCTGCTGGTTATCCTCATTCGAACTCGGTGAGCGTACTGAGAACAGCAGGCGGTCAATTCTTGTCCGTTTCCTTCCACAGTAGGCCCACAGCAGCGTGTGACACCAAACATTTCTCCACCTTGAGTGGGCGGTGGGGAGCAAGCGCAAGTGCAAGTTTGCAAAGGGGGTCCCAAAAGAATCAAAGTTGCATCTCAATCTCGCACTGATGTGAATTGTGTCTCAGATGCGGCCCATTCGTAGGCTGCGGTACGAAGCTTGGGGACACGCAGCAGGGTTAGGTCAATGGGAAACAGATCTCATCTGAAGTGAAGTTGACGATACCCCTCGCTCTAGCAGTGCAAGATCGTACTCTGCCGTATCAGTACGTCCGTACATTTGGACCAATCTGCCTTGGCCGCAGAGGGTCAGCCTCGCTAGGCGTGTCCGGTCGTGTCCCTGGTTGGCGGTTTGCCGGGAAGCATGGCGTCGTCACACAGGGATTACATTGGCCGCCTTACGATATGTTTCACTCCGCCTCAGTGTGGCTTTACCCCCCTCTGCTGACTGAGGCCGGAGCGGATGCCGAGTGATAAGTAATTCGGCAACCCCGTGAATCGAAGGCAGCAGTCACCAGAACGTCCCTAATGATTGTGTAGACGCCCATCTACATGTGTAATGTCGTCACGAGTGTCCTAGTAATGCGATGCTGCAATAATCGGCATGATTACTTCATGAACAGAGTTCGTGAGACGGAGCATTCGGATGAGGAACCTGGGGCTGGCGGGGGTACGCGATTCGACTTTGTGCAAGAAAGGAAGCCCAGAAAAATATCCTGGTGAGTATTTGGCGCTTGCTGTCATTAAGTTAATATCGTCCCATCAACTTCATATACATGCCACACGGGTTTCTCAGCTTCTGAGCTAGGCGGGCGGCTCGAAGCTGAGTTCTTCCCCGTGCGGGTCGAGGTAATGAGACGACCTCCGAGGCATTTCCAGTCGTGCGGCTGTTGAGGATGTAAGGATCAATACGACCAGCATCACTTCAAACGGCTGCTGAATACCAGGCGAGATGCTTCATTCCCTATCCGGCCACTTTGTGCCTCTCGATTTGTCACCCCGCAACTTGCTGGGAGTCCACGCAACAAGGTATTCATCCTTTCAGCCTCTCCTCCGTCTGACGTTACTTTCAATACGCATTTCATTAAATCTCTCCCTTGGAGAGGTTCCCATTACCCTCATATCGGGCCTTTCACCTAGGTCGAAGCGCCGTGCAAAAACACAAACCCACATATTTTGCCCCAAGTCCATGTGCAACGTCGGTTCTAACGCCACGAGTCCTCAACTTTGGTTTTTGAAAAGCCAATCCGAGCTGGCATCCACCATGAAGTTGGTAATATTGAACTCGTTTGACCCATTGATCATCTCAGCCATATGCATGTCGGCTCCGTTTCCAGAGACGTGGCCCGTGTCTGATCCAGGAGCTACGGGAAGTCTGGGAACGTTGAAGAAGTCGAAGACATCCAGATATTCGAGCTCATTGGGCGCTGGTGTTCTGGCTGGTGTAACGCTCGGCATTCGGGAAACCATCCCAACATGTTTTGGCTGCCGCGATATCAAGAAGTCAAGATCATATGCACAACGTCTCATATCCGCAAGGATCTTCACAGACGATGGAGTAACACGCTCGCCATTAGTAGCAGCTGATTGCTCCGAGTCTCGGTGCTCGTCCAGAACGCGCTGAAGGATGGCCGTATATCGCTCAGCGACAAGCCAGTACCGACCCATCTCTCGCAGAGTGTCAACGAAAAACTGGATCTGAGGACTCAGTTTATGTTCGATTGTTGAGCCATGAACAAGTAAGAGTCTGGCTGCAACCCAAAGAGTGAAGGCAAAAGGAGGCCCGAGTTTGGGGAGCATGCCGTTGGAAACAACAAACTCCCCAAGCGCAGCGATGTTCTCAACTGCGCCATGACACCGTTGGCTCGCGCTGTAAGATGGGGTGAAGATAGGTGAGCGAGTTGTGGGGTAGGCAGCCGATGAGTGGAGTCTGATGACGGTGGTATGATACGTGGCTACAGAAATGTTAACTTTGCATCGTAAATTAAGGATTCGTGTTGCTTACCATGCAACATTACCCAACCACAGTTAATGGTGCTTTTCCCTCCTGGCTGGAAAAGCTTTGCCATATTACCATAATCTGCCGGAAGATCGAATTTCCAAGATGTAAGCCTGTTATCGAGCTCCCGGTATTCCCCTTGCCATTGTTCCACGTCAGACAAGGCACTGATGTCCACAGGCTTCTTCAGGAATTTGTGAATTCGAGACAATATCCCTAGAATCTCGATGTAATAGGAGAACGCTCCCAGGTTTTCTGGCTTGTCTATATCGTACTCCGTCCTCTCACTTGTACGGAACCACCTTGTCTGGACGCTTTGGTTTTTGTTCCAAAGATCATCCCGGCAGGGCAAGGTTCGATCGATTTCTTTTTCGTCCAAAGCAAACTCGAATGCGGTGGCAATAGTGGCATACCGATCAAGGAGGTATACCATCCAGAAAAGGCGTCTCCTAGATTCTTCTTCGATGAAGTTATCGGCTTCGGGCAGAACCATAGTTCGAAGGGTGTAGATCGAGGGATACATAGGGGACACGGAGAATGATGTGGTCTCAACAGCAAGTCCTAGTTGAACAACAGATCGAGTGATCAAAGCCAATAGATTCCATCCGGGAGGACCATTACTGCTTCCCACGAGATCCAAGGCCAATATAACCAAAGCTTGGAGAGCTTTAACAGATGAGTTCTCCAGTCCATACAGGAGAACTTTCTGCTTTGATATGTCGTGATAGTGTCGCCTCCTGTCCTCTGTCAACCGTTGATCCGTCGAGAATCTCAAGGTCGTCGCTACAATGGCGTGCAGCAATATTCGGTCTGCTTCATCGAGTGTCGACGGGCCAAACAGAGAGTCGAGAGTTGATCGTCGGTGCAGAATTGGGCACCAAGTGTTGACGTACTTGAAATAGAGGTCTACAAGAGCATAGAGCAGGTCGTATGGCGGAAGAGCGTGATCTGTAGTGAACTCAGGTAGATTTTGTTGTATGTTTAGACTCGGCGATTCGAGTGGAGGCTGATTCGTGCTGTAGAACTCAGGGGCTTGTCCGGATTGCATTGGCTGCGTGTGGTTATGGTTTTGTTGTTGCATGCTCTGCTGGAAGACGTCGCCGTGGATTGAAGAAATGGATGGAGTCTGAGGCATTGGATTTCCAAAGTCTATCGATTGATTGCCATTGAAAGTGGCGGGCTTTTGAAGGAAAAGAGCAGTCTCAGCATGTGGAATATGGTTTCGATGTCGAGGATCTGCTGCTCGATACCCTGGAACGCTTTGAGGGGTCTCATGGTCGCTGGGAAGGCTGTTGCTGTTGTTTGTAAAGGAGGATTCGAGTATTTGAGCATGAGACCGAAGTATGTCCTCCAACCTGTCCAGTCTCTGCTCCAATTCTCGACCATACCCAGCTCTCAGACCGGGCTTCTTCCGCTCTTTATATTCGCAGATGGCGCCATTGCGGGTGCACCAACCACAGGAAGGCTGGCCTCTATCACATTTTACCTAGAAGAGTTAGAGGACGTACAGTGAAGCTGAAAATTCGAAGCGCCTAAATGTGAAAAGAAGATGGTGATCGGACAAAATGTGATGCCTGTGAGATGGCTGCATTGGCTCAGATGCAGAACGGAGTTCCCATCTTCGACCAACACAGCCTGAAACCCAACTTCGGCCATGGAGAACCGTTGGTGGACCATGAGAACACCACGATCTTGAAATGTATGGATTTGCAATGAGCCTGGGATTAGAACGTGCGAGCTCAACACTTGCCGCAATTTTCGAGGAGCGTACCTTTCTTTGCTTGCAGAGCTCACACCTTCGACGAATGGTTAGCCAATTCTGTCCCTGATCATTATTCGCAGCATCGCCATCGTCCCCTTGATCTGCGATTGGTGAAGGAGAGCCAGAATGAAGCCCATTATCTGTTGGGGAGGGCATAATGCTTACGATACAGACATAGGCCGCCGCTGTCTCTTGCGGGGCCTTTCGCCATTTTCTCCACCGCCGCTGTCGTCCTCACTGTAGGCGTTTTCGTCGTCACTGTCGGGCTGGGTCCCCCCCGAGCGCATGGAAGCTTCGGGCGAATGTTTGACATCCATCGGAAGTGGACGCGACGCGCAGGTCCCAAGCCAAATGTGTTTCTTTTTCGGTGGAGTTGTGGACGAGGGCTCGGTGTTTTAATAGCGAGGTTTTGTGGGGAGGAAAGCTGGAGAAAATGAGCCGCCAGGGTAGTACCGAGTGAAAACGCCCGAGCGGCTTGCCTTCCTCTTCCTCTTCCTCTCCTCTTCGTCTGCAGACTCGGACTCGGACACAGACAGGCCTGCACCGCAGGGATCGAGGGTTGCGGGTGATGTGAAGAAGGGAGCAATTCACCAATAATGGTGGCCAGGGCGAGGACGGAAGCCCGACTGGGGACCGGGGATGTGGATGTGGTTGTGGTTGTGCACGCTGGCCGCCATGTGACAGATCGATCGCCAATAAACGGCAATGCGCCTTGCGCGGAGGGCTTCCAAGTTGGTTGGTGTTGGAGGTGGAGTTGTGCATGATGGCGGAGGCCGGCCTGTGACTGACGGGAAATAGGACAGCGCGCTGCCTCATCGGAGGGAACGGTGTGAAGCACATAACTCTGTGCTACACGTATTTCACAGTTTCTTGTAAGTTGTGGCTCAAGCAAGTGCCGGAGCGGCTGCGAGTCCCGCTGGAGCTTCCCTGCTGGGCCTCCATCCTTTTGACGTGGATTGCGGGGTTGTGCTCCGTGCCTGTACTATATGTACTGTTACTGTCGAACCTCGCCTTACACACGCTTCACTTCCCAACACTTGATGCACAAAGACAAGACAAAGATACGAGAGAAAACTTCCCAGCAAAATCGTAGCAATGAATTCCGATGTTGAATTGCCTCCTCAGCGCTCCATTGAAATTTGCCCCCCCCCCCGCCAGGTCTGTCCGCCTCGGTCCTGGAACATCATGCACCGAAAATGACCCCACCAGAGCTTCGCCGAGTCGCTCCTTCCACCTTCGTTCGCTTCATTCTTGCCTGCGAAACAGACGTCGCTCGCTCCGTTAAATACCTTGGAGCATATTTCTAGAATAGCCTCTTTGCAATCCTAACTTCACCTTTTTCATATCTCTTTCCTGCCTCCACTCTTCCTTGGAACATCTTCCCTCCCCGCTCGCATCATGGCATCAACTACAGCTCGTGGGTTCCCCACGATCAAGGCCATCCGTACGTTTGTTGTAGACGGCGTCGGATCTGGAGGGGATTACCACAATGTCAAAGGAGGCCATTGGTACGTCCGAGTCTGCTCTTGACAGACTGGTGCTGATATTCTTCCAGGTTGATCGACACACCTATATCGACGCCAATGTCGCGATGGGAGAAGTACCGGGCTTCAAGAACAAGTTGGGGCATCAATGTTCTGGGCTCCTTCTGCGTTGAGATTGAAGGCTCTGATGGCACCGTTGGTTTCGCAACTGGATTTGGAGGTAAGAGCACTTCGTTGGCAATATTTACACAGCCCCTAATTTTCCGAAGGCCCTCCTGCATGCTGGCTTGTTCACCAACATTTCGAGCGATTCCTGATCGGTGCCGACCCTCGAGACACAAATCACCTTTTTGAACAAATGTACAGAGGCTCAATGTTCTACGGGCGAAAAGGACTCCCAGTTGCTGTCATCTCGGTCATCGACTTGGCACTTTGGGATTTGCTTGGCAAGATCAGAAATGAGCCAGTATACAAGATGATCGGAGGCGCCACAAGGGACAGGCTGGACTTCTACTGCACTGGCCCAGAGCCAACGGCTGCAAAAGCTATGGGGTTCTGGGGTGCAAAAGTTCCACTGCCATACTGTCCCGAGGAAGGCCACAAGGGTCTCAAGAAGAACGTGGAATTTCTCCGGAAACACAGAGAAAGTGTGGGTCCGGATTTTCCCATTATGGTGGATTGTTATATGAGTCTCAACGTTCCATATACGATTGAGATTGCTACCGCCTGTCTGGACCTCAACATTAACTGGTGGGAGGAATGCCTTTCACCCGACGACACAGACGGCTTTGCACAAATCAAGCGCGCTCATCCTCAGCTCAAATTTACAACTGGAGAGCATGAGTACTCGAGATATGGTTTCCGAAAGTTGATTGAGGGTCGAAATCTCGATATCATTCAGCCAGATGTCATGTGGTTGGGAGGCCTCACGGAGCTCCTCAAGGTTGCAGCGATGGCATCTGCGTACGATATCCCGGTTGTTCCTCACGCCAGTGGACCTTACAGTTACCATTTCGTCGTCTCTCAGACCAATTGCCCCTTCCAAGAGTATCTAGCCAATTCTCCCGACGGAAAGAGTGTCTTGCCAGTCTTTGGAGATCTCTTTTTGGACGAACCGATCCCTGTCAATGGTTATCTCAATGTCTCGCAACTCGACAAGCCAGGTTTTGGATTGACAGTCAACCCAGCAGCTAGACTGATTCCTGCACAATACCTGTTAACCCCAAATCCAGAGAGGCCTTTGGGTAGGGCTGTCGAGCAGAAGAAGCCCGAGGAAAATGGAATCATTAATGGTGTTGTGGATGGAGTGAAGCAGTTGACAACTTCATAGACTATTTCGGCATGCCTAATGGATTTGGCACATATGGGGGGTTTGTTTTCTCTTGCGTTCCGTTCTTAAAGCATCTCCATAGAATGCTCCTATGTGCCTAGCTACCGGTGGATTTGGATGGAGTTCATAATACATGCCGTAAACCCACTCGCTCCTCTATTTCCTAAGCGAACATGAAGCGAGTGCCCCCTTTTTGAGAAGTCATAGCAGGAGAGACATCCAATTCTAGTTCACTAGCAGAGAAAATTCTTTTCCGAGAAGATTTTTAAATACGATCGTCAACTCAGCCAACTTCAAACACACGCTACTCCCTCAAGCTCTTCCCCTTCCAGCACCTCTCCGCTCCTCACACCCCATCTCCTCTCTATAAATACCATCACGTTCCACCAATATCTGAGATCTCCGCCACCTACACCCTCTCCTCGCGCTTCCTGCATCCGTCCGCTTCCAGAAATTCTCAATCTTCCTTCCACCCGACGGAGGAAGTCTCATCCCCTGGCCTCGGTGCACATTAACCCAGAACCCCGAATCGCGGGGAGCGAGCAGGGGTCCCCTCGCTGATCGCGTTGTGCCGAGACACCCCACGTCACACCTTCGTTTTTGCGCAGAGAAATCAACTCGAGACTCGAGCTCGACTGTTACTCCCCCCCCCTAATTACTTGTAATTGTGGGCCCTCTTGACGCGGGTGTTTTGTATGGTAGAATGTCTGTGCTCTCTGGACCCACGGTTACAAGTAATTAGAGGGGGGGAGAGTACGCGATGTCTGTTGACTATCTTTGCATCTCTACTCCACCTTACCTTATTCCCAATTTCTTCACTTCAGCTTCATATTTCACAACCTTGATTCGAACTGAGAGTTCCGAGTGACATCACAACACCCCTCTACCTCCCCCCCTCAACCCTCAAACCTCACTTCCCACTCCCATCGTCACAAAAAATCAAACCCACAACACCCCCAATGCCACCCCATTCCCTCCTCACCGGCCTCACCGCCGCCATAACCGGCGGCACCACAGGAATCGGCCGCGCAATCGCCCTCGAGTTCCTGCGGCAGGGCTGCAACGTCGCCATCAACCACCTCAACCTGCCCTCTGACGCGCACCACGTCGCCTCCCTTATATCTCTCGCTGCCGAGATAAAACGGGATGAACCAGAGGCAGGCAGGTTGATTGAGGTAGCAGGCGATGTGAGTAAGCCGGAGACGGGGAAGGAGCTGGTGGAGCGCGCGGTGAGGGAGTTTGGCGGATTGGACGTTTTCGTTAGCAATGCGGGGGTTTGCCAGTTTGCTGAGTTTCTGGAGTACGTTTCTCTCATCCCCTGTTCTACTCTTCTCCCTATGCATCCCCCCCTCCCCCCTTTTCCTTTTTTTCTTAATTTTGCAGGGCGAGAATAGGAAGAGAGAGAGAGATGAAGAAACGCAAATTTGGGAATGGTGTAAACGAACTGAGTGCTGATGGAAGGTGTATTTACAGTCTCGACCACGACCTCTTCGCCTCAACCGTGCGCATAAACCTCGACGGCGCCTTCTACAGCTGCCAAGCTGCCGCGCGCCAAATGGCCCTACAGGGCCGCGGGGGCAGCATAATCGCCATCTCCAGCATCAGCGCGCTCGTCGGCGGCGGGCAGCAAACGCACTACACGCCCACCAAAGCCGGTGTCCTCTCCCTAATGCAGTCGATGGCGGTAGCGCTGGGGAAGTACAAGATCAGGTGTAATGCGTTGTTGCCGGGGACGATAAGGACGCAGCTCAATGAAGAGGATCTGGCGGATGAGGAGAAGAAGAGGTATATGGAGGGACGCATACCGCTAGGGAGAACCGGGGAGCCGAGCGACATGGCGGGGCCGGCGGTTTTCCTGGCGTGTAGGGACTTGAGTGGGTATGTTAATGGAGCGCAACTGTTGGTCGATGGGGGGTTGTTTGTTAATCTGCAATGATTGAGATGGGTGGTGGTGGTGGTGGATTTGAAAGCGGGCGTCGATATCGGCATGGATTTGCAGAAAGCATTTATGGGTGGATCTCCTGCGCTGAATTCCCCAAAAGCTAATAATATAGGCAACCTTGGATCACACAATGTAATCAAAAGTAGCGAAGGTTAACATTTGCAAGGAGGGAGAAGAGTTCTCGTAATTCATTCGCTCACGCCTCATACCGCATCATCATGCTGCGTAGTTCCAAAACTACCAGTTAATCATCCAAAAACCTACATTCATATCACTGAATATGCTGAATGGTTCTCTACCTTTCGCAAGAGTGCCATATCTGCTCCAGCCAATGCTTAGTAGTGACAAATACCCCCAACATTCTCATCAATACTCCAAGTTCCCGCTAATCCACACTCGCCATCCGTCGCCTCCTCCTTGCCAAGGAAGAAATCACCCTGGCCTCTCGTGCTGAAATCCCTATTCATCACACGTCTAGCCCAGGAATCAATAGCCGGCTCTCCAGTCTCATCACGTGCCTGCTTCAAGAATGGAATCAAGGCCGTACCGCCCGTTCCCTTCAACTTCTTCTTGTTAGAAGAATCATTCTTGTCTTGACGAGAGGCGGTAGCGATATCCATCTTGCGGCGCTCTGCAACGGGGCTCTTGGAGCGAGACAAAGAGCGTGACTCGCGGGATTTGATGATGATGTAGCGAGAGACGATATTGATGTGCTTGTCGCGGAATGCTCGAAGCATTGCGAGACAGGCGTCGTAAGCCACAGTCAATTCGCGGTTATTGCTATGTGCTTCCACATAATCGCGGAGATTCGCGACCTTGGTGACATCCTCGAGGAAACGGCGGTGCGGTCCAGGCATATATTTTCGCATCTCTAGCAGGAAATTATGCTTGAGCGGAGGTCCGGTGCCCTCTTTCTCGCTCTCGGAAGCAGGGTCCTTCTTTTCACCAGTTGGACGATGCTCGATGCCAAGAATGATGTCGAAGAATTGGATGAGGGAACTTTGTGCATTGCTGCCACCACTGTATTGTCTGTATTTCTCCTTGCCCGTACCATCCTCGTAGATCACACCATTGGGCAATCCTGCCTCTGCCATGTTCTTGCTTCCTGCGAGGAAGGGACGGATGCGGTTGTAGAAAACTTGTGGGTCGCAGCTTTCATGCATGCGTTGAAGGAGAGTGCCCAGATCATCGAGTCTTTCGGCAAACGCTCTGAGACAAGCTGCCACGGTGCGACTGTCGTTGACTCTGGCCGCCTCAATAGCAGTGAGCATGAGAGGAAGTATCGGGCCTCCTCGTGCCTCGATGGCAACCGAAACGAGGTAGAACCATGACTCGTCGATGGAGCCGGTAAACGTCGTGAGGGTGGCTAGATTCTCGAGGTTATCGACGTGCTCATCTGCAAATAAGGGCTTGAAGTTCCAGAGGCACACAGCAGCGTATGTAGCGACTGGTAAAACTTCAAGATAGGTGGAGACGTGGATGAGCGGAATTGTGATGGCTGCTGGCAGGCGCTAGAGAGGGTGGAGTTAGCTCAGAGCCTTGTGTCCGAGCCAAAGATCAACAAACCTCTGAGGGGATGTCTCCAGCCCAGATGTAGCCATGAGCCATGAAGCACAACAATGAATACGCTCTCCGCCATTCCGAGTCGTGTTCCAAACCAGCAGTTGAGAGAATAGGAAGTCTCTCAATGACTCCTCGCAAGCGCTTGCTCAAGACCAAGCCCTGAAGGTTTGCCACGATAGCTTCCCACTTGTTGTAATATGGGTCAGGGAGCCTCTCAAGAGGCAACTCGGCCGGAAGGAATCCATATTCTGGAGAGATTCCATAGTCGCTGAGGACCGGGACAGGAGGTAGCATGCTTTTCTTGGTGGGGCGTTGTTGGTTTTTCGTGCCAGACGCAAGGAGTAGTCAGATCTTGTCCGATACTCCTCAGCCGTATGATTTCTTTTGAAGGACGGTGCATGCAAGGACGGTGACTTTGGAAGAGAAAGAAGAGTTGCGTGATCCGAAATATTCGTGGCGCCGTTTCGCCTTTTTCAACCCCTCAGCACCCCACCAAGGCCGGGAAGAGGCTCGCTCCATGACGCCGAGACGAAGGTTTACAAATCGGGCGACTTCGGCGGGTGAATTTCTGAGTAAAGAGGACCTGGGCCGGACTTTTCAATCAATTGGCCAATAAGCGAGCTCAGCGGATTATCTTTTCGCCGATGAGATCACGTGGCAGCCAAGCAGTTGACCTCGTCACTTGCGAATAGCTTCAGGTAGCAACAAAATGCCCGAACCAAGGTAACAATGGCTGCTGTTAGACAGCAGGTTTTGAACTGGCTATATAGCGTCTTGACCAGTGTAAGTATTTCGAGATACTTCTGTTAGGGAATAACTACTAAGTATGCCTAGGAATATACAGATGTGACCCGCACATACAACGACGTAGCGCAGGCGCTCTCGCATTATTCCTCCCTATCTCCGCGAACCGACGTGTACAGTACGCATATTGCACCTGCATTGCTTCTCCCAATACTGACTTGAGCCTCTGAAGCTTACGAAAATGGCGTGTCGGCACTCCTCCTCCACATTTCAGGCACACTGCCTGTCCTTTTTCGTGGGACAACCTATAGATTTCCGATAGCACTATGGGTACCGCACGCATATCCATCGGAAGCGCCTCTTGTATATGTGACACCAACGGAGGGAATGATGGTCAGGCCGGGTCAACATGTTGATCCGCAGGGCAAGATATACCATCCGTACTTGGCGGGATTTGCAGAATTCGACGTAAGTGGTGGGGTATTAGAGGCCAATAAACAAACTTCTGACACCTTTATAGAGGTCGAATATCATGGATTTCCTGGCGATTCTACGAGATATTTTTGGGAGGGAACCTCCGGTCATTTCTCGACAACAACAAAATGCCCCTCGACCACAGCCTGCTGTGATCCCCCCTCCAGTGCCACCACTTCCTCCCGGGGTTGGGGTAGCTCGAACAAGTTCGCCAATTCCAAGCCACACAGAGAGGCCCCAGTCCCAACCTCCGCCTCCTCCACCGAAGCCTATAAACAATCCACACACATACTCTCCTTCTGGTCCCTCGAGAGATAGCGGGCCTCCGTTACCTCCTTTGCCTCCACAGCAAGGATACGACAGTGGGCGATATGGACTCCCAGCCCAACAACAACCCAATGAGCCACACTATGCTCCTCAAAGAAGCAGTACCCTTCCATACGAAAATTCTCAGAGAAGCAGTAGTCTTCGCTATGAGACGGCACCTCCTTTGCCTCCCCAACCTCAAGGGCAACCAACGTTACAAGAAGCCTCATACAGTCCAGTCAGTCCAATAACTCCCCCCTTGGATCCGTTCCGACGGCCCTCCCATGCCCAAACCTTCCCGCTGCCCCAGTCCCAACCCAATCCCCAACCCCAACCACAACCCAAATCAATCCTCAAACCACAGACATTTAACACACATCAGAATCAACAACCCATGCCTCCCTCCTACACGCGGCAACAACCCTACCAAGGCCAGCTACCAAATCCCCAATGGCAACAACAATACCAACCCCAATTCACACCTCAGCAACAACAGCCACAACAAAAACCCCCACCACCCCCCGACCTCCTCGACGCCCCCCTCGTCCTCTCAATTCCCTCCCACGCCTCCACAAACCTACCCGCTCCCCCGATACCTCCAAACCCAGAAAAAGACATGCTCCTGCACAACCTCAGCCGCTCCTTGTATTCCCAACGACAACACACACGCAACCAGACATCTTCCTCCCTCCCCGGACTAGCAGCACAACACGAAGCAATGCTCAGCGCTCTAAACACCATGCAATCTGAAATCTCCTCCCTCGAAGCACTAAACAGCCTCTTGACAACGAATACGAATATCCTCCACACAGCGCTGCATGATGCAGACGCAATGATTGAGTCAAGCCAGCACCGAACCGCGCCAAATGTTGACGAGTTGCTCGTTGCGCCTACGGTGGTAGCCAACCAGTTATACGAGCTTGTGAGCGAAGAGCGGAGTCTAGGCGATACGTTATTCGTGCTTGGGCGTGCGGTGGAAAGGGGCAGGATCGAGGCGAGTGTGTTTGCGAAGATGACGAGGAGTTTGGCGAGGGAGTGGTATTTGAAGAAGGCGCTTGCGAAGAAGATTGGGCGCGGGATGGGGCTGGCGACTTATTGATCACGATGAGATATTAATGAAGAGATGATGAGAGAGGAGATAAGTGAAGTCATGAGAGGAAGAAAGTTCCACTAAGATACCAATATCAAAGTTTCCTCGCCTGCAGCACAACCCGGCCTTTTTCTTTCTCTATTATGCTTCCAACGCGCTCTCTGCATAGCAACATCATTCTTTTCATCTCCGTTACTCGCACAGGTTTCGGTTGCTTCAGGCAACATTCCGCCTCCTTCACAATCATCACCGTTACTCCTTCTGCACATGGCGATCCTCCTTTCTCACTCATCGTCCCATCCGTGGTATTTGATTGAGGGACCTCCTGGAAAGTCGCCCATCTTCCAACAAGGGTCCCTCTTTTCTTTGTCTTCGGCAGCAGAGCTTCCGTGTCTTGGGATTCATCTATTATGCTTTGCACTTCTTGGGTGCTCAATCCTCCTCCGCCATCTTCCCCGCTTTTACGTGAACCGGAATCGAACAAGTTTTTCATGGATGTTCTGATCTTGCGAGCATAGCTTGTCTTGCTCCTTTCGCACTCGTGCTTTTTTGTTTGCTGTATGCTCTCGAAGAGCTTGATTCTGTCTCTGATAGTACCACTTTTCTTCGTCGACTGTCTCTTAGTCGCAAAGAGTGACGATGAGACTTCAGGGACATTTTGTATCATTTTATCATTCCCTTTTCGAACAGCCTCCGGTTCTTGCACTGTTTTCGGCGATATGTTTGCACTTCTCTTGGACGGGCTGAGTGGATGAAAGACGGGAGCCGGTGACGGATTCGGTAATTCAGCAGTTGCCTTACGTTCCTTCGAAAAGGGTGAAATATTGGAGAAGAGAGGCATGGGAAGCGATGGCGGAGCCACTGGTATCGGAGATTTTGATTGAGCCGCTCCTTCAAATTTCGTCCTGATATCAGCGACTCTCGACTGTGTTCTTCCTCTGTCGTCTTCGAAATCTGTCTGTCGAGTGGTGTGGACACGCGGCAATGTTCTAGCTGTTGTAGAGAGGGAATCCTGTGAACAGCCAAATTCTCGCAAGCTATCATGGTTTCTTTCCAAGCTTTTCGCACGATAAAGCTCCTCGATTTTGCTGCTAATTTTTCGCTGATCCAAGCTGAGCTTGGTAGTAGGATTCTCTTTGCAATCTGGCCTAACCAGTACCCGTCCCCTCTCTTCGGCGACGGAAGGCTTTGGCTGTATTCTGTTAGAAGGTGCTTGCGAGCGGCTGTTGTTAGCAATACCCGTTTTAGGGGTAACACGAACGGGCGACTTTTCAGACTTCGCTCGCATGGTATGGTTGCTTCTTTTGGTTCGGATTACTGTGCCGTTTGAAACTTTGCTGATGGAAGATTTCGAAGGGGAAGGTTTAGAATGGATGGTAGAAGTTGGTGTATGCGGTCTATTGAGAGGTTGCCGTTGCTTAGCAGCCAGGGACTGGTAAGTCTTCGTCGGCGTGCTGGGAGCTGCATTCTGCCCCGCCATCTGCTTTCGTTTGGAGCTGGTTGTTGAAGCACCAGGAGATGGTTTGGTATGCTTCGTACCTTTTTGAGGTGTGACTTGTGTTGTTGCGAGCGCCGAGGGTTGTGGTTCCGTCTTCTTCCCTGTCAATGGCGCTGTCAAAGAGCATCATTAGTCAAGCTCAAAATTCAAAGGTGAGAATTACCCTTTGAAACGACTTTGTCCGAACTACCATCATAGAGCTTGATAATATCCTTCGTACTGCTCTTCCTCGCCGGAGCTTCATTTTGCACATATGCACTTGCCACGATACCAATTGCTTTGCTTTGAGAGGCGTTCGGCATGCCCCCAGGGATCCTTCTGTTCGCTGACTTGTATGAGGCTTGCGACCCTCGAACCTTTTTTGAATCGATTGTCTTGGGGGAGAACCATTTCCTGGATTTGGAGGCGAGGGTGACTTGTTTGGAAGTGAAGTTATCACCGATTCGTGTATATTCGTCTCGACCTTCGCTTGAGGGAGTGGGGATTGTTGATAACCTCTTTCTATGGCTCGTTTCCGTCCCTTTGAGTGAGGCCGAGTTTCGGGATATCTGTAGATGTGCTGGTCGAAGAGAAAGAAGTTTGATTGGCGTGCTCAGAGCATCGAGTGCCTCGAACTTGCTGATTCGTGATATGAGGTTGAGGTTGATTCCACGAGGGACGTATGATCTCTGGGTATTTGCGCCTTGCAGTAGAGTTTCCTCATCGGTTTTCGGGATCCCTTGATTGCTTGGAGGAGTATGATATGTTTGATTCTGTCGACGCCGTCCGTCTCGGGGAGGCGATCCAAAAAGTGAGTTTACCGGATCGAAGTCCATATTGTTGCTGAAGACTGGGAAAGCTTTGCAAATTCGCAGCAATCCAACTGCTCTCTTTCAAAGTGATGTCGATTAAGAAAGTGGAGGGGAGTGACAGGAAAAGTTTGGGGGATCTAAGAGAATACTTACTGGCTCCTTCCGCCTTTGGAGGCTGGAAATAACAAATGCCGCACACGCTTCACTTTCATTTCACCAACTGGAATAGAATCATTTGGGAAAGTGCAACAGACTTCAATTCCGCTGCTGCTACTAGTTGATACCCAGAAGTAAGAACACGAAAGTTCGTGTATGTAAGTGAAGACTCAAAGTACAGACCCAAGGTAACCGTTGGAAACAGCAAAGCAGCTCACCAATCGCAGATCTACCCTACGCAGTCAGAATCCAGAAGTGATGCGCCAGCGCCAGAAAATACATCTCGCGCTGCATCTATCAGCCAATCAATCCAATCACTCTCAAGAGTTCAGTTTCCGACCAGTCCTTTTCCGCTGTGAACACTGTATGACTTGTCAACCCTAACGCCCATGGCCTCAAGGTCAAGCTCGGTGCTATCTCGTCGGGCGTGGGGCGGAGCCTCGACGATGGAATCAATAGTTGAAGGACTGATCGGGGCCAAGCTGCCCTTTCTGTCCTTGAATGACTCGAGAGGGCCAGTGAATGTCGACTGGCTGCAGAAAGTCTTGCGTCCCAACTCTGAGCAATCTCTAGACATATTTTCATGTGATTGCTGAGAGCCGATGATGCTGGAGAGGTTGAACGAGGAGCTTTGTGCTGTCGTGACCATGGCAGCCCAGAGTGAGGAAAGCGGGAGCAGGAGTGCCACCATTGTTAGTGCGAGTGTGCCAGCATCGGGGAATGACTCAATGGTGGTGTATTCGAGGACGGCGAAGATGGCTTTTAAAGTTAGTCAGGGGTCACTTCGAGTGAGATAAAACAGATACGGACAAGGAATGACCATGGTGCAGCCACTCATGATCATGAGGATTTGCATTGGGTTCATGTTGTTCCATCCATGCTTCCTGCGCGTCATGATGGTCCAGAAGAGTTTCCAAGTGAAGATGGCAGAGAAGAACCAGATTGAGATGGTCTCGGTTGCCAAAGCGCCGGTCCTGATCCACAACTTGCTGTAGTATGTGCCGTCCGACATGATTGCCATGGAGTTGGTGATGCATTGTGTGAAACGGAAGCTGATGGCAAGCAAGAGGACCAAGAAGGCGAGAGCACAGGTGCCGTAGTAGTAATTTCTCCTCATTACCTTACAGACGGTTTGAGCTTGGAGGACGAGCGATGCGTTCACGGTTAGGGTCATGAGAACAGGAATGACGGTGCCTGCGACGGAGGTGGCGATGGTAGCTCGGCCGACACGACTGACATCCCCGCTGAAGTAGGAGTAGAACTCTGACCAAGGACTTGTAAACCAGACAGCCAGGAGAAGAGCTCGGAGAGTACCAAGGAAGAGTGAGACGAGATTGAGGATAAAGACCGGCTTGCCACGTTGCGACTCGCGGGTAAGCAGAGCTGTGGCGAAGAACATGACGAAGCAGGCGCCGAGCTGTGCACCATAGTTGATGCTGGTCTTGATAGAGTAGAGGTACCAGTTGTCGATGGCAGATACACCGAGATTGATGACTTCGCCATCCTTCATGAGGAAAGTGACGTTCTGGGAGAAAGGATCGAAGCCATTGGAAGAAGCCATCATAAAGTTCATTGCTGTTGCAAATGGGAGAAACTTATGAAAGAGAAAGAAAGGTTCAAGGATCTGAACGAAGTTGGCGACGCGAAGCGAGGGGTGAATTGGTGAAGAACCAAGACCAAGCTGTTGGGAGAAGGAAATGAGTGGGAAGAGCTGATGGAGTCCTGATATACTCATCCCGTTTCATCCCCCGATGAGTAGAACACGGTGTCTCCAGATAATATGAGCGTTCACCTTGACTGTCTTCGCACAGAGTCGAAATCTACTGATGATACTCACCTGACAATGACTGTTCAGATATTGTAGAACATGTCCCGCGGGGTGCGTCCCACGAAGACGGAGGCGAAGGCATAATCAAAATAAAGAATGAGGGGTTTCATATTGTTCAGCCAACTAGAGCTGAAGATGGACGCCATCTGAAGCGGATTTGGAGAGAAATGAAAGAGGCCCAAGACATCAACACCTCGCTAGTCCTTGAAATTGTTTTCAGCCACGTCAGACCACCAGGATCCCCAAAAAGTGAATATCGTGGGAAGACTTGCAGCGGGAAGGACGGGAGCCAATGCGAGACTACTCGGCAGAGCTCATAATGAGACATTGACTGGCAATTCTTGCCAGGCACGGCATGTAGATATCCCGAGAAGCTTTGGCGGTTGGTGATCAAGCGGAAGCGGAATCGACGGGAGCGGGAGGCGTTGAAGATCACATCACGTGCCGCACCCCCTTCAGAATAGGGGCATGCCAATTCACTTCATCCTTGAATTGGCCTTTATAGAATTTAATAACAATTTTTCTGCACCCTGCGATCCGAGGAAGGGTAAGCTTGATCCACTGATACTTGATCTCGGGGAGGAACCTTGCGAGAGATAAAGACGTAAGAGACACCTAGGAACCCCAAAATGCTTGGCAGTAAGGTTTAAAAGAATGGGGGAGGCACTGCCAAAGGATAGGAGGATTTGCGAACTTTTTGTCATGTGCAATCAAGAATCCTCTACCACATTCTTATGCTTCGGAGAATGGAATATCAGGTGGGTGTCAACTCCGTTCTTGTATTCGTAGATATAATGATCACAGAATCAACAGAATGTTTTCGAGCAGGGTTTCCAAATGCGTTGAAGAATCCGAAGGGGTAATTGCTGCATAGTACACTGACCTCTTGACAGCAGTGTTGGCCTTGTCGCCTTGCTGGGGATGGTCTTCGTTCGGTCAAGTGAGCTGACATTGTTTTACTTGTAAATGCTGAATTGATAGCCTGTTAAATTGGTCAGAGTATAACACATAAATCTTAATCTATAGACCAACGGTATCTGGTGTACGGCTCTAACTCTTTGGCCTCAGCTTTGACAGGATAATCGTTGGTTCTAGGAGACTCTAGAATCTGCTCCTATCTTTGTTCTACCAGGCTCCTTGTTCTGAGAGTGTATTTTAGAAGAGGTCTTACCTCTGAGAACTTCCCGTCCTTAATTCAATGAAGCAAGTTACTCAACGTTCTTCTATAACCAATGTTTGACGAGGTGCAGGCAGTTCCATGAGAGACAACTTTCTTCATAGCAGTATCTTTAGCCACGTTCCATTCCGCACAGACGGGAGCTTTGCTAGCATCCACATATTCGTTTGTCTTGTGGCTGTAGAGTGAAAACGTCCAGAGAAAGTGATATCGCTCTTGTCATTGTCGGCAGATGGAGCAACTCGTGTCCAGAGAATGACCAACTTGTTATATGGATCACCGGAGGCAACTCCGTGAGCAAAGTTCGGCTTTGCAGGTTCCCACGTTGCTGATGGTTCATGGAAACTCCGAGTCCAGCGTGGTGGTAGGAAGGACTTCGGTAGTTGAGGTTTTCAGCAAAAGAAGCCGTGGCAGTAGCTGCAAGAACTTGAAGCATTTTAGAAGAGCCAAAGAGGTTTCCGGCTGCACTTGGAAGCTAGGAACTAAGATTTGGAGATTTGGAGCTTCTTAACTGGTGAGTTTCGTAGTCTCACTCTCTGTTAGCTTGCGATCGATCTCCAAGCTTGAGCTCCCATGTCAACTCCCCGGCGTGCGGGCTGATTGACAGCTGCTAATTTGCTAGAAGTCCTTTTTTGCATTTCTGAAGAGCGGTTCAGGTTAATAGCTGCATTCAGGACTTTATGGCACCTGGTTAGCACCCCGGGAAGGCTCGAACGTCTACTCGGTCATGACGACATAGCTCTGGATTCACGATCAACACGCTCGCTTTCCAGGTTTGTTGTTGGCCAATTGCTGTAGCTTCGGTGCCGTTTGTCTTGGCAATACGGGCCGATAAAGCTATGGGAGAAATATGGGATGGGTTTTAAATCAAATTGTCGGGCAAGTGCGCCTGGCCACGGGGTTCAGCAGTGGGGTGACATGCTAGGAGAAACCGTGTGTGATTTCTCGACCACGATTGGAGGCACCACAAGTTTCCTGCGAGGCTCCGCGATTCCTGGAGCTTGTATTGATTCTGGAAAGTGAAGCACATGGGTCGTGGAAAAGTTGAGGTGATCTCCGAGAGGAGTTGGAGAGCTCACGCGATGCTTAGGAAGCTGGATGCGGAGCGGGATCTGAGGAGGACTGTCCTCCAATTCTTTGGGGAACGAACGCAAGGCAATGATGTGACTGTATTCGGAGTCAACTCTTTCCATTCATCACGGTCCCGGAGGTAGGTGTTGATTATTTAAGTTGCTGTTAACTGAAATAGGTGGGAAAGGCGCGAACGAAATACCAGACGGAATCACAGAAGTCGAATATTCAGAAGTGTCTGGTAATTCTGGTACAATGACCCAACTCACCTTACAAAGTGCTGCTTGTTTTCGCATAAGATCATAGTACACTTAGTGTTTTGGTCACTCGACTGAAGTTCTCACGGCACAGTTTTCACACCCATAGCATTCCAACACCTCATTGAATAATTTGTATTTCTTCCTCAGAAAACTACTACTTGAACAATGTCAACCAACCCCGTAAACGATAATCCTACAGCGTCAACTGAATGACCCCTCACTCCTCCGATGAAACCTATGTCCAGAAAGACACAAGACTCCTCATAACGGACTTCCGATAAAGAACATGAGCATGAGCATAAAAAAGTAAACGCCACATGCCCGCTCCCAGAAAGCAAAAAGGTATGAAAATAGTCAGACAACTCCTAACGCATACGCTTTGAGGTCATCATTGACGAAAACTGAAACCGAACCGCAACACTTGGGAAGATTGATAATACCACAAGACTGAGGGACTTGTAAGCCCAAAGCTCATGCCTTCAATCCCATCTGACCACCAGGACCATAACCAGCGCTCATTCCCTTGTCACCAGCAGCCATCTTCTTCGCCAGTTGCTTCTCTGCCCACTCTCGGCTCGCTTGTCGTCCTCTCTCGGCTGCCTCCTCTCTGGCGCGCTTAGCAGCAGCCTCACGCTCTCTCTTCTCCCTCTCGATATCTTCAGCCATCTTGTTGTCCCGGTTATAGATTTCCTTTGCACGCTGACGCTGAACCTGGACATCCGTGACGGAGACGCTGCGTTGCAGGGCCTTGCCACTCATGGATGGACCGTAGGTAGTTGGTGACGGCTTTCGAACAGGGACTGGGGCCTTCGTACGCGGAGCAGAAGTGTTGGCCATTGTGGCCTGTGAGAGAGAAGGGCGATGACCTCCGACGATAAGAGAGCCTCTCTTAGAGCCAGCAAAGTCTCCCAAGTCCATACCCTCGACACCAATCTTGCTTCGTCGTGCAAGACTAGCAACTGTTTCGCGAGGGACAAAATCGGGCAAAATACTGTTGCGAATTGGTTTAGCTTTGAACTCTCTGCGCTTACGCTCCTCCTCTTCTTGTGCCCGCAATTTCGCCTCTTGGGCCTCTCGCTTCCGTTGGGATACCGCTTCTCCTGGAAGAACGAAGGTTGGCCTGGTAGGAGGCTTTGTAGACTTGATCTTCGGTCCTGAAACCACCCGTGCTGTATGGAAACTGTCCTCGCTGGATTCGCGTTGAGCGAGACGAGCTTCACGCTTTTCCTTCAACTTTTGAGCCACCGCTTCACCGGGGAGTTGGAATGTGGGTCGAGTCGGTGGCTTGGTGGATTTGGCAGGCTCTTTGGGTGGCAGAAGACTAACTGGACGTTTGGTTTTGACTGGTGCTTTAGCAGATGGTTGGGTCTTTGGACATTCCTCATCTGACTTTGTGCTCTCTGCAGCTGGCTTAAATATCATAGAGCTGGCCTTCTTGACGACCGGTTGCTTTGCAACTGTTGGTTTGACCCTCATGGATGCGTAGCCAGGCTTCACCGGTTGTCCTTTCGTGGATGTCTGCTTCCTAGCACCTTTGGCCTCCGTCTCTTTCACAACCTTCCGCTTCTCTCTCGGGTCAACGGAGTCTTGAGCCTTGACTTGCGCAACTTTCTCCTTCAGCTCCTCTGGTGAAAGCATTCTCTCGGCCATGGCAACCTGATCGAGAGCCTCAAGAGCTTCTTCCAATTTATCCAAAGCCTCAACAGAATCTTCGATGCGCGAAACTGGCTTTGCGGGAGAGCGACAAGTGATCTGCTTCACAAAGGAGTCCTCGCCTCCGTCTTCTGCGGGTCTTGCATCTTCCGACAATGCGCAAGCCCGCTCAACTTCCTCAAGTGTCTTGACCGGTGACTTTCCAGGGGTATGAGTTGCCGTGGTATTTTTTGTACAACATCGATCTGCTACATCTTCGCCATCAGTTGATGAATCATTATCCACAACCTCCACCGTGGCCTCTCGCATAGACTTTGACAATGCTTCCTCCGCTAAAGATAAATGATAATCAGTTAAGAGTTCCCCAGAAATTGTACCTCGACCTGAGGGCAAGCCAGTGTGAGCTCTAGAAGCGCCAGTAGGGTGATCACCGAAAAGGGAAAGGAAATCAAGACCGCGGATTTTCTGAGCCATTGAGAGGTCCTGTGATCCATTTGAACTTGATGAAGCTGATAAGTTATACTGACCTGCTTGTGCCATTGCCATCTGCCGGCGGGTTTGACGAACAGCTGGAGCGGGATTTGTCTGCTGCTCTTGGCTCGCAGAAAGATCTTCTGGGGATTGCGTTAGATTCAGGGCCGCCATTTTCACCAAAAGAGATGCCAAGCTACCTTCGCGACTTTGAAGCAATTGACGAGTCGCACCAGGAACAAGATTGATGGCTGGGCCCGGAGAATCCTCAAGAGCAGGTCCCTGACTGTCCAAAGTCTCCTCCGAGTCCGCTTGCGAGTCTTGTTTGTTGTTCTTACGTCCCTTTGGTTTCTTGCCCCTCTTCCCACCACCAAGGGCACTGCGATACGCAGCCTTCAGGTTCTTCAATTCTTTTGCTACCACGTTGTCGTCCGTGGCGAGATTGGCTGCTCCCATCGTATTGTGGATTTCCGTGAGCGCTTCTGGCTGCTTCTTAGGTATGTCCGGCAACGGTGTCTGGATTGCAATAGCAGTACGATCTTCAGCGATTTCGATTTTCTTCGATCGGGTCACTCGAGCCATGTTCGTCTTGGATGAGCCAGCCGTTGTGTCCGTCAATCGCGGAGTGGAGATCTTCGCGCCAGAGACCAAGAGTCGGATGCCGAAGGAGCAAAATCAAGCGCCAATTGAAGTGATTTGCGTATGATCGACGTAGCAATGCTGAGGTGGGATGGAATCGTGGAATTGAGCAAACTGTCAGTGCACTTATCGATTGTTTCGTGGGTATTGCGAGGATGTCCATGCGGGCGGTTTGAGCTAGTTGAAACAATGTTTTCAGGCTAGATTGTCATGGCAACGGCAGAAGGCAAGCGCGACCTTTTCGCGACCGCGTCACGCGCAGATATATTATAGGAGAAAAAGCAACCGGACGAGCAAAAATTATAGAAGCAAAGTTGACCATTATTTTTGAGGGAGTGTCATGTTGTACTTAGCGTTCAACAGTCCAAATTCTGCAATTCATGGCTTGGCACTTGTCATGCAGGATCTAGGGGTATCACATGCAGGGGAGATGCTTCAACAGTAGTTCCAGCCAAGCGGACTTCCTTTCCATAGCCAACGCCGTCCCAATGCACCAAACGTTCTCATCATTCATATATTTCGTCCATCCCGCCTTCGTGGGGTAGCTTATGACTCTCCATTGCCTCCACCGGAACTTGATTGTTGGAGCATCGGTGCATGTTCTGTTGGTATCCGCACAAGCGTTTGCGGGAGGGGGAGCTCCGAGTCGGCCTTCTTCTCCACGTTGACTGTGGTATTATCTTCTCCTTCCTTGGGCCTAGGGATTTTCACTATGGTGATATTAGTGAGATGTACTTGGAAAGGGAGGGGTTGAGCTCACTGGAAGCCATGCTGATCGCACGAAGGACATTGTGCCAGTTTCCTAATACCGTAGCCACAGCTATAACGATTTCAATCAGCAGCGATTCCGAGCTATGTCCCATACCATCGTATACCTTCTGTTCCGTCTGATAGTGTAGCCAACTTCTCCTCCAGCATCTGCATCTGACCTGCTAAGCCAGCACTGAGATCTCTCAATTGCTTCAGGTTTTCCAGTTCTGCTTTCTTTTCATTGATCCGCGCGAGTAGTATCGGTGATTGTCCACTCGATGCAGAGTTCCCAGTAGTTGATGCTTGCTGCAAGTGAGAAGGGAGGGGTCGCGATGAGTAGGACATCTTAAGGACCGGTGTTGTTTCCTGGCTGTATGTTCGTCTTACTTTCAAAAGGTATGATAAAACACTTGAAAAATTTGCGTTTTGCAAGTTTCCCAGTCGTTCTTCATCCTTTGTGATGTGTCGTTGTAGTTCGAGTTAACTTAAATCTGACTGTCAAGATAACGGAATCGGAACTAATCACTAGCGCAGTTATGTGGGTCTAACCTCTTTCGACCCAAAGTAAACACGACAGATCCCCGACCCGAAATTTCTCTGTTGTCAACCTTTGAAGCACGAGACACAACTCTACAATTGCTGTTGCTTGCTTTATGGGTTTGAAAACACATGCGCGCAATACCAACAACTTAAATAAGACCATCGCAATTTACTGCCGCATGCTCTATCCAAATGGCTCGCCTGAATGAGCCCGCAGCCCCAGCGGAAACCGTAGACTCTCGTGAGTCCCAACAGCCTCTGCAGATGCTATGAGTCACTGACAGAATGCGCAGTGAAGCGAAAGTTTATGCGCCAGAACCGCGACATTGCCAGAGCTAATTCCACACAATCACTGCGAATTCGCAACCTTGAGAATGAGACGTCAAGACTGCTGGCTGAGAACCTTGGGCTCCGGGAGCAGATATTACGACTGCAAACCGAGCTGGAAAATGGAAGAGCACAAAGGATAGCAGATCATACGGGAGTTGTTAAATCACAACTCGAGGCAAAGCTTCTCGAAATCAGTGCTTTGATTACTCGGTTGGGAGATGAACCTGCGGCCAAGAAGAAACCGCCACGGGCAGGGAAAACTACCGGAGCCAGCCCTAACACGAGCCCTGATCAGAAGAATTGGAAGAACATATGCCCTTTGAATGAGGCTGTTGAAGGACGCCTGCCCCCAATCTTGGAGAACAAGCTATTTCCTCGGCGAACTCTGGAGTATGTTCAGTTGCGTGGCCAGTATTGAACTTATGCTAATGCATTACAGACGGCAGGAAATACTGAGTCTTGTTGCTGATGCCGAGCCCGATGCCTCTGATTCTCCAGAAATTGGCCCTCCACCAGTGTCACAATTTGTTGACGAGGATCCTGTCAAGATAGACCTACCAAAGAGGACACAAAGGGATGAAAACGAGGAGCTTTCTGGCCTGGACCCTGCCTTATCGATAAATTTGGAACAACGAAGGAAACGTAAGGATAGCACAGGATCGTCCGAGTCTAGAAGGGCGAGCAAAGTAGAAGTACCACACGGAGTTCGAGAGGCGGCAGGATCACTCAAGACTGGAGCGAAACGGAAGCTCAGTGTTCGAGACGACGACGAGCTGACTCTGCCTGTACCACCAAGCTCTCCGGACGGTTTCAAGTACACGAAGGTTGCGAATGAGGATAAGGCAAAGAACAAAGTTCTGCCTCAGACCGAAAAACCCGCTGGCAGGATTACAAGAGAACTTGCTGTTGCTCGTGGAGCTCCTCGAGAAAAGCCCGCCGCATCGACAGCTACAGTCAGAAAAGTACTAGCACCAAAGAGCGTCAATGACTCTCCTAAGAAAGGCACTAAGAGTTTGATCTTGGAGGATATGAAATCAGCGAAAGCCGAGGTGCCGAAATCGATTCCGGTGAAGGAGCGTACAAGGGAGAGGAGGCCAGATCCGGTCCGTATTCAAACTTCAGTCGAACCTATTAAATCTATTGAACTCCAACCTGAACCGGAAACGCCGGCAGCACCTGATATCTTCTCACCATCTTCATCACAACCATCCACAGTCAGGGAGTCTCGGGACACACCTCCACCCCCAGATCTTGGGCCAGGAACTGAAGGACAGAGGCCGAGTCGCAGAGCCCGACCAGCTGTTAGCTATGCAGAGCCCAATCTTCGGGATAAGATGCGGAGACCAACAAAAGACCTGATCGATGCTGTATCAAAGGACGAGAAAGCTCACCGCGGGAGCGGCGTTAAGCTTGAAGAAGAGGCCCCTTCAACCATGGTGACGATTAAAGCGGAGCCTGAAGCAGATGATGACTGGAAACGCATGCCCGCTGCATCATCAGCTACCGTGGAGAACAGTCCTCTCAGTAGCAAAGCGCCCATGTCGGACACGTTTCCTAGTAGTATTACGACTCACAGAAAACGGCGCGAGTCTATTCTGAGTCAGGCAGAAGCAGACCTTTCCAGAACATCATCAGGAAGTGCAATTGCGGCGCTTCTTGCAGAGAATAGGCGAGCAAAGGCTGCTGCTAGGGAGAAGGCTAAAGAAAATGAGGCTGCAAAAGAGAAGATGAAAGAAGAAGAGGCTACCGTCACGAAGGCAATGTCGAAGCTCGACATATACGAGTTCAGGGGTTCCTCGCCTAATCCTGAGGATGCACAACCGAAACCAGCCAAGGAAGAGAAAACAACTTCTCGAGTCTCGAGGAGGCTTTCTTCTGTTCCAAGGGACGGTGCAGCGCAAAGTGAGAGTGAGGCCTCTGACATAGAGGGGACGAGAAAGGTTGAGGGATCTACCACTCGTCGAAGACAGTCGACCCTTGGGCTGAGAAATTCATCCTCAACAGCAGAATCCGGCAAGGAGTCGGAGACAGAGAAGATTTTGAAGAGAGCGAATAGTACGACTGGCATAGCGGATGCGGCATCGAGGAGCGACAGAATATCAGCACGCAGAAGAAGTATGATGTTATGAATGATGACAGGAATATTTTGATCGGCGGAGTTTGGGTTGGATGAGCGATTCTGTATAGGTCGAAGCGTTTAGCGTCATTAATAGGCTCTCAGGATTATGGAAGTGATATGATACCAACAGAGTCTTCTACTCCATTGTCACGCCGCCACTTGAGCACAGCGACAGGATCGCCTTGCATAGCTTTTCCTTCCAAACCGCATGCCCTTAATAGTATTCAGTGGTCAAATATTCCGTGCTTCGGTCCATTAAGACCCCCGACGCCGGCTTCCTAAAAACAAGCAGTGGTCTTGATATCACCGTATCATGATCCACCGCCGACAACCTTTGTATAAGTGATCTTCTCCACGTTCACGCTCTCAACCCCTTCGGCATTCTTCTTCAACTGGTAGACATAAAGCGTCAAGCCAATTCCCTGCACCTGTAATTCCCTAGTCAGCATCTCTCATCTCATCATCCCAAGATTGTACTCACATCCATCAAACAAAAACTCGGCACCATCTCCTCTCCCTCGCCCACCCATCCCGTCGTAAACGCACCCGTCGCACTACCCGGATTCACAAAGAACTTGTTCTCGTACTCATACGCATCGAACCTGTGTGTACCGCCCCAACACAGCACATCCACGTCCAGCTTATTCGCCTCCGCGAGCATGAGATCCGTCTCCATCGGCGCCACCATCGTGAAGCCTTCCAGGAAGCCTATCCTCAGACTCCCATGTGTAACGACTTGAGAGAGCGGTAAAGAGGTCGCATCTGCATCGAACTTTCCCTTTACGATTTTTAGATCCGGTGCGATGGAGCGCAGGTACTCGTAGGTGGGCTTGTCGGTCAGGTTTCCGAGGCACAGCGTCTGGCCGATTTTTCCGGGGGTGAGGAGTTTCTTGAACTGCGGGGCAGGGTCAGGAGATGTGCTTGGGCTTGGGGAGGGAGCTCGCCTTTGCGGGGATGTCGAGGGCGCGGTCTGGGATGTGGAGGTCTCCAATGACGAGGACGAGGCGGGATGTCATGGTTGCGGCGGGGTGCGTTGTTGAGGGTTTTGGGAGAGATTATTGAGCAAGCATTGGCTAGAAGAGGGTCCGGCGCATCCAATTACTTGGTGTACAGCTTCGCATTCCTCAATTGAGGTGTTGCAGAATCTCTGGCGCAAAGTTGTGGGGGTGATGTTCTGCCTGTTGACGAAGAAGGTCGGTCGGGAGTTGAGGTTTGACTTGTTTGCTCGGATGAAATACGTCATCACGTGCTCCAGACGAAAACATCTCAACTTCCTCAAAATGCACTTTAAGGTTGAAAATGAGAACTCAGATTTCTACTTAACTCGTACAAGTTGTTGGGGCATCGGTGGTCTTACAATGTTGATTGGATTTGATCAGAGCATCCCAAATCAGTTATTGCTCTATTCCCCATTGGCACCAGTCAGAACATGAACGAGATGCTTCCAGTTTCGCTGAGGCAACAGACTAACACTTACCTTCAGTGTTGCTCTATTTAGACAGCCCGCCTCTCTTTTCGTGCCCTTGCAGTTCGGTCGAGCTGCTTATCTAAGCCAGGCAATCCGTCTGGACTTTCAAAGGAGTAAGCCAAACCATCGCCGACTGTGATAAATTGCATAGAGTTGAGGGATTACAATACATTATTGCCCACAGGTACTCTCCTTTTGTCATGCATCTTTGAAGGGTGGTATTTCATTATTTCTCGTTGGTTTTTGAGAGCAATAACATTTTCTGGGGTTTAGCTCAGTCAAAATTCACTTGACATCGATGAGTCTTTGAGAATAGAACCAGGGTTTAGATGAAAGGGAAAGAGAAATTGGGAAGAAATTATTTGTAATTAGCATATCCCGTTCCGTCTTGTCTTGAGCTTAGCATTGTGAATCTTGAATGCCTCAACTGCCCTCACATTTAGAAGTTCTTTCTGGGAAACAACCTCTTGGATGTCAGCACATGAGCAGAAGGGACTTCGCCCAGGGCTCCGAAGCATTACCCCATTTTGCTTCCAGCTGTGAAAGGCTTCGTTCTCACTCATCAACCAGTGCAATGCGAGATTTCTCAGCCCGGAGAGAGTATCGTCCCAGTCAGAACGCGAAAAAGGCAAAAAACATCATGAGCATAGGCAGACGGCTAGCTGTCAAGTAATATTCTGACAGATAGTGAATGTTCTAGGTTGCTTGGTCCGCTTGGACATCTAGTCAAAATCCGAAACCCGGAGCAATATTCCCCGCTTCAACCTGTTTATTATCTCGAAATTCTACTAATAATCCAGTTCACTTGATAATAAACGAGTTTCCTCATGCAAAATCAGATGATATAAATGAAAGGATATCATCAGACCCATGATCAGAAGCCCGTTTGCAGTTATGCCGACCCCGTGCCGGGTTTGCGACTGAGACCTCCAGGGTTGCAGGTTCTTGTATAAACCAGCTCTCAAAGAGACTTTCTTGAGAACCAACTCTTTTTTCATTTCCTTTCCCCTTTGCAGGATACGATTTCCTCACAAAGAAGAAGAAAAAGGAAGCAGTTTTCAAGAGATGTCGAGGTAAGCTTTCCCCTGTCACAAAAATAAGCGAGGTTCGGTAAGGTTACTTCGAACCTCGATCGTTGCATCGACATGTGATAAAGACAAGGTGACGACTCCTGACTCGCCATACCTAGGCAACACCTTAAGCACAAATAGTACTTCTCCAATACGATCCCGTCTCATCGCATCAACAAACGAATCCTTCAACTGCCCCTTACTCTTACATTAGCGATGGCGACGACTCCGGACGCCGGCAAGAGATGGATCCAGGGTCCAGAACCGATACAAGGGTCAGTGCCACCACATCACAAGATCGACAGGTACGGAAAGCTAACTCACGACTTCAGACCAGATGTTCCATATCAAAATAGCAGGAAGAGCAACCCGCCCGTGAGAGGCTGGTTGAACCTGACAACTTCCGTTCTCTTGTTTGCACACCTCCCCAATTTCCCAAACATCCGCTCACATCTCTAGACTTGAATGGTTCGGCTTCATACGTACCATAATATGGCAAAACACTGGTTTTGCGAATCTCCGGAAACTTCAGGTCCATATCGAGAACACGCCGCCGAGATTTGATCCAACAGTCGTCCCGTTTCCGGAGCCATCTGGAGAAGCCAAGAAAGATCTCGCAAACGGTTCCAATGGCCACGCGCCAGCGAAGAAGCTATCAAGAAAATATTACACCGTTGCTGATTACCATCGCCTGTATCTCTCAGGAGATCTCACACCTACCGCTGTTGCAAAGGCCATTCTCCCCTTGATCCGGAAAGATACCTCGCCTCCTGGACAGCATTCGATAGCTTTCTTTGATAGCAAAGTGGATCTGGTTCTCACGGCCGCTGAAGCCTCCACTTTGAGGTACAAGGAGAAGCGTCCGCTAGGACCTCTGGACGGCGTACCGACAGCAATCAAAGATGAGTATGATATCGAAGGCTACATCACGTGTCTGGGCTCCAAGAACGACTACACTGGAAAACCCAAAAATGGCAGTTCCATCACAAGTTGGTGCGTGAAGAAGCTAGAGGAAGCAGGAGCTATCAATGTTGGGAAGCTGCACATGCATGAATTCGGTTTAGGTATGTCTCCTCTCCCCCTTTCTAGAAGCGAGCTGATCTGTCCAGACACTTCGGGCAACAACCCATTCAAAGGGACGCCGCCAAATCCATATAATTCGCAATACTACACCGGGGGGTCATCGAGCGGTTGTGCCTACGCAGTAAGCACAGGCCTCGTCCCCATCGCTCTCGGCGGTGACGGCGGAGGCAGCATCCGCATCCCAGCCTCCTTCTGCTCAGTCTACGGCCTCAAGCCCTCCCACGGACGCCTCTCCTTCAAGCCAGCACTAAACCACTCCAGCACCTGCGCAGTCAACGGTCCCATCGCCTCAGACATCCACTCCCTGTCCGCAATGTACCAAGTACTCGGCGCCCCCGACGATGAATCTCTCTTCGCAGCACCCTCACCAACACTCCTCACGCCGTCCCCAAACCGCAAGAAGGTGCTCGGCATCTGCGAAGCGTGGTTCTCGCGCGCCACGCCTGCAATCCAAACCTTGTGCCGCAGCATGCTGGACCGTCTCGTCTCAGACCACGGCTACACGCTCGTCGACATCCAGATCCCCTTCCTGCCCGAAGGCCAAACTGCGCACGCAATGACCGTGCTCACCGATGCGGCGACCCTCTTACCTGTGACCAAGGGCCTCACGCCCGCAAACAGGATCATGCTCGCGCTCGGCAACGTCACGCCGTCTACCGATTTCCTGCTCGCGCAAAAGCTGCGCCACGTCTTGATGCAGCATCTCGCATGGCTGTGGACGCAGCACCCGGGCATGATCATCGTCACCCCCACCACGGCCTGCGCTGGATGGAAGGTGGGCAAGCCGGTCGATCTGAAGTATGGCATTAGCGACGGGGATCAGACGCTGAAGACGATGGAGTATGTGTGGATGGGGAACTTTTGCGGACTGCCGAGTATCAGTGTTCCGGCGGGCTTTGTGGTTCCTGAGGGCAGGAAGGGGGAGGGCGAGGTTGCGGAGGAGGCGGTGGAGGGGAAGGTCCCCGTGGGCTTGATGGGGATGGGGGAGTGGGCTGCCGAGGAGGAGTTGTTGTGGTTTGGAGGGGATTGTGAGGAGATCGGGCAGGAGTGCAGTAGCACGCCGCCGATTTGGGTGGATGTTGTTGAGTGGGCGAGGGAGGAGATGAAGAGGACGAGCTAGAGAGATGATCACAGAAGCCTTTCGAGATGAGAAGATGAGAGAAGAATTGTAGATATGTAAATTTTGTACAATTACAAGATTCATAGATATAATCTAGATTGAGAATATTGCGCTATTCGGATTTCAAACTTTCAACAACTTCCAACCTCGGACTACCTGAATCATGAGGATGTTTGGGTCTTTGAGACGTCTCAAATTGGATATCGTAGAACCGAATAGAGGGACAATGAATGGAGTTTGCGTAATTCTATTGCAACCTTCCGAGCTCGAACTCCTTTGGATGAAGGAAAGTCCCGACTTGGAGTGCACAACTGTGAATAAGGAAGTGGGGAGCGAGATCGAGGGAAGGCAAGGGTTGGTTCTTTTATCAATAAAACAGGTACAAGTACAGCACTGGATGACACGTTGTCATTTATAAGTGACTGGAGACCTGGATGAAACTTCTGCTGTCAGTAATGCTGATGCTGTCATGATGGTACAGTACCCCCATACACGTTAGGGCAGCAAATGCCTGCGCTTTCCAACGACGTAGCTGTGTATTAGATAGGAAGGTCACTGACACTAGCATAGAGAACGGATTCAAAGAAGCTTACCTTGGTTGGATGCATTGTGTTGTTGGCGGGGAGTCCTGGCATTCGGAGGCGTGCTTCTGGTTGTTTGTTGATTCGCGATACATGAGAAGAACTGCTTTTAAGGGCTGATTGATGCTACAGACCAAGGTGCCGAAAGACATAGGTGAAGAGAAACTCGACTTGAAGAAGTACCTTCCGAGTGTATTCCGGCAGGCCATATTTGAATATAAGTAGAACAGCTGGCTACACCAAGCATAGAATAGTTTTTCTTTATTGATAGGAAGGAGGTGTCGACGACTTGAATCTTAAGAAATTGATGCACTCGAAAAACGTATGAGACTCCACTTGGCTTCTCCACATTTTCCATATAGTTGATCGCAGAAGATGTATCGGTACTTGAGCGTTCTGTTGAGTAAGCTCAAGACCGTTTCCCTTTCCAATTTCACGTTGCCTGCACAGCATCCCAATTACCTCGTTCCCCTCCACCGAACACGACCCCCTTTCTGCCCTGCCCTATTCCCGAAAAGTACCACGTTACACAACCCCCGCACTATCCGTTCCACGCATGACCTTCGCCCGTACCTACCCTCGCCTACCCATCTCCAGCCTTCATCATCACATCTCACATCTCACAACATCTCTCCTTTTGTTCCAAAAACCAAACACCTTCCTGAAAGCCTAGACGGAGCACATCTCCCAAACCCCCAATGCCTTCCTCGGTCACACATGCAAGCTCTCCTCCATCACGCAATTCCCCCATCCGCTCATCACCGGAGCAAGCCCTCCAAGCTTTCCTCCAATTCAAACCAACGATACGAGGATGAACCCCCCCCTTCCCGGGCGCGCCATTCATTCAAGCGCCGACAAAACTCGAGAACTGACAAAAGAGGAAAAAGGACATGCCCACAAAACGCTAGCACCAATGCGATGGAAACGCGGAGAAGGAAAACCTGGGGTAACACAACATGAGCATGAGCATGGGCATCCGGATCTCGATCTCTCGTGTCCGAGTCCGTCCGTGTGCTGTGTAACCCTCCCCAGCCGCCGAGCGTGGAAGCCCACTCGGCCACAGCGGACTTCGCCGGCTGGATGCCGATAATGATACGATGGTCTGATTTCTATACCAGAGAGAGAGACAAAAAGGTGGAGTTGTAATGAGACAGCCAACCAAAGAAGGCTTGACGAGCTCAAGCAAGGAACGAAAGGGGAAGAGGGGGAGGGGAGCAAAGCGCACATGACGCCGCATCCACACAATCTATCTTGCGTTTTGCTGTCTATTTACCCAGGATTGACGACCAGTGCGTAAAGTAATAAAGCAACGACGATTTGAAATGAAAATGAGAAGATACGTGCAGTTAGGTGCTGTACGTGACGCAACTTCACAGACTACTGCAATAGGGGTAATCGGGGAAAGGGGCGATGTGCTGGAGGGAGTTAGGGGGGAGAAAGCAGCAGACGCTAGAATAGGGGTAATCCTTCCATCTCCCACATTTCTCTTCCCCGCACACCCTCGCCGTCGGGTGCGCCATAGCGTGCGCATGCAGAGTGACCACCGTCGGTCTCTCGGCTTCGGTGCCGATTCCGAGTTGATGAGAGGCGCGGTCATGGGGAAGGAAGGATTGCGTGGTGGCTGCGCAGCTGAGCGTGTGTCCCTGTCTTGGAAAATATTGAAGAGGATGTCGTTTTCGTGTCCGTGATTACAGGCTGAGATCCGAATTCAGGTTTCGGACTGTGATTGGCATTGGGACTTTGCGATATTGAAAATGGGGGATGGGGAAGGCTGAGGGATGCGAAGGCGACAGGGGCTTGTACCATGTGTTCGCCAACGAGACATTGGTATCGTGACGGCGCTGAAAGTCGGGGTCAAATGATGGGTCTGCCTAGGTAAGGTTGTTTCTTGGAATAGAACATTCTTACCGTATTCCGCAAGCCATCCTTCCCTTGAATGAGGCTGCATTGAAAACATTTGGTAACTTTTTCGAAACTGGGGGCGTGGTTGGTTGGATGGGGGATGAGGAAGGAATGGTGTGTGTGGCGATGTGTGATGAGGGGTAACAAAGAGGGGACGGAACGCGGGGCGAATTTTAGATGAGGCCTCCCACCTGGCCTTTGCCCCCCTTTTCCTGGTGGCAATGGCATGCTGGGAACAGTCAGACCTGCCTGAAATGTTGATGTCCTGATTCATGAATGTACTGTACCTCGCAGCCCTCGTTCTCGTTCTCGCGTTCGGCTCGCTCCTGGCGAAGGAATCAAGGCACGGAGACGAGGACAATCGTCGATCCGGAAGTATCACAGATCATCGTGTCCAAGTCCAACCTTTTCCTTCCAGAATGAATCCCGTCTGTCAACTTGATCGTCGTTGAAGAAACAATTGTGAGCACGAATGATACAAAACGTTATGTACTCATTCCCTGAAACCTCGTCACCACTTGCTTTTCCATGACACACCAGGCACGGCACCAGCTTCCCTGATTGGAGCCTTGGGACTGCTGACGACTTCTCGCAGCTTGTAGCTTGCAGCTTGCAGGTAACCAACAGGAGATGATCGGGGATGGGTGCTGCCGATTCAACCGACTGTAACACAAGCGACTCGCCCTGGTTCAGAGGCCAGCGTTGGTTCTTCAAAGCAGCGACTGGCATGCCACCACCATATTCAACGAATCAATAGCCCCTTTCTGAAGGAAGCAGGTGGCACAGCAACTCGGCGTCCATCAGCAGAGCAACCGCACGAACCGAACGAGATTGGTCTGGCTTCCTCCAGGATGTCGTACAAAATCATAAATGGCGTTCGTGAAGCCCTGAAACCATTGGGGCTTTCTCCCCAGTGCGGGGAAATGCCAGCTCATCTCGACCCTGGACCAAACGTCCGACTGTGGTTCGTTTCCCCAAGGGAAAAATCATGCCAACTTGTTGGACGATCATGTAGCCACGATTCAAAGAAGGTATGTTTGGTGGATCCTTTTCCACCTCTGGTCCAAAGAGAAGCAGTCTTTCTCGGGAGCAGCCGCCTCCCAACACGGGAAACGTTTTGACCTCCTGTCCTTGGACACCTTTTTTAAATAATTGACGCCGATCAGGAGTTGCTCAGTTTAACCTCTTCTTGGACATAGTCGCGAGCCAGCCGCCCTTGAAATAAAAAACCTGCCGTTCGTTCCTGGAAAGAATTGGTCCCTGCGTCAGCCAATTATTAAAAGCAATGCCCGTGAGCAGTTTAGCGTAACGTCCAACGGCCGGGCCCGCAAGCAAAAAATAAGACATTAAAGATTTGACGGCGCACAGGTCAAGTGACAGATTACAGCCAGCGAGTTGGCCAATTGCGCCAGAGAAGCCCATGGGAGATATCGACAGCTTCAAAGATGGCGCCAGCGTGGTGCCACAATGTTCGCTATCGTGAGCATCCTGACAACATCGGTTAGGAGAGGATGTTTCCAATGCCGCTGCAAGGTTTCCAAGATTTCGTGTGGGGGAGCTGGTGGACGAACCCTTTGAATGTATACAAATCTCCGATTCGATCCAGAAATAGCCAATGGAAAGGGGAGATGAAAGTGTTCAAGCAGCGTTTGGCAAGGGTAGGGAAGCAATGCGGCGAAGATCATTTGGACGGCCTCGGGGACTTAAGCGTAACTTGGCCATGGCGACCGTAGTGAAGAAACTTTGTCGGCGTTCAAAATAGATTTGTGAACAAGAGCGATAGGCGAAAAGAACTTCTTCCAACTGATTTCGGCGAAGCGAAGTTTGCGAGCGAAATCCCGTACTGGGAAAAGGAGAGACTTCTTGGCGCGGGTGGCAGAACAACAAGCGACATGAAGCCATTCCAAGCCGTCACGAGGTTGGCGACGACGAGCTCCTCGGCCGAAATAGGGAAAGTGGCATATCAGAAGACCCATCTCGACGACGCCATCACGTCAATCGTGGCTCCAGGGAAGCTGAATGACTGAAACTGGCAGCGCAGACTTCGGCAAGCCACGACCACGAGAAAAAGAAAACGTGGGGGCTTGCGTCTTCGCACCCTGGACCTTGGACGATGATTTGACTGAGAAGATGCATCAGATGCAGGCAGGGGAGAAGTGATCCAACCCTGGCAGCAGCCAATGGAGGTGAGACACGGTCGGCGCGAGAACCGGGGAGGATCTGGAAAACGACGAATGATATGCTGCTCTCTCCCTTGTCAGATTACCGATGAGATGTTCGTCATTTGGGGGTCTGTGTGCTTGCAGTAGCGTTTACCCCTCCCATGTGGATTGGGGTGGTGGTGTGGAGAAAAAAAGAAAGGAATGGTTCATGAGCTGAGTAAGACAGAGGAGAAGCCTTCCCTAAGGCGGATTCGAACGATCGCAGGGCGGGGATTTTCTGCAGCAATGTTTTTGAGATGTGATTGAAGTTTTTTGTGGAGTAGTTGCCACGAGGCGCCATGTGAGTGTTGGTCAAATGTTCTCTTCCATCACCATCTGAAGAAGATTGAATGAATCTTGAAACTGCTCCAAACTCAGGATACAAAGCGGCACAACCATGTACCTGCGAAGACATCAGTGCGCAGAAGTGTCGTCAGTACCACCATGGTGGTTGCTGAATTTCGATGCGCTTCTCGCGTCCGCACAAAATCATAAACGGACGGGTTGATAACCATCCGCGATTCCGCATGGGTACAACCGAAACTAAGGGGGGTCCTCTTTTTAGAGTTGGATTTAGCGTCGCCCGCGGGCCGCTCGGCGCACATGACTACAGTTTGGAGATTGATCGAGTCTTGGAGACTTCGATATGGACGAGGAGAGTAGGTACTCCGTACTGCATGCGTGCTGCATGATCGAGAGTTCATGGATGCTAAGATAGGATGAAATGCTTCATCTCGACCCTCGTCTATCTGTCCGGAATGATCCTGAGTTTTTGCGATGTCATGTCAATCAATAGATAAGCCACAATCGTAGGTTAGCAGCAAGGGAATATACGAGCCGTAGAGAACCTCTGACATCGTTTCCTGGTAAGCCTGACGCTTGTAGCAGACTGACGGTTTCATTTTCTCCTCCTTTCTTCTATTCTTGGCCGACGTTCAAAAATTCAATACTTGATGACAGTCAAGAACGCCTCTCTGGCGAAAGGGGTCAGCCGTGTTTCCATACGAGCTGAGCAGGTGGACGATGATTCAGCTCCTCGACCGTGCCCTCAGAAGATGTGCCCGGTATGACCGATCAGAGCTGAGACTTGATGCTCATCCCAATCTTCACCCGCGATTTCAAGACCCCATGGCTGATTCATGCCATCATCGAAACCGTCCCCATCATGTGCATGCTGACGTTTGGGGCACAATCTTTGAAATCGTCGCATTCATCCGGACAGTGGTTGGAAACTAGTGTATCTGCACAACTTGTTCGGCCGCTTTGATGAGCAGATTTATGTTTCGTCGGTTTGAGTTCAAACTTTGAACTTTGAAGCGAACCCCCACGTAATCCTCACGATTCCAACAGGTTTCTCACACTGTGGATCGGCCGCCCAGCATTTTGGATTTCCCGGCCTGCACTTCGAAAAAGCGTAAATATAGCCGCCTCGAATAAAGTAATGATAGCAATTTGGAGATGGGCTTTGGCGGCTTTGGCATTGACTTTAGCCTGGAGATCCAGACAAACTCCGATCGTACCGCAAACGAGAGGTCGTGATTGGTACCAGATCTTAAGATAGGGTGTAGGTTGTATGTTGCGGTTCCCTGGTGCGGCAATTGATTGCGTGCCTAAGTTGAACATGAAGGTGGGATAGGAGAAGGAGTGGGGTTGTGATGACGACGAGACAGTTTGCATTCTGCACGTCTTTATGAGGGTGCAGCACAGTGGAGAGTCCGCGACCCAGCAAATAAATTACTTGCAGTCGTAATTTACTCTGCATTCTTCAGGCTGTGGTGAAGTTGTCCAGTCGATGCCACTGTCCAGATACCTCTCCTTGATAGTAAGAAACATGATGATGTCTCACTTTGATCGTCCCCGCTGCATGAAATTGACCCACTGCTGTGGTATGCTAGCTGTCTCTGAAACCAATAGCAGCGAACGTTCTTCACACCCTCAACATTGGAGAGGAATTCAACTGAAGCCTTCTCATGTACGGTTGTGGTTTGTTAGACGGCATTTTGCCTTCGCGGGCACCGAGGGAGGGATCAAGTCGGCGCTGCTGGTTGGCTTGTCGAGCATCAGGGATAAGGAAGATCATATTTCAGGGTAATAATCTCCGCTGCAGTGGGTTACCTTTTTCGCCCTTGCCGCCGCTGCAGAGAAATTGTTATTTCCGCTGCTGAAGCTTTAAGCCAGTCGTCAAATTGTCGTGGATGATGTTCATTACTGCTCAAGGCTCTTGTCCATTTGACTTGGTTGTCCAGCACCAATTTGGAACATTAAGGGTCTGATCGCTTCCAGCTAGACGCGCATCGCTGAAAAGAATCTATCGCCGGCGGCAAGCGTAGCAAATGATTTTTAGGCCTTGCCATATCAGGATGTTCAAGCCTCCAAGGCCATGTCTCATCTCATCGGCTTTTGACGATGTTGATGGCTGGCGGACAGATCCAATTTGGCTCAATGTCAAGCTAATTCTGGAGATTATCCTCCGTAGGAACGCATTGAACACAGTGCATCCCGCTTTGTATCCCCGTGCTTTCAGTGGAGACGCGCGCGTGGATTATGACGATCTCGCTACTCCATATTGAAACGTGCGCCAGTAGGGTCGGACATCGAAGTTTGATACTAAGTACGTGGTCGACTGCTTGAGGCACCGACGTGGGTATGGGGGGGGCAGATAGTTTCTGCAAAACTGGCATCATGGAAGGCTAGGTAAACCTTCTCTGGTCGGTGCCTGCATAGCCGTCACCCGTTCTCCACCACCAGCTCTGCTGAAGATTCATGGACACCTGGTCGAATGAGACATCTGCTTGTGAACCACCAGAACAGACAGGAGCCAACAGCAGCCAGCAGCAGTGGTCGTCCCAGTGACTTGGCAACCCAGATTGGACGACGGCATGCTGCCGAAGCAGCGGTCCAATTGCACTCCAGAGACGGCCTCGACGGGCCATCTCCAGTGCGCGCGGGCAGAACCGCAATGGACGAGGGCATCGTACCGCAGGTCCACAGTGAGGGGAACCTCACGACGCCCTCGATGCAGACCGATCCGCATTCAGAAAAGGCTGGCAAATGATTGGGGAGGTGCAGCACGGGCCAATCAGACCGCGGCGAGCCGTATGCTGGCTGGAGGCAATCTGGTTAGGCGCGTTTCTCGTGCCCAGTCAGAGGAGAGACACTCTGCTCGATCTGACTGGGAGGGCAGCCTGCCTGCTGCCACTTTAAGCAGGCAGATGAGACCCTTCTCGCTTCTGTGGTCAATGCTCATTATTGCTCACCAAGCCAGACTCAGCGTCTCAGCTTTGAAGCGTGCACAAGGTGTCAAGGTTGGAGCGGCAGGGCAGGGCAGGGCAGGCTGGCGAGGCAAGGCCAAGATAGGGTACGGCAATTGCTGCTATTTACATTGCATCGCCTGCAAATGGGGTGCCCTGCTTGCCCTGCTGCGCTGGAGTGGCGGCTTGCTGTCTTACCGAGCCTGCAGAGAGTTTCTTTGGCCCTGAGCAAGCTGCTGCTACAACGGAGGACTGCACGTGAGTGCAAAAAGGAGGGCTGAAGATATCGGCAAAACTCCTTCGTTGTGTGCTTGAAGGCTGGCGAGATACCTGGTGAGGTGGGCCTGGTGCAATTGCACACTCCGGCCAGGTTGATGGGAATCGTGCGTGAGCAACCCCCAGACAATGACGACCGCCGACTGCCCCATGGCCCCAATCCAAGCAGGCTGGAGGTGTTGTTCCCTGTGCAAATTTGGCATCCTGACCTGGCCTGACGGGGTGGTGTTGCAGGGGCGAATCTGCGACAGTGCGACGCCGAGAGCAGAGAACAGAGAACAGACAGAGAGCGCCCTTCCCCACTCCCTCACTCCCTCCAGCATTCCTGTGAGAGCGAGCAGAGACCAGCAGCAGAGACCAGCAACAGAGACCAGCAGCGCAGCAAAGGGCGGCCAGCAGAAGGCACCCCGGCCGGTGAGTCCCTGTAGGAAAATGCTGCATGCACTCTGCAGAGCCCTGCCAGTGCAGGTGACGCCAATGCGGGCCTCGCTGGCCCTAACCGCATCCTGTCCTCTCCCAAACACATCCCACGTCGCCGCCGTAAGCCCGCCCGCCGGCTCGCTGCTTGAAGCCATTGACAAGAAGTGGAGCGGCGAGTGCAGCGGCGGCAGCAGGGTGTGCAGCGCCAAAGCAGCGGTGTTTCCGTCGAGAGTTGCAGCAGCGCAAGCGTGCAAATGGACCAAGCCTAAAAGGGTCTGCTCAAATCCGCTCCACCTGCCCACCCCCGCCAGCCAGCCAAGCCAGCCAGAAATTCTGCTGCTGCCACACCACCAGCACCACCAGGCTCGAACCAGCAGCCAGCAGCCAGCAACCAGCAGCCCGCAGCCCACCCTCAGACTGCCTGCCTGACGCTGCTCCACAGAGGCGCGCCATCCCCGAAACGGCTTGGCTTCGAGGGAAAAAGCCATCTGCAGACCCCCCCAGCACTTGCTGCTGCAAGGACCAGGCAAACTCCCAGTCCACGACCAACTCGACCCATTTGTATATGTTGAACCTCCTCCTCCTCGTCCCGCCCTGCTGCACAGAGATCACCATCTCCAAGATTCTACTCCTCCGCACTAGATGAAGGGATTGACACCATTCCTCTACTCTTTGTCGTCAACATCTACCGCATCACACATCACATCATTCCCTCCCACAATTAGAGCATCTGCCCTCTGCAACGCTGCCACAGCCGCCTCACCAAGTCCGCCCTCATTCTCTCACCTCGCACAAGGCTCCACATTTTGAGTCACACCATTCGCACTTCACCGAGCTCGGGTACGACGAATTCAACCAGAGAAAAACGCCATAGCTTCGTTGGAAACTTCTTAAAGCAACTCGTCCCGCCTTCACTTCGACACGATCCTTCTTTCAACATTTCCTCCACCCTCAACCTTCCAGCTCCTCAGCACAATTACACATCCACACAATGACGATCGATATGGATTGGTCACCAGCCTTCTGCCTCGCCTGTGACAGGCAAACTGACGGAAACGTCTACTGCTCTGAAGCCTGCCGTCTTGCGGAGTACGAAGTTGCATCGAATCCTGGCTCCACAGCCTCGTCACCAACATCTCCTCGTGGGCCAGCCTCTTGGTCGACAAAGAAGCCATCAAATGGTTTCTTCATGGAGCCAGCGTACAACTTCAGCAACGCACAACCCTACGGCACGACTCCCTCACCCCGAGCGTCCCACTTCTACCAATCCTCGCGGCCACGATCCTCACCAGTCACTTTCAGCACCAAGCCAGTGTTGACTCCTTCGAGCTCACAATCAAGCCTGTTCTCCATGCAGAGCACCCACTCGTCCATATCCGCCGAACCCATCCAGCTTTCGGACGAATCCAGGAAGGCTTTGAGGGCGTACGCCAGCTCCTTTGATCAGTCTCGATACTCCAGGAGGCAATCAACTTAAACCTCCCTCAATCTACCACATCTCTCTCGATTTACACCGATTTGCATATTACGGCGTTCTCAGACTTTCCACTTACGACACAAATACCCATACCTCCTCTCACGTTCTTCATCAGGACCGGCGTTCTAATACGATATGGGTTGTACAAAAAGCATTGTATGGAGCATACATCACATCTCGTCTCGGCATCAAAAAATTTCCTTGGGTCACCAGCATTGGAGCATCGGGGGCAGGAGCGACATTCGTTCCGATAACACGGACTTTTACAAATTTCTTTTTCTCAAACCTTGGGCATCTTCAGCATCGGACGGACACAGGATATCATACCACAAGGGAGCAAGGACAGCATCAGGAGCAACTTGCAGGATTGGGAGAAGGGCGCTTGGATGACACATTACCATGTTTCTGGCTTTGCAGTCTCCGTGTTGTCAGCGATACTTTTGTTTAGAGACCTACACAGGTCCAATTTGGAATTGCAATTGTCATCTTCCCCTCGTCTCGTCATGGGATATATCCGAGCCTCCCTCGTTGGGAGGATCGGTAAGACGAGCTTAGTATAGCAATCAAACATCACCATGTCTCGCCTGCACATCATGGCGAGACAGAGTCTCAAACTCACACACACATTTCTCGGTCATCGCCGCCACCATCTGTGGACTTGTGATCAAAGCCTGATTCTATCTAATTTCAAATCTCACCATCATTAATAATGGCAATCCCATCCTGACAGAATGTCATCATGACTTACGGTACTTAGCAGTCTCAGAAGAATAGTATCACGGGGTCCGAGACCTCATTAGTCGCTCTCGCTCTCGCTATCACCACGTCCGTCCGTAGCTTGTCCGGAGCTCTCTCCTTTCCGTCCCTTCCTACTGTCACTTTACCACTCTCAACGTTGATTCCAAACCGCTAAGGAGTCACGCGGGAAGATCTAGAAGCAAAATCCGGGGAAGCCACCTTCCGCCCGACGAGTCTGGATGCCAGCCATCTTCAGGAGTCACCCCGCGGAATTGACATTGGGGATGGGACTTACCGCTCCCATCCCACTGAATTTCTTTGCCGCCCTGATCCGGGAGAAGAAATTTCTTCCACGTCAAATTTCATTTTCATTCTATTATTGATTTGAAGGAGTCTACGGGAGTTCGGAGGACAGGGGACTGGTCACGATACAGCTAGAAGATGGAAATGGCGTTTTGGGGGCAAAACATTTCACATTTTGTAACTCGGATGAGCCGGGACAGAGCGGCGAGACGGCACCAAGGGGAATTCTCAGCACGCACGGGATCGGCTTGGGCTTTGTCGATCGATGCAAGCGAGGAGCGATGATCTTCTCTTGCGCGTGGTTCGCGAGCTCGTTGGGTTCTATTTTCCCCTCATCCAATTGAGGGGTACCAAGACACAATTCTCCAGCAGGCTGGTTGGATGCGGACAAGTATCAATTACACAACCAAAACTAGTAATACGTCCATCGAGGTACGTCCATCTGCATGGCATCATCAACCCGCACGCATGATCTGGACAACTCACCATCGCACGTGCAATAACGGTTTGCCATGCAATCGTTCCACCAGCAAACCCTTCCTTCGCTGCAAATAGAGTGCAGCTAGTTAGTGCTCACCCCAAGATTCTCGCGGGTGTGGAGCTTGAATGATGTGTTGAACAGCTTCATGGGTCATGCTTCCGCAAACAAAGATACTCAAACGTTCGGCTCCACAATGATACCATCATGCTTCTGCCACAACTCACTGCATACGATCTCCACTCAAAACCAAGCTCTACTTCCACATACATATTGAAAATATGCGAGCGAGCAAGGAGTGCCTGAAACAGAGCACTATGCGGAAGCAAACCGGTGCCCAACTCCCGGGTGAAGAGAGTTTGGGGCATTGCGCAATGCCAGCCCTCAACAAAGGAAGGGCTGGAGGCTTGCCGAAGGCTTGCGGGAGTGCCGCAACAACCCAAACCATATCAAATCAAAAAGATTATTGAACTTTCCCATCAACTTCCTCCCCGTGATTGGGTACCCGGCAAACGCCCGGAAGGCAGCTGGGATAATGCCTTGGAAGGTAAGCACGATACAGAACGCACCTCATGCCTCTCCTCCTCCACTCACAGCCCGTCTTTCGCACAACAAAACAGCCATCCCCTTCCCTTCCGACAGACTTTCCCATATTTTATGCCCACCTATTAATAATATCCCTGCTCCACCGTTGTTCAACTCAAAATCTTAACACTGCGAACTTAATCTTGGTAAGCTCGTTTCAGATCCCTCTGCTCTGTACAGGAGGGAAGGCGATTGGGTGGGAGAGGGAAGGAGGGGCGTCTATGCGTGGCGATCCCGCGGCCCTTGTCCTTGTCCCGGGCCTGATTCTTTGCTTTGCAGGGCTGAACGCGGCCCCCAAACTCCATATCTGAAAATTCTCTTTCATAAAATAAAGTTTGGTTGGATAAGGACAGGGAAGAAGTCTTCCGTTTTCATGCAACGATCAGAGGCAAGATCACGGGTATTGGGGGGCGCTTTTTCAATATGGGAATAAGAGGGCGCGGCGTTTGGAGGGTGAGGGTGAGGGTGAGGCGGTTGTTACGTTATGCTGATGCAGAGGATGATGTGACGCCTCCTGATGAGGTGAGGACAAGACAGGCACGGCTTCAGGTACAGCACCAAGCAAAGCAGCGAAACAGACGAACGGAACCCCTTCTGCGAACCGGACCGCGAGGGGAAATTCCCCGATGAGTGGCCCCCGCAGGCCTTTAAATCCAATGGGCAAGGCGAGTTGCGAGCTTCGAGCTCAGCAAAACAAAGGCATTGGATGCTGGCCTCACACGTATATTCTTGCGGGCCCAGTCCTGGAGCCCGGGGCGTGCTTGATGACTGCTTGCATGCGCTTTTAGGATGTATGTTTCGAAACAATTACCTTGCTGATTGGCAGTCAACCCTGCTGTATTACAAGACGGAATGGGTAATTCCCAACGTCAGTTCCCAGCTGAGTGGTGCCTAGAGAAAGGCCCAGCATTTCCACGCGCTACGCTTCCGTGGGTGAAAAATTTTCATTTGTTCGTTTGGAGGTGTGGTCTGAGGTCGTTTGTGACTCCCAACGGAACAGATCAGTGGTTGTTTTTAACAGAGGTGTTGCTGGGGAAATTGGGAAAGAGAAGGAGTCATCGCTATGACACATCTACGTACCCCCAAACCCTCTGGAATGAGAGTGTGTGAAGTGTCACTCACCTCCCCTTGCCAACCGAAAAGGTTTTCCGCACCGTTTCAACATTATTCAAAATCCTCTGAACCTTCTTTCCAAATCCTTCTCCCCAGCTCGTCGGCGAATAAAAAGACGGTCGTTACAATGGCAATGTGGCAAATGGGGCAACGTTCTAGACTTCTGCAAGCCGTGGGTCGGGGGGGTGGGAGCACAGGCCGATGCTCGGTCTGGACCGACTTCCGGGTGCTTGAGGCTGATGGTCGTCCCGCTGTCAAGCAGGGTTCATACCCGATACGTAGAGCTTGTGGAAGGAGGACCCTCAGGCCATCCTTCCATGTTCATGTGCGATCCGGGCTGAGCTGAGCTGTCTCTTCTGACTTTGTACAGTAGGGTGCCATAAGTATTCGCACATGGCCCGTGCGGACCCACTGTATTCAACCAACTACAGATTCACACTGAGACTTCTAAGAGAAGTGATTGGCTGATGAGCACAGACCCTGTGCGAATACTTATGGCACCCTACTGTAAGTATCACTTGTTGTCTTAGGGTTCGTCATTTGAGACAGCGCTTAGCTGAAGAGTTTTTCTTCTCGCTTGAGAACCCGAGTGGGACTGATTGATTGATTGATTGATTGACCTTGCTTTTTCCCTTTGGTCGATTGAGTTTGTGTCTGTGGGATTGGCTCCAGGTACAGATGTCGTCGCCGGGGAAGATCCTGGCACCATGGTGAACCGTGAAGGTGTTCGTTCGTGGGTCTGGGAAAACGCTTTCGGTCCTACTCGATCTCGATCTCGGGATCTAAGACATGCTGCCGGTGAATGAAGATTATGTTTTGTTTTCAGGTACGAGGCTACCTACCCGTCTACCTTACTTGCCAATCATTGTGCAGAATTGGGGGCAGAGAGGGTGTGCCGCCCTGGGATTTGGAATCTGGTTCGAAGTTCATGATTTGTTGGTAGGGAAAAGTTCCCTCTTGTTTACTTTTTCTGTTATGCAGGCTTGCGCAGTGCTTATGGGAGCTGAGCCAATTCGGACCCTTTTCGATTGTGCGTACTCGATCTTCGTCTCAGATCGATGGCTGCAAGGCTTGGGGCCCGTGTCTTCAGGTCGAAGATGTTGAGAAACATGTCATTTGTACTCAGCCTCTTGAAGACGAACTGCTCACCTATCACAAAACCAAAGCCTCGCTATTCTCATTCTGGCAGTCCCATCCCTTTGCAAGACATCAGTACCTGCCACGAACGCCTTTTCTTTTTCTCGTTTTTCGATCACACAAAGACCGGCGTCCCCACAGAGAGCTGTCTTGTCTCAAATTCTCTCCCGGTGTCGTACAACAGCTCTCTCCCTGCTTTTTCCAAACCCCTAGTTTCTCAATCTCGCACTATACAACTCCGCTTGCGAAACTTCCTTCTCTACCACGTGAGTGTACTCCTGCTGCTCTAAGCTCCCTCTCAAACTCTGCATCCGCAGCTTCAACGTCTCACTGCTTCACCAAAGAATGGCAAGTGTCATCGCATGCACTCGGGCCTCCAAGACGACCCGATCCTGCGAGCAAAAGCCCGCTGCAAACCGTGTTTCTCCGCAGGTGCTATTGTCTGTTGTCTGGATGCATGCAAGGGAGGGGTTTTACAACAGCAAAGGAACGTAGCGGGGCACGTGAGGAAAATGTGGCTTCGACTCCCTGTTCTGTTTCGGGCACGTGCAGCGAATGCTGTGCTCCGCAAACATCGCTCTCACGTTCTTTCTTTGTGTTGTTGGATATCGGCGGGCCCGGTGCGTGTCAAGTATTAACAGTGGCACAGCATTCGAGGCTCTCGTGCGCCCATCACGTGTTTGCTGTTTCACCTGCGTTAAACCAAGGGAGGCGTCGAACGAGTTCTCGTTCTCAAGGGGCACAGCATCAGCGAGATTTGATGTCAAGTCAACACCGATGCTGCCCGAGGGATGCAACGCTATTGCTGTTGTGCTTTGGCGCACAGCAAAAGCGCTCCACACCTCACGTGTTTGCTCCCCCAAGGTGAAAGTTGACAAGACCTTCGTCCCACGAGTGTGGACGACGAGGGCAAGTGCTACCGAGTCGGGAGCTTGCATAGAATAGACTTGTGGTCAGTGATAATGCTGGCAGCCGGTGTGATGCAAGGGCGTATGTAGTGTGAGAGTTGTCATGTGCTTTTATGTTGCTGCTCTAAGATTAGTGTTTTTAGTGTTTTCAGTGTTGATATTACTATTTTATACAATGGCAAAGAGGTCAGAAGGAGGAGGAATGAATGTGTTAGCTAGGCTAGGACAATTGAAGTTACAAAAGTACCAGAAAGCCTGGAATAATGGAATTGTAGCTTCCAAGCTTGTGTGAGTTACTCAATTGTCCCAAGGACTTCTGGTACATTTGAAGCACACATCATGAGCAGGGAATTCACTGGCAGTACACCATGACTTTGGAGTCGAAGAACACTAGACTTGAGTTGGATATCTATGCAACTTAAAACGATGACCCAAATTGTGGGTTTGGAAGACTCGGAATTAGACCTTCCACCACCAAGAGCAAGACAAGGAGAGGGTGAGGGTATCCATTCACGCTATTCTTGAGACCACTACAAAAGGCTTGGTTAAATTGAGATCGACATTCAATGTCTTCACTAAAACATTTCTGTCCTTGAATCTTTTTCGCCTGTTTTCCCCAGTGGGTAGCGATGTCGTTACAGGCTGACAGCGACACCAATATTGACAACGGAAATCTCGTCCGGACCTCACCCACGCGAATATGGGCGTTGTCTGTATGCACATCAATGAATCGCAAGTAGCAATATACCTTGCGCATAGCACGACCGTCATCTTCTTTTATTCTCTGGCTTGTCCTTAATCGTGCCTTGCCATATTGTCGACAAGATGGGTTTTTGCTATTTGCAAAGTCATAATTAGGGAATGCAGGACTCCTTTATACTTACTTTCGATTTGTGTCATGAAACGACTCTACGGTAGTTTGTTCTTTCCTTAATTGGGTAAGGAAATATTACACCTTTGCTCAAGATAGCAAAATTCGTCCTCTCTTCCAGAGGGCAAAGATGTCCCCACACAAATGTGGCAAGGTTCTTTGACGAAGGAGCTCACAGCCAATGGGAAATAGCGCGGACCCCATCGTTATCTCTCCTACTTAAAATCGCTCGTAGTCAGGTCCAGGAATCTATGGAACAATGTAGTGGCAAGGAACAAGGCGAATTCCTTCAAACCGTTTCTATAGATCTCCAATGTCTTCACAACTTCACAAGGCACTAAAACTGGTATATGCATTACTTTCTTATACGTATCTTTTCACTAACTTTTCACTAACTTTTCACTAACTTTCCACCCTTACAACTTCCCTATTTCAAGTCTAATTATAATAAAAAGTAAACTTAAATACTCGTATATATAAGCCCTTCTTAATTATAGAAGGTCTTTCTCTTTATAAGCGTAATTCTTAAATTACAAAATTTATTAATTTGGGGGGGGGGGGGGGGGGGGGGGTAAAGCAAGGCAATCTAGAAAATTTGATTTTGGTGAGAATTTCATTAGAAATGGCCGCATTTCAATACTCTCCGAGCCAAATTTTGTTCCCCTAATCCCAAAAGATACTTTATACTCTCAGCTAAGTCCTGAGATTAGGGAGACAAAATTTGGTTTGAAGAATATTATGATATAGCCATTTCTAATGAAACTCTCACTAAAATCGGCTTTTGAGGGTTGGACTCTACGGGGTCCGCCCCGTCCCTCCCAAATCGACAATTTCGTAAGTTAACAACTACGCTTAGGAATATAAATAGTTTCTATATTTTTGAAGGACTCGTATAGGCGAGTATTTGAGTCCACTTTTCATTATAATCAGACTTGAAATGGGGAAGTTGTGAGGGTGGAAAGTCGGCAGGAAAGGTGCGCACAAGAAAGTGGTGCGCACGCAGTTTTAGCGCCGAAATCTGTAATTGGTACAAGTAGTTGTAGTCCAAACACTAAACGTTTTGGTTTGGACTGCGTTAAGAACCACTAAAAGAAACCAATTTTTCGACTCTGAATCTTCTTCATCTCTTTCAAAAATTTCCATTTCCCAACTTCACCACACTATGGCATCCAGGCCCCCAATTCCCGAGCGCTATAGTTCCATCGTCCCACCATCCGGTCTAAAGGACATGGAGATATTATCCAAGCGCACAGCATCCGCAATGACTGCAATATCTCAGCTATCGACCACAAGCTCTACCAATGATTTCCTTGATGCGAAGATTGAGAGCATCTCGGCCGATCTCGCTGTCAATAGCAAGTTCAAAGACTATTTTGAAAACGCCAAAAAACGCAAGGCCCTAGCCGATGAAGATTATGACGATGCCGTAAAAGAATTAGAGTTGGAAGTTAACCAAAAGGAGCGAGAGTTAATAACTCTCAGGCGCCAGAAGAAGATAATCTCGGATGATATTGATGAAGTTTTGCCACAATACTCTACTGTCGAGGGTGCATACTCTTCTGTGTTGATGGCGAAGATCATGTCCGCGTCTGGCAAGCAGAGAAAAGGAAAGAAATTCGATCAGAGTGCATATTCAAAGGCGGTACTTTCATTCTACGGTGCAATACGACGTACAGATTCTGGATTGGTTGAAAAATATTGTCATCTCACTGGATGGCAGCCCGAGAAACACGTCAAGTGTGCCCATCTGGTCCCGAAATCCCTCGAGTCAGACGAGCTTGCATATCTCTTTGGCGTTCGTGAAACTGTTCTATCTGAGCCTCGTAATAGTATGTTTGCTACTCTTTAACTCTCATTGAGCACGTTTCTAATCTAAGTGCGAAGGAATTACACTTAATACGGTTATTAAAGGCGGCTTAGATAATGGTTGGATTGTGCTCGTTCCCAACAAGCCGAAGACCGGAGAAGAACCTGTTTGGCGATGTGTGTTGGTTGATCATTCGATTGCCTCCAATATGATTAGTATTGGACTAAAGTGGGGAGTATGTTTATTGAATCCCTAGCCCGAGTTTACTAAATAATGGAATTGTGCTGACAATTGCTTCAGGACATCGATGGAAAGACTCTCGAATTCCTCACACCTAACCGACCAGCTCGCAGATATTTATATCTTCGATATGTAATCACCTTTTTACACCAACAGAAGCTGGGAAATGTAGAATGGCTGCGTCGTGTTGAGGCAAGAGGTTACGTCTGGGCTACACCAGGCCCATACCTTCGAAAATCAATGCTGCTCACTCTAGCAAGGCGAATCTCTGACCAGTTTTTACCCGAAGTGTTCTATGACTCGACATTCACAATTGTAGACGGTTGCCCGCAGCGCAGCCCAGAAGATGAAGAGGACCTCGCTATGGGATTTGATCATAAGATACAGGACGCTCTAGCTGAAATCGGTGGAGACGAAGAAGGAAGTGGAGATGATGAGGAAAGTGGAGATGATGAGGAAAGTGGAGATGAAGGAAATAATGATTAAAACAGGTTTAATTAAAGTAACTTCACTAAATAAATTGCAAGCTTCGAGTGGCCTTTTATATGAAGTATCCCTCTAAATACATCTCTAGATTACGCATAAATGGGAAAGCAGGGATTCAAAACGAATTCCTAAAACAATACTCGAACACTTAATCTTATTTTAGTTATTACTTTAGGGTTCAAATTTTCATTGTTACTTAGCTCGACCAGACTAACCCAAAACGAAACCCTTTAGAAAATAGAGGCCCAAGCCTCAAGTTTCCGGGGTATTTTGTTTGGTATTAATTGACTTATAAGCAAATTACATCAATCCAGAGCAACGTGCGTGGCTGATTCTTGTTATTGTGAGGGAATAATAGTAAGGTGATAATTTTCAATATACGAAATAGATTCTCACGGATACTGAAAGTCTTCCCATTAACGAAGATTATAAGTATCTTATCCGTCGCTTGCCCCTAGGTATATGAAAGAGCAAAATATACAAGCTTTTCCCGAAGCATCTTATAAACCAGGTTATATTATATAATACTATGACCATTGTAGCCTTCTTCAAATAATAGAAGTCGAATACTATTCACCGATTTATCTAGCGAATTATACGTAAACCCGGATGTTTCCTTCGCCGGTATTTGAACAATTTCATTGCGGGATACTAGAAATATGGCTTGTAAGGATATCTTGTCGTTTCTGGACTTGTTCCTAGCCTATTTTGCGCTTAGGAGCCTATAAAATATGCTCTCCCTGTCTTCCATGCCGGAATGTTTCCTTATCAAAGCTAGATCAAGCGCGCGCTATAGATCGATGTATTCTCTTGATATAGGAGTCTGAGGCTCTGAAAAAGAAAGACGTACCAAACCCTATAACATTTTGAAAAGGCTTCAAGAGTTTGTAGCCCGGTGACTGGTAGCGAGGCGAAGACTTGCCCCACCGCCGCGGCTTGGCGAGCACACAGACATCGTTGGGATTCAGGTTAAATAACAATGATTGAGAAGTGCAGGTGGTATGGTACTAGCAACACAATAAATTTTGTACACAAGCATTCATGCTCACAGCACATTGAAACAAATACGTGTCCTTAAGGTTATAGTGCGCTAGCTAAGCATTGCAAACTACGGAGTTGCTGGAGCAGAGTGGAACACTTTGAGGTTAGGGGCGGATCTGAGTTGAACCATTTTATAATAACGAAATTCGAGATCTGTGTTGGGCTATCCACCCTTAGACACTCACAGATCTCAAAAAGAAGTACCTTCCGAAAGCTCGATGAATCGACCCCTTTGAACCTTTAAGGATTTCGCAAGCCTTGCACCTTGGTACGAACTCGGCCCTTCGGAATTCTCTTTGTGCAGAATATCGCAAGTGCGCTTGTTCATAATTTGAGCTTGAGACAGTCAACTTCACTGCCCCGTTGAAGCTCCAAAGCATTCTTGTGGGAGGAATCTTGGTGAGTGAATACTGAACACTGAATTGCATATAATAGGAGGTAGAGAACAATAACCACTACGGAACTTGACCTTTTCTCCCCAAAAAAACCAAGGCTCACAAAAGCACCTGTCAGCTGTCTACTACACCGTCCCATACATGAGCGAAGACCAAGCCAAATTGAGACAGTCCTGCCCCTAATCTCGTCGAAGGTCTATTTATAATCGTCTCGCATACATCAAGACTTTTCCAACAATTTTTCCAGAACACTTTGAGGAGACGATGAGGCCAATCACCTCGGAGAAGAAGCCAAAGGATGTGACCTGATGTAGCTAACTCAAGCAGGCCTCCCTCATACCGTCCACCTCTCCTTCACAATCCCCATCCAGCATTCCCACCCCACCAAGCAACCGCGCCAACAGCAGCAGCACCAAGAATACTCGGTGCATACTGCATCGCCGTCAACCACAAAGGCTGGTAGTAAAGACACTCGACATTATTGCCGTCAAGATCCAGGACATAAGCCGCATAGTATCCCTTCGTGTAGTTCCTCTCTCCCGGCTTTCCATTATCCTTTCCTCCCGCCTTCCTGTTCCATTTGTTAGCCTCTTTCTCTCTCTCTTTCTCCTGCGAGCGCCCACTTCCCCGCTCTATGAAAAAGAAATACTTACAAACCGGCCTCGTAGAAAGCCTTCACTTGCTTTTGAGAAGAGGCGGAGAAGCAGATATGCGTCTTACTCACGCCCTCCTTCTCTCCCTCCTTCTCCTTCGGGCAGTGATGCAGCCAGAAATCAGGCGCGCCGTATTTAGGACCCATGCCGACGGTTTCCTCGAGGGAGAGGTAGATGCCGTAGCCGAGGGGCGCGAGGAGGGTGGTGTAGAAGGCGGTCGACTCGGAGAGAGAGGAGACGGGGAGGGAGACGTGTGCTAGAGGCATTGTGATCTGGTTTACGTCTGTGTCTGGTATGAGGTTGGGTGCAGTTGGATGGAAGGATTGAATTGATGCTGGGTTGGATGAGGTTGATGTTGGAAGAGCCTCGAGTGGAAGAAGGGATGAGGTGAATTGCGGGGAGATGGCCTGATAATGTAGGTGACAGGACCACGATTCCAAAGCAGACGTGGTTGCCTACGTGCCGTTCCCCCGCCGAAGGTGCGCGCTGTCATGTGCTTTACTCATTTTCGTGCACCCACACCTCACCAACCACAGCACCTTCACAAAGCCACAAGAAGCGGCAGCACCGTAAGGGTGATGCATCCGAGCCGGCTGAGGCAAGTAGAAGCGAAGTCAGCATCATCGGGAGAGGGTCGGAGATAAGATGGAGTTATTCGCGTCAATATATTATATTGTGCATACAGCTGCTTGTAAGAACGTGCGCTTTTCGCGCTAGTTTCGCGAAAACCACCCTTCCCCCCCCGCACCTCTCTTGAGAACTTGCCCCCTAATAACCTTTTAATTATACTTCTAGCTTATAAACCTCCTTTATATATAAGGAGTGTTTTAGTATCCGGTTCATTTAACCTACTTTTTATGTACTCTAGATTATAGTATTAAATTTAATATAAAACTAATCTTTATTTCTCTTGTAAGGTTCAGGGAAGTCTCCTCTAAATAAGAGGCCCCGATAACCTACATATAATTAGTAATTCATAAGCCTAAAGCCTATAATAAATAGTGGTATGATTATAACATGAGAGAGTTGCCGATCTCCCTAATTAATACCCTCGACACTCGAGGTTTGTCACATGCAGTTTGGTCACGTGTGACCCTGCGCACATCACAATTATATTTACAGCAATCGTATTTTATTACGCATTTTATAGATGTCACGTGAAAGTGTGGCGTTCTTCTATAAGTTTCCATAGGTAGCCACGTTCTGCATGAAGTTACCACTCAGTCATTCCAATCCGCCACAACAAAAACCTCTATCCATCCTCTCCTCCGAAATCCCACTGCGCAATTTAATATTCTTTCTCCGAAGCCTCACAACTTTCCCAAACTCTCACCCCGATTCTGCCCTTCGAGAGCCCGAGCCCTTATATAAGGTTATCGAATTAAGAGAAAAGCTATGCTTTTAATAACAGATACTTGAACTTAGATTATCCTTATAAGCTTGAAGTTTGAAATTTGAGCAAGCGATACGCTGTATACTTACCAAGTTATTTCTTGTCAGACGTTTTGAGTATCCAGCTTAGCCCTCTGATTATGCTCCTTAGTTTAGTCTGTTCGACAAAAGTGGGAGTGAGGATGCATATGTCTAATTTTAATGTATTCATTATAGGTTTAGCTGCCATGTTGCATATTGTAACGTGAATGTATCTTTACGCTGCTTTGGGAAAGTATTTCATTCTGATCCCAGAATCAAAGCTATTTGTCAAGCTAGTCGGTACTGCGAAAAGCGACGGTGTTCCACCAGACAAAAGGCAAATTGTCAACCATAAAAACAAGACCTGCAAAGCTATCTTCGAGCTCTACCTTGCGACGTTGTCTCTTCGTTGTTGTCGATCCGGGTTGGTAGAATTTCCAACTGCCTGGAAAATCTGTGTACAATCTCCCTCCTGATCAAGTCGTTGTGTACTCGTTGCGAGATAATTGGTTGAGATGGTGTGGTTCTGGGAATACTGCCTAGAGAAGAGCCGGATTCGTATTGATGGACTGTGGGATTCGAATCGGCATGCAAAGATGGTCTTCGTGAAGATTGACGGGAGCGCAGCATTTCCTTAGATTTGCTGATGATAAGAAAGTGCACTGGTTTGGTGTTACTGTCCTCTGCCTGTATGCGTTCATAGTGCATAAGACGAGGTGGGGGACTGTCGACAACCTTGCGGATTATAGGCGTGACACTTGCCATTGTCAGGACTTTGTGTGAAACATTGTGCAAGATATCCTGAGGTCTGTTCGGATTGCGCCATTCTACTAGCACCTGGTCCTTACTGAGCCGTGTGATGACCTTGAGATGACCTTTCGCGCCGAACTCAAAAACATCGCCCTCTTTCAAGGCTGTTAAACACCAACCAAATTCATACCTTGGAGCCGAACTAACATGCCTGGAATTCTTGATCCTGTGACGCCATCCACGTAGAGAGTTCGGGACACAGGAACTATTCAGGTGACTCGATGTCTGCAAAAGCGATCCATCACGAATTTGCCTCGGGGGAGAGCTTCCGCCGCCTATATGTTTGGGATCGAAGCGATCTGGTGGATTATGCTGGCATTTCTTGCCTAGGAGCTGATTGGGGAATTCTAGACAATTGCTCTCAAGTACGGCTAGTGTCCCACTATCTTTAGTCTCTTCCAAGAAGCCAATCCAAGATAGTTCTCTCGATCACAAGGTGACTTTCCTCCCTGGCCGAGTATCCGGAGCCCAGAACAATGCAAGGTCTCCCTCTATGGTCTTGCCGGTGTCCTCCAGTATGTCGAAGCCACACCCAATGGCTTTACCTAGATCAGTCTGCCAGCCACGCCGAGACTTATACAGCCTACGGAACGCTTTGTAGTCTGAGTCTTGAAGCGCAGAGTAGAAATTTCTCTCGCATTCTGGGTCGGTCCATTGGATTGATGCATTCAGCAAGTGATTTAGCATAGTCTGCGTCCCAAATAGTTCAATCAGTCTTATCCTGCGGCTATTGTATGTGCATGCGGAAACTTCAAGACCCAACCACTGCTCTAGAACTTCAACATTTCGACTCTCAGAGTCGTTCTTCCAATGGTCGATCAAACATTTCGTCATATACCGCCCGACTCGTAATTTGTATTGTTTTTGAAGACCGCCAGTGACAAATGGTGGTGTAGCCTGCAGTGCCCCTGTTACGGTACTCAATTCCCAGCCAGGACTGACAGTACTAGGTTGGGAAAGAGCTCCAGAGTCCCTAAATCGTTCTCTGAGCTGAGCCGTCGATTCAGGGCATCCGCCTTTGTCTTCCAACCTGACACTGGCTCCTATGAGAAGGATGTCTTTCTCGCGCAGATATGATGCCCTTGCGAAATCCTTGTCTTCGCGGCTCTCTTTGTTTGACATCCAATGACAGACTATTTCACCTTTTAGTATTTCGTCTTTTTGAGCCTTCACTGCGTCTCGTGAGCCCTCCGATCGTGTATGGCAGGGAATTATGACCCCATTCCCAACTTTGTACTGAACGATCCGCTCTTCATCACCAAGAACGGAGGACTTCCACATTGGACCCCAAATGTCCCCAAATGTCATGGCGTCCGTCGACAAAGATAAGTGAGGCGGCTCCTCGAGTCCGAGTAGGCTCGAAAGATACGTATCAAAACTTTCAAGTACCCAAACCTGCTGCCGACCGAGGAATTCGCTGAGACACGAGAAAGATCTTAGACGAACCCCAAAGTACTGCGTCTCCAAGAAAGGGCCTGGTAACGTAACGGACATAACTTGATGATTGCCAAAGACCTGCGTGTGAGCACCAGCGTAGGACAGGACTGCAAAGTCGAGAACATGAACAGTACATCGCCAGAGGTCTTTAAGCTTAATTGGAATTTTCACATCAAGATCGACGAGCAGCTGTCGACAAGCCGCCGAGACCTCACTCGCATATGTACTGACAACCGCAAGCAAGACATCATTAGGAAGGCCAGAGATGATCTGGAAGAGGCATATCTCGAATGTGTTCACCAACTCTTCTATCTTGCCGCATTCAATTCGAACGAGTCTGGCAACATTCTGGCGCGTGCGGTCGAGAACGAGCAGGCTGATAAAGCTCCCACAATAATGTGCCTCTTTCATTGTCTTGATATTCTCCCAGGCCCTAGAATGATGTTGCGGCATTCAATGAAGTTCGCCAATTGATCAAGTACTCGATCATACATTCGATGATCCGCCAGGTGTGGAGATTGGGATGGACCAGGTACGTTCTTGTTTGCCAAATCTGTGACCTCCTGACAAAACCAGAGTATCTCCTCTGTCCCGCATTGTTGGAATGATGCATTCTCGAGAAATGGGGTTTCGAGATCGAAGTCAATCTTGGTATCGAATGGCCGATATTTTGTTCCATCCTATGAAAGTCACAGTGTGCCCTTGTTTTATGGCCGAGTCAGAACTTACGATATATCGCTTGAACACCGAGTTTTGATATATCTTAGATGTCATATCATCTAGCTCCTGGAAGTACTCGGCAGGTCGTGAAAACCGCTTCTCCACGAAGTCTTCCACCGAATCACTCTCTGCAGGAGAAGAAGGCCTCGATGACAGGTATTCCTCGCTGGCAGAGTCGTGAAAGACGTTTGTGTTCTCCGTTCGCCGTATAGCAACGCCCATATGGGCATCTTCCAATTGAAACAAATCACCATCGTCCCTGAAAGGAATGTAGTGCTTGTCGTGGAGGGCGGAATCATCCCAAGCTACTAGTGGAGATACTGATGGACGAGGCTGTCTTCTCTGTCCATCTCTGAAAGTCGAGTCACAGGAAGCTGCTCGCTGTTGGCTTTTTCGAGCATGCTTAGGCCCTGGGTCATTATAGCTGCCTCTCGTAGTACGGCGGAGATCCTCGGACATGGTGACCGGATAGGTACTTCGAAAGGACTCACAGGGTGATCGTTGGTACAAGATAGATATACAATGCCAGAGTTAGGCTCTCATATCCTCGAAGCATAAGGTGTTCAAGTTATACTGTTTAGAAATACGAAAAGAATGTGCTTCAGGTGACGAGGCTGGGGAAATTCGAGCGTGTCGAGTCACCATTTGGCGGGGTAGGGCATCACCGACCTCTCTGTCTGCATCACCCATCGTCTCCTAGCCTGATGGGCTTCGTCGAAAGAAAGCCCCACAAGAGTTCCACTATAGGAAGGGTCAAAAGACAAAGACTTAGATCGTATTTCTGTTGCACATTTTGAGCAGAGCTTTTCGTCGAAATATGTCTTACTGAATATCCGATGGATTGGGCAATAAAAACCTCGCAGGTCAAACCAGAAACTCCGAGTCTATTGAAGGAATACAAGCACGTCACCGCGGATTTCTCAATCCATTCGTCTAATAATCTTCCTCTCGAACATCGTGCGAGTTCCCTCTGTAGTGTTTCTCGTAGTATCGTGTCCCCTAGCATCGTTCTTTGCCGCATTTTACCCACAGTATTGTTCCCTCCGCAGCATTTCACCTTCCGTAGCATTTCCCTTCAGCAACATCGTTCCCCATAGCATTGTCCCCCTGCTCTTTCTGCAATATCGTTCTCCACAGTATTTCCTCTGCAGCATCGTCCCGCATTGTGCTGTATAAGTTGACCGAGGTAGAACTAATGCTCTTTCGAATCCGCGACCTTGTTGTGCTCTTCATGTGCTACTGCTTTGCAGATACTTTATTCTCTTCCTTTGCTGACTACCGATTTACTCGATCGTACTCTGCTATTGAGGTGTATATATATTTCAAGATGCTTGAAGTCAAAGTACCTATTGTTTTTTTTTTCGGCACGCAGGGATGGACGTTACTGGAGAAGGACTCGAGATGGAATAAACGGTCTGACCAGCCTTTATTGATTCCTAACTCTGGATAAGTCCGTTTTGGTTACCTAAAATGTAGTCACTGTATTCCACATGTACTAATCTCATACTAATTAATTCTAGCCTGACATGCAGTATGCATAAGTGATCCTCGAGAGCAATAATAGAGTTTGTAGAGACGTTAGTCAGTCATGAGCTTTCCTATCTCATCAATTAATTCTTGGAGATCCTCGTCGGTAATCTTGTCTGCAAGGGAAGGTATGACAGTCTTTGCTTCATCAGCCTTTTCACAGCAAAGTGAGCCTACTAAGTGTTAGTATATGTAGCTAAACAATAACTAGGATAGAAAATATAGCATATGTACCCAGCTGGGCCTTCTCAAACTTGGCGAGTTCTGGATGAGCATTAAGCAAGCGTTCAACCGCCTCAACGTTTTCCTTCTTCTTGAAACGCGCAAAGGTATCAAGGTAATTAAGAGTTCGGGGTAGTAACCTAATAAAGACAAATCAGCCTGTCTATCTTTTCATATAGATAGCTCTATGAAGCGAATGGGGGGCGTACTCATTCTGGTTCATATTCTTGCCTTCCTTTGTGCGCTTTGCGAGTACGGCGTTAATGACTAGGGAGGCTTCCGATAGAGTCAAGCCGTCGACGTTCTGGAATTCACCTAGGTTGAGAACAGACGTTGCCTCTTCTTCGCCCTCTGGTGGGGGCCTCGACCGCGATGTAGGATCCTGAGGCGACATAACTTAAGCCGTCGAGCCGTCTCTCTTGTGCTCGTTGCTACCGTCGGGAGGGTTTGGAAATGTATATCAACTGTGTGGACAGTTATTGTATAGCAGTTTGGATTCTTTGGCGCCGCTCAATTTCTTGACGGCGGCTCTCGGAGAGGATGTAGCCTTGACCCCTCCACGACCAGATTGACGCCGCTTGTTGCTCAACCAACTGGCCTATAGGTTTTGCGGATCTTACGTTGCCAATCATATGCTAGGAACACACTTTTGGACGAAAGAAGTCGCTAACCTAGCAATACCATTAGATCAAACAGTTTCTGAGTGCATCCTGTTGCCTGGAGTATACACACAGTGACCCAACATATATATAATTCCCCGGCACGAATGAGCAGCAGTTCCAGCAGTGAGTCATCCCTTTTCAAGGTAGATTTATTCTCCCCCAATTGAAGGTGCTTCCTTTCTTATCAGTGTGCATATTGTGGCCTAGACAGTGTGGTCGATAATGAGCCCGGGAATTGGGAGGCCAATAGTAGTATGATACGGGCGGTTCGAATCCGATATCCCACACATCCTCAGCCGCACTCGGCCCGTAGGGTGTAGCTTGCCGCTAACCACCCTCGCTGTTGTCGAAAAACTGTGTCACAGAAAGGGAAAAAAGTAAAACGTCACCCCCCCGAATGTCGATTGGGGACCAGACTAGCCACTAACCCAAAGTAGAGGCGCTCGGACAGAAAGACCAAAATTCTAGCTTTCTCTTTAAATTTAAATTACTTTATAAGTAATTAACAGAATTTGATACTATCTTTGTTTTCTTATAGCGCTAATTAAGGGCTATTTAAATATAAACTTCTTATAAAATATAAATTAGTAATTGTTCTTTAAATTAAAGAAGCTAAAAGGTTAATATTTTATAAGCTAAAGGTAAGCTTGAGAAAGCCTGGAAATTTAATGAACAAGTCCCTAAAACCAGATATAAGAGCCCTATAAGCCCCAAACTTATAGGGCCTTATAAGGCTTAAAAACTAGAACTTTATTAATTAGTATATAAACTCCTTTTAATCAAAAATCTGGTTAAAGAAATCTTTTTATTATAAGTTAAGGAGCACGTGATTATATTATAAGCCTTATGGTATACTAGCTTATACTTATATTAAAAAATCTAACTTAAGGCCTTTGAAGAGCTTAAGTAGCCAATTACAAGTCGCTAATACCCTAGCCCCAAATCGACACCCATAATCGATACTCGGGGGGTGTCGTTTTACATTTCCCCCTTTAAAAGCACGTTACAGGCAAGCCAAAAGAATCAGCAAGGGTGAGGCATCCGAGCTAGCCGAGGCGAGAACCCGGGAAAGCGGTCAGGGTGGTCAGCCTTGTCGGATGCGAGGAGTGACGAGTGACATCTCGCATTTTTGGTGTGTCTGCTGGCTGACTCGTGCGGATGGAGAGGAGATCTTGTTGCAGATAGCACTTGGTGTAACGAAGTTGGGATAGATCATGGGATGGAGGATAGAGTTTGTCAATGCGTTGGATTGCGGGGTCATGTGGGGGTTATCTTGGGAAGACGGTGATGGAAGAGGAAACTTCCTGCTTGGAAAGAAACGGCGTGGAAAATTTGATGGAAGAGAACAATGAACAGCTGGGGGGGGGGAACGTAAGGCAGTTCTTCAGACTCTCACTGAGTCCTCTCTCCCATTCATACGTAGCTGTGAAGCCGCACTTCTTCTCTCCATCTAATATCCAGAACTCCAACCCAATGCAAGTATCCGACATCTAGTAATGCAATGCGCCCAACGCCCAAACCGGACGCCGACCCCTGTGCGCCCGCTTGTGTTTCGAAAGCCCCAAAATCCCTTTTCCGTTTGATGCAAAAGTACAAACTCGTTCCGTGAACCGATTACTACTCAGAAACTGAACAACCCGCTTCTTCTTTTTCCAAGTGGGTATATAATTAGAGCACTCAAGAACAGACCGACGGTGATCCCGATCGCGACTTGGATCATACTGTAGCCGACGTTGAAGACGATGGTGTTGAGATCTGTTGCCGAAGTAACGGAAACCTGTGAGAAATTATATTAGCAAACATTCTCCAAGGTCTTGATCCAGTCCACCAAGTATTCCAGTAAATGGCAGTAACATAGGGAGTAAATAGGGTATGTGTTTCGATAAATAAGTGACAAAATAAACCCCATCGGGAAAGAAACAAACCACGAAAGGAACAACAAACACGTGTTTTGTCGCATTCGCATCATAGAAGCCATGAAAAGGGCGGCCGAAACCATCACCACCATTACTTACAGAACTCGTGCCATTAATCTTCGCCGTTCCATTGGTATACAAAGTCGTATTGGTGATTTGATCCGCGCTGCTGATTCCAGCTAGGAGAGATCCTGAAGCAGCAAGTCCTGATGGGACTTGAACAAAGATGGCTGGTAAGAGAGCAGCCGCAGCGACACCATGTCGCATCCGTGAGTACAAGTTCCCGAGTACACCAACTGCAAGTGCACCGAGGGTGCTGGAGATTTGTGGTGAAGAGGAAAACTTCTTTGCACTGAAGAAGTTGACGACATAACCGGCGAAAGATATTATCAGCATAACTGGGGTCTGCTTCCACTTTGCTTGGTTGATAATACACAAGCAAAGAGTAAACGCTGGCACAAACAGCCATCTGTAATATTGCCCGATTGGATTCGTGCAGGTTGTGGCACTTGTTGCATTGGCGTCTAATAAACCATAAAATGCTGTCCCAATTGTGATGCCGAAGCCGAGGAACAGGGAATAAATGATGGCATAGACCATGCGAACAGATCCAGCGACCATGGATCTCGATTGGAGTTCAAGAGACCCGCATAGGACCATGTAGCCAGGAAGAATAAGGGCGATCGAGGACTGTGCCAGCGCGGAAAAGCAGAATAGATTTCCACCACGGATCGAACCGAAGGCTCGAGCCAAGAAGGACGTGATTACTGCAGCAGAGATTTCAAAGACGTTGCTGTAGAGGTCGGACTTGGGGGCTGCAATGAGCTGCAAGAAGCCAAGGATGCAACCGAGAATGTAAGCAATAGGCAGGTCGATGAGGCGTGCTTCAAATGCTATGTCAATGTTAGTAGGACGTTTGGGAATCGTGAGTGTTCGGACTTACCAAACGGAGCAACAGTGGCACTGGCGAAGCCATAAACAAGTACAAGGAGCCACTTGTTGTACTTCTGTTTGCCGGTTATGATGATATCAAGCCTCTGTGTAGCTTCCTCAACGCCGATCACATCGTGGACAACCTCCTTGTATATCTCGTGAATGTCCTTCAGCTTGCCCAAATCGACGCCTTGCGGGGCTCTGACCAACTTGACTTCAGTTGTATGAGTGGAGACATCATCGAAGGAGATGATCATGCACCCAGGAAGATACAGGAACTGGCCATCGATTTCGAGAACCCGTGCACTCATTTTCATGTATTCTTCAAGTCGATGAGTGGGAGCGCCGTAGCTCATCAAAGCCCGACACAACTTCAACAGATACTTCTGCCGACTGAGTGTCTCTGCAATATGTACAGTGATTCTGATCTCGTCCTCAAGTCGTGGTTTGTTCATCTTGCTTATTGCGGAGGAGATAAGATTGCCATGGTGCGTCTTTTTGTGAAGTCCAGGTCGAGATGGCTTCTTTTTAGGATTTCGAACCCCTCCTTGGGCGCCCAGAATGGCAGAGGCTTCGACAAGTCCGGCAAGAGTATCGTGTGATTGGTTTTTATGGTTATACCATTTAGCGGCTTTGGTTCGTGGTGTCGTCGTTCCCGAAGATCCTCTCGAACCAGTTCCGGTGCCTGCGAAAGAAGCATCTTCAGTTGAGCTATCACTACCTCTTCTTGAAATACCTGACGGTGCATTGTAAAGCTTCAACAGAGAAGAGAGAACACCGCCTCGATACTGTTGTGGTCTTGGGACGAACTCCTCAGCAAACCGCTCTTCCTCGTTTGGGGTCACTTGGCCCGAAGCCATGCCCGATTTTGACCCCGATGGCATCTTCCAAGCTTCTGAATGGTGCTTTCTTGTATGTGCCCTCACCAACTTGTGAGCTTCGGAGCTGCTCGACGCTTTGGCCTTCCCTTTCTCATCTGTACAACACTCGTCCTCATCACTTGCTCCGTCAAAGGTCCGTCTGCTGTCCATATCCGCCAGCGGAATATCATCAACTCGGACGGGGTATCGTTTCGTCGATCTGCTGTGTGGAGATATAAAGCCTTCATCAGATTCCTCGTCGAAACTGTTTCTTCTTGAATTTGGTGCAGAACTACCCCCTACCAAAGTTGCCACCCTCTGTGCTCTTTCTTGGGCCGCCAACGCTGAGAAAGCCTTCTCATTGTACTCCGACATATCTTCTTGGCGCAGGGAATTGGTGGAGGAATTGCTCCTCAACACTCTTGGCCTTGGCTTGAACACTGGGTTGAGAACTGGGTCTGCGAATGGATTCGTCTTCTCGACCTCGGGAGTGTGTCTCAGCAAGGGTGTAACACTATTCTTCCTCGAAACGGATGGGGTTGACTTGGTTTGCTTCGGAAATGCGACTCCGGTTGGAGAGAGGGATCCATCACGGACGTGGAAACTGGACCTCTGATTTGTAACATCGTTGGCCTCGCTGGTACTGTTGAACCTGACTCTACTTTTCCCTTTCGGCGGCTGATTATCTCCAGAGGTTCCCGGCCTGCTTGGGCCTGCACTCGAGTCGCCGCTGGGTGTTTCCAAACCGAAATATCCTTGTTGGCTCGGCCTTCCTTCACTTGCCGTCATGTACTCGCTGGACATGATAAGGATATATAAACCCCCTTGCACTCAATTGACCCAACTCTTCGTCCCAATCCTATATACAGGGCATGCAAAGGCGTGAAGCCGTTGAGGCGTTCGGTGGAGGGGAAAATTTGGCGTTCCCGCATGCAGGGAGGTGGGATGATGCAGGGTCAGCCCAACAGGGTGGAATCGATGGAATCTTCTTTGCGCCACCGATAACGAAAAGGTCCGAGAAGTCTCTGACAAACTCCTGCCAATTCTGAACAATGGTATAAGAAGATGAGAGAAGAATAAAGAATTAAAAATAATTCCTTTGGCCAAGAGGCAACAAGAGTGACTCGTGTCTGTGGATCGAGAGGCGTGTCCGGGGGGGTCGGTCTTTATGATGTGACCCAGCTTTGCCAAAAGCTTTGATATCTTGGGCCAGGTGCCGCTGGGCGGGAAGGCGCTACCTCCGGAAGTGTAATGAACTACTGTGATCATAACTCTGACCCTTGGCCCTGTTCGCTCTTGCCCTAGAGACGCACAATTCTCATCTCACGATCTTCGCTATCAGCCTGAAATGCCGACCGAGCCAGGTCCATTTCGACACTCTGATGCGGGTCTAGCTGAGCCTCCAGTTGATCGTCGAGGCCAAACATGTTTTGCTGCACAGGAGGCCTTGAGAAACTATGGACCTACAGAAAATCGGATCCCAGCCACTAGAATCAGTGGTTCACTGATGAGTTGCTCCAAGCCGCCCGGGAGTGGGCCATAGGGGAAACGTTCTAGAGGAGTGAGGCTCCACCTTCAGAGCGAGAGCCCACAATTGCCAGGCGGCTTGGGCATCGAATCAGCAGGGCAATGGCAGTCTCACTATGTGTTGATGGGAACGAGGTGTGGAGCAGCGCTCTTGACTGATATCAAGGTGCTTGATTCCGGTGGTCGTGGCGATTTTCAGCTGGACTTGAATCATCACTACAGAACGCGAGACGGTGCGGAAGGCCGGCGTGAAGTCCTCCTTCACCGCCTGCTGTCTTCACATGGGAGAGATACTTTCTCTCATGCGCTCATGATGCAGCTTCTGGCGGTAGAGATGCTTGATGATATCGTTGTAGCAACGAGTCATTTCGTTCCCAACAGCTTCGGGAAACACCGACCCTTGTCGCAACATGGGCGGAAGACCCAGTAAGGCAAGCCCGAGCCTTTCAATCCTCATGAACTTATCAACCCCAAGCAGCCCACGATTCGCATAACGTCGACTTACCCACTCCATATCTTCCAAGCGCCGTCAACACACACTTCCCATGTGAACGTCGAGTCTGGACTGCGTCGATTCGGTCACTTCTCGGTGCCTTGCTGCTGACACAGCAGGAACAAACTTTTTTTTCACAGTTCGAACGGTGGCGTAATTGATCCCCTCTGCGGTGTCCTCTCGGGATTGAGACAACATCTGATCCATGACCACCATCTATCTGATTTTGACTTGCGCACGTGGAAGTGAGAAAGGAAGGTTCGCCGGCCTCTGAACCCTTGCGTCGATTCAGCACGCCCCAAAATCTTTGGCACCCAACCTCCTGGGACCAGTCTAATTCGGTCTCATTTTCATCTCGGCCATGCCCACTTCGATGGGATAGTAGAAAGAGAGTGGCCATTTGGCGGAACTCATCGCCTATATTTGTCGTTGCAAATGTCCAAATCTGGTGGGGCTCTGGGCGAAGTCCCCAACGATCCAAAAATAGAAATCTTCGGAGATATTGGTCTTAGCACGTGGTTAGGGACCACCAGTTCTGAACCAAACCACTTCGATTCCCCACGGCGTCATTCGCAACCGGTGACGGATCAATTGGAGTTTTGGGGATGTTCATCTTTGGCGATTTCAAGACGGGAGAAAGGAGCTTCGACCCCTGAACGCAACTTTGCAGCCAACCACTTCGGAATCATCCAATTTTCTCCTACAGATTGACGTAACTACCGGGACAAGTTCCGAAACGTTTCGAGTTTGCTCACCTAGAAGCTCCGTGTAGAATCAAACCGTCCTTACTCATTGCGCGTACTTTCGGCAAGCCAGGTACCGGATCGACACATATCAAAAGCTTGACTATTTCGATCATCGCTGCTCCTCGACTCAAGTTATGTGGCGTCATTATGGGTGTTGATTCTTATTTCGACATCAGCTTGTTTTCTGCTCTCCATCTCTCCATGTAGTTTGGTGTGCAAGGGCTCGGACTCCAGGAAACTGGCTCATGTGTATCCCAACTCCACATTTGCAGCTCTCCCACCAATATCGCCAGCTTATCTCCAAACATCCCCACAATCTCCACATGTGCCTAGCATCCACGTTAGCAACAGAAGCTAATAATCGACACAGTGAGACTTACAATTGCCGGTAGAACTTGTACGCTCGCTTTACTGTAAACGCTGGTGTCGAGCTCGTCGTCGAGGGTGTGCTTGAGGAAGTTGGTTCTGAAGTAGGCGGATAGAAGGGATTCTCGCGCTTTGTAAGCCAGTGATTGTTCTACTTGGACTTAGGACAATGAAAAGGGGATGTGTGTTCTAGATAGCTAGCTCCTCGTCAGTTCTTTGAGGGAGATATTGATACAGGATCAAGGTGATAAACGCTCGGTCCACCTCCTTCTCGGCTTTGGACCAATGAGCGTTCAAAATTGCCGAGATGGAAGACAACAGAGTTTCGCCTAAGAAAGGGGTAAGGGGTGATTCAGGTTAGCTCCTCTTTGTCAATTGTCCTAATTGGTCTTGGTCCATTGTGGTGATTCCCAGAAGATGTAGGCTTTCATCTACACAAATGTTCGTCGTTGTGCAGGAGGAGGAGATCAATTCATTGAGGGACCTTCAAGCTTTCCATCTCCAAAGCAGAATGCCTCCACTTCCCTTGCCTACGACCTCAGATCAGTGAGCTTGTTCTTCTCTCCGGTTACGCGCGTCTGCCACAGCCTCTTGTCAATAACCGGCGTGTAGAATCTGGTTGTGTGTGAGCGCCCCGCTTTCGGGTTTCCAGTACTTCCAAAAAGGAGCATGAGAACGGCTATATCATCCTCGGACTTCTGATAGCCTCCCAAATGAGTCCGCTTATTCCGGGTCCACAAACTCAAGCTCCACCGATCCTATCCCATTTGATCTTCTTCCACACAGCCGTTGGTGCACTCATCTCATCAGTGTCCCTAGCAGACTACACGAGATTCTCCATCGAATACCACCTCCCATCTCCTTCGATCTTTTCATCCCAAATTCCCTCATCAACTCTTTTCTCCTATTCTTGGTGACCAGGTTGCCATTGCCCGACGAGATGCGTAGGGCTGTGGCAGCATGCCCAGAACCAGGTTCCCCTTCCATTAGCCGAGAGGTGGTATAGATGAATGCCTTGAGTACGGTTGAAGTAGCCGTTGTGGCTTAGCTTTGGAGGAGAGTGTTGGAAGGGCAGGTAGCTATAGGTGTGCAAGGGGGCGGGGCAGCGAAGCTCTCTGGGATGAAATTCAGTACCAGCTCGCGACGAAAGTAGTGAATCACCTCTCTCAACTCTCTTCTTAACTTCCTCTAACCTCATCACCGTAGTCTCCAAATCTTCCACGGAGCATCGGGCGTCGGACAGTTCGCACCCACATTAAGCGCCATGACCGCAAAGCTTGCGTCGCTTGTTTGACACTTGTCAGTCTCAACACTTCAAAAGTTCAGCGGAATGCGTTTGCAAAATTCGATCCTATGAGATCAAATCGATAGTTAATAGGCCAAAATAGAACTTTTCTGAGGCTTTTGTCAAAAGACAACGCTGTTGTTGAGATCCCATTAAGTATTTCATTCAAAAATGGTAACCGAAGTGTGAAGCTATAATTGCTGCAAGTATGAATTTTCGTTGAAGCGTCACGGTTTAGACATTACCAACCTATTTAAATCATTCTTTAATGTCTGAAATCATGGATGCCTGTATTGAGAAGACAATTTGTGTCTGCTTATTATCTCCAAGTGCCGCGCACCAAGCCGCCAAAGATTATCTTTCGCATCCTTTCTTGACAATAGCACCTGCCGAGGCAGCCAGCTAATTATTCTTCTTTAATGGAACCCATTCTCCCTGTTGCCAATAACCACCCAATTCCCTCACGTCGCACTTCATGGCCCTGGAGCGAACAAAATTGTACCAATTAATATGCAGCACCTTTGCCTCCTTGCCAGCAGGCAATCCCGCGTGCCAAGGTAGTCCTTTGGGGCGCAACTTCACATGGGGCCATTTGACTACGAATTTCGGTCCATTCCACTCCTTCAATAAGTCACTCAGACGAAGCCCATGGACCATGCTCGGAGGAGAGGAATACCACGCGTAGAGAGGGACCTTGCCGCGGAGGCTGTAGTGGACGGCATACAGTGTCTTGGCGCAGAGACCAAGGCAAGTTGAGGAGACGCGATCGAGGAGCTTGAAGATTTTGAAGTGGAGTTCGGGAGGTAAGGTCACCAGGGTTGGTGCTGTTATATTGGTCAGCGCTGGATTTGTTACCCTAGCTTGGGGAAGGCAAATAATTGTACGTACCGAGAGCTTGCTCCGCAGTCTGGGCTGTAGATTCGTGCTCACCGGGGTGCTTGACGGTGCCTTGGTTGGTGGTGATCATTGTTTCTATCAACTGAGTACAGTAGAATGGATTGAAGGTTCAGAAGTCAATTGTTCTTAGAGGCATTAGAGCATCATTTAAGATTCAATAGGGGTATATATCTGTCAATTCACAAGGACTGCTCTCGGGAAGCAGGCAAAATTTATAAGTAGGCGAATGGAAGTCTTCAAAAAATTTATGAAATTTACACTTGATCTAAGCTTATGCCGTTCTAAGGAAGTAGCAGGACCTTCGGGAGCAGGTAGAGTGCAGCAAGCCCTCTGTCCATTCTCAGTCTCGCTATGCGTAAATCTCAATGCCCCATGACTGCGAGTACATCCAGATGTCCAAGTTTGCTATCGCTAGTGTGCGACATAGCTAAGCTTTCTCACTTCCACTGCCAAATAGGATACCGTATGAGATTCTCCACATAACCACCCGCCTCCTTGAGATCAACCCATTTAGCATCTGCAAGTTTCTGAAAGGGAACTATGAATCGCTCGTACTTTCCGGCTAGAGCTCCCCGAGAGTGCTTGGCAAGGAACTTGAATGCACGTGAGTCGAAATCATATCCTGGCCCCATCCATTCTACCAACAGTTCCCACAAGCGCTTTCCACCAATCTTGTTCGGAGGGTACGAGTGCCAGGCCATCAACGGAACAGTGCCTCGCATGCTGCGGTGGATAGCATAGAATTTCTTTGTGCATAATCCGAGGCAAGTAGAGGTGGTCCTGTCGAGGAGATTGAAGATTTTGAGGTGCAACTCCGGAGGCAGGTTGACGAGGGATGGTTTGGTAGAATCTTGTGCGTATTTTGTCAATGCCTCAGCTAGGAACAGTACAACTAAACTTAACTTACCAAGGGCTAGTCCAGAAGCAGAGGCAGAGTCGAGCAATGCTGGCTTGGCAGAAACACGGTCTGTCATCTCAATCGACGAATTAGCTTCCTTCTTCTGGCGACGACGAAAGCGAAAGCAGAGCAAGTCCGAAACCCAACTAAGATTAGCAAGACCCGAATACGAAGCGTACAACGATTGATAACTTACTTGCTGGAAACGCCATTGTTTCAGTCGTTTGAATTGTTTGGGCTGTTTTTGGTGGTTCTGGGTTGGACTCTTTGTTGGTGGGTTGGTTGACTTGACAAGTTGAGAATCTTTGGAAGATGGAGCGAGTAGATGGATTTTATGCCTGAAGTGAAATCGGTCTCATTCACTGGAAAATTTCTAAATCTGACAGCTGATCTTGGGCAGCAATGTGGCACTCGAGAGCAAGTAAGGTGCTGTAAGTGCCTCTCCCTTTCAGTTCAAGTACCCTTGATCTCAATAGACCATGAATACGGGGACAATCATTGGTTCCTATGACATAAATTCAAGACCAAAAATTAAGCATGTGTGAAGTCTGGGGGACATCAACAGGAGCTTACTCAACAGAGGAAGCTTGAAAATTTCAAAGAAAGCTTTCCATTTGCATGTAAATTCTCCTTCCTCGCCAGATAACCCCAAAACTAAATAACCCGAATTACTTAAAAGGAGGATACCCAAAAAGCAGAAGATATCCCTCCCCCTCAATCCAAATGTCCCACCCGCCATAGGTACAATGTTGACACCAGTAGTGACCTACTAAGGTGCTGCCGCTTTTCAGGAGATATGAAATATGTCTCAATGCCAATGCAAACCAGCCCATACTTCCCTCTCTAAATCTATGCATGCCCAGTTCCACCATCACCTATTCCCTCAAACTCAACTCCCTCATACGCGAGCTCCACCCAACGCTGTTCACCCTTACCGCTTTCCTCTCCATCGATCCAAACTCCCTTCTTCCACCACCCTCCAGCTTCCTTTTCATCCCTGAGAATTTCTAATCGCCTCGCCTCCTTAGCCTTTTCCAATTTCTTAGCCAATGGGCTCTGGTCAAACGACCCCCAGTTATAGAATCTCCAAATAAGGTCATCTTCCTTCATCTTTGATTTCTTCTCCAGCGTGATGAACTTCAGCTCCGCACCGCTAAACACCAAACCTGTTTCTTTGATCCACTCCTTCAAAAGGCCGAATAGGAATCGTCCTCTCGAGCGGGATGGGACTTGGAGGCAACATGCCGTGAGAGGGACGAGACCACGAAGTTCCTTGTGGATTGGATAGAACTTCTTGGCTGTCAGACCAAAACAGACTGATGAGGCTCGATCCAAATATGTGAATATCTGGAGATGAAGCTCAGGCGGAAGGGACGAAATCATAGCTTTGGCCTTGGCTTCACCTTCCTCATCGGCGGTGGTGATGGAAATGGTGACGACGGCATCTATGAGTGTCAGTTTTGAATGTCCCACATATATATATGGAGCAATGTAGGACTTGCCTTCGCCTTGCTCGGCATTGGTGGTGGTGAGGGCGAGCGATTCTACGAAAGTCAGATCTGAATGTGCCATGAGGACCTCGAACAATGGAAGACATACCTTCGCATTGTTCCATGATTGCTGGAACAATGACATCGATCTCATTGGTAGTGGATGCTATCTTACTATTGAATGTAGGTGGATGTGGAGTGTGATGCGATGGTGATTGTAGATGGAAGCTAGAAGAGGCAGGATGCGGTTGTCGACGGATTCCAATGTACGAGAGATATTGGGGACAATGAAGGAGATTGTATCCGAGAAATTTAATGCAGAAATGGATTGGTTGGTAGCTACGAATAGAAGATGGAAGGTGGTTGTCGAAGTACTTAAATGTACAAAGGGGGCAGGGACAGTAGAATGGAATTGTACCCAAGAAGGTCGGTACAATGGAAGAACTCGGTATTGTCAGCGTCGAGGTGCTAGATAGAAGTATATTTACACATCCCGATTAACTTCGCTTACCAGCAAGCGAGGCTACTCGTGAACGATTCACCTTTCTTTCCCGAACCTTATTGTCCCAAGTTCAGTTGGGACATTGAGTGAAGCTCCCTAGGATATGTCACCTTCCCCTCCTAACATTCAATGATCGAAATGAAATGGAACAATGGCTTTGTTGAAAGTTCTCCGAGTTATAACGTGAGATGCTCTTCAAATGGAGCAGATGAGTGTTCATAGGAATGGGAACATTGAAATGTCAACGGACTCTTAGGGCAGACGACGAGAGCAGCTTCTTCTTTCGCTTCTTCTAATTATCAAAACTCAAAGATCACAACAGCAGTCACTATATCAAGGAAGCAATTTAACATCAGTATTAACTAACCTGTATCTCATCATTCATTTCTCACACCTATCAATTTCGCAGCATCATTTCTTCAAGGACCTCATCACCCCAATTATGTAACTCTCACGGCCATTTCCGGCTTCACGACAATCTTGTCATCCGTCTCCGCCTCTCTGATCTCCATTCCTTAAGAGTTGCTCGTGGATCCCAACTTGTAGTCTCTTCTCTTGAGACCCAGTTCCAAACAGCTAGCTATGGCTTCGGAGCCTTCAGAAGGGAGCGTGGTCGCTGAGATGTTGTCTTCTTCACACTCTACCAGACTCGATCATCCTTAATAGGAAGCTTGCTCTATTCTCTTCTTTCTGCGTCTCCACCTCGGAATCACCACCCGCATATTCTTGCTTGAAGGTAGCCGATTGAACCTGGTCGTACCATGTGACGTATTGCTTTCCAGTACTACCACGACCCGGGGCTGGTGTCTTCAAGAGAAAACAGCTCTGTTGGGTGTGTAATGTACGTCTAAAGAGGGAAGAAGGAGCGGGGAGCTCGAGAACTAAGATACAGGTCGCGCTAAGCTAAGTCACGTGCGACACAACATCCCCCCTTCAACAGTAAGAGTTCTCCGAACTCGTCTTCTTTACCAATTTCCTCCTTGAGTAGTGTCCCAACCGCCAGATTTCTGCTCCTTTTTCTCCTCAATATTCTGCTCAATATTCTGTCCCCAAGTAGTGTCCTCGGATGCTCCTTGATCAGGTGCACCCTTGTCTTGTCCCGTGACTACAACCTGTCCCCAAGCATTGACTTCTCCCTTAACTTCACCTTCCTCAGCTTCAGCTTCATCTTCCTCAAACACCACTTCAATTGCGCGAGCAACCGGTCTCTCCTCGAAGAGTTCTGCAGGAGTGATTCTGACCAGTCCAAACTCAGGAACATAAGTGTAGCCTTTGTTGGATTCTTGCTTGAAGATGTCATGCTGCACCTGCTTGTACCATGTGATGTATTGCTTTTCCGTACTCTCCTCTTGCCATTGGATACCCTTGACGAACTTGTGATCTTGAAGTACGACGACCACTTCGTTAGCGAACGGGGAGGAGACTTGACCTTCCCCACGTGCTGGGACTGTGAAGATAGCCTCGACTGAGCTCTTCCTGTTGATGAAATCCTCTGTGGCACGAGGGGAGTGGTAGAAAGACATGTCCGTAACCTCCACAAGTTCTGCCTTCTCCGGATGGGTCTTGACAGGAGGTAAGGTAGTTGGCATAGTGTCAGTTAAAGTATCGGTGATTGGCGCATCTTTACGAGATAATTGAATGGCGTAATCAATCATCATTTGCTCTTGGAGCGTGTCCAAAGGCATACCTGGAATAGAATTTGCCGAAACCATGGAGAATACCTTAACTTATTAGCACATTGTTGAAAATTCCCACCCAGACATGGAAACTTTTGGCTTACCCAGATCGCAAGGGAGTGCCGGTTGTAATACATTATTCTCGAGGAGCAGTCCGTAAGACGACTATCCGCAGTTTCTGTGAACGGGATCTGAGGTAGGCACAACATCGGTGCTGCACAAGGACCGAAAAACTGCGCTCCGTATTTCCCACCGTCCTTTGCGACGCAACCACGGTGGAAGGAACGAAGACACGTGGAAGTTCGGATAGAGAACATGTCTCGATATGTCGAAGAGGACCGTTTTGTTCCAGCCGCAACTTCTACCAGAGAGCACCGGAGCCTTTCTGTCCCCGTTCATCCTCTCGCAAAGGGCACAACCCGGTGACATGCAAAGTCGGCAGGGCTCTGCCAAGAGTGAGCCTGGTCTCGAGCTGTCGAATCTCTGGATCTTACAGCCAGCGGGAGAGAAGACGGACGCCAGGCCCATCATTTGCAGAGAGATCTTTGGTGCTTTGAAGCATCGAGGTACTCATCTGCTCTCCTCCTGAACCTGTTGGTCATGCCCCTGACTGATTGGGGGAAGATGCGCCCCGAGCCTGTTGTTCATTGTTCTGTAGCCGTGGTCGTTGTTGGCGTTTAGCACCAGGGTTAGGTGCAGACTTTTTAAGGCGAACAAGGTCTGGGTTCTGGTAATCGAAGACATCGAGGGTGCGTAAATTCTGCTTCGAAGATCGCTCGCGAATGCTGACAATCGAGAATCCCGAGCAAAGGCTTCCTTTATCGTCCACCGATCGATAATCGGCATGAGAAGGTTGCCCTTTTGGTGTGAGGTTTGTTGTTTTGTAGCGTGATATGAAGGTGAGTTCATCTTTGGATTTGATGATAAAAGTGAAGCTGAAGATTCGAATAAGGTACCTGGTATATAGTAAAATGCCGTTGAATCGAAAGGATCAAAAGTCTGGTGCTACCAGGAGATTCCAACGGCTTTATAGAAGAATTCTGAAGGGTAAACTATGCCATAAAAACTCACATTCACAATCACAATCACGCAACCACATCATGCAGCAAACAAGCAAGCTATTGCTACAGTATTTTCTGATTCCTATCTATCAGCTTAAGCGATGCCCTCACAACCCCTAATGCCCACCCCATGTAAAGCCCAAACCCTGTAATCATCCCCTCATCATACCTCGCAATCCAGGCTGGGCTTGTAATCATATATCTTGACAATTTCCATTGCGTCCCTCACTAAAACCATCATCAAGAGCTGCGGCGTTGCAAGCAAACAAGCAGGCTCCAGCCAAACGTAGCACCAGACATAGAAACGAGTACCCCAAACCCGGCGTAACGTCTCCAAAAATGCAAACCATGAATACAATCCAAGGTCCATTTTTCTGCATCCACTATGCTCATGCCACAATCTGTCGCAATCCATTTTGGGATCTCGTCGTCGAAAGGAAAGAAAGAAAGTTGTTGTAATTGTATATCGAATTAAGGACTCGGTAATTCATCGTCGTCGTTAAGGTAAAGCAAGAGAATATGGACAGTCGAATGCAATATCAAATTGACACAAACAATGAGTGATCGGATGTCGACCAAATCAGGGATCTACCCTTTGTCGACTTTTGGGTTCGTGGCTCTCCTAGTAGAGAGGGCCCACTCTGCGCTTCTCAGCCGATGTGAGAACCAACATGGGTGCCTTCCGCTCAACATTCTTGGGCTCGGGCTTCTTGCCACCATTCTTGAAGACAGCAGCAAAGCTGCCTCCAACAGAAGAATCATCATCACTGCTGACACTGGCGGTCGTGAAGTTGCTGTCAACAGATGCCGCTGACTTGCGTTCCAAGGAGCGCTCCTTTTGACGCGAGGATGGTCGATCAGAACCAATAGCACCGTGAGCTGAAGCGCGAGAGCTGCCAAGACTTGGTCGACCGGAAAGGCTTCCACTTCCACTGCGACCGCTGTCCGAATCGTTGTCCGATGAGACAGAGAATGTGACCTCGCCGACCTCAGAGACCGGAGACATGCTACCAGAGCCTGCACTGCCTGGAGCTCTGCGACGTTCCATTCCTGCACGAACGAGATTGTGGACAGCGTTTCGGCGTGTGCGAGTAGCAAAGTTCTTGCTGCCCTCAAATTTGGTGGTGGGCTTCGCAGTCAACTCATCCAACGAAGGTGGTCCACGAGGTTGGCGGATTGGGTGCTCTCCAGCTCGAGCTTGTCCAGGACCGAAGCCAGACGCGGTTGGCGTAGATGGGAATCCCATGCTCTTTGGCAGAAGTGCAGACTTCGGGCCATCAAACGTAGCAGGAATGTCAGTGCCGATTGCCATCGAGTTTGCCTTTCGGTGTCCGCGGCGGAAAGCACCTGCCGATGGAGGTGGCAAGGGAGCGTGGTCTGATGGCGGAGATTGAGACTTCTTGGGAGGGCTGATGCTTCGGGTGAACGTAGGAGTATCTGATTGCGGAGGCGGGGAAACCTGGAATCGTGGTGTGCCATGCTGCTGAGGTGGTGAGTAGTTGACTGATTGCTGCACAACCTGCTGGTCCATGAACTGAGTTTGTTGGGCGCTCTGGTCCATGAAATAGCTTTGCTGGCCGGTTGCCGGAATGTAGTACGAATAGATTCCGGGCTGGGCTCCCATCACTGGTGTGATGATTGGCTGCATATTGTTCTTGACCTGTTGCTGCTGATACATATTCTGCGGTGTGACCGGAGGCGTAGCAAACTGCTGTTGCATCTGATTTCCCATCCCTAAGTTCAAACCCTGGAATTGTTGAGCAGCTGCCTGGACATTGATGAGTTGTTGCTGCAGACGTTGCTGTTGCTCTGCAAGGTACATGTTGGTAGCTACCAATTGAGCATAGAGATTTGGGTCCATCTGCTCCTGGCCGTGCTCATCAACGAGGATCTCGGGTGGTGCAAGTGGTTGCTCTGGAACGGAGTACATCTGACGATTATTCAACTGGTTGAATCCACCCTGCTGGTTGGAGTAAACGGAAGTCTTTGGTCCACCATAGCTCTCTTTGTCCGCATAGATGCTTCCTGCAAGTCCGGTGTTATGTTGCAGTTGGGTGGGAGGGGCCGTCGAGGGGAATGTGCTGGAGGTGGCGGACTTTGGCGCTGTTCTCAAGCCCGCAAGCAAGTGAGACCGGGAGGTGCGCGGTGTCGGAGCTCCGTTGTCTTGGGGGTCGGACTGCTTGGTTGGTTCGAAGTTGAGGCGCTTGAGATTTGGGGCATTTGCTCGTCTGGAAGCAAAGCCAGAACCGGGCAATCCCAATCCATTACTGGACGGGAAGTTGTTGTAGGACATCTGAGCAAGACCGCCTGCGTCCATACTCGAAGTGTGATGTTGAACAGGTGGGTTGGTTGGTCGGGAAGATTGACGTGATCGAAGAGATCGATGGTCGCGAAGTCGACGTCGAGGGAGTGAAGGCTATCGAGTTGGCGACGTGCTCAGCAAGTGAGCAGGCAAAGTTATTAGAGGAATTAGATGACCGAACGAGTCGATCGCTTTTGTACGTTGAAGAGTGGGAAGATTATGTAGTTGTAAAAAACAGCTCGTGTGCTGAGCGGAGGCAAGCCTTTGAAAAGCAGGCAAGCGGTGAATTTTGTCGAAAGTTTGTAAGGAATAGCTTTGCTCGTGGTGATCCAAGAGGTGTGCACAAAAACCGGGTGACCCGAGGAAAACGAAACGCGTCGCGGACTATGTAGTCGTTGCAAATTACAGAGTGTTGTCTATTCAAGGAGGACGGAAGCAGAAGTGCTCAATGGAATGAAATCGATTTCCGGGGAAGGGGAAGGCGCGATGCTCTGCAATCAACAAAGAGCGACCGAGGGTTGAAAGGCAGAAGGCGCGGGTTGAGTTCTTGTTCTTGTGCTTGTGTTGTCGATGAAAGCAGATCGAAGCGGACGTGTGCGAGGTCTGACCAGGAGCCGGAGGCTAAGAACGACAAAGGCCGCGAACGGGGGGGTCGGTATTGAATGCGAAGAATCTGCGGAAATCTCAATCTCAATCCCAACACGCTCCTGTCGGATTATCACTCAAGGGAAAGAGGATGGAGGCGACTCGACAACGAGAGGAAAAGAGAAGGGGCGGTGTGTAGTGAGGGATGGAGAGAGAGAGAGGAGAGAAGTGATGGTGTGAAGAGAAGGGAGAGTACTGCACCAGTATTGGGCCCGCAGGAGGCAAAAGGGCCTAGCCGGATGCGGCCTAGTGCTGGGCTGGCAGGGTTCGCTGCTTCGTGGGACGGTGGGAGCAGGCAGGGAGGGTGGCTGGCAGGCAGGGCAGGACAGGGGCAGGGGAGACTGCTCGTGGAGTCAAATGTACTACTGTACTCGTGGTGGTGTTGACAGAAGCAGCCGGCCGCGCTATTGGACAACACCTGCCTCGCACCAGTGATTGTCGAGGAGGGCAACAGCCTGTGGGAGGCCTCGAATCTGGCTCTTGAGGCTCCCGCGCCGTTGTGATGGTGGCTCGCAATGTGATGAGGGCCGCTGCGGACCTCGATGGCTGGCAGCAGCGCATTGATCTCCACGAACCCCCCGGGATGCACAGGGAGGGGCAGCAGTTGACCATCAGGTTTAGGAAATCCGCTGCAAAATCCTACTTTAGGTACCAGTGTATCCCCTCACTGCTTGGAAATCTCCTGCAAACACCATCACCCTCAAGCGGCGCGTGAAAATCAGCTGCAATTTGCAAAAGGCTGCCAAAGCGCTGCCTGTCCGTCCCTCGGGACTCGAGCTCACCCATTGTTCCAGCCCGCTCCCCCTCCCGCCCTCTACAGGATAAAAGTACGTTCGTCGTTTCTTTCAAAACAAAGCCCCCTCGTCTGTCTGAAATGTATGAAGTGTATGAGGTGTACTCCTGTATTCACGGCACTCTGGCCCTCTGTGCTTCAGGCGAGTGGAGCTGCACTGTATTCGATGTCCAAGCCCCCCTATTCCAGACCGCACGCTCCGGCGTGGGCTGCATGTCTGGTCGATGTGGCTTGCCCCCTAAATCATGCGCTGCCAATCAATGCCCGCACTGCAGCGCTGCAGGGCAGGCGAGTCATTGATCCTTCTCCGCCATCGAAAGATGCATCTTCTTCCATCCAATCGTCACTCCTGAACACCTCCCATAATCGCACAGTCGGAGAGAAAATAAATGACAGCACATCATCTCACCTCGCGCCCTCAACCCCCATTCATCTTGCGTCCCCTCATGCTACGCCCATGCTCGTGCTCTCGTCCCAAGCGATCCCATCTGACTCCTCCACCCAAACGTCGACCCTGACCTTTGCTCATGCTGTCGTGTTCCCAAGGCCCAAATCTCGAAAGCTAAACGGAGAAGCGCTCAGATGCATGGTCAGGGGTTGTCGATCTGTGAAGACGAACCACCTGCGCCCGCATATCTCGCGGCGCTTGTATGCAAGGCGCGCTGCTGACTTCTCCCGATTCACCCAGCCAAAGCACCGCAAAACCAAAGCACCACCAAAGCTTCTGCCCAGCCAGTAGTCGCCACCCATCCAACTACCACAGTAGAACCCGCATGCATACTCCGCAAATCCAGAGGCCTCAGTCTGCAGCCTCCGCAACTCACCCCTCCTTTCTGCTCACCACCACCCGATTTAGCCGTCTCTGTCGTGGCCCGCGGCCACCCAACCGAAGCTTCTTTGCAGCTCCTCGCGCTTGAGGCGCGTCTTCCATTCGTTGCGCGTGCATCTCTCCACAAAAGCAAGAAAGACTCCTCCCTTCGGTCGTGGCCTCCGTGGAGAGAACGCGCAAGAACTTGCGCGCGTCTGTTTGACCGTCCTCTCGGAATAGCAACCTGCCCCACTATCTATCTCACACCCACCCATCCATCAACCACAAACCGTCATTCTTGGTCCTTGGGCCAGGCCAGGCTCTCATGTGTAGCAGATAGAAATAAGATTATGGGTCTAAACGAAACCCGAAATAAAACGTTCAACCAGAAACGTCTGTAAGTTCCTCCGTACCGTTCGTTCGTTCGTTGCCGGTGACCCTCGATCTGTACTCAAGCCCAAACACGTCAAAGCGCGCCTCAGAATTCCTCGGTGTCTTTTGCCGAGGGATCGGTGAAACCCCCCTGGCTGATCCCCTTCTGTAACGCGCTATCATCGTATCTCGACCCCTCGTTTTTTTTCTCGATGAAACATCTTGCGCAGGTCGTAAGGCTGCGGCGAAGGGCGATTGCATGATGGAATTCGGAAGAGAATGATCGGCGCAATTTCGTGTTTCTCATCTCGCCCGTCCGAAAACAGAGAGTTTGTTTGTGGTTTAAGCGGAAGGGGAGGCAGAGAAGCGTTCTGCGAGACGAACTGGGATGGGGCAGGGTGAGTTGACGACTGCAAGGAGGTGGCTTGGAGATCGATCGGATGTTTAGTATCTGATGTCATGGGCATGGCCTTCGATTTGGGGAGGGGAGGTGTTGCCGTGGATATTCAAAACCCTGAAAAGGGGTATGTGACACGTGATCAAAACTCCGTTTTCCATGAATTCTTGAATATAAACCTCCACTATTCCCGGTAACATCCTTTCTCCAAGTATGAAAGATGAAATGTTTGGGGATTTAAGGGCCTGTCCTGCCACTGCCATATGACCTCCATATACCATACATTGTTTAAAATTTACTATCCCCCGACATCGGCACCTTCTGTAAATGAGCCCTCTATCTGAAATAAATTGCCGCCACTATGGATCGCTCTTTTTGCATGATTTTAAAAGCTAGTCGCCATCAACCTTTGACCAGGGCCCATATCTACTGCTCCAAAACCCCTATATCTAAGGTAAATGCCTAGAAATAATCACGAGAACCTTGATTAATTTCTTATTATTTAATTGCACCGTAATATACTATAACCTAACTCTTAGATAAGATCTTAGAATTAAGTAAAGGCGTAATATTGTTTAGCCTGAGGGAATTTCGTGAGACTGGAAGAACCTGGAGGAAAGAAAGGAAGCGAATACGACGGGAAGACTGAGTGTCGTGAAGTTTAGCTGCACGGGCCTCTAAAGCCTCTAATAAAAACAACTGAATGGTATATAGTGGTGGCAGGACAGGCCCTAAGCCAATAAGCAGTATTGTAAAGCGAGGGTGGAAATGGCAATATCAGACTAGGAGGTGGACTAAAGCTCCCTTAGATTCACAACTCCAGCCTCCTTCTTTCTTGACATTACCCAATATTCGCTCCCTTCTGCTGTCAAGAAGAATGTCGCACGTAATACTATAGATAAAAGAAAGCGAAATCCCAGTGATTTCGAAATGGTTACGATTAAGACTTACGAGGAGGCAAAGGATGTCGGATGTTTATAGTGCTTGACAACAGCCGTCCACCTCACAGCCGACAGACCCGACGACACCGATTTGGAACCAGACGATTTGTGAATAGCTTTCCGCTCATGTCCTGGACCAAGAAATCCTTGACAGCGACCAAGACTCCTTGCCTATTCCTTTGAAGAACGGCTCGTGGGAAGGTAGATCGAGTAGAACCAATGGCTGAGGCGCCATGCGACTTTTACATTTGGAGAGAAAAAAAGATTTGTTCTTCCTCATAGCATTGCCAATTCCTTAGCGCTCTGGACCAAGGCTTGTTGAGCGTTCTTGTTTTAATGAAGTTCTACGCCTCCAGTTGCAGGTACTCTTTTCTCGAAGCCCGGTTCCGCTGGTTTCTCACTCACGGCAAGTGGGAACGAGGGAATCTTAACACTGCCTGGTGAGATACCGTTAAAGACTCTAAGTCTGTGGTATAGATAGCGAGCGGTCAGGAGATTGAAAGACAGCATGGATCAGGACATACAGCCTCTATCAACCAAGAGACTGGGAAGTACTTATTGTGAACATCTTTGGAAGGCAGACGGAGCCGTGGACTTTTCACAATCGTGTAAATCGCTGTTCTTAGTTGTATGTATAGTGTAGCTGTGAAGGCTCATTCAACTCTTCACAACGAGTGACAGCCGCCACCCACTTGACAGCAAAATAAGGAGAAAGAGACTCGATGGAAAGCGTTTTAGAACCAGACGATAGTAGGTAGCCTTTCATCTTAGCACCCAAAAGTTGACTGCGGTGTCTTTCCTGATAGCAGCCAAGACATCTTGAATTTGGCAATGCGGAATGGGTACTGAAGAGTCATAGAATAGCTGTTTGATAATAGCAAAGAGTGAGAGATCGCCTTGGGGAAGGCTATACTTGGAGCAAACCGGACATGGTTCTGACAGAAATGGGTGCAAGTGCAAGGACGAAAATTCAAGATGGAAGACTTCCCGGCATATATAGATATCTGAAAGCGTCTCTGGGAGGGAAGGAGGAGGGCGACCAGGCAAGGGCCAATACAATCGCGTCTAAGCCTTGTGTGACTTCCATAACACAGAACATCAGATTGCAAGCCTCAACTCCCTCTTCCAAGTCCACCTCCCAACGCCACGCTAAATTGTCCAAGCAAGAACTTAACTCCCCCTACTCTTCTCACCCCAGCTCGTCAACTCCACCTTCCCCGCCCCTCTACTTAATTCCTCCCCCCCCCCCTCTTCACCCTCCAAAACCGCCTCGGACTGACATCACCCCCATAAAGCCCATCCACAACCTCCGTACTCAGCCCCTCGTTTCCGGGATCCAAAACTACGCCAACGCCAACAACACGACAGAACACCCCATAAAAATGAGCCCTGTCTTCGCGGCTAGATTCCCCGATCCGGCGCCGACGTTGTAAATATAGGGGGTGCAGAATTGAAAGAGCCAGGAGGTGAAGGCTTGCGTCATGATGGAGATGGATTGCATTAGTTGGCGCAGACGGTAGGAAAAGAGTCGGGGGCATGGACCAGGAGACCAGGACGATGGTGAAAACTTGCCAGGCTATGAGGAGATTGCTGTTGCTTGTTAGTGATGAGGGGTATGAGGTGGGGCAGGACTTACATTAAGACTGCAATGGCCTAAATGGCCCCCTTGTCTGAGGATGGGGCGTAGCTGAGACCTCCTACTACCGCCATAGCGATAATATTCCCGACAACTCCGCCGAGATACAGCGGGCGTCGTCCGACCCTGTCTCTGAAATAACGTGAGAATGGCATGACCAGAAGGGCGAGACAGAAACCTCTGATGTTGATATCGAATGCGTGGATCACTGGTAGTCCGCCTTGAGTTAGGAAGTATATGTTTTGGGTTAATAGAGCACTTCCTATGAGGCTATTGCCGAGCTGTAGAAGGCAAACTGTGAGGGTTCCTTTGCGATCCGTGCCTCTGAAACAGTCGAGATAGCTTGGCTTTTGGCCTGGATTCATTTCCTGTTGAAATCCGGATTTCAGGTGGGCTAGCCGTGCATCGATGTGATTACCTTTGCCATATATACGAGCCAGCGAGCTGCGTGCTGCTTCTGTTCAACCTTTCAAGAGCAGGTAGTTGGGCGATCTGCCTCGGTGAGTGCTGCTCAGCTTGAGTCACGAGGGAGAACGTTCTCTGGAACCTGGAAAAACGCAACGATTGGAAGTCCACCGACAAGCCATTGCAGGGCAAATGCATTTCGGAAGGTTGAAGGAGGAAGATCGGGAACGAAAGCCCGAACGACTCCAAGTCCAATGGCTTGCATGACGACGACGAAAGCAAGACAACTTAGAAGAAGACCTCGGAGACGAATAGGTGCAGCCTTTGAATAATGTTAGATATTCCTAACATGAAGAGGACTTCACCTCACCTCCGAAGCGTAAGCTGTGCCCACTATTATGAGGCCACCCACTACGACTCCATGAATCATCTTCCCAGCCAACAACTCTCCTTTGCTAGTGGCAACATATTGCAGAGACATTCCAACAATCTAATCAATTAGCCGCGACTAATTGAAAACAACATGCAGAATGACCTACGGTGACTGCTGCAAAGGCCAGCATTCCGGCTCGGCGGGTGATCAACCTCGAGCCTCTTCCCGATGAACGATCGGTTCCTGCTCCGATGGTATGATCAATGACCAAGAAATATTCGGAAAGCCGCACCAAGGTCTCTGAATAGAGAACAAAAACGGTTCTTTTGGTACGAAACCTGGATCGTGGAAGTTCATGCGAACGCGTTCATCCTAGATCTTGAGGCAAACGGTCCACACCGAATTCTTCGGGTGAACTTTCGGGTCAGACATTTCAAGACTTCTTAAAACATGACGCCCCTTGTTATTATGCGATGGGAGGATTCGAAGGTGTGCAGTGCTACGCGCCAAAGTTGGCGATGTTTGCGAAGGCTAAAGCCTCGGCGGGGAGATCGGCATCGGCTGAAACTTCCCCTGAATTCTTCCCAGTCATCCCTTTATAGATAGATCACGTGTTGGCTCCTTCTGGCTCGACGGATGCTTCAGATTAATTGCAATCTTTGGAAGACCCTTTCTTGAAATAAGACCAAGCACAATTCATTAACTTGCAGATGCTCACCTGAACCCAACTGGAGGGAGTGAGAACCCAAGAAATCCAACTCACCACGATCATCACAATCATCACCCCAACCAAGCCAGCAATGGAGTGGATTGGAAATACTTGTTGGATGCCCGAGAAGTTTGGATATCCCAAGAGGTTGAAGTTGTGATGTTCCCCCAAAGATAAGACGAACTACGAATGCGGTCTGTCACGTGACTACTGGCTCTTTGGGACCCGGCGGTTTGAATCTGGATCTGCTCCAGAAAGCTGCAAGCTAACCTATAAGGGCTAGGGAAAGCTCTAATTTGCTTTGATATGGAGATACTGTTCGATGATGCAACGAAATATTAAGCTTGTTTGAACTCGAAATCTCATTCGCAAAGCTGCACTCTCAGCCGCAGCCTCTCGGTTAGGGATCTTGTGACGGATAAGACATCACTCCATCAGAAAAGTTGCGGAACTCCCATTTATGGGGCATCAGAGCAGCCAACTTGCTTCCAAGTCCTAGAAGAGCTGTCTTCGAGACTTGTGGGAGTCTAAGGGTAGGGAGAGGACGGGCAGACAAAGAGAAGGCCGCCACTGGAGAAGGGATTTAGACGAGATGCTCCCCTCTCCATCCAAACGAATCGCTCACCTTACGGATTCCCTGGGTCGGTCTGTGTGAATTGGGGATGCCCAGGTATTCACCCCGCGTTAATCGGTTGCTCGAGCGGCTTTCGCTCCGAAGTCCTCGATCTCCCGCCTTCATCGAGCAAAGACAACCTCCGTTGCGGCACGACACTGTAACGAAGAGATTCGCACTCGCAATGACTACGAACCTGGCCGCATTAATCTCTAGGAAGATTAGTGAGCTTCCATTGGATAAGGCGGCAGGTCAGTATTCCAATTGTAGCCCCTCTCCACCACCTAAGCTGACGTTACAGCAGATGATGAGGAAGAGGACCAAGTATCACTGGCTGTGGATGATCTGACTTTGGCGATCACAAGAGCTGCTGTTGAAGAGGAGAATGGTCAGTACTACGATTGCAATCCCCTGTCCAAACCAAGCTGATTGTATAGATCGAGCTCAAAACAATGATCAAGCCGTTTCCAAGCTCGCCGTCGCCAGCCAAACCAATCTCACGATCACCCCTGGTCAAGCCAACTCCACCAACATTGGCAGCCACACCAATCCCATGGCTGTCATTAATCAAGCCAATTCCAGGCTCATCGCTCTGCCCCCAGAACTGCAGCTGAGGGTCTTCGATTTGCTCGACCGCTGCTCCTCAACCTGTCTGGGCCTGACTACTCGCATATTCTACCGCCTCCACAGGGCAGCTCGAGGCAAGGTTCCACTCTGCGCCTTCTATTTCATCCCCGGGGCCCCAGATTGCCGTGGCTTTCGTCTGCACGTTTTGCTGAAGGAGTGGGCTGGTCCAGAGTTATTGTACTGTGAGATCAGAGACAAGTTCGTCAACCACACCAGTTTAGAGATCGAGCGAATTGAGCGTGCCAAGATTCCCAAGAACCCGTGCATACGATACTGCTGCCATGGGTTGAACCTGGAAAGTGCCATTGAAATTGCGGCGATACAGCGACGGGACAATCAGGAGAAGAGGAAGGATGCTAAGGAGGCTGGGAAAGCTTCGTACTGGTGGGTCTAGGCATAGACTCTCTGGTCTGGAGGCAGTATCTGGAGGGTGGCCAAGGAGCTGTACAAAGAAGAATTGGTTCATTAGGGAAATAGTCAAGGAGCTGTAGGGTAAGGATCCGTGCCAGCGGACTCTTTTCATGTTCTCAATAAGTAATATGGGCACAAAGTGAGCATTTGTGGCATAGCCATCAAAAGTACCTTTACTAAGAATATCAGGGGGAAAATGAGAATTTGATGAATTCATCTCCAGTTCTCCTGGCATACAAAGGGGAATTTAATATTGAAAGGCAATGTTCTGCTGATCCCGACTTCGGTCCCTGAAAGCGAGGCGAGCGTGAATAAACATTTATACAAAGGGAATCCCAGATGTTAAAAGAGGTCAACAAGCGAATGTAATAAAGAAACTCTTTTCTCGCCTCATCGCGACATCTATCAAGAAGTGTCCCGATCTATCGCCGCGATCACCAATTCACTTAAGCAACACAATGGCATCTGGCACCGCCTTGACAAATGTCATCGAGAAACTATCCATAATTGACCCAGTACAACCTGGAACAATCACCAATCCAATGGCTGCCGGTAGCGCACTCATCAAGAATGAAGCTAGACCAGAGCAGTGTGTCAAAAAAGTAATCAAGGTATTCCGAATATTCATGAATATTCATGATTAGCTTGAATAGAATATAATTACCGCAATGCTTAAATAATTTGATTAGATTAGAATATAATTAGTGGGTATTTTTGATGAATAGATTAGATTACTAGCCAGTATTCTAATCTAATCTATTCATTTGACATACTGTACCAGAGACAACCCAAGGTAACCTCAACTCCAAGTTGAATGTCCCACACGCTTTGAGTACACCGAGTTGATTAATGTTACTGTAAATGTCAAACCCAAACCCAAACCCACACTTCTCACCATCGCCCCGGAGCTCTATACCAAGATCGTGAAATTCCTCGACCTGCCTGGGCCTCACTAACCACCGTTTCTACCGCATCCACCGCTCCATCCACGGCGCCGTACCGCTCAACGACTGGATTCTCCTCCCACTCAACCGCGACTCTAGAGTTCACCTGTTTACGTTGCTGGGACAATGGGCTGGCCGTAGACTGGTAGTTGACAGAGAGTGCATGAAGTTTGTGACGCTGCGGCAGTACGGGATGCAGTGTTTAGACTATTGCACTGCGGCGGATGAGATCATTGAGGGGTCGGTGGTCAGGAGAATGGAAGGGCAGAGGCAGAGAAGGAGACGGGTGGGTTTTAAGGTTTGGGGGTGTGGAGGGAGTGCGAGGTTAATGCGCATAGGGAGCTGGAGATGGTGCCTCTTCTCTAGAATGATAGGAGATTCAGGGGTGGATCTGGAACAATGACGAGATAGTGAAGTGTGAATCAATGAGTATTGCAGGTTTAATGTTGCTCCATGCTATTCGAGGATAACGAAGCGGAATCAGGATTTAATTTTCCACACAAGCTCTGAACATCCAACGATGTTTTTCTTGACTGCTGCTCTGCAATCGTTTGATCATTTTGTCTGTGCCAAGGACTTCGAGAAGCCCCTGAAATAGCCGAGGAAGGTTGCTGACATTTGTAAACTTAGTTCAGGGGTTGAGGCTCGAAATCCAGATCTGATGAGTTCGGTCTCACTCATTCGCAGTCCGTCGGGCTGAATATAGGTCATGGGATATCTAAAAAGATTACTTTGAAAGGGTCAGTCAGCCTGTTTATGACTGCATATTGACTTAGATGTCGAGGATCGATTCCCAAAGCAAAATACGAGGACACGAACCCCACGATATTTGTTTGCTAGAGACAGTGAGGAAAGAGTGGCACTGCACTAGGAATATGCTCCAGATGAGAATAGAGTTTCAGAAATCTAGGAAGATAAGCCACACCGGCATTTGCTAACCTCATCTATCTGCCAGCTATTATAAGTGCACGCATGGCACGGGGTACTGTACACAGAGGAGCAGCACCATTATAGTCGTCTCTTTCTTCCTCGACCTTTTTGCCCTTAAAACACCCTCCAGAATGCATATACAACTCCAGCAACTACTCGGTATCTGGAAACTCCTCCCCTTCGCCTCAAGAATAAGAAACCAGAATATCTCCTGTTAAGCGGATTCGTCCTCGGCACTCTTTTAAACTGATTACGACAGAAATTTTTTCTCTAGGCCTTTGGCCTATCGGTCTTATAAAGCACTAGTTGTTGACAATAGTAACAAGTATGATGAGACCTTCATGTTTAAAAATAGATGATGATGAGAGAAGCAGAGAATACGTTTAACACTCAGCAATTCGCTAACCAACCGAGTTTGAAGGCGTGGCGCCGCAAAGCCTGAATGTTACACTTGATTCCAGGGTACTGTATACTCAGCGTGCTCTCCACACGGAGAAATTTCCAAAAAGAGATATACAGTGACCTTCTTGGGGAGATCATGATCGAGCATTTCATACAGGCATCAAATTCTAAATGATCTCAAATTCAACCTGCTGGCTCGATTGAGATTGCAATCGCCCATCGACATGAACTTTTGATTGTGAAAGCGGAAGAGAAATTGTGGTCGAAGTTCCACTACAGTAGCTCGGTTGCTCAAGTCGCGTCTCCCTCCACGTTTCGCGTCTGATTCCCCACAAAAACATCAACCACATCGAAGCACAGTCTCACTCCCCACCCTGTATCTCATCGAAGTCCAAATGACCTCCTCTGCACCCACGATCATCGATCTCAAGCTCCGATTCCTCAACTCCCAAATCCTCGCGCTCTCCAACCCGCTGTCCCCTTCTTCCACCTTCCTCACATCCAACTCCTCCGCCGAAGAGAATGCGCTTCGACAGAAATCCATCGACGAAGCACTGCATAAGCTGAATGGGCTGTTGAAGAAGCATAACCGGCTAGCATATGGGCCGCAGGCGAAGAGACATGTTGCAGAGCAAGTGGATCGGCTGTATTGGGTTGCGGGCGACAGAGACGTCCATGATGATGGAGAGGAGTGGGCTGAGAAGGGCATAGATTATCGTAAGTCCAGGACCTGCATGGTATTGGTGAGTTGTAGAGATGCTAATAGATGGTAAGGGAGAGAGAACATTGTTGAACAGTTGCCAGAAGAATGGAGCGAGGAAGCTCAGACCAAGACGCCGGAACAGGCACAGAAATACAAGGAGTTGCAACAGAGGTTAGCGGAGTTGATGGAAAGGAGAAAACAAGCTCGGGAGAAGGTAGAGGGATATAAGGCTTTTAAGGGGGTACTGGATCTGCTGGCTGGGGAGGACGCGGGGGTGCAGCAGAATTTGGTGACAAAGAACGGCGAGGTTGAGGAAGAGCTGGAGAAGATGAGGAGGTTGATGTTGAGGGTTGAGAGAGGTATGAATGGTTTGGAGGAGAAGGGTGCTGGCGATGGAGATGGAATGGACGTGGACGAAGAGGGATTTGAGGAGGGGAAAATTTTGAGGCTCTTGGGGGGTGCTTAGGCAGGATGCCAGAAATGATTGGTATGAAGGCCTCAATGTTGATTGTACAAGTGCCATACTCTTATTCTGCAGTGTTTACACAAATACTCTCCGACGAAAGCCTTCTCTTCTTTTGTCCCGGCTTCCAGTGTCCAAGTTTTCGTCGAGGCGATCCGAGTCAACTTCCGGATGGAGGAACACAAAAGTTCAAATACAGATTTAATCTGCTTTGGAAACTTCGCAACAGTGGGGAGGCCAACAAGACGCAGCAATCTTGGCCTCTACGAACGGCTCTTGAATATATAGCATAAATAGGAAGAGACGTATTATTGCCGACGATTTAATACTTCTCAGCTCCCAGAATCTGATATAGAGATGTAGGCTTCAAGGTTTCTCTTATTCCAGCTAGGTCATGGCCAAAACAATAAGGGACTTTTCAAGCAAGAAATACCTTGTGGTGTGGCTCAGTTGCTCTCACGTGAAACTGGCAACACTTCTGTGATAGAGAATGCTTTGGGCGTTGGATTTTTCTAAACAATCTCTTTCAACAATTTCAATTTAACAGTGGCAATGGCATTATGGCATCAATTGGCCTCGTCTTGCAAAAGTGAAGCATAGATGGGAGATACATTTGCTTTTGCTGAAGAGTGAATTTTTGTGAGGGGAGCAACTCAACTAGCTCCGGTGCATCCTTTCTGCCACACCGAATCCTTCCCAACAACGTTAGCGGTCTTTTCAACCTGCACACCGCCTTGCTAATCGACCCAATCAACGATAACAACGAGCACCATGGAGCTCTCAAAGACTGATCCTGGCACCTCTGTCAGTCCTCGAAAGGGCAGATCTCGCTCACTCGCGATTCTGGGCAGCAACCCACTTGACACCCCCCTGACCAAGGCCGAATTCGATCTCGCCGCGCTTCGCAAGAAGATCCTCACTGAGCAAGCAGAAGAGCGCAAGATCACTGACACCGAGTCCAATTCCCAGTCTACTACCCCCTCCCCTGTCCGCCGCAGAGCCCGATCTGTCTCGTTTGTCGGCACGAATCCTCTCGATACTCCCCTCACCGACACTGAATTCCAGCTCGTCGCGTATCGCAAGCAACTCAAGCGCGAGCAGGAAGAAGAGGAACGTGAGCAAGCAATTTCGAATCAATTGGCACGTCCTGCTGCGAGACGCCCTCTCCCTACGATCCTTGAGAGTCCAGTCAATTTCTTCCCTCCACCTCCTCCTACAGTCCAGTCCCCTGCTAAGAAGCAAGTCGCCGACATCCCTGACCATCTCTGGGAGGGCGTTCTGCAAGAGACCCGAGAGTGGCAGAGATCTAATTCGCAGTTCACCCTTGAGCAGCAAGAGAACGACAAGTTCAAGATCTACAACCGCAAGACAGGCACGGGCTTCACCTTCACGAGAGCAACCGATCCGCCGAAGACACCCAAGATTGGTACAAGTGATACATTCAAGACTAAGACCAAGCCTGGCACCATGAATTATCAAAATTACATCGACTCCCCCGGTGGACCTGGCTCTAACCCCCGTCAAGCTCCTCCATCTCCATCCCAAGGAATGAATCATCCGAACGGCATGAATGGTGGCATGGGCATGGGCGGCATGGCCGGTTATCCAACTCCAGCTGGCCAACAATCTGACCTCAACTTTATCATGTCCATGGTCGAAGACCTTTCCGCTGTCCTCCGTCAAAACCAACAGCTCTCCGCCAGTGTTGTCGAGAAGGTTGGTAGGGTCCGTGAGAAGGCCGCTACGATGGATCTGAGCAACGATCAGTTGGTAGCTGCTGTCGCCTCTGAGCTGAATGGCGAGTCACCCTCTGTTCACTTTCACAGATTGATCTAACTCTTGTCATAGCTGATACGAAGAATGTTGAGAAGGAGAACTCGGAGTTACGCAAGGCCCTCGAGAAGGCGGAGTATGACAAGAAGGAGAACTGGAAGTTGGCTTGCCATGGTGCCAACATCCTCGCCGATGTCACCGAAAAGATGCACAAGTTCCGTGAACAAACCGACGCCGATATCCTCACTTGGCACAAGAACTACCGCCAACAATTGGCCGCTGAGCGTGAGGAAAACTTGGATCTGCGCAACCAAATCAACGATATGAGGGCTGCTGCTTGTCGTGCTAACGGACACCTTCGTGATATGCGTCGTTTCGTCGCCGATCATGACGTCTGGCATGAGCTTCGCGTTGAGAACATCGCCCTCCGTCAGGAGAAGCGTTTCTGGAAGCGCATGGCAATGCCGCACCTTCCTGATGATGATTCTGAGTTCAGTGATGACGACGATCTCATCGACCCCGAGGTAAGAACAGTGACCCCTGATCATTCATAACAAAGCTGACTTCAGTAGGAGAAGAAGCGCCAAGCTGCTCTTGCAGCAGAGAAGGAGCGCAAGGACAAGGAAGACGCTGAGGGTGGTGGTGAAGGCACCTCTGCCTAAACTACCTCTCCGTCCACCGGAATTTGAACCTAACAACAACTGTTCTTTTTTGAACGTGTCCTCATTTGATCAGACCGTTTTCGATGGTAGTCTGCATATGCTGGCGTTGGGATGGATGAATATGCGATGATACCCCGGCATTCTGAAGGCGTTTTCCATGTGTATTCTACAAGCAATTCAACAGCTCGTGGAACGTTCTCCTTGCAATGTCTAACAGTTCATGGGACAGCTGCCGAAAATGCATGAAAGAAATATGACTCCGATTTCTTGAGAACACAGCAACGGGTCCTCCTGCGCGTCATAATGTGGCTTCAAGTGAAGCAAATAATCCCTCCGCGAAGTCGGGATTATCCATTGTTTAGTTTCTCCAGGTCCGCTCTCCAAGGGCCACGATTTGTCGAGGTCTGGTGGCTTGCGCTAGGCGTCCAATCCATCTGACGCCACATTTCAGTAATTGCAGGGATACTCGGGCTTTTCTCGCGCACCTCGCTCCCGCCTCGCGGGCTGCCAATCAAAACCCTGATGAAGTGGAGGGACGAGGCTTCGTACGGCGCGAGGCCGAACCGACGATTAAATATATAAGGGCTCGAAAGCTCGAGGATAATTCTTTCATCACATCACAATTCATCTTCACAAGCATCTCAAGAGTCTTCTACTTTCAACCTCCAGACAACAGTCCTGAAAATATATCTCTCCAGAAAGCCCAAAAGAGGAGATCCATCATGTCGACCTCTACCCAACCCAAGCAAACCATCCTATGCCTAGGAGCAACTGGCGGCTGCTGCCTCAACTTCCTCATCCGCGCCTTGCAAGAAGGCCACACAGTCTCAGCTCGTAAGCTCCCCCTCCCTCGCCGCTTTCAGCCCCTACTAACAACAATCTAGTCGTCCGAACCGAGGCTAAACTCGTCAACCTCCTCAAAGAAAATAAGGTCTCAGATGACCTCCTCAAAAACCTGACAATCGTCCAAGGAAACTCCAAGAACGAAGCCGACATGGCCAAAGCTTTGCAACTCAACGGACAAGTCGTAGACCTTGTCATGTCTGGCATCGGCGCCGTCCCGAAATTCAAGAACCTGATGCCGACGATTGAGGATCCGACGATTTGCGCCGACACGATGACCACACTTTTCAAATCCTTAACCGCAATCCGAGAATCCTCCCCGAGCAGTTACAAGCGTCCGATTCTGGTGGGGATCAGCACTACAGGTATCTCTGAGTTCGGGCGCGACCTTCCGCTTGCAATGATACCCGTTTACAATGTGCTGGCCAGTGTACCGCATGCAGATAAGAAGCTTATGGAGAAGCTGATTAAGACGGAAGGGAATAAAGAGGGGGGCTTACTCAGTGGCTGGGTTATTGTCAGAGCGAGCTTTTTGGAGATGGGGACTAAGGATGTGGGGTGGGAGAAGTTGAGGGTTGGGGTCGAAGAGAATGGCAAACCGATGCCGAAGAGTGCAATTGGGTGGACGATTTCTAGACCTGATGTTGGGCGGTGGATTTATGGGGCTTTGGTGCAGGATAAGGAGGGGAGGATGAGGGAGAGGTATCTGAATAAGTGTGTGGGGATCACTTCTTAGGGTTACTTTCTTGTCTTTGCTCTTGCGAATCGTTTTTCCTTCTTGTTATATGTACTAGAAAGCGCTGCTCTTATACCTTGTACTACTACCTAGCCTCTCATCGTAATCATAGGATACACCCTTCACTGGACCCCTCTTCAAGGCCCTTCCCCTACTTCCCCCCACCCCTCATAGCCTTAACCATCACCCCAAACCTCTTGCTCCTCTCCTCCTCCCACCCCCACTGCCCTTTCATCATGCCCACCGGTACCGCCTCCTTTCCAGCAACCAACCCCTCCCAGCACTCCTCAGTAAATTCCCCAAGCGGCATCCCAATACTCCCTCCATCCTTGATATCCGGCTGGTGCTTCGCATCATGCAACTCCGTCTGCACAGCGGGTGGCAGGATCTCGACTACCTTGACATTACTCCCTTTAAGCTGCTCTCGGAGAACGAGAATCAGGTGATGGAGTGCGGCTTTCGAGGCGCAGTAGTTGCCGCAGCGGAGGATTGGGGTGAGGGCGAGTCCTGAGGTGGTGAAGATTAGGGATGTTGGGGCACTTTGGCGTTGGAGAAAGGGGAGGAAGGCTTTGATTATGTGGACGGGGGCAAGGTAGTTGGTGCTGAATTCATCCCCCACGACATCTAAATCTATGCTTTTGGGATGGGTGAAGTTTAGAGGACGCTGGATGCCAGAGTTGAGGATGATGGAATCGAGAGATGGGTGATGTTTGATGACTCTGTGCACTTGTAAGTAATTGGGTTGGTTTTTTTGGGGGAAACCTACGAGTCAACAAATGACGGGATAGAAGACAAGTCTGTGATATCGAATTGGATAGACGAAGCTTTCTCTTTCCCATGCTCAGAGACGAACGAGTCAAGGTTCTCTTTTCGTCGTCCTACTGCTATCACGTGGCTTCCGTTCTCGATCAGTTTCTCTGCGAGAGCGAGACCGATGCCAGATGTGGCGCCGAGGACGAGGACAGTTTTGTAGGGGAAAGACATCTTGATTGGAGTTGAGATTGCGAAAAGAACTTGAAGGATTGAGTAGAATTTGAATGAAAGAGAATCTGTGTATTTTATAGAGGTTGAGATAACCTTCAGCGTAAGAACGCAGGCGGCTTGAAAGTGGTCTATTTCCGCTACTCTAGCGTACGGAACACCAAAATCTCTCGGATTTGAAAATTGCACATCGCAACGCCACCACCTCCGAATTTCATAAATTAAGCTTCATGCGATAGAGAAGAAGCTTAAGTTCCTTTATCTTGCGTTGCAACGGTCAAAAATGTCTAGGTGGTTTTGTTGCGACTTTTTAGCACGACGGACGGTTTTCAAAGCCACCCGCCTTCGTACACTCATGATCTCATTGATTTTAGCTTCGATTCTCGGTGTCATGAGCTTCTTAAATCCATAATTTATCTCATCTCGGCCTCAGAAGGACCCCGAACAATCTTCTGAAAATATAATCACTCGTTGAATATTGAAATTGTGCATTTTCTCTTCTCATGCTCCTAAATTAAGGTTTGTGGAGTAAAGGATGATTTCCCCCCTAAATGCTGACAGGTACTTCCAAGGCTTGCTAAAGCTGTCAACAAGAACCGGCAACTGCAGATCACCCGCCTCGACATCCTACTGAAAAGCGTCAGAAATGGAATCCAATTTATCGCTCGGTTATAACGAAATCTACAAATCCTGCAATCTTTCAAAACAATCTCACCAACAGAACGCCTCCTCTATTAAATCAACACTAACCCCTTTCTTCCCCACAACACCAACAACACTCTTCCTCGCCCCATCCGCCAGCGCTCCCGGCCCACAAGACACAACACAAACCTTCCTCCCTTCCCCTCCCTCACCCAGCACCTCCCCCCTTACCAATTCCTGAACATCCACCCTCTCTCCATCCCCAATCCCCGTACATACAACCCTAACCTCCACACCTTTCGCGTTCAACTCCTCGACATCACCCATCTGACTGGACACAGCAGCAATTAAACTCTCTTCCCTCGCTGTCCAGAAAAGGATGAATCTACTGGGTCTACGCTTCGAACCCTTTTCCAGTTCAGAGAGATACAGCTGGAGATAGCCGAGGATGGAAGTGATGCCAATTCCTCCAGCGATCGCGAGGATCGTGTCCGCGTTTCGGAATTTCGTGGAAGGAGCAGAGCCGTATGGTCCTTCGATTATGACTGCCGTTTTCGCTTTTCTGGATTTCAGGAGGCGAGTGTGCAGATTTCGTGTTACGCCATGCTCGGGACGGAGGATGAAGGAGATGCTTGGTTTGGGGGGGAGGCTTGAGGTGCGGTTTGGAGGGGTGGTAGTGAGAGGAATATCTTGGAGCTCGATGATTGGCTCGGTGGAGTTGTGTGTTGAGTGCAACGGTAAAGCTGGTGGTGGGTTTTCGGGGGTAAGGGAGGAGGAGGATGTCTCGTTGGCGCTTGTCTGTGGTTGTGGGGTCGAGCAGTTCTTCCAGCTTGCGACGGAGAAGGGATGAGATTGGAAGGGGTTAGTTGTCAGGGTTGGAAAGTAGAGGTAGCAGTGTTGCCCAGCTGAGAAGTTCCAGATAAGTGATGGGAATACAGTCACTTTGATGAAATCATCTCCAGGCAAGAGCTCCAAGATCGCCGACGGGTGAGAGGGAAGGATCCACGATTTCCAGTTCAACAAAATCATTCGAAGAGATCGAGAAATCCGATCGAAGCCCCAGAATGCAAAGGCAATGTAAAGCCAGACTTCGTACCCATAGGCTTTGTGGTATCGCCATACCACGTGGTACCAGAGACCAACAAGGATCGTGATGGCAAATGCGATGTGTATGAAGAGGAAAATTTCGTACGCTTTGGTTCTGAGTGGAAGCATTGAGAAGACTGCAACCATGAATCCCATAGCGATGACTGCGATAATCCCCCACGTCCAATACGACGGATTGTAGTTGACGGTGTGGATTCCTGCTGCTAGGGTGAACATGTTATATCCGCTGCTGTTAGTTCCATTCCAGTAGAGAACGACGTGGACGACTCCCTCGATGGCAGTAACGCGAGCAACCCATCGGTGGAAAGTGATGATGTCCGAGCGACTGCAACCTGTGATCCAGAGCAGTGGCGTGTTTCTCCCGGAGAACATGATCGTAAGTGCAATGTTTGCATAACAAAGAACCCCTAGACGATCCGCAATCAAGGAGGTATGCTGCTTTTTGCTTGAGATATACCATGTATCTGGAGTGAGAGTCGGATAGTTGATTGCGCAGAGGACAGCGTTGAGAGCGATGTAACAGAGTACCAACAGTGTTAGAGTCCTTGATGGGACGTACCCGATGTTTCCAGGGAATTTCCGAAGGTGCATGGATCCGACCAGAGCTGGCAGATAGATATATTTCGAGAAGAAAGACGAAATTGGTCGGGGAAGGCATCGGTGTGGCAAGGCGTAGTTGATTAGTCGATGGAGGCCAAGACAGAAGCAAAAGCCAATAACGACGGCCACGAGGATAGTCCTTACTCAAGAGTTAGCTATAGTCAGTTTGGTCCTGCCAATACCTTACCCGTATAAAGCATGAGCAGATTCTTGCTTCACGTAACCTTGAATCGTCTTCCGGCTGTCCTCATAGTACTGCTCATTAACCAGGCTCGTTTGATCCAACGCCCCAGCATCGTACGGCAACGTTACAGTTGGGACAATGCTGGGAAGGTTAGACTCTAAGCTCCCGACTGAAACTCCATCACCAGCGACCCTAGCCCAACACTGCTCAGTCTCACTCGAAGAGACATTATCTGCTCCACACTTAACTTGCATACAATATGCCAAAGAGCTCAGGTATGCTGTATTCGTTGAATGGCAGAACGGGTCGCTGCCTCGATCTTGAGTTTCTCGCTGGGCTTCTGTGCAAGAGAGTTGCAGACTCCAAAAGGAGGAAAGGCATGCATAGCAGCACAGAGGCTGGAATATCGTGCGCCCCAGACCGACAACACCAATGTCTCCAGCGTTGATGCTGCTTGCGAACAAAACAAAGACCAGTAAAAGGGATTTGGAAAACATGATGGCAATGTCTGAGCGGAGTACATGGAAAGAGTGAGGAAGGAAAAAAGAGAAGTACTTATCCCAACCAGAGACACATTTCTGGGACGGGGTTTAGAATTGCAAGGGTGTCATTCCCCAACCGACCTCAAGGACCCTTGTTGTCAAAGAGGCCCAACAAAGTGACCCAGAATTAAGCTTACGTATAGATAGCCGCACGTTCAACTTCCCGGGAAGATCATCTGCTCTTCCTCCAAGTATCGCTCTTTGCGTACCTTGCTGTTTAACTTGCTTCTCCAAAAAGGTATATCGTATTGCCGTAAATACACACCGAAAGTCCGACCCATCTTGCATCACTTGAGCCGTATCCTTAGCATCTGACGGTAGTCCTCGTACCTCTAGAACTTAGTCAACCCTACGATGACAGCCCTCAAAACTCATGGCTTCGTAATATCTGCTTGCTGATTCGCTACCGCTGCTGCATCGTGCGAAGCCTTGACATGTTTATTGGCCTCACGGACAATTCAGAGAAGCATGCGGAGTTACGCGTCCTACAGCCACAGTCGGCATATTACGCACTGTGATGCCGATGCAACATCGAGCAGAGATCCCAGGGCGAAATGTCACTGATATTGCCATATGAGGCTTGCGGTGACGTATGTCGTAAGGTCGTATCGATGCGCCAATCATGGGATGCTAAGGCGCTGTGGGGTTCGTGGTTGAGATAAAGTTCGGGGTGTGAATGCCCGGAGGCGCCCCCCTTTTGTACCGAGCACGTGACCAGGTTCGATGTTGAGATGGTGATGTTTTGACTTCCTGTAAATAATAGAAGGATGAAAGTGAAGGTTACGCGTCTTTGTGTAACGTCAGAATTCTAATGGCTAATTGAGTCTCAACCTGGGAGACGGTTCTTCAAGCATCGAACCGCCAGCACGGGAACCTTCAGACACTAACTATGGCACTTTTGACGGGCCTTATACTGGACGCCTATGGCAAGGTCTGATATATCACGAGGGCGTGAGCTTTCGGGAAGATGATACTTCGATCAAGTGCTGAGGTGAATCCATTTTATTCGATTCAAGTCAGTTAATCATAAGCCTTTCATCCGATTCCCGCCTGATATCACTGACTGCAAAGGAAGTCTACCGCGGATGCGAGCCGATACGCCAATTGCGCAACGTTGGAGCTTACCCTCATCACCCCCACCATCCCGCTCCTTTTGATGAAGTACCCGGGAAAAGTGAGCAGAACTACTGGGGTTCCAAGCAAAACCCCACAAATTGGGCCTTTTTACAAGGGCGTGAACCCGGTTATTGGAGTACCGGGCGCCGCCCGCAACCTCCCCGGTGCTATCCTCCCGTTTCAACTCAAAGCCAAATCAGTCATGAACTTCAGGAGCCTGTTCAAAATCCTTAAGCATTAAACTCTTCTCCTAATGATTAACCACAACCGTAAAGTCCTTGCTCAAGCTCTTCCCAACCGTAACCGTATAATCCCCCGTCTTCGAGTCGTGATTCCCACTCCCTTTCTGCCCATCAACACTACACCCACTCGGGGTGCTCTTAAACCCCAAAAATACAATCCTCGCCACCTTAACCCCAGCATTAAAATCATAATTCCCCTTCATACTAAACGTCTTCCCATCAAACGCGAACTTCACGAACGTCGTTCCCTTCTGCACCAAACTAAGCCCATCATCGAGATACAATTGTCCGGAGGCTTTCCCGTCCGAGCCCAAGGGAACGATGATCTCGAAGTCCTGTTTTCGGAGCTCGGTTGTTGTCATAGCGGACTTGACGCGCTGGGGCACGATTACGCCGCCGCGGTAGTGCAAGGGTATGTCGGTGATGTCGAGATTGGATATTTGGATGGTGGAGCCTTTGCCTTGGACCGCGGTGTGGGTGAACCAGTCGTAGAAGATGTCTTTTGGGAGGTAGACGCTGACGCTGGTGGCGTTTTCTTCTGTCACGGGGCTGACGAGGAGTGATGGGCCGTAAAAGTATTGGAGTTCGAGGCCGAAAGTGTTGGCGTCTGTGGGGTAGAGGTAGAACATTGGATTGATGAGAGGTGTGCCGTCGACGGTCTGCTGGTAGAGGGCTGTGTAGATGTAGTCTAGAAGACGGTAGCGGATGTCGATGACTTTCTTCGCTGCGGCTGTGACACTGGGCCACTGGTAAAATTCTTGGGGAATGTTTGGCGGGTAACCGTTGTGATCGCGGTAGAATGGACTGAATGCTCCAAGTGTAGCCCAGCGAGCGCACAGTTGCTCGGTGGTGTTGTCTGCGTACCCACAAACATCTGAGCCAACCATTGGGACTTGATAGATGGAAGAAAATGCCATCATTGTTCTGATGGACCATTGATAATGGGGCCAGTCACTGACATTGTCACCGAGCCAGTGACCGACTTTGGTTCCAGCACCGGCGAAGGTGCTGCGAGTGATGATAATTGGCCGCTCTGCAGAACGCCGGTTCATCATTGCGTATCTTGAAGCGGTGGACATCACTACTTGGTTAGCTTGCCGTTCCTGGAATTTGAATTGTTGCGCTTACTTGTTCCAAACAGATTATGAGTGTCGTACATTGCCAACCCGTTCTGATGGATGACGTCTGTATTCACAGTATGATTCGAGATGCCTCCTCCAGCAGCATTGTCGGCATATGTGTATGCTGCAGCGTTGTGAATTGCATACTTGGGGTAGAGCAGATCTCTTCCTGGCAACCCAAGCTCTTTCCCTGGTGCTTGTCTCTCGGTCACTTGAAGCATTGGAAGAGCTACTGAAGCCTCAATCTCATGTCTCTTCTTGCTTCCAGAGCATTTGGTTCCAGGTGGCTGAAAGTCACATGGAAATCCGGGAAGCGGACGAGGTGGAGTTCGGAGCGCTGGAGGTTCTGGGGGAAATCCAACGGCGGATGCATACGGATTGTCGCAAGGGAAGTTACATGGGAAGTTCGATGGCTCGTTCATATCAATCCAAAGTCCATCAATATCGACACCATTGTTTGGGGAGAAGAAAATGGAGAACTCGTTATTCCAGTAGTTTTGAGTGCCGGAGTGAAACCAGTCTGGGAAGACAGTAACCCCTGGCCACACAACACCTAACCAATAGGATCCGTTGTCTCTTCTCAAGAAGATTCCATCTTGGGCACCTCGCTGATATGGTGGGTACGGTTGATATGCCACGGCAGGATCCACCATTAAGATTTGCTTCTGGTCGTGGGAATGTAGGTAATGATTGAGCTCCTGCATCATCTTGAGAGGGAACCTATCAGGATCAAGAGAGAAGACCTGTAATGTCAGCTGACATTTCCCATTCTAGGAATCTAGACTTACCTTCCTCAGATCCATGTAGTCAATATCAGTCCACATCGTCTCGAGCGGAATTCCAGCTTTGGAGTAGTTGTACACTGCTTCAGCCACCGCAAACGCATCCTGGTATCCATATCTGCAATTGTGGAAGCCGAAGCCCCAGTACGGCATCATGACTGGAAGTCCAACAACCTCGGCATACTGCTGGGACACAGCAAGGGGGGTTGGTCCGGCCATGAAGTAGAAGTCCAGAACTCCTCCGAGAGTATTGTACTCCAAATACTGATCTTTCCCATTCGTATTGTTGATCTTGATGTCCATGCCGTTCGAGTTGAGGAAGAAAACTCCATGAGTGCCCGTAGTCCGATGCTCGAAATACACAGGATGATTCCCATAAAGATTGGCGCCATTAGGAATGGCGTATGCATCTTGCGACCACAGAGTACGGATATAATTCGTGGTATTCAGACGGAAAGGGTCCGAATGCTCGCCCAATCCATAGAGATTTGGGTTTGCTGGGAGCGAAGTCCTCAATCGGAGGTACTGAGTCTCGAAAACGATACTTGCAGCTGAAGTATCGAAGAGCACTTCTCCAGTCTTGGCTCGAGTAATCGAGAACGAGAACGGCGAGGCAACATATTTGAATTGGATGTTGGCATCTTTGGACTTGATTCCTGAAGATGGAGATGGCCGTGGCAGGACGCTGGCGGGCACTTGATACACGCTGTCGGCAGGATCTTGGATCTTGACGTGGATGCGGTCATCTGTGTCGATTTGGTCAATGGTTGAATGCTTGTGAGCAATGGGTGCCTACCAGTCTCGTAGACCACCTCCAAGGTCAAACTCTTCAGATCATCACCGTAGACATTGCAAAGCGCACCAGCGAGACTCAAGTCGGCAGTAAGACTGGATCCCGTTGTCTTGATGTTTGAAGCTTTGTAGCCAGGGCACGAGGCCAGAGGGTCGCTTGATGATATCCTTGGAACAAGACCTGAGGCTTGGACAGCTGTAGCTGCCACCAGCAGCCAGGAGAGTAAGACAGCCATGACCAATTGCTTGGCAGTAGACGACCGACCCCTCCATCCTCGAGCTCCTGAAACACATAGCTATTTATCATCTTCTCTTCCCTTCGTCAAGCGGCCGAAAAATGAAGGTGCAGGAAGCAGCTACCCAGCGGTGGAACCATAGTCTATGCCAGCAATCCTCGGATCCCTGGCCAGCTCGACTGCGGGGCAGTTCCTGCAAGTAAGACCGTTTTGACAGTCAAGCCCGAACTCAAAGGGCCTATTAGCCAGGCATTGAAGCTGGCGATAGGTGCGGGCAACGAAGATCCTCATGCATGGCGCCGATATGGCCGAACCTTGTCTGCTGGTTCCTGCTGCAATGCTGGTCGTTATTTGTGAAAAATTAAGCTTAGGAAATTGCGGGGTTGCGCGGGGTTGGAATCGGTCCGTGACCGGGGGTCAGCGTTGTACTTCCCTGACGTTAGCCAATGAGAGAGTCGTCCAACCTGATGTCAACCATGTGCTATCATGTGTTGGGAATAGCCTCCAATTGAGCTCTTCTCCATGTTGCTCTTGACCCCATCTTGAATTAGGATACGAACTTTTGCATCCCCAGCTAGTGTAGTCTATGCAGCAACGGAGGAACCGTCATGCTGTGCGATGTCATCAGATTCTCATCCCATCTTTGCATGCCGGCGAAATATCCTTAATATCTCACTAATCAGGCGAAAGGGACCGAACCTAAGTTCGGAGTCGGAACATCTCTCCCACCGGACAGAGCGATGTTGACTGATGGGAATAGATTCTCATCCGACGGCTCGGTGACACCTCGCTCTAATCCCCGCTCTCCACGCAGTCCCTAGGAGTCTGATGAAAGAAACTTGGTCTGCTACAGTAATCAAAGACGTATCCACCTCCACGGCCACGGCGAGGTATCCTTGGCAAGAATGGGGCACTTGCCTGGAAATATGAACGGCCGAAAATGCCGCGGTTGAAAAAGAAGAGAAAGATTGCCGAACGGCTACAGGAGAACATTTGGTATCATTAGAGAGTTAAGTTTTGTACATTACCAAAGCCAGACAATATAGATACACAGATGTACATGGACTTCCTCTGGCCAACAGCAAACCCGAACTCCGCGCTAGCAGCAATCCCAAGTATTCTTACATGTTTATTGTGGCTTCTTTGACTCATACGGTAGTTCCGATTTTGAGGAGAAACCTGGGGGAGTTTTGACGGGATCTTTGACAGGATGGAGCAGCATCGGTGGCAGACAGATTCGTCCGTGAGCCTTTTCCCACTTGTCATCTGTTAGTGCCATTTCAAGAAACGGGATGTAGAACCCTTACCTCCGGCCCCCCAATCCCACTGTCCTCCCATCCAAGCCAGTTGTTGTAAAGCCTCGTCGGAGGTGTAGCCCGATAATACCACGTGGTGCCGTTAAATCTCATTTCATTGCCCCAACTGAACGCACTCTGTGGAGTATTTCCACTCTCCCCCCTCGGTCCTGGATTGAAGTATTTTGCTAGCATAGCACCTCCCCAAGCCCGATCAAAGAACATTGGGATTGGTGCGTAGACTGCCTTCAAACCGTGTAGCAAAGCAACAGTTTGAGGTGTCATCTCGCTGCTAGCATGATTTCCCTTCAGATTCTCTTTGTGCATCGTGTCAAGGAGCAGCTTGCTACACCGAGACTGTGTGCCGATGGCAGCGCGCCTAGGAGTATTTTCAGGGCCGAGAAATCCCCAGATATCATGTTTTCCAACCCACTTCGTCAGTATTGGATTGAACAGTGGGGCTAAAGAAATGTAATCCGCAGCTTCTCCAACACCCCACGTGTAGTGGTCCTTCTTTGGATCAACATTTGGTCTTTTTGGACCAACAGGTCTGATATAAGGATTGGGCGGAGGTCCCCAGACAGTGTATTTGTCTGTCTCTGGCTCGACCATTTTTCGGAACTTGTCATAAGGGCCATGATATGCGGGAATATAATATCGTTCATTGCGCTCCCATAGATATTTCCTCGGCTGGGCCTTTGCAAACGCGTCCAACCTTTCGAGAAGGTTGTAGTAATGACCAGTATAGCGGGTATCGAGCTCCCAATTCCAATAAAAATCGAAGTGAGGATAGTCCTGCGCAAAATGCTGCACCGAAAGCCACTGTGACTGGTGGACATTATTCACTTCCGGTAGGATCAATGGGTATGTCTCCTTCATTTTGGCATCGTTCCATAGGACTGTCATATTCCAGAACTCGTTAGGAACAATGTTTTGAACAGCTTCGTTATATGTATTGGTGTCGGTCCAGATTGGTAAGGTTTCGTCCTTTACCTGAACCGAGAGATAGACTTGATACTCTCCACCGCTCCCTAAAGACAATTCAGAAATGAGAGCTCGAATATTCTGCTTGTCGTTTTCCGTCCAGTTTTGGTTGGAATGGGTTCGAACTATTATTGCAGTCCGTGACTTGGCTTCCGGTACGGTCGGAGAGCTCTTTCTACCAGGGTGTTGACTGTCCTCGACAGGAATGGTTTCCAGCCTCCTACTTTTCCCGCCACGACTGTGGACTGTTGACAAGTTTGAGTTCCCTCCAGATGGCGAGTTGCCAGCGCGTGGGTCTCCTTGAACTTGGCCGTAGCGGTCCGAATTTCGTAAGGCACACTCTTGTTGTAAAAATCCCCAATCGACGAAATCCCAATCTGCTCGTTTGCGAACCGAACCGGTCGAATTTTCCTCCTTAAAGCCGTAGCGACCAAGCCGAGTCTCCCTCTCAAAACACAGATTGCTGTCAATTTCGAGTGCAATGTATGATCCCATTGGTGGCTCTCCAAAAGACTTGGGGCGTCCAGAAAACACCAGCATGTCTTCAATAGGACCATCTGGACCATGACAGGGCTTGTACGTTCCTTTGTTGGCCGCTTTCCACGCTTTGCTATTGTAGTCCGGGTAAACATCGTATTTGTAGGGAGGAGTCGGGCTGTACCCTAATGCGGTGTCTGATGCGATCAGAGCTGCAGAGGTTGCAAAGCCATCATGCGCGCCAAAGTCGATGAGGTCGTTGAGCGTGGTTCCGTATATAAGTCCAACGGTTTGCTGCCTATAATCACTTCAGTATGACCCGGGGAAAGTAATAGGGAGTACTCACTGTCCAAGGGTAACATAGTCCCTCTCAAAATCCTCCTTTAGGTTGATTCGACTATGTGTTTGTGGTCCTGACGGTGGCGGTGGTACTGGGTCTGCCGTGGCAATTGTCACCTCAGCGGGGCTCGTACTGCTCTCCACGGCCTCAATCACTTGAGGAGGCTCAGGGGGCGTGATCGGTGGATCTGGTTCCACGAAGCCCTCCGAGAGGTCAGTATAGCCTTTGGCTTTCCACTCAGCCGCATTCCTAGCAGCCTCTGCTTCTTCCGCAGCTTCCATATCTTGCAGATATGCATCCACGATATTCGAAGAGGGCGGCGGGTCATAATTTAGACTGTGACTGTTATCATCGTGCCAGAAAAGGAGGTAGACGGCAAAGAGCGCGAAGGCCAAAACGGCCAGCGACTTCGACCTCGGAGGCATGATCGCGGCGGAGATGGTCAGCCTTAGGCGTGTGTGGCCGTGCGAGTTGAGGTCTCATGAATGGAAAACATTCGGATGAAGACGTAGTTCTGACGGAAGCTCGCAGGAGGGGAGAAGAAAGTTGACCCATAAATCTGTGCGGAGAGAAGACAGGGGTCTCGAAGCCGCTATGGCCCCTGCAGCCTTGCGCCGAGGCTGCAGGAGAATGTCTCACACGAAGGACAAGAAGGAAATGGGGATGATCACTGACGCATTGTTATTGAAGCTATGATTTGTTTGAATTGGACGTCAATGTACAGAATTTCTGAGAGACGAATGTCGAAGGTTTCCAGCGATTACATTTGGGGTGCATGAGACAGGGACAGGCTCCCTTTTAGGCGGATTACCCCTGAAGATAGCGATGATAAAGTCGCTAAAGAAAACCTTAAGGTTATCAGGCCAGCAGCTTCACTTCATCCCTTCAAATATTATGTTGGGATTTTCAAGATCTAAGAAGTTATCTCGTAAGCGGCAACAATTAAGGCAAGGACTGGCGAAATGACATGATATTAACTAGCCCTAAGGGACAATCAAATTCTTCGCTATGCCACAAGGACTTGATCCCTTTAGCAAATCCAGGCCGCTGGGGATTTACAGTTTACAGCACTTATCCTATCACTATTTCCACCTCCGCATCTTCAGAGGAAACACTCAACAAGCGCGTCTGTGAGCGGTTCCAGGCATACTTCAACTCCAACTTACGCTTTTCAGCCGAGGACCTGTACGGAGAGAAGATGCCGCTGGACATCGAATTCAACCGCCTCCCCTCCGTAAGCATCACCGAGGCAAGAGTACGTTTCCGAGCCAAATATGGCTGGCCTGAGAAGCACGAGATGGGTATCTTCAGGAACCACGAGCACCATGACCTGCGGCATGGAGTTTTCGTCGTGATTGACGAGGAGACGATGAAGGCCTTGTTAGATGCTCCGAATCTATTCTGGAACTTCCGGCAGGCTCGAGCTATAGGACTGCCACGGAGATTGAGGATGGCATTGTAATTGAGGTCGTGGACGTGTATTACGACGAGGCGTGTGAGGGAATACAGTTTGCGGCGGCAGGAAGGGGGACGCCGAAGGACGGTCCAAATTCGATGGCCTTTAATGGGTACATCAAGACGACGCCGAGGTGGCTAATCACGAAAATGAATTTCCTGAACAGAACGCCTCACGCCTAAAAGAATTAGCATAAGTCAAAAGGCGTCGGAGGAACTTTTTCGTCGGTCAATTTACCAAGCTCAAAGGCATCCTCGGATAGAATATCAAATTCAAACACCAAGAGCGCCAAATATCCCTTCCCTTCCTTACTTGTAGCTAAAATTTCCTGTTCTGCCCTGATATCGTACAATATCGAGCAATGCAAACATCTTTCAAGTCGTTCACTGTGCCTCACTCCCCTCTCAAGAATACATCCCAAGCATCAGACAACTTCTCAAGACTGGAAGATTCTGCCAACTTGAATATCATACTTCTCCTCCCATAATCTTCGCTCTTCTTACTCTTCACAAACTTTTGCTTTTGCTCACCTGGTCCATAAACCATTGCTCCTCCTTCTGCGGCAACATATGGTGGGAATGGTTCTCTTCCAACAACGAAATCTATGAAGTCTTCACCAAAGGCTCTAGCAGATTCTTGCTGAGCATCGTCGAGAAACTCATTGTAATTCTGGAACAGAAATGCGGCATCGAGTATATGAGTTGCAACTCCCTGATATCGTCCGGGCCAGGGATTTGGCTCGTTAAAATGGAAGACGTATGCTTTTTTCGGCCAGCCAGAGGCAATTGAGATTAAGGGTGCGTAAAATCCAATGTCGTTTGCAAAATGAAGAACTCTGTCAGCAGCATCATTCATGGAGCCTGCGTAGGCGTTGTGGATGTTGTATCCCTCCAACAGCTGCTGTCTGGTCGCCGAATCGCAGAGAGTGTGTTCTATAGATTCTGTGAAGGCTTCCTCCATACCCTCGAGTCGGCCGTGTAGCATATAGAACAAGACGCTTGACTGCAAGATATCAGCGGAGTCATGGACAGGAGAGGCAACTACTCACATCCATCTCACAGTCACCAATCATAATGCTTTTACACCAGTCTGTGCCCGACAATAGCTTCTCCTTAAATGACCACTGTGAGAATGTTGCAGGCACAGTGATAAGTTCTCCGTCAATGACTGGTAGCAGCGGCAAGTTTGCAGTGGCTGCTAGCAAGTCTTCTGCCGTTGTTTCTTTCAAAGCTTTGATTCTTTCTTCTAGAGTCTGCTGAAAGTCCGAGTTTGTCCACCGCAACGGCATAAATCGATTCTGCAACTTGAGAAGGAAGTGGCTTGAGCAGCAATGGAGTTCCTCCCATGGAGAAGATTCTCTTGAAAAGAGACTGGGGCGACTCGAGATGATGGAGGCAAAGACTGGTAAGAAGTTAGACCCAATCAATTCCATACATTTTTGCGGGTCTCACTTGACCCAGTGCTCACTCCAACTGCCGTGATGTTATATGGATCTCCACCAAAGCCATTGATATACTTCCGAATCCAGGTTAATGCAGTCCTCTGATCTCGGAGGCCATTGTTGCTTTTGATGCCAGCACTTAGCAGTTCCTGAGAAGAAAGGAATCCAAGAGCTCCGAGCCGATAGCTATCACCAAATAAGTTAGAAGCAAAAAGAAAATTCTTAGGAATAAGCATACTTGATATTGATACCAATTAAAGGACCACCTTTCTCAATCGAAAGTTCAACCAGCCGGGTTGGATCATATTGTGGCCATGAATTTGCTCCGATACTAAAACCACCTCCATGAATGAAGACGAAGACTGGGACAGGATTCTGGATATCCTTAGGTGTGACAATGTTCAGGCTCAGACATTCGGTACTGGAAAACAGGGGTTCTTCACATGGCAGTTCATGTTGGATGAACGTGAACTCATGATCTCGCGCCTCTGGATTCTGTGGGCATGCCGGTCTACAAACATGTCGACGTCAATCTCAAAATCGGTGACTGGGACTTCAGGGCATTCCAAACATACCCGTATGAAGTTGCCTTCACTGTCGAACCTCCGGTGTTTGTAAAAAAGATAGGTTCAGCGAATGGATGCTCTAATGAAGCATACTTAAGACCACGGTATTGGATGGTATTTTCATGGTCAAGTCCTATGATGGTGCCCAGCTCAGAGTGGGCATGTTCTTTTGTCATGGCTGACGACTAATCGAGAGAGTTCAGAGCCTCGATGGACTATGCAAGGTTGGTAAACAGAGACAAGATTTTGGTCCTGGGCGAAGTAGATCTGCAGGTTGATTATGAGCCTTGTTAGCTATAGGGTGGAATTAATGCACACTTTATAATCTCTGATCTGGTGGATTTCCGGGTGTAGATGTGGCAGTCATGCGAAAGCTGGCTGATGAAGCCTCTAACTCCCGAATACTGTAACCCCACCATACACAATTTCGAGAATTAACTTATCAGAGGGCTGAAAAAGTTTGCTTTCTATGCACCGAAACTTTAAACTTCTCCATGTTGGAGAACCCTCGTGATGGCGGAGGAGAAAAAGTACCCCAACCCCTTTTACCCCGCTAACGAGGAACAATAGCACCCCACAATGCGGGGTACACACTAGGTGGGGTTGTCTGGACCCCTTTCCGACCTCCATACTGCACAACTACTTGCATTTCAATCATTACACTATGGTTTGGAAGACCGTTTCTTAGTATTCAATCTCTTCAAGACGATCAAAAGTCTCAACTGCCAAAGATCACATCTGCGGACATCATGGCGCCTAGAGCAGAGTATAGGGATTCGACAGCAGCAACCTTTGAGGAACCCCTCACATTTCCCATCCACTATGAGGACCCAGAATACCAGTCCGCGCATTCGAATTTGTTCTCAGGTTCTCTCACACGTCCATTGGAAGCTGTTCTCCCTCCCGGAGTTACTCCAGCAGATTTCGATGCCGCGATCAATAAACTGAAAGATATCCTAGGAAAAGATCATGTTTTCACGGGAAGGTCGCTCACTGAATATATCGACCCGTATGAGCTTCAAGAAGAACCTTCTCGGAGAAAGATTCCTAGTGGGGCTGTGTGGTAAGTCTAGATCCATCCTGCTCGCAGGTGTCTGAATAATGATTTCTTAGTCCGAAGAACGTTGAAGAAGCTCAGGGAGTTTTGAAAATCTGCAACGAGTACAAAATCCCTGTTTGGACATTTTCTAGGGGAAAGAATTTAGGGTAATACCCTCAAATTGTGCTTCACTGCAGGTTAGCACGCTCACGTCTCGACAGCTACGGTGGTCCCGCACCACGACTCAGTGGCTCACTGGCACTGGATCTACACAGAATGAACAAGATCATCGAAGTGAACCAGGAATTCTCATACGCAGTTGTCGAACCTGGAGTGACTTTCACGGATCTCTATGACTACTGTGTATTACACAAGCTCAAAGTTTGGCCGAGTGTGCCTTCACTTGGCTGGGGAAGTGTGGTAGGAAATGTATGTCTTGCTTCCAAGCTTCACAATATCAAGCGCTGACAAGAACAGACTGTCGACAGAGGCACGGGCTTCCTCCCAACAGCAACCCACCATCAACACATCGCTGGCCTCGAGATTCTCCTAGCAGACGGCGACGTGGTCCGCACCGGCCAATTCGGCATTTCTGACTCCCCTTCAGCCCACCTCTCAAAGTTCACATTCGGCCCCTCAATAGAGGGGCTTTTCCTGCAAAGCAACCTTGGCATCGTGACCAAAATGGGCATCTGGCTCACTCCCCAGCCCGAAGCCTACCTCTCATGCGGTTTCTCCATGTCAGAATTCGACGACATCGAAGTGATGGTCGACCTCTTTGGCGAGATGCGTCGAAACGGGACCCTTCCGAATACTGTCTATATCTCCAATATCACAGAGTGGTTGGGGATGACGGGCAAGAGGTGGGAATACTGGGATAAATATGAGCCTATCCCGGCATCGAAAATCAGAGAACTGCAAGAGAAGCTTGGAATGGGGTATTGGAATGCCAAGTTTGGACTGTATGGTCCGAAAGGGGTTATTCAGGCGCAGATCGATGAGTTCAAAAGAGTCGCAGCCATCAAAGCTCCAGCAGGGAAACTGTATGCCGAGATATTTACAGGAGAAGGAGGACAACTACTCGAGGCAACCTCTGTTCCAGAGCCTCATGGCGGGCCATTCGTCGGAGTCCCGACGCTGTGGAGTCTCCCGATGGTCAACTACCGCCTTCCTAAGGACGGGAAAGGCATCGCTGGCCATGCTGATTACTCGCCCATCATCCCCTCTTCTGGGAAAGCTATTCTTGACTGGGTGAGAACTTCTCAGAAGATTTCTGAAGCTCAGGGATGGGATCTTTTCTGCGACTTCTTTATGCACGAACGACATGTTATCTTTGTTAACTTCATGACATTTGATAAGAGTAAGCCGGAACATCGACAGGCTATTAGTACCATTCTCCTCAATCTGTACCAGGAGGGCAAGAAGAGGGGGTACAGCACTTACCGAACCCATGTCAATCATATGGGTAAGTTCCCCAACGATTTGATAATTTAAAATTACTCTTCAAAGATGCATGGCTAATGATCTACTTAGATCTGAATGCTGATAGTTATGATTTCAACAACCACGCTTACCAAAGATTTGTTGAGAAACTCAAGGTGAGCCAGCATCTTGATAAAATCGACCTTGCCAATCCTACTAACAATTGAGCAGGATGCCGTCGATCCCAACGGGATACTTTCACCAGGGAAACAAGGCATGTGGCCAGAAAAGTACAGAAAATTCAGAGATCCAACAGGAAAAGAAGCAGACCCAAGGTCCCTCTGATCGAGACCCTGGCGGCAGAGACAGCCAATGCAAAACTGGAAATAAAATATCCAACTCTATTAAATGCAATCATTATAGTAAATCTATCTCAAGCCACCAAAAACCTATCTATTCTAAATCCTCAAACACCTTGCCCGCCCCCATCCCCAAAGGCGCGCTCTGCCAAATCATCACCCGCGGATATAATCTTACGCCCGACCTGGACGCGTCAGATGCTATAAAGCTGAAAGGGACGAAAGGCGCACACTCCTCGATATCGAACCCTTCCAACTCAAGATCGAAAAGTGAGTTTCTCCCCGTTGTATCAACACCTGCTGACGTCCACACAGGATCGATGGAGAGGACGAGAAATTCGCCGCTTGGCTTGTTGACATGTTGTGAGTAGAAGCTCAAGGAGTCATCAAGAAACGTCAGAGGCCGATGAAAGGACCAAGACCAGATAGCTCAAAAAATGCCTTCACATCCAATACATATATACATTACTATCTAAGTATCTGCCAGCCTCATTACTAACGGCCAACGACATAAAATGCCATGCGTAAAGAGGGTATATCCGAAACAAAAAAACAGCCGTAGCTATCGTAGTAGCATAACCAGAATCCAATCCATGCACAGCAAGATGTGCATCCATAGCAGAAAAGGGTATAAGTGTGGCACCGGCCAAAATGCAAGAACGAGCTGCCCGCCATCCAACCCCCAAAGTCCTCCCCAAAAGCAATAGTAGTAGTAGTCGTCGTAATCTTACAAATCGAACTCATTATAGAGAAGCAGAGTCTTGCGAGGTAATCGCAATGTGTGAAGCTGGAATGCCAAAAGAGAGGTCTGGTCCAATAAATGGGACCCTGTCGTTAAAAAAGACTTGCTGGTTTCTTTTCCGTAGTGTTGTGTTTTGTTGTGTTGAGGGTGTGAAGGCTCGGCTCACGCCATCATCATTAATCTTGTTGTGCGTCGTTCCATCCGATTGCTTCCTCCGCTTGCACTCCCCGGTCCGAGGAACCTGCTTTGTTGCGCTTTCCTGAACGCATCTCGTTCGCAGTATACCCTACCATTCATCTCAAAATAGTCGCCTCGTAAGCTTCTTTTGCAGTCCGCGCACGTCAGACATTGTGGATGGAATTTCTGCTTGCCCTCCGCCTCGAGGCATTGCCCTTCGATGCCGCGGTTGCAGGTACTGCAGATGCTGCCGTTGAGCTTGTGGTAGTGATGCTCGCAATATGGAGCATCGTTGATCACGTAAAAGGTCGAAGTTCGGAAGGGCTCGCTGCACGTCTTGCACATGAAGCATTGTTTGTGGTAGCGTCCTGTCAGGCGCCCGTCTGCAGACTTTACTGATGGTCCCTTGATTGGTTCGCCGCAGCCTTTGCAGTTCCCCTTTGCTGTTGTAGGACGGCGCGCGGGCTTATTCTCGGGTGCTGTCCGTAGGCGCTCTGCATTGCGTGATGGAGATGGGGACAGACGACCACCTTGAATTGCCGGGTCCATGGGTGATTCTGGGGAGGGCATGAATGGATTGTTTGGTGGCTGAAGTCCGGGCGCATATTGTCTATTCCGGGGCGGCGACGTTCGGACCTCTCTAGGGTCCAGTTGAGCCATTGAAGACTGTAAGTCAACCATCAATACGTCCACTTTTGGTGTATCGGATGGCCGTCGCCGTGATTGCTTTGGGCCTGCAGATAGGGGCGGACTCGAGGTCGAGCTCGCTTTGCTGGCATTGCTCGAGCCCGACGCATTCGAAGATTGGGATTCTGAAGGTGTGTGGTACGGATTGCCAATTCCAAACTCGGCAGCGAGATTAATGTTTGCAGGGACAGGCGGCGCATCATCAAGTCGCCCGTCTACCCTTGGTCTGATCAAGCTTGGTGCTCGAGGTGGAGGAGGTCTTGAAGTATCTGGACCAGAAATTGACTGTTTTCGGCCCCTTGAGCTCGAGGGAGACCTGCTGATCGACCGCTCATCCATTGTCTCCTTATGGCTTTCATTCGATGGTCTCCGCATTCGTGGCCCCGGTCCTGGCTCAGATGGCCTTCTCATTGAGGCTTGCGTACCGTCGCTCCTTAACGGGAAGGTTTGAGATCTGCTGTCAGCGGTAATAGGTTCCGGATCGAAGGCGCCTGGCGGTGGTCCAAATCCCCCATAACCATTATTTCTTGGGGCTCTGGGAGGTGGGATCGCATTTTTTGACCCATTGGAACTACTTGTTGAGGTTCGAGAATGGCCAGGCCCAGCTGTAGAAGGACGTCGAATGCTTGCGCCAACCTCACTTGTAGCCGATGACATTGTCATATCCCTCAGACTCCCAATAGTTCCTTCTCTTTTGTGACTCCTGTCAGATCCCGATTCGCTCGGTCTTCCCCGACGATTGGGATCAAAAGGACCAGGAGCAATTGTGTTCATTCGTTGCAGTAGTCCACCATCAGTTACCGTCCGTGGACTTACGGGAACGTACTTCGGATCCGCCTCCGCAAACCTATTATTTCCCATCCCACCATATCCTCCCCTTGATTGCGACGTTTGCGCTGATGACTTCGCAGGTGGGAAAGGTGGAAAGGGTGAGTCTAAATTCGAAGAGAGCAGCTCGGGAGACGGCGGACGTCTTTGTAATGGTCTGGTAGCACTGCGTATAGGTTTTCCGAGCGGTGATTGACGTCCATCACTTGGAGTCATTGGGGACACACTTCGAGATGGCGACAAGCTCACTGGCGTCAATTCCTCCTGTCGGAAGAATGTACGGTCTGGAAAATTTAGTACAGATATAAATTGATATTAGGACCACTTACTCGCAGCTGAAGTGTCCACTCTGGGAGGCATCGTCCGTCCCGGCTTCAAGTAGCTGGGGCCATTTGTCGGATTTGATTTGTATGGCATGCTGGAAAAGTTACTATTCGAATCCAGTGGAGGAGTTGCTGTGATCATTTAACATCAATCCCGAAATTCTCCAAGAGGAGTACTCACGCTCTCCTGAGCCACCGCATACATGATCCCCCATCTGGGAGATTTCGATTTCTCTAGCGCACATAGAACATTTTATTGCCGGCAAGAAGCTCGACGCTCTGCCCATATCTGCCATCTTGGTCTCCTAATTGGCACTCCAACCACACCATCGATGCTGTTCTTATTACGAATACATATGATGCGGCTCGACGTCAACCAGCGGTCAGAGAAGCGAGTTGGTATGAGTGTGAGCCAAGACTGCAGACTGGGATATGTATGTAGTTGTTTCCGAGAATATCCTGAGTGTCCAGACACCCACGATGCCATAAAAACCAGTTCGAAGCTCGGGTCGTTAAGCTGCGGTGAGAGAGGTTCGATGGTCAAGTTCGTCTGTGGTGATTCCTTGGGGTAGTTGGCGGAGTAGGTCTAGAGGTTCGTCCTACTCGCAGATCATAAAGATGTTTAGGAGCTAGCTGACAATGCTCGAAACTGACTGGCGGTAAAGACTGTAGGCAAACAATCGTCGATTCAATCGAGGTTCCAGAGAGGTAGGCTGTTAGAGATCCGTCTCGGGGACCACTGGAGAAGGGTGTGCAAGAAGATCCCCTGCAAAATTGACAGGCCTATCCGTGGAGTGCGGGCTGAATTGCTCAATCGAGTCTGCCGCAGGTCGGCAGGGGGGCGGACACTTCTCCACGATTGCTGTCGAGATGTGTGATGGAGCAGAAATTAATGCTGGGAAGATGCCGCAGCGTTTGAGCACTTCGGTGCTGTCCGTCTGGCGCTGCAGAGTTCCTTCTTCCAAGCTAGCACCTTCCAAGTTCCTTCAAGTTTTCTAGCTCCAGGGGAAGGAGAGTGAAGGTTGAGCTGGTGCCCGTAGAGAGCACACTGGGGCACTCCCCTAGCACCCGTCTTGGGTGGTGGCGTCGGTGGGCGTTCTGCTTTGGGACTGCCAAACGGCTCAGGCACTTACAGCACGGAGGCACGGCTCTCGACAGGGCCAGCGCTTGATGATGCGCGGGCTGGAGGAGGGCCAGACGAGGGCTGGACGGGGGCCAGATAAGTATCAAGCCAAGCGGTACGTTTGGAGTACTCCGTACAGCAGCCAACGCAGGTCAGATCGAGGAGGGCCTGCGGAGCAGCCGGTGATCTGAAGCAAAGCAGTAAAGTACAGTGATTTTAGATGCAGCAACGGTGCCTCCGTCGATGAGTCCTCCTGAGTCCTCACACGCTCCCAAGAGTCTGGCAATTTGAGGGGTTCCATCGGACCCTCCACCGGACCCATCCATCGCCTTCCCAATCACGCTCTCCGGGCACCCCCTTCTTCACAGGCTCACAGGCTCACAGGCCCACAGCCCGCTTGGCTCCCGATGGCCGCCAGCTCCACACTTCACTCTGCTCGCTCGCTACTAGCTGCTGTACGGTAACATTATTCGGCAGGAAAATTCCGTCCCTGACGATCGTTGCGCTTTCATTTCGACGCCGATGATCTGATCGCCAATGGTCCTACTCCGTATTATTGCGTTATCCAGCCAACCCTGTCCCCATCACGGGGCGCTCGTTGTTTATTTAATATGCAGCGATCTCGGTACTGTACGGAGTATGGCATCGACAATCAACTCGGCTTGCCCCGCCTACTCATTTCGCCTTGTCAATGCTGTCTGTCCCCTGCAGCCGTGGCTGAAAGATCAGCGACTCACCTCGAACATCGAGATCGATTCCTGTCTCGATCGACCCCCAGCCACGACCCTGGAGATTCCAAGCGCTCGACCATCTTCCTTGCCCCGGAAGGGGGGGGCGAGAGCGTGGCCACATGAGGCACTCGATGTTTTGCTTTTCGACATCAACGGTGAGCCCATCCCTGCTCGACAACGTCAAAGAATGATTTGCATGCTCGGCGGGCTCCAATGAGAACTAAACACCTCCAGGTTGTTCCTGTCTTTGGGCAAGCCCAGCCAAAGCGTGTCATGATTTGTTTCTCTCTGTTTCCCCTTGCCCAGTTCTAGAACGAGATCCTGCGAATCTTGGATAATCGGTTCCCACGTTCGGGAATCCATATATTACCCCTCACGTCGGATGCCAGTCACAAGTCCAGGGTTCAAGAATACTTAATCTTGGAAGATTCTCCAGTACCACCGAATCCATGAGCTTACGCCGTCGGTATATCGATTGTTATCAAGAATTCGATTCTTCGTCAGCGACGAATCTCGGTAGAAGAAGCTCGAATTGTTTAAGTCGAATCATTCAGAAGTTCTAGCGAACTTGAAACACCAAGGGGCCGAACCGCCGACATCAAGATTTGAGCCTCCCAGCTATATTTGGACACTTATAGGAAGCGCTGTTATGCCATGTAACTTCGGATTTAGCTGTGGGAATTGTCCCTCGCATTTTAAAAATATGGAGCCTGAAGTCTTTCCCTGCTGCATCTGCTGCCAATTGGTACTTTTGTTTCATCATTCATTTCGGGTTTATACGGCGAGAGGATGACTGCTCGACTTTCGGCTCATGTCAAATCTTGGCCAAGATTCTGCAGACTTGCGGTGAGATGTTTCCAATCCATGCTGAGCACATCAGTGGCGTTTCTGCATGCAGACTTTATCTTCACGCGACAGTTGTTTCGACACCGCCATTTCATCATGGCGAACACCTCTCCACGTGATCTGAGACTGCCGCAAAAGAATATCAAGACAACGAGATTAAAGTTGGAGTATGTTGAAGAAGAAATATGGCTGGAGCAGACGCGTATCGTATCGCGTCTTCTAGGTCATGATGGGAAAGCAGATTTGGACAGAATTGGTGGACTTTGGGATGTCATCGGTCCCACGCCTCGACCGTATTCATGAAGAATTGGAAATGCCCCTGATAAGCTTCTTGACAATTGTATTCAACGAGCAAATTGGCAAAGGAAAGAAGTGACTTCCTTGCGTCCTGTTCAGGTATTAGCAATGCATCTAGTACTTGAGGAAGGTGGACATGCGATGCCATTTTCTTCTGAAAATGAGCCTGGGAAAGGGACTATCAGTGAATCCGTACCCTCGCAGAACCAGAGCACCTTCTTTGGACTGTCATTGGCAAGAAGTTCCGGAGACGTTGGCCTAGATACTGGAGACAATGTGAGGGGATTCACGATGGCCGTTGCCAGCCATATCTCTACCGCTTGGTTGGTCCATTCTTCCGCCTGATCCTCCGTCCTCGGCAGCTCTCGACTGTAGTGACAGGCCGGAAATGGACCACGACAGGAGTCGATCTGGATTATGCGCGTCGATTATGCAGGTTTGCGCAAAAACGGATGCACGGCGGCCTTATCGCTATCTGTCCAGGCACCATCCAATGCCCCGCCATCCCGCTTACGGCGCGCGTAGTGGGGCAAAATCAATAACACCGTCACTCGCTCCACCGCTGCCGAAAACGAAAAGGCTCATCTCCCATTTTCTCTCCTCTCGCACCTCCCTCCTTCTTAACAACCCAAAACCATTCAACTGTCCAAATCCCCAAATCCCCAGGAACAAGCTCAGAACTCCATTCCCAAACTACAACCAGTCGATTACACTTCCGAGTGTAATCACCCAGTCGTCAAGACGTTTTCCAATCTCCTCAACTCGTAAGATTCTCTCCCCAACACCGGATACCCTCGGACGGCAATGGGGTCCCCGCCCAACACAGGGCTCCTGTTGCCCTTTCCCCAAGCCATCTACTGACAGTGTTTCCAGATCGCACCATCCGTTCGCAGGAGCCCGTTGCTCTTCCGCCGCAGGGGCATCGGACTCGCCGTTTACCAGATAAACGCACCCGATCCAAACTTATACACACTGCACAACTTTGAGGCCGCCAAATACTGTCAATAATATGGCACCTCACGCGGAAGTCGGACTGGACTTCTCGAACGGAAACGGTAGCACTACGGCTCCTGCCAACAAGGATCTCTTCAAGGTCAACTCCCCAAATGTCGTCTACACCGACAATGAGATCCGGTCCAAGTACACATATCGCACCACATTGGTCAACGAGACTGCCGATGGTAAATTCGAGGCAACTCCCAAGGAGACTGTCTACGATTTCAAGGTCGATCGCAAGGTCCCCAAGACCGGTATGATGCTTGTCGGATGGGGTGGAAACAACGGTACCACTGTTACCGCTGGTATCATTGCCAACCGCCGTGGTCTCGTGTGGGAAACTCGTGAAGGTCCTCGTGCTGCTAACTACTATGGCTCTGTTGTCATGGGATCTACAGTCAAGCTCGGTACTAATGCTAAGACTTCCAAGGATGTCAACATTCCCTTCCATGACATCTTGCCCATGGTTCACCCAAATGATCTTGTAATTGGTGGCTGGGATATCAGCGGATTGAACTTGGCCAAGGCCATGGACCGTGCTGCCGTTCTTGAGCCCACTCTCAAGGAGCAGGTCAAGAAGGAGATGGCTTCTCTGGTCCCTTTGCCCAGCATCTACTATCCAGACTTCATTGCTGCCAACCAGGAGGATCGTGCCGACAACCTCTTGGAGGGCAGCAAGGCCTGCATGGAGCACGTTGAACAGATTCGAAAGGACATCCGGTAATAGTTCCTCTGGGATGAAAACGAAACCTGAATGCTAACTGTCTTTGCAGCGACTTCAAGGTCACGAACAACCTCGACAAGGTCATTGTTCAGTGGACAGCCAACACTGAGCGTTTTGCTGATCTCATCCCTGGTATCAATGATACTGCTGCGAACCTTATGAACGCTATCAAGAACGGTCACGAGGAAGTCGCCCCATCCACTGTCTTTGCTGTGGCTTGTATTCTCGAGGGCGTTCCATTCATCAACGGCTCCCCCCAGAACACCTTTGTTCCCGGTGCTATTGAACTTGCCGAGAAGCACAATGCCTTCATTGGTGGCGATGACTTCAAGTCTGGTCAGACCAAGATGAAGTCTGCGTTGGTCGATTTCTTGATCAGCGCTGGTATCAAGCTCACTTCCATTGCCAGCTATAACCATCTCGGCAACAATGATGGAAAGAACCTCAGCTCCCAGAAGCAATTCCGCTCCAAGGAGATCTCCAAGTCCAACGTCGTGGATGACATGGTTGAAGCCAACTCTGTTCTCTACAAGAAGGGCGAGCATCCTGATCACACTGTCGTCATCAAGTATATGCCAGCTATTGGTGACAACAAGCGTGCTTTGGATGAGTACTACGCTGAGATTTTCATGGGAGGTCATCAGACTATCTCGTAAGCTTCTACAACCGGTCTAATAAGCCTCATGCTAATCTTTTCTAGCATCTTCAATGTTTGCGAGGACTCCCTTCTCGCTTCGCCATTGATCATTGATCTGGTTGTCGTTGCTGAGGTGATGACTCGCATCCAGTGGAAGGCTCATTCCAGCGATGGTGCTACCACCAAGGACTTCAAGAACTTCCACAGCGTGCTTAGCATTCTCAGCTTCATGCTCAAGGCTCCCTTGACTCCTCCTGGCACCCCTGTCATCAATGCTCTTGCTAAGCAGCGAAGTGCTTTGGTCAACATCTTTAAGGCCTGCGTTGGTCTTGAGCCGGAGAATGATATGACTTTGGAGCACAAGCTGTTCTAAATTCAGTCATCCTTCGCAACTGAGGTTTCATTTGCTGCGAAGTAGTCTTTACTGGTAACCGGGTGAAGTCTGATGGAGATGTGGTTTGATTTTGCAGTCTACACGTGGCGATAAGTGCCACGCATTCACTCATTAGACATAACGTAAATTGAAGCGCAATTGCTCTTCCAAACTTTCCAGTTCCTATTCGTGACATCAATAATAATTCCCTGTTTTAAAGGTAAATTGATTGTACCGTGTTCTCGCTGAACATGGGTACTATATGGCCAAGTACTCATCGTAGCGACAGTAAAGGGGAAGCACTCGCTTAATTGAAGGCGCCGAAATTCACTCCCCTTCGGTTTCCCATCATGCTCAAAGATCTTCTCCGCCACACATCACCGCCCAGCCACCATCCCTCCTCACCAAGATGGTAAACGACGCCCCCTCCATCCAAGCTTTCTACAAACCCAAAGTCCGCCTCCCCAACCCCGCCAATCCTCCGCCCTCGCCGGCTAAAGCCGGCGACGGCTTCACCGAAGAAGAGCTCTCCGACGCCATGGACCCCCTCCATCGAAAATGGAACCCAGAGCGCGAGTACAAGGAATGCAGTATCTCGCACCTCGTGCCAGGTCCGAGAGCAGTGACGTTTGTGGGCAGGGTTGTGAATGTGAAGACGATATTGGGGAAGGATAAGAAGCAGCCGAAGGCGAGGGGCTTTCATGCAGTGATTTTGAGGGATGATGAGGGTGCTGCATCTGTGAGTTGTGTCTGTTTCTGAGGTGTTACTTTGGATTTGCTTGTAGGCTCGTAGGAGAGAGGCTGAGATGAGAAGGGCCTAGGCTGATAGCATGCAGATCAAGCTCTACTTCGCACAAAACCCCTACCCCCTCATCCTCGGCCAGCTCCTCACCATCTGGACCGTCTTCATCTCCGACACCTCCAAATCCGACGTCCCGCACAGCCCTTCCGTTCTCGTGCACGCCAACCTCTTCCCGGGCAGAGTGACGAGCGATCACGTGGTGATACACACCAATGCCTCCTCTTCTGACGGCATCTGCAGAACGCCGCTGGAATACAAGAAAGGCCACCCGCTTCCGGGACTCATGACGCTGGATAGTTATCTGAGTAGTGGGCATGATGGCGTGAGCGGTGCGAAGATATTGGTTTGTGTGAAGAGTATCGGCGGCAAGAAGAAAATCTCTCGTAAAGATGGAGGAGGTGAGAGTGAGCTTGCTGAGATCCTGCTTTTTGACCATACAGGTCAAGTGAGACTCACGGTATGGAACGAGATGATTGAGTCCGCCAAGAGCTGGAAGCCGGGCGAGACGGTTCTGTTGGTTTCAAATCCGGGGTACAGGGTAGGGCTGAATGGGAAGGGGAATCTTGGGATCATTGGAAGCACGATGGTGGATGTTGAGCCGGAGGGGAGCGATGCGGAGTGGCTGAGGAAATATGCGGTGGGGTTGACGAGGAAGGAGAGTTTGTGTCTTAAGGTGGAAGAGGGCAGGTGGGATATTGATGCTGCTGAGTATGGGGTTAACCGGATGTTGTTTACTCTTGCGGAGCTGGATAATTGGTGGGTATTTCCCCAAAAAATTTCTTTCTTCCTGCGAGTCTTCTCCCCTTAGACTAATTTGATCAGGGTCCGTTCGGATGGCAACCAGACCTTCTCGGGCTTCATCAGCGTCACGATCCTGGAGATGAACCTCGTGTCCATCCACCGCCGGAACATGCTCATGTGTGCTGAATGGTACTTCTCCTCCCCTTTCTTCCCCTCCTCCTTTTCCCAATCGTTGACTGTCGTCTCTCAGCTGCGGAGTACCCATCTTCTCCAACAGCCCCTGCACACCCTGCCGCAACTGCTCCACCCCGCTCACACTCTCCCTCAACCCGCGCATCATCGGTCGCCTCGCTGACGAAACAGGGTGTATCGCCACTGGTAAACTGGTCTGGAGTCCGCGTGCTTGGGAGAAATTCTTTGGGAGGAGCGTGGAGGAAATAAGTGCGATGACCGGCGAGCAGATTAGGTTGTTTGAGCAGAGGGTGATTTTTATGAGGATGCATCTTGTGGTTGGTTGGGACGGAGAGGGGGGGTTGGGGAGGTTGTGTGTGCTGGGGGTTATGATGTGAGAGGGGTGGAGGAATGGTGGTGGCGATATGACGTTGCTTGTTGTAAAGGGAGTGTTGGGGTGGGGTTGTTGCTTTGGCTGGAGCTTCTGCTATATGCGTTAGCTTTGCTATTTCTATCCTGCATCATTGTCTGCTTGACAAGTGTCCTTATGACCAAGAAATCTACTACTTAGCTTGCACAAATTAGCCACCTAGACACTGACTTGCTTGCAATCGAAGTTACATTGTATGACGAGGATCTGGGAGCATTGCTACCACATGCAAAAGAGGAATTTGAAGAAGGAAAGATGAGGAAGTCTCCTCAGTGCACTTTATTCCCTTTCAAAAATGAATCATACTTGCAACGCTCGCCGCTGTGTCTGGCTTCAGAACGGAGATGAATTGAGCAGACTACGGCGAGCCTTCCTGGTGTGGTCGGAAGAAACCCATATTTGGCTACGCTTGCTTTGCAAGGAGATCCAGGCCGTCATTTGGTTCACCATCCAACACTCACCAGCGACGCATATCATAGTGGAGAGAGTCGGACACGTTTTTGGGGCAGATCTTTCCTTCGAGCCGCTTTGGCATCATTCGATAAACCTGCCGGATTGCCTTGGAATAAACAATCTCTCGTATCTGTTTTCCGAACTTCTCAGGCACATCAGCTTCGTCCGTTGATCGATGCGGTAATTCAAAAGCGTGGTCTCTTGATGCCGTCTGCTCTCTCCGCTGCCGCCTCCTTCATCCTCTCCACCAGGTGGTTGAAGGCTTTGCGGCAGCGCTTATCGGTGGTGAGGTTCTAGACAATATTCTCTCGTATATCCTCATCTATCTTTTCTTGTCTGTGGGGAGTTGTCGAGCTAGTGCCGTGGTGACTTGCTTGTGAGTAGTGGATTGTGGATTCTTAACCGTCTTTCGATTCGTCTTGGCTGAATATTTTGTGGCCGGTGAAGCTTCCTGGTATGCAGAAGGCTGTGAGCATGGAACTATTTCCGACTGTGGAGGTCGCCGGACTGGTAAGCAAGATGTAGAATTTCAGCCGCCGTTTTTACCATCGATAGAGTGTTCGCGCAGGCGTGGGTATTGCTTGAGGAGTGGCAGAACTACAAGTAGAAATAAAGCTCTATCCAGATAACCCCTTGTCCTTTGGAGTTCGATCCCTTGCAAACCCTTTCTCAATCTCCAGATGGTAGACTGGGATAAATATCGCTACTTTTTCTCGTCTCGATGAATTTGCCGATTCACAGCTTGCATGCTTGTCCCCCGAAACTTGTTGTTTCTTTCATAATTTCGCAGTGGATTTGATGGCCCGCTCATGGATTCATTGGTGGGGCCTCCGTCGAACAATATCGATTCAGTGTCGAGCTTCCGCCGAATAGAGATGACAACAGTTCTTCTGTGAGGAAGGACCAGTTGTCATCGGAAGAATGATCCATTAAGGGGAGCACCTGAAACCATTGACAACACTGGCGACTTGGAAGCTTCGAGTGCTCTGCTCTGATGAATTTGGGTCGAGGAGGGTAGGCGTATATGGGGATCTATTCGCGAGAATTTAGCTGGAAGAGTCTGTTATAAATACAGTTAGCTCTGCATGACTGTTATCTACTTTCGGACAAGTGCCTATATCAGAGAAGCTGATAGCTCACCTGAATTACTTACTTTGAGATCGGCAAATATGGAAACATCATCTCAGGCTGTTAAGTTCATGTTGATGAACGACAGAACAAGAAAACCTCAACAATCGAGCAGAAGCCTCGCCGCGAAGATTAAGATGAGTTCGTCCTCCCTTGAGAAGAAAGAATACTTAGCTTACACGCCCCAAGCCAATCGAGCCAATAACACCGATAGCCCGCATGGCCCATCAAACCACAAACAGACGCCAACAGACAAAACCGCTCTAGTAGCAAGCTAATCTCATCCCGACTCCATCCCCTATCACTCTCGCTGCAAATCCAACCTTTAGGCTGCGAGCTAAAAAGCACGACATGCAACGAAAAACTCCTTTCCAACCTCAGCCCTACCTCACAAAGCCCCCTTACCGGGATTCTCCCACCCCAGCCCCTCGCTCTTCACCCAATTACGGCTGAAACGGCAGGAAAAGACTAAGCTAACCTAAGCACTAACGTACAATGTACAATGCTCCCGTGAGCCTGTGTGCCGTACACTCGACCGAGGCATGGCTGCGCTGGGGCGGCGTAGTGGGTTGTGCTTTGGTCATGTTACCGATTCGGCACGGTATCGGGTTCGGGACGGAGGGGAAGATGCGGCGCGGTGCGGTGGGTGCGCTGCGGTGGGAGAGACAGGTTAGAGGCAACCCACTGGTGCTGAACTAAGGTTTTGAGGGGCTGGGGTCCGATTCGTTGCTTAAGATAGTGGCGTAAGATGCCCGCTGTCAGAAGAGGCTCCTTGGCGTCGTCGGAGGGGTCAAAACTCAGTATGGGACATCTCGAAATAGAATGCATTTATCGAAAGGTCTATTTTTGGGGGGCCGTTGAAGAAGATCAGGAGTTAAATGCTGCGATACCCGGTGCCAAATATTGGATATTGTCCGTGGGTGTTCCAAAGCTGGGAAGTGTTCACGGGTTGACTTGACTCCGACGCCCAAGGTCGTCGTATCTTGTTGATCGTCCCCGACTCCCCGAGGACAACTTGTTCACACCTCACTTGCTGGTGAGGTTTGAGAATGGATAACGTCGCAATATCCGATATTGAGTATTTGAGCTACTTATCTCTATCGTTCAATTATTCTGGGAGCTGTTGCGACAGGCGGATCGATCGCCAAACCACTTTCTCCATCATGTCTGGTAATGGGGTTTCGAGGAGAGTCTGCTATCTTTCGTCGCCACAGAACAGGCATCCAAGCTAATAATCACTGCTCTCAGGCAAGGGGGGCAGAAACCGTCTGCGAGAATTCGTCGTAGGAGCGGCAGTTTTTCGCAAGTTAGCGCTGCAAGCCTTGAGGACAACTGGCAGAGCTTCGAGGTAAGACTTCTGCTTCTTTATAACCTTATACTTGCACTTAGCAACTGATTCCGCTGGTAGAACTTTATACAAACATTGATCCCCCATCCACTCTTTTATCCTTCGACGTATATCCAGGGTATCTCAGCCTGCCCATAGCCGACGAAGACCCGAAGAAGACCTACATTTCTACCCGAGTCCGGCCGGCAATATGAACGGGGTTCCTCACTTGGTCCCAAAGTTCCTAGCGGTATCTGCAATTTCGAGAAAGAGCGATGTACTGCTTTCGTTTATGCAGCATAAAGAGGAAGATTGACGAATGTTGGGAATGGACTTGCCTCCAAAGGATGGATGACCAGGCTTCGGACTGTCAGATTCACGTTTTGTGATGGCGGAATTTACTAATTCTCATCCAAGTTGCATATTATAAATGCCGCTGGTACGATGTCTGGGAAAGCTTCGGGCGAGAGACGGCAAAGGTGGATTTTGACGTCGATCGAGAATCGTGGTGGACAAGGAGTCGCAAAATGGCATGTCTAAAGGTGGGTCTGCATAATCGAGATGTTTACTATGAGAATACTCTCGGGGTCTCCAAATCCAAACATTTGGGGGTCCTTTCATGGGGAAATATGCTTACCTGACTAGGACAATTTCCGTACTTTCAAGCGATGCAGTGCGTTATTACTAAATCCAGTCAATAAAGCTAAAAACCGAGCCTCGCATCTTGATGGTCGAACGTTAGTTCAGTAATCGTCTGTCAACCAATTGGATATCATTCAGTGAGCTTGTCGGTGATTATGCGGGCCATCGAGGGCGAGAACCAGCGTGGGAATCTTACGGCCGTTGCATACCTCCGTGACCAAGTCCCGCAACACGGAACCCATTCCAAGAAAACAAACCTTTCAAAGCAACAAAGAACATATAACAAGTCAGGATCCACTTTGGCATGGGAAAGCAAGCTCCAAATCAAACCTCAAAACGTTGCACAAACTCAGAAAACTTGCTGGTCCTTGTGTAACTGACGCGATGTCGATATTCACACATCACGGAGCTTGCAATGAGCACTCCCGCCAATCGCCTATCCTCAAATTCATCGAGAAATACTTCAGTAAAGTCGATTCCCTTGACTTAATATCAAGTCCATCTTCCGACTTCTACGCTCCGTCAGCGGTACATCACGACACGAAAGGCAATATACATGTTTCTGGGCCGCGGATATGGCAGTGTATGCAAAGGTTGCTCAGCCCGTTCGATGGAGTACATCACGAAATGATAGAGGCACGGGTGGTGCCAGACGAAAATGGGCAGGCTGTAGTATATGCTCAATTTTTAACGCGCTTTCGATTAAAGGGGGACCAGGAGGAGATCGTTGCGCCGAGGTTTTTTGTTCTTACTGTTGGGAAGGCGGCGGGGATGTATGAAGGGACTGACGGGATGCAGATATATGACGTGAGATTGTTTTGGGATACTGGGATATTGGGGAGACATGTAACGGAAAGGAAGAGAAAGGAGAAGTTAAGAATGCAGGAATAAAAACCAGACTACAGTCAATTCCTAGCTTTGCGTCTATGCTTGGCTAAGCTGGTAAGTCTTAATGTACAAGGACACAGTATTGCTTTCTGATATTGGTACAGTCGGCGAATGGTTGTCGTGGGGTGATGCTTCGTCTCCTGATTCGTCAATCATTAATGCGTCCTCATCGTCATAATGGGACTACTACGCCGCAAGGGAACCCTCAACCAGATGATTCCATTGAATTCAGCCTTGCGAAATTCCATACTGTACGTTGCATGGCTCTCGGTAGTGAATCCTGTTTCGACGGTTCCATTGGCCGATCACACCATGGAAACATTCACAGGAGTGGTGGTGTGATACCAAACGGAACTCTCACCTCACCATCAGACAATCTTAAAAGGGAAGGTAAAACTCATATTCCAAGAAATTTCCTAGCATTCACAACCACACGTGAACATTTTGTCAAGACATATTCTTCTACAATCCAAAAACACAAAACAACTTCTCGGTCACCGAAACCACAAGTCTTTTATTACATATGCCAAGATGAAGATCCTCGTTGCCTACGACTCTGCCCACGGCTCAACCCAGTCCATCGCAGAGCGAATCGAAGAAAGAATTCGACAAGGAAATGTTGGCGACACTACCCTCTCCGCAATCACGAAGACCACCTCGGCCGAAGACTTCGATGTCCTTATCATTGGTTCAGCAATTCACTTCCAAGGATGGCTCAAGCAATCCTCAGAATTCGTCAAACGCAACCAAGGCTATCTACACGACAACCTGAAGCCAACATGGGCTTTCAGCGTCGGCATGCCGCCTGACTCCGGCGTCGCTGGCGAGGAAAAGGTGATGGAGAAGTGGTTGAGAAAATACGTTACTTTGAGGGGGCATAAGTTGTTCCAGGGGGAATACAAAGAGAAGGACTTGAATGGTTGCTTTAAGTTCTTGTTGGTGAGGTGCTTTGGGCAAAAGTTTGAGGATAAGAGAAAGTGGGATCAGATTGACGAGTGGGCGGATTCTATTGTGCAAAAGTTGAGGGTTGATCTGCAGACTCAAGCCGGTAACTGAGGGCTGCAACGGTCAAGTTAATTTGGCTAGGATCAATGATGCGGTAATGGTTTGAGCGTCGGTTGGTGGCTCTGGGAGGGAAGATCACTGTTTTCTTTGCAGAAATTCCTTATGCATGTGGATTACTTGTGAGCGCCTTTTCTTCTTCTTTATGACTTTAATGGAACCTTAATTGCTCTTCGGTAACTACTGAATTGCGAAGCTGTGTTTGTTCGTTTTCAACTCAGTGCATGCAATGAAAAGCAAGAGCAGACGGTGCCATATATCCCATCCTGGGAACAGAAGCCCTCGAGCGTACTCCAAGAATACATATTGTGTTCCTTGCTCGAAGGTAGATGCATTTGGACTGCCAGAAGAAGATGAGGGCCGGCCCCCGATGCTGCACTTAGTAGCAGGGAAAAGAAATGTCGCCACAGAACACTGATAACAGGAGGAAAGGGGGGTTGGCTGCGCTAGGCGATATGCAGTCTACTCCGGCGCTAGCCCAACCGGCACTCAAGCCCTTCGAAATCCTCTCCTCTCGCCTCTCCAAATTCACATTTCACTGTTGCAATTCGCACTTTAAGCGAAGCTCTCAAAGGGTATCGAGTCCAGACTAATCATCGTTAAACTTTCTCGGTACCAGTACACAGCGCTCGGTAACAATGAGGCTTGAGTGGTCGAGCTGCACGTTTTGGCGGGCGGCTACCGGGGCTGGGAGGAGAGAATGACCGCAATGAGAGTGCGTTGTACGGCAGGAGGGTGGAACAAATTGAGAAAGACACTGCTAGGAGCCAATTCGCTTTTCGTCGTTATCCTACTCCCAAATAGTAAAAGCTATCATCTTACATCAATATCCGCTCTGCTCCTTCCTGTTATCTGCGTTCTTCGCACCCTCACCAGCTTCTCGGATGGCTTGCTCATCGCCTCGCATCTTCGCAAAATGAGCCTTGATATCTTCAGCACTGATAGCCTTGCCGCTTTCAGCAAATTGTTGAAAGAATGGTTTAAGCTTATCCTTCAGATGATTGTATGCCATAACACCTTCGATGGCTCTGACACGATCGACATTCTTGAGTGCACTTTCGCCGCGATCGTAAAGACTGCCGCTTCCAACAGTGCTGCCCTCGGCATCATCCTCACTTCCTGACATAGATGGCTCGTAGATAGTCTCTTCTTCAAGAAGCTGGCTATGCGGTTTCAGAAGCGGGAAACAGTCTGAACATCGACAAAGGTGGTCTCGGAAGTCGGGCTTGAAGAATAGCGATATCTGGCCTGTGGGCGCAGGAGGTAGCGCCTTGGTCTTACAATCCTCTTCGCTCTTTGTAGCTGCTTCAGGTACCGGGGCGGAGGCTGGGTCTGCAGCTGTGGAGGCTGATGGATCAGCAGACTCGTCCTTGACTCGTTTGGATGGTCCAGATGACTCGGAACCCTCTTCATCATCTGCCTTGCGTTTCTTTGCATTCAAGATGAGGGTCGAGACCACGTCTTCCGTCTTTCCAAGGAGTCCCGTCTCTGGAGATGGGGCAGCGCTGCGTCGGAAGACAGGAGCAAGAAATCCCGGAGCCCCAGCATATTTCTTAATCCAAGGATGTGCATCAATACATTTGTAACATATGAAGCCCTCAAAATCGTCTTCATCAGGAAATCCAGGAGGGAGTGGAGGATCCTCATCCTCGGGTTCCCCAGCGATTGTGCCTCCAAGACTATTCGATCCATTCTGAGCATCAGGCATCCCTTCTCCGTCAACAACGTTTTCTGTGACCTCGGTGATGGATTGTAGCAGTCCGTCTGTTTTCGGCTTTCTCGGTGTCGCTGTCCGGCTTGCTGATTCATACCAATTGGGTCCCAATCCAACAACGCATCCTGGATGCCACCAATCTTCGCCACATCCTCCGGTCTCAACAGTACCAAGTCCTAAGCACTGGAACATCGTCCCCTTCTCCTTGTACGCGTCATAATCGCATTCGCACCCGCAGAAGCGATTCTTGAAGTTCTGGTTGTATTTATTGTCTGCCACTGGCTGTTCAGAATGTACGCCGCCCTTTGTGTTGGTCGCGGGATTTAGACGTAAAGTGCACGGCGAGGTCATTGGTAAACGAGTCGTTCCGCAATCGCAAACAAAGTTCCTCTTGTTGAAAAGTTCGACTAATGTATGTTCGCCATGACATTGTATCGAACAGGAGTAGCAAACACCCGCTGAGTTGGACGGGTCGGACGGGTTGGCCGGGGGAGGATTACAGGTCAAACAAGAGAAAAGAACTTGTCGCAGCGGGCCTATTTCCTTCGTGCAGGTCTCGAATTTCTGTAACATCTAATTAGTGATGAAATAGAAATGTCTCATGGGATCTCTCACGAATGGAAGAGCTTCGCGCGCGTCAGCCTCGAGCTTAAGTTGGCTGTCGATGAATCTGCAGAGTCTGTCAGTATATAGCTACGCCATATTGAGACGCGCTTCATTGAGATGGAAACACCAATGGAGAGAACGCACTCAGCTGCTGTGTGTGAATCGTCAGATGTCTGGGAGAAGCTCTGGCTTCGGGACGGGCCACTCGTTTGACTGTCCGCAAGTTCGCTGAAGGTGGAATTCGGAAGAGGTGGAGGATCCATGATGTCTGGTCAATGCAATATTTTGTGAAGTTGAAGTTGAAGTTGTGTGTTGATGAGAGATGTTAATCGAGGCTGAGATCATTGAGTCTTGGTCGCCCTTCCTAAACGGGAAGCACTTTACGCGTGAGTCGCGCTATCGCCTGGACGGGCTTAGCGTAATCGCGTCCGACGCGCTTTCTCGCGCGCTCATCTCAAACTCTTGCCAGCAGCCTCTCTCATTCCCAATTCTTCTCCCAACTGCTTCAGAGTAGGATTCTGACGACCATTATCAACCACTTTCAGATTCTCGGGACTTTGATTTATCATGGACAGGTACGCAGAGCACAATAATCCCTTCCCACCAGCCATGACCTCCAGATCTCAATCACCCCCCTTTTCTGTCAAGCGCCCACTGACCTTTGCTTCAGCTCCCCCCTTCGACCAAGTATGTCTTCCGCAAATCGCGGAGTGGCGAGCGGACGCAACCGTCGTAAGCGTTCAAGAGAGCCTGAAGATGACAATGCTGGTGCATCTTCCCCCGCTGGCGATATCCGATCATCCCCTCCTGCCTATCCCATCCAGCATGGAGGCGATGATGACGACGATGTTGAGGAAGATGTTGAGCTTGCTCTCGATATTGACGATGCCGACGAGATGGCTGAAGACGAAGACGGAATTGACCTCTTCGCAAACAATTTTGAGCGTGATTACAAGCCTCGAGAGGATGATCGCTACGATGATCGAGACATTGATGATGAGGGCGACTATGGTGATCTTGATGTTGCCGAGAGAAGACGTCTTGAAGCACGCCTCAATCGCCGGGATCGGGAACTTGCCCGCCAACGACGGATGCCAGCAGCATTCCTCCAAGATGAAGATGACGAAGGTGATCTCGATCTTACAGCCCAGCCACGACGCCGCCGTCACCACTACGATGAAGACGAAGACGAGGATATGCAGGATGATATCATGGAAGAGGAACTGTCTCTTGAGACCCTGCAAGATGTCAAGGCATCCAGCTTGGTCGAATGGGTCTCGCAGCACGCCGTGCAAAGGACCATCAAGCGCGAATTCAAGGCCTTCTTGACCGAGTACACCGACGAGCACGGAGTTTCAGTTTACGGAAGTCACATTCGAACTCTCGGAGAAGTCAACGCAGAGTCCCTGGAAGTCTCATACGACCACCTCTCTTCTTCGAAGGCTATCCTGGCGTACTTCTTGGCGAATGCTCCAGGAGAGATGCTTAAGTTGTTTGACGAGGTTGCCATGGAGGCCACTCTTCTTCATTATCCCGATTACGAACGCATTCATTCTGAGATTCATGTTCGCATTTCTGACTTGCCAGTTCACTACACTCTCCGTCAATTGCGCCAAACCCATCTGAATTGCCTGGTCCGCGTTAGTGGTGTTGTTACTCGACGGAGTGGTGTTTTCCCGCAATTGAAGTATGTCATGTTCGACTGTAACAAGTGCGGGACTAGACTTGGACCTTTCCAACAGGAATCCAACGTGGAAGTCAAGATCTCTTATTGCCAGAACTGTCAATCTCGTGGGCCATTCAACCTCAACTCGGAGAAGACGGTTTACCGCAACTACCAAAAACTCACTCTCCAGGAGTCTCCAGGCACTGTTCCGGCAGGCCGTCTTCCCCGTCACCGTGAGGTTATCCTTCTGTGGGATCTCATTGACAAGGCAAAGCCTGGAGAGGAAATTGAGGTCACTGGCGTCTATCGCAACAACTATGATGCCCAGCTAAACAACAAGAATGGTTTTCCAGTTTTCGCTACTATTCTCGAGGCCAACAATGTTGTCAAGTCTCATGACCAGCTTGCCGGCTTCAGACTCACAGAAGAAGATGAGCAAGAAATTCGAGCTCTGTCTCGTGATCCCCAAATCGTCGACAAGATCATCCACTCCGTAGCCCCTAGCATTTACGGCCACACAGATATCAAGACAGCTGTCGCTCTCTCATTGTTTGGCGGTGTTGCCAAGGACAGACAGGGCAAGCATCACATTCGTGGCGATATCAACGTCCTCCTACTCGGTGACCCAGGAACTGCTAAGTCACAAGTTCTAAAGTACGTTGAGAAGACTGCTCATCGCGCCGTCTTTGCCACAGGTCAAGGTGCTAGCGCTGTTGGTCTCACAGCCTCTGTGCGAAAGGATCCCTTGACCAGCGAGTGGACATTGGAAGGTGGTGCTTTGGTGCTTGCCGATAGAGGAACTTGTCTCATTGACGAGTTCGACAAGATGAACGATCAAGACCGAACCTCCATTCACGAAGCTATGGAACAGCAAACCATTTCAATCTCCAAGGCCGGTATTGTGACAACACTGCAAGCTCGCTGCGGCATCATCGCAGCAGCAAATCCAATCGGAGGTCGTTACAATTCAACGATTCCATTCTCACAAAACGTGGAGCTCACGGAGCCTATTCTCTCCCGTTTCGATATCCTCTGCGTTGTTCGCGATACTGTCGACCCAGCTGAGGACGAGCGACTTGCAAGATTCGTCGTTGGATCCCATGGTCGATCTCACCCAGCTTCTCAAGCCACCGATGAGAACCAAGCTACGATGGAGATGGAGCATGATTCGGATGTTCGTGCTGGGGCTGTTAATGGAGGCGAGCCCAAACAGGAGGGAGAGATTGCACAAGAGCTGCTCCGAAAATATATCCTCTATGCTCGGGAGAGATGTAGTCCTAAGTTATATAACATCGATGAGGAGAAGGTTTCGAAGCTCTTCGCAGATATGAGGAGAGAGTCATTGGCAACTGGAGCTTATCCAATTACCGTAAGTCCTGTCCAAATCCGATGACCAACTCAGCTAACATTTCTAGATCCGTCATCTTGAAGCAATCATGAGAATCAGTGAAGCCTTCTGCCGAATGCGTTTGTCAGACTATGTCTCTTCGCAAGATGTTGACCGTGCTATCGCTGTCACCATCGACTCGTTCGTGGGAAGTCAGAAGGTCAGCTGCAAAAAGGCTCTCGCTCGTGCGTTTGCCAAGTATACCTTGGCTCGTCCGGGTCAAGGGAAGAAGACTGGAGCTGGTAGAAACTTGGAGCGTGGAAATAGAACTGCTGCGGCGATGGCTTAGATTTGTCAAGGGCTGGTTCAGGGCGTTGTGGATACCGTCTTTTTGTGGATTATGATGATTGTACCGTACACTCGCATGACATAATGAAGAACTTGATTTAGGAATGATTTGGATTATGGAGAGCTGCGTAACTCCGTAATCTGACGTCGAGGATACTGCGACAGGAAGCTGAAACGTCTCTTGCGTTGATACGGCAGCTTGAAACCTTTTTGGATGATGCTAAATCGTTTTGCCACTTCCAGCGCAATCATCTTTCGTTACTTGATAGCTGAGTAACTAGTTTGGGAAGGAAATAATAGTTCTCATCGCAAAATGAGATGTGCCAAGGCGGGCCAGTCGCCCGTAATTCTCCACACAATTGTCGATTATCTTCCTCGTAGACGTCCTCAGACAGCGAGTTTAACTTCGAGGATGTTTGGCTTGATGGCCTGAACGACCTTCTCATTGGGAGATACCGAGAGTCGGATTCACCGAGGTCAGAAATACGAGTAAGGGTGGGGTCCTTTCCACCAAAGGAGGACGTCAAATACAATAGGTAATGAGAGTGGGCGGGATCCCGGAATTCGAGCGCCGAGTTGCATTCTATCATTTTTTGGGCTTTGCTCGTTAGCTACTGAACAACTGGAAATTAACCAAACAAAGATAATCTCTTCTGCAAATCGATTTCTCGCATATACTTTTAATTTCGCTTTGGGCTTTAGAAACATAAAACAGACTTTCAGGTGTGCGAGTTGCACCCGGACTTTCGTGTACTGAGGAAGCTCATTTGAGTTCCAGCCGTGGCTTATGTTTTTATGCCCAGATCTTCAGACATAGTCCAGTATTACGGTTTTACAGGAGACAAGATATCGTCTACAGTCTTCCACTTCTGATATTGAGCGTTGAAACAACCCATCAGCTTCCCTATCACAGTTCTTCCTCTCCGATGCACCTTCGCTTTCTGTTCAGCTCGTTCACCTTTCTTCTTGGTCAACCAGAAACTGAAGAGTCTCATTCTGAATTGTTTTATAAGGGCTGCAGTACCAAAATGTTGATTTCTGTCGAGGAAGCAGGACGGAATTGCTAGGAAGGGCGTCACGTGCAATTATCGCTTGATCGAGACCAAAAACGCGATTTCAGCTTCTGGACGTTGTCAACCAACGGTCGGCCATACAAAGTCGGCCACTTCATAATTATTTATTAGAACATTAACTTAATAAAATCGTTTAATAATAGTACCAAACTTATTATAATTATTAACTTAATATTCCCTATTAATAGTTTAATTAAACTGCAAATTATTAGTATCGTATAGCCACCAAAAGTCGGCCCATACAAAGTCGGCCACTTTAGTACCAAGTCTCCAGCCAACTTATTAACTAGACCTTCTAATATTTAAGCGCATGCAATGTTTATTTATTTCCGACCTTTTGATTAATTAATATTCGCCAGGCAGAGTGTTTCATTTTTGATGTGTGGCCGTGGCCTAACATTCAGGCAGGACCCCTCGATAATATCCCCGACAGGCTCTCAAGTTCTGAGACCCCAAGTTGAAATTTTAAGTCGCAGGTGCTCGGAACAATCCGAAATTATGTCAACCTCGATATCGATACGATTTGGCTGACTGGAGACCATGAAGACAATTCCTTGCCCCGATGAGGTTCATTGGATCTGCAAACAGAACTCTCATGCCGATAAGTGAAGCAGTGGTGACCATTATTACGGGTGCGGGTGTTGGATTGGGCGGTTCTGCTAGTCCTCGCAATCTGGATACGGTCCTCACTAGAGCTTCCGCCCGACCAATTATTCCTCCTGGGTCAACTCTACTAAATTTGTCGATAAAAGACGAAGAAGTTTAGGTAGAATGAAGATGGTTGCGAAATGCGGCGTGAAAGAGCTTCTGATTGTTATTGGAGACTATGAAGATCTGGGATCGCAGCGAGATGTCGACTTTGCTGTTCCTTCTCTCAAACGTCGCCATGTCAAGAATTCTATCACAGAATCGGAAAAGCAGGAGTGGGAGGCCTTGCCTCTTCAAAAGACTGGGGACAAGATCAGACGCGAGCTACGAAAGGTCATGCAGAAGGTCAAGGAAGAACGGGATGCGGAAGAATACTCGTACGAGCTGGAGGACTGGGAAATACTGAAGATAAAATTTGTAGAAGTGAGAGCGGGAAGTCGAGGCTAGGTGCTGCCACCAATCAAGAAGGCGAAGAAAATCTGAGAGGAGGCTACCTTGGCAACATTGTTAGCCGTCATCTTGGTACATTTGCTCTCGATAGATGCAAGGTCATAATCCAATTAGCTCTACCGAAAGACATTGTCTGAGCTCCCCACCACACCCTCAAGAAGAATTTGTAATTTTCCTCCTGCCTGTTCAAGAACAGTCTGTTGCACCGTCCCATTCATCCCTTGCGTCTGCCACTTGAGCTCAAAAGCCAAAAATCGGCTATTCAATTCCGTGTAATTATACCTCGCGACTGGCACCTCAAGCAGATAACTGACAAACATCTGCCACCTAGGTACATAATATCCATTCAACAACCCGCCCCAGCTTTTGGATGCATAATCACTGATCTCTCCGCTAGGTCCCCATAGAGTGATCTGGTTCCGAGCATTATATTCATAGAAGCTCTGAAGCGTTGCATTCGTGCTTTCTGCTCGAGCGGCGGAGAGCCATGTAGAGAGGGAGAAAGCGGGGTTGGTGCTCAGGACCCTATCGAGAGTTGTGAGAAGAGAGGTCATATTCTTGCCCAATGTGGAGATGGTGGTGTTTGAAGTATTAGACGACGTGTATGCTGAGACGAGAGAGCGATACATCTGATCGAAGGAGTTGCTGAATACTTGTCGAGTGACATCAACCATGTCGTATTGATAAGCTGCATTGTTCCACAGCTCTGGATTTGTTTTTGAGGCGTTGAACATGAGGTTGAATGCTGTTACCAGGGTGTTGGGAGAGTATGTGATGGCTGTTGAGTGGTGCCCGGCACGGAACATTCCAGTGATATTTGGCGTCAGCTCGAAAATTGATTTTGTGACTGCTTGGACGCTGGAGTTGGTGTTATTGTAGACTGTCGTGCGCATCATTTCCCATGCTATATATAGCTCGCTGGGAACGGGGCCATTGCCGGCATACCGACGGGTCACCCAGTTTGAGAAGTATGTTGCAGTTTCGATAGGCGATGCGGACCATGCTTGGTCTAAGAGGAGGTCATACATAATCTCATTCCCTTCTTGACCTTCCATCGTCAAGCCAAATCCAACTAAAGAGCTCGAATTGGCAAGTGCCTCGATCGGATTGATGGTCACATTCATGATCTGTCCATACAGTCCAAGATTTCCACCAAAATTATGCAGCTGACACCAAAGCCAAGGTTTCCCGAAATAGGAATTCGTTCTCTGCCACTGAGGTGCGGTTTCAGAAAAGAGATCGATGACTATCATGTCTTTGTCGTCCTCGACGCCACCTAGATATGCTTCGATACGCTCATTCGTCCAGAAACTTGAGAGGGAGAAGAAGAGCCAGCCTTGCATCATCCAGATTGCATCTGGATCCACAGCTTTGAGACTCTGCCAGGTATTGTAGGATACATTCCTGAGGTAGTCCAGATCTATTGAGTATGGGTTGTTCTCATTGTACTGATCGAGGGTATAGATGTGAGTGATGTTTCCCAAAGCATCAGCCTGCTTGGTGATGAAACTCTTCTGAAGTGCTGCAAATGTTGGGTCAACGGGCTCTAGGAAAGTCACGTTTGTATACTCAGCCGGGAAGCCGCTCCAGTCAGATCCATTCACAATCGTAGCATTCGGTAAAACTCTTGAAATTGCTCGAGGAACAAAACCAGTGAAGCACGGAAGCACGGGTGTCATCCCGAGTTCGACCATTCGTTTTGTGATGTTTTTCTGCATCTCGAATTGATTGTCGATCCATTCCAAGGGTAGATCTCCTCCCCACGATCCTTGGATGTTCCCAAATCGGTTCCAAGATTGAAAGGCAGGTCCACTGAAATAAGAGAAAAGATCATCGTCGGTCATTCCAAGTTCTTGGAAGACTTCGACGAGGATCTTTTCTTGTCCAACCCAGGCGAGAGGCAAGTTCACGCCCCGGAGAGCTAGCCAGTCGAGCTCTAGTTCCCAGTCTTCCCATGTCCAAAATGCAGCGGTGTATGAAAAAGTTACTGTCAAGTGTAAGTCATCGATAAGAACAGGGAGAAACGACGTTCTGGCTCACCCGTATTGAAATGATACCTCCAGGGGACGATGCTGGATCCTGTGAGAGCAGCGTTCAAAGCTGGCAAAGTCGAGGGGCCGACTTCTAACTGGTTACCAATGTACCAGAAAATATCCACATGAACGACATCCGTGAGATATCGATGGAGACTGTCATTTGATTAATCCCGCCCAATTTCAAAGATGGAAGGAAACTCACCCGCTTGAAAGTGCGCTCAGCGAGTTTCCTTCAACTAGAATCTTCCCAGCCGTTGTCGAAGAGACAATATAATTGTCATTCGTGGGTTTCGTACTGTTTCCTGCCCAGTTTGTGAGAAGCCGGAATTCGAAGTCATCGACATGGTTCGGCAATCGTCTCTCCACTAGGTCAAGGATGCCTTGAGTTGACTGAGCAGCGAGGCCAAGAATGAGATAGGTTGCCCATATCCAGAAGCTTGACAGCAACATATTCAGTTGACCAAAGGTTTCCAGAGGCTGCACAGGGCCCAGAGTGATCTTGAGACCGTCGCGGATATTTGAATGGAGAAGTCCTTAGGCTTATGACGTGGGATTGAGGCATGCCTGACCCAATTGCATGCAACGTTGCTGTTGCAGTAAGAAAGCATACTTCCGAGTAGCTGCAGACTGGGTGTTGTTCTGTGGATCTCTGCTGCAGGTACTTAAAGAGCAGTTGCTGCCGTTTCTGGCCAGGATCAGCTTGGTTTGAGCAAACCATGAGACAGAACCTCGAATGCTATATTCAATCCTATCAGAGCTTGCATAGCTTTCGAGCTTGCCCACAGAGGGAAGATGTATTTGCCTTGGAAAGATATGAGTGGAGGATGGACGTCGAATTGGCTGCAAGTACGTCACCAACAGTGGGGTTGTTTCAGGTTTCTTCAACCCCTCATTCCATCACGTGGGATCCGCTGGCAAGGGAATACATTGAACACCCCCCCCAAGTCTTGTCCATGGACTCAAGAAGTTTGTGAAGTAATAGGAGTTCCTACATTCTAACAGTTTTAGAGCTATTCGCAATTTCAGAGCATGAGAGATCAACTATTCTCCACATAATCTTGGCGATCCTAGCATCCCATGATTAACAGAGACTCTAGAATACTGAAATTGAGAAGGCCAGCTATATTCCTTGGTGGTCTCGAAAGTATCATCTAATTGAGACATGGGCTGTCGCTTGCTTTGCCGAACATCAGGTACACTCAACTAGCCAAACCAAAGACCACAACACCAGCATAACGACCATCCAAGCACACAAGAACGCCAGTATGCCCCTTCCACACTACCATAAGTTCCAACCCCTTGCCACCCTTGCCAACCCTCCATGCTCCATGCTCCTTTGATACCCCTAACAGCACCAGAAGTAACACTTTTCCCGTCTTCAACTTGGGGCGGACCAGGACGACCCCAAGGAGTCTCCGGATTCGTCATTGGCGAAGAAGGTGACACAAACGATGAAGTGCCTGCAGCGCCCAAACTGGGCGACCCAGATATCTGCTTCCCTACACTGTTGGTAAAGGCATTCGGGATGCCGATTGTATTTCCTGCTAAGAGTAGTGGCAAACTACTCACCATCCACGTGCTGTTTTCATTAGATTCCCCTACCCTCAAGCCGATAATAAGGGGGGAAGAGAGAAAAGGAGTGGGAAAACTCACAGCATTGTGTCCTAGAACACCCAATATGCGTACTCGCCTTCCACACAATCTGCGTGAAATGTCCAGTGCTCTCTGAAAACCCAGGATTATCCCGGTCGTAGTTCACTCACTCGAGATCCCAGCTGTCTATCCTATCAGAGAGGGTGGGATAGCCACGGAAGACCCTCTCGCCGTAGGGGAGTTGCTTACCTCCTACATTCTATTTAGACAGTCAGCCAATCTCTCTCATTCTCATTCTCTTCTTTTGGGTCAGGGAGGAAACGCAGGACACTGCCTACTCCAAGACAGGCTTGAGGATGCGTGATTTGAGCTCCATGTGAGGTTTTTAGCGCCGTGCCCGGCGCAGTAGAAATTCTGGTTGTTTAGGGCTATTATTCGAAAGGCTACGTCGGATGTGTAGGCGGAGTCTGTGGAGTGTTGGCATATAATGAGAGAGAGGGTTGGATTGGGTTCGGAAAAGTTGGGATGCCGCAGATTGTGGCAAGGGAGATGAAGTGGAGGATGAGAGGTAATGGGACTTTTGATAGCTGCTTGAAGAGCATTCCGGTGCCGCAGTCCGAAGTTCACATGAAAAGGAGGATGAGCTGAGTAGATACATAAGAAGTAGAACTTTCCAAATGGGATCAGAGAGAACCGTGATTCAGAAAGTTTTGGTGAATTGCCTGTCATCTTGAATGGAGTGCAGCCACCTATGCTCTGGTACTCGTGAATGAATAAGATTTGGAGCTTGTCAACATCAGGAAAAGAGGCTTCAGTCAATCAAGGGGCTGTCCCGATACATGTGTGGAATCATCCCTCCATTTCTTGGCTGCCTAAGTCTGTCTCAAAATTATTCATCACCATTCATTCCCTCTGCTCACAGATTGTCATGCACATCTCACAACCCATTCCACCATACCGTCTTCTCAACCTCAAAGCTCCCCCTCACAACCGTAACCTCCTCACTACTGCCCCCAACAACCACCTCATACGTATCCTTCTCACTGACCCAGGCTTCTCGTATCTCATCCCAAAAGCTGGTTGCATACTTCGTTTCAATTTTCACCTCCACAAGCTTACTCTCCCCTTTCTCCAAGAATACTTTCTTGAAGCCCTTCAGTTCCTTCTTCGGTCTCCTGATACTTGGGCTCTTTTGACTTATGTAGACTTGCACGACTTCTGCACCTGCGAGCGATCCTGTGTTGCTGACTTTCACGGCGATTTTGAGATCTTTATCCGTCTTATCAACCTTTAGGTCGGAGAAAGAGAAAGTAGTGTATGAGAGTCCGTGGCCGAATGGGAAGAGGACTGGTAGGTCAAGCATTTCGTACCATCGGTATCCGACGTAGACGTCTTCACCGTAAAGTGCTCTCCCTCTTTCAGTCCTGTAGTTCAAGAATGCGGGGTTATCCTGGAGCCGTTTTGGGAAGGAGAGAGGGAGTTTAGCGGAGGGGTTGACGTTTCCGAACAGGATGTCAGCAATGGCGTTTCCTGTTTCGTTACCGCCGTACCACTGTTCAAAGTTAGATGGGGGGAGGATGGGAGGAGCAAGAGACTTACGGCATGCACTAAGGCTTTGACAGATGAGATCCAGGGCATTGCCATGGGTGTACCGGACTGCATTACTACGACTGTGGAGGGGTTTGCTATTGAGACGGCGGAGATCAGAGCATCCATGTGCCCCGGCAGGGACATGTCTTCTCTATCTGTGCCTTCGCCTTCCCAGTCGGCCTGTTTAAAGATTAGCAAATACGAAAAAGGTGGCCAAGGGAGATAGCGTACATTCAGACCAGCACAAATAATAACCTGATCAGCATCCTTCGCCAACTCCGCAGCATGCTTCACCTCCTTATCCGCATCAATGACTTTCGCACCACCAATCCTTGCCGCACCACCACCAAACAGCACATTGCTCCCCTGATCCAATTTACAAGCCGGAGCACTCGCAAACTCAACCTTGATATGATACTTTTGCCCCTTCTTCACAGACAGAATACCCTTCTCTTCCACCGTCCCACAATGGAAAAACAACGTTCCTTTCGTCTGCTTCGTTTCATTATCAATGACCAACTTGCCATCGACGTAAAGCTTTGCTGTACCATAGACGCCAAGTCCTAACTCAAAGTCGGAATCCTCTTCTGCAGTGAAATACCCGTCAATGTCGGCGTACCAGAGAGCACTTTTGACTTTCGGGTTGTTGTAGTCCATGAGGAGGAATTCAGTCTTGTCGAGGATGATTTCGTCGCAGAGCTCGCGGTCTTTGACTGATGGTGGGTCGTTGTAGACTCTGAATGTCACGCCTGGCTGCCCTTTATCGGTTTTGAGGACTGTTCCGAGGAGGGGAAGTTCCTTGTGGGCGTAAGAACCGACAGTGTATGACGGTGGGGTAGTGAGTTGGGCGCTGATACCGTCAAAGGGGGTGACTGCGTAATAGGCTGCGAGAGAAGCGGATCCGCCTCCGTGGTAGGTTGCAATCTTTGCATTCGGGCCAAGGATCAAGGTCTAGGCAGTGAGTCAATTGATGAAGCGTAGGATATGAGTTGCAGGAATTACCTTCTTGTCTTTCTTCAGGGGTAGGATATTGTCTTCATTCTTCATCAGAACAATCGATTCTCCTCCAATCTTCCTCAGTAAGGCAGCCGTCTCTGGCGTATCAGCAGTTTTCTCCTCAGCATGCTCCGGGATATTCGCAGCAGCGCAGCGGTTGACAAGGTTGAGAACATTGCGAACTCGCTCATCGAGAACGTGTTGTGGCACTTTATTGACTCCAACGGCCTGGGTCAGCATTTCGCCTCTCCATTTCGTAGCACCTGGCATCTCCAAATCAAGGCCAGCATTTGCCGCGCCAGTTGTCGAATACGTCCCCCACCTGCAATCATCAATCTCAATATTCCATATCCGGAACCCGAAGAACTCACCAATCACTCATAACGCAACCCTTCCACCCCCACTCCCCCCTCAACATATCCTTTAGAATCTTCGGGTTCTCACTTACGTGTAATCCATTAACCTTATTATAAGCCGTCATAAAGCACCCTGGCTGACTCTCCTTAACCACGAGCTGGAAAGGCAACGCATAAATTTCTCTCAACGCCCTCTCAGTAACAATAGCATCGGTCCCATTCCTCTCATGCTCCATATCGTTACAAACGAAATGCTTGATTGTCGCCACAACTCCCGTCTCCTGGATCCCATTGACGAGTGCAGCAGCTCCGAGACCAGCAAGCACGGGATCTTCACTCAGACTTTCAAACCCTCGTCCACCGAGGGGTGAGCGCTGCATGTTGATGGTAGGGCCAAGAATCACGTGCGAGCCTTTGGCTTTGCTTTCGTGGCCCATGGCGACGCCGGCTTTGTGCAGCAGCTCGGTGTCCCATGTTGCTCCCAAGGCGGTACCGCATGGGAAACAGGCTGCTTTGATGCCGTTAAAGAATTTGGTACCTCGGACGCCGTTTGGGCCGTCAGACACGCGGATTGCTGGGACGCCGTGTTGGGGGAGGGCTACGGTGTGCCACCAGTCGGAGCCTAGGGGTTTTCAGTGAGAGTGAGGTATGAGGAGGGGAGGAGAGCCAACCTGCGAGGAGGGATGTCTTCTCAACGTTGTTGAGTCTGGAGAGGACATCTTCGACGTCTATGGCTGCGGTCATGCTGTCTAGAATTCGCACGAATAAAACAGCAATGCTTCTGAAGAGGAACGAGAGTGTTTGAGACACTTAGATGACGAGGAGAGAAGGAGGTATGAGGAGAAAGAGAGAGATGGTTCAAGTATGCGGGACGTTGGGTTGAGGAAGGAGCTACCCCCACCTTGATACGTGCGAAACATTGAACTGCCTCTGGACGGAAGCCGTTCCAGTTGGCTGGAATGACAAAACATGGCTGCGGATGGGCAAATCGTGTTGACAATTGGTGCGAATGAGACCTCACCGGGTGATGTTCGGCAGGCAGAGGCGTTCCTTTTGATAGACAGCTCCTCCATGCCCGAAACCCCATCTAACCTGCCCCAAGTTTGAGAGATTGACCCACTCGAGGCAAGAAGCCTTCGGGTGTTCAAGATAAGACATTCCAGATCGACATGTCGTCGTCCACGGAACGGGTGAACCTCGGGTTGCCAAGCGGAAGACAGGCCCTTCCGGCCGGCGAACAATGCGGGGAGATGTGGGGAGCAACGGTGAAGTGTGGATGCCGATACTCCCCGCCTACGGAAGGCCGTAAAGATCTTCGGGTTTCAAGGAGGTTTTGTGGAGCGGGAACGGGTGGCGATTATCGTTCGGGTCAATGTCGGCTAAACCTCGACTGGATTATCATCAAGGCCTGGATTTCTCCCTTCTGCCTCCCAAAAACCGAAAAGTTCTTGGGAAACACACTCCCCCATCCTCAACGCAAGTGCCTTTTTACAAATACAACACCACGCAAGAGAGGCCCCCCTCCCTGCGCCCTCTTTTCTCTTCTATTCGCTGCTCTTTTTCCTTCTCCTTTCCTTCGTCGGCATCTCCAGGTCATGCCCTTCATAAGTCATGAGGATCCCAAGTTCTGCATGGACGTCGAAAAGATATCTATCTTTCGTGCTCTTCGATTTCGAATAATCGTGGTTATCTTCGCGTGAAAAGTTATTTTCGACGATGCCAGGCTCTGACCTTTTGATATCTTTTGGAGGTAAAAAAATACTGTCTCGGGAAGCGACTTCTCATATGACGACAATCTCTGAAAGTTCAACGTCCTTGAACCACTCAAATGTTATGAACCGAGCCACTCTGACGGATTTGTACGCGTTATCTCCATTCTTCGAGGCTGATAATATGAGACCATGATACCGGATCGTGGTCTTCATAGATATTTTTTATTGGAAATTCTGCAAACACAATAAGTCCTAGGGGCCAACCAACCTTTTTGTCCGTTTGACAACTTTATTTTCTTTTCGAGGGCTTCCCAGCTTCTTTGCAGATGCAAATTAGAAACGCCCATAAAAACACGACTCCTGCTCCTCGGGTATCAAAATCTCAAATATTCTCCACATGAACCATAGAAGACCCCTCTCTAAACACCCTCAGCACCTGCCCCTTGTTCTCTCTTTTCCTTCTCCCTCTCCTCGTTCTCCCCCAACTTCCGCTCCTCCTGCTCCGCCCTCTCCCTCCTCCACCCAGGACCCCATCTAACAACAACCCAAAGCATCGGACTCAAAAGCACATAAACGCCTCCAATTAACGTATAACTCCACCCCAACCCCAACTTATCCGTCATCGGGAGAATCAACGCCGTAGCCCCAGCCCCAAGCAAACACCGAATCAAATTAAACGCCGCCGTCGCTGTGCCCGCCAGACCGGGATTAATATCAACGATCAGAATACTAATACACTGCGTACTCGCAACGAGCGCAAAACCCTGAACGAAAAGCATGATAATCGGCCCCGCAACTGAAACACGGTAGTGTAAGATCCAGCCATAGATCACCGTGCTAATCGTAGCCAGCAACAACATCGGAGCCGCGACTTGGAGACGAGCTTTCTCGATCGGGAAATGAGAGAGGTCTTGCTGTTTGCGTTTCTGGACCGGCATCCCGATCTTCCTGGCTTCGCGCGCGAATGACCAGTCCACGAGCTTTCCCTGAGCAAATGCCGCGACGATAGAACCGCCTGAGATGGGGAGATACATGAGCCCTACTTTGAGGTCGTTGAAGCTGTAAATCTCTTTGAGTTGCGAGGGCATGCCGGACATGATTGCGTAGAAACCTGCGTAGACTATGCCAGCGAAGAAGAGGATGAAGAAGCCTTCTTTCTCTGATGCTACGACGAGGGTGTCGAGCGGATTCGGAAAGCGAAGTGGGCCGCGTTTCTTGGCGAGGGCGTCGCGCTCTGCGTAATCTGGGGGACCGAGACCTTCTTTGAGTCGTTGACGCTCTTTGAGGTGGTTTGTGAAGGAGCGGTTCCATTTTGGAGGTGGGACGGAGCCGTCGCCGACGATGAGGCGGCAGGTTTCAGGCATGAAGAGGAGCATGGGGATGAAGAAGACGCCGGCGAGGATGGCGAGGAACCAGAAGATCCATTTCCAGCCGGCGTATTGGGAGATGATGCCACCTAGGATGGGGCCAAGTGATGGGGCGAGGATCGTGGCGAGAGATGTAATGCCAATGTAGATTCCTCTTTCCGCAGATGTTGCAACATCGGCAACGATAGCATTGGCTATAGCTACAGTGCCGGAAGAACCAGCTGATTGCACCATACGCAGAATAAGGAGGGCGACGTAGTTATTCTGGAGAGCAAGAGCGATATCCGCAGCAATGTATACGACGAAACAGACGATATAAGCTGGACGTCGACCTGCAGTATCTGAAAGGTTCCCAATGAATGCTGGAGCAATGGCTTGTAGTATCTAATCGAGTAAACAAGTTAGAAGGGAAAGGGGTGAGGCCAAGTGCAAACGAACCATGTAAGTAGTCATCGTTAAGTTGATCTTGCTGTTGCTGACATGGAGATCTTGGGCTATGCTAGTCAAGGCTGGGAAGTATATCTGCGTTGTGAATGGAGAGAAGAAGGCGCCCATGGTCGCAACGAAGACTATGAATTTCTTTTCCATTGGTCCAAAGATGGAGTAATCCTTTCCAAGAGACTCTGCTCCTGGAGATTTTGTTGCTGCGATCTCGTGAGTTGTTGGCTCGGCTTTCTCAGGCTCGATTGTGTCTGCTTGTTGACTTTCCCCATTGGAATTACTGCCGCCCTGGACTTCTTCTTGATGTTGGCTTTCATCCTTTTTGATAGCCTCATCATGAGGCTTGTTGGCTGCCGCTGCTGTAGCGCTGTTTGCTATCGAGTCTTCCATGACCTCCAAGTGTATGAAGAAGAGGTGAGATAATAATTTAATTGAATGACATTGCAGCGAAAGATAAAAAAAAAAGAGGTAGAAGATATGAAGATATAACGCTCTCAAGCAAAAAGGCAAAAGTGGTGTCGGTGAAGTTATGTTGCGATCAACCCTTGTTAAGTCCACAATCTCCGCAGGCCGATTCGGCAGCGACCCCAATAGGCCAGCCGCTGGGAGCGCTCACGCGCCGGTCCACCAGGGAATTCGGCACCAGAAACATAGGCAACCCTGGGTGGGAGGTGCCTCGAATTTTGTTCGAGGCACATAATTTCAAGATCACCTGATTGGCGATCCCAAACATAGAACAACAGCACTTTGTTGTTATGATGCCCCTCTTTTGGCGAGCTCCTGTTCGCCACGTCGTACAAGGTCCCCCTTTATAGGCGAGGATTGACCGAGAAAGTCAGCACTTGCTGTTTGGACCTCGGCTTGAATCACGTATGAGCGAACTTTCCCTCCAAAGTAAACACACAGGATCATGATTCGTAATTCGTAAGGTATGCCCCCGGATCAATTAAGATTAACCAGCAACCCAAGATAGCAAAACGCCCGCCAAGCGTCAAATACCCGCACTGTATTCCTAGGTATCTCCAATCATCAAGCCACTATACGGCCAACTTATCCAAAATCTTCAGTACCCCCTTCCCCTTCTTCTGCGCATCACCATCATCTAATTCCTCCACCAACGACCTCGCTCGCTCCGTCAGTGTCGCCAAGACTTTCCTGCAGTATTCAAAGCTGCCCGTCCCTTCCATATACGTCACAGCATACCGTTTAACTTGCTCATCTTCTGGCTTTTGCTTGAGAATGTTGATGAGTTGCATGTTTTCCGGTTTCGCGCGGATGCTGTGGATGATAGGGAACGAGAATTTGCCTTCTGTGAGATCTTCGCAAAGCCCTTTGTTGTGCGAGTATTCGGGGGAGGAGAGGTTTTGGTAGTCGTCGCGGATCTGGAAGATTATGCCCATGACGTTGACGAGTGGGACGCAGTCTCTGTTGGGCTGTTAGTGAAATTTTGACAGTGGTCGTGGGAAGACTTACTTTAGATTCTTGCTCTCAGCTTGCATGAGCTTGATTGCCAATCTGAACAATCCTCCCGTCTTGTTCCCCACCATCTCCAGATAATCGTCCTCAGTCGGGCACGTCAGGGTATCTCTCCAGAACAAGTCCATCCCTTGGCCCCGGTGCAGATTCAATAACTCCTCTGTATAGATATTGATCGCCTTCGGATTCTTCAGCTTCCCAAGCTCTTGTAAAGCGATGAAGTAGACATAATTCGCCGAATTGATCGTCTGCGCGGTGCCGAAAATGCTATGAGCAACAGGCAAACCTCTCCTCAACAACGACGAATCCTCAACATCGTCAACGAGCAAGGAAGCTGTGTGCAGCATCCCAACAACCTTCGTAATAACATCCAGACTCTCCGCCGGAACCTCCAACCACTCATTAAACGCCGCAATAAACTGCGTCCTAATATCCTTCCCCGGCTGCGCAAACAGATATTCATACGGCCCTACCAGAATCTTCTCCTTCTCCGGAGACCAGTTCCCCTTGCCATGAAATGCCATGTCGTTTTTGTGGTACCTTGACGAGTCTGTAGGAGCTATGGGCTGGATGGTGGGATTCGAGGAGAGCGGGATGGAGGGTTTCCTCTGGCTTATCCAGTCGCCTTCCGGCACCGGATGCAGGACAGAAGCAGTTGGCTTCGATATGATGTGGTTTAGTCCGTTCTGGTTCGTGGAGGATGTACGTGGAGGGATGGCGTTGGGAGAGCGGAGCTGGGAGTTTTCGGACGCCATCGCGGATGCGCCTGAGTGAGAGATATTGCTTTGGTATATTCGAAGCTATTGCGGTTCTCCGCTTTCGAGGTGATGCTGAGCTCCTCGATTGGGTTGTTGGCTGGAGGATCAAGAGGACGCGCAAGGCTGATCGTTGCTGGCGGGTCGAGATCAGGCTTCCGTTTGTCAATTGCGATCTTCGGATGGAATGCACACTGCAGATGTGGAGAAGTGTACACGACTTGTGCATGCTACTCTGTTGACAGAAGGCAGCTCCGCAATATGCGTTGTCCCCCCCTCATTCCTACCAACGTCACTGGTCCCTTGGTCCCGGGACGGAGCCTATTCGTTTGTCTGCAGAGGCGCCGGCGCAGCCTGTAAGTCCAACCCAATTCACATGCTGCCGCCGTCCATCGCTGCAGCTGACCAGTGCTGATCGTTCGGCTTCCAGCGTTGCATGAACAAATACCGAAGCCTCTTAAGCAGCTGTATCGGTTCTGGAGCTGCAATAGAAGTTTCACAATTCCCTCCCGTAACGCAACAACCGCAGCCTTGAGACGTCATGCATTTCTCGTGTTCCAATGATAAGACGCTATTCCGAAAACGCCGAATTCTGCCCGATTGCAGCTGCGCCCGCCTTTCTATCAGGCTCCTCGGCTCAGGCCTGGTTGCCCCGTGAACGGCTATGAAGGGCACAAACTTAATTGAAGCTCAGGAGAGACACCCTAAGACCCAAGCTCCGGCTCCAAACAAACACACACACACTCCCTTCTCTTCACTTCAAATCTCTGTATTAACACATCCTCGGCGTCCTTGCATTTCAGCGCATCATCAAATTATTCCCCAGCGAATACTCTTTTCCTTCAAATACCCAAACCCCGTAAACAATCGCAAATCCGCAAACATGGAAGCACTCCTCTCCCTCTCCTTCGACAACCTCTCTTCCTACGACCAAGCCAAGATCCGCAAGGGCTTGCGACAGGTCGAGGGCCTGCTCGCGCAAATCTGCTTGAGCTCGAGTAACTCGCCCAAGACCGCCGCAGAGAAGCGACGATCGGTCATCGACCCGGGGAAGGAACCGCCGCCGCGCAAAGCGCTGAGCGAACTCAGCGGCGACCCGGCATTCAGAGAGTTCTTCAAATTACAAGATGGATTCGAGTGGAACGTGGCGATGCGCTTGGTCAATTGCTTGGATCGGTTGCTGGGCAAGACAAACGATGGGCAGAATGATCTGTTGATTATCCAGACACTGGATCTGATTCAGGGGAGTTTGCTGCTGCATCCGCCTTCTAGGAGCTTGTTCTCGAGAGAACTATATATGAATGTTTGTATCCTTACACATTGCCGTTTATGTTACTAACTTGATGTGTTATTCAGCATCTACTTGACCTCCTCGAACCAGTCAACTGCCCTGCCATCCAATCCGCCACCATCATAACCCTCGTATGCGCCCTCATCGACACCCCGCAAAACACGCGTACGTTCGAGAACCTCGATGGCCTTTTGACAATAACCTGCCTCTTCAAATCCCGCGAAACAAGCAGAGAAGTGAAGCTTAAGCTCGTCGAGTTCCTGTACTTCTACCTCATGCCCGAAACGCCCTCGATCCCCACTGCAAACAGCACCGTTTCTGTCCCCGCAATGCTGCAACGCAGTCCGAGTAAACTCGCAGGAGCATTCAACAACCGTACAGATAATGGTGCTGGTAGAAAGCGTGCCGATAGCGAGAGCGACGCCACGAGAACCACAGAGGAAAAGCAGAACCTGTTGGCGCGATACTTGAACAATGTGAATGATTTGGTGGAGGATCTGAAGGAGAGCACACCGTTTGGAGGCGTCCTGTCTTGAATATTTCCTTGTGTTAGTCGCATTGATGGTGTTGGGTGGCTGCGCGGGCGTTGGCTGCATTGCATAAAGGATCTGGGAAACATTTGTTCGAGTAATTCATCGTAGAATGTTGGGAGGCCGTCTCTTGTAATACCGCCTCCAAAAGCTTCATTGGAGACATACTGTCAGATAGATGAGAATAGGTCCTCAGGGCAGCTCGACGGGATGTTCTGTCAACCCTGGGGATTTCAAATATTCGAAATTGCCGGGTGATGTTGCGTTTGAATGACCTCTGGAATCGATCTCGACCGGGACTTGGATATCTCCTGGGCTTTGAGGGCTTAGTGGGACTCCTCTTCCACTTCCTGGGCTCGTTACTGCTGAGGTAGGGTCTGAGGTGAAAGGCCCTGCTACTGCTGCTGGTCCAAAGTAATCCGCGGCCTGAGTCGGTGCCTTTGGCGCTGCAGAGCCAGACGCTTGTGACATGGCTGGACGTGGTTCTGGGTCAGAGTCTGATTTCTGGCTCAGCCTTGCCTGCCTTCGATGAAGCACACAGAACCAAAAAAAGAGCCCAATGGCCATGCAAGCAGTAACCCCAAGTCCGGCTCCTATCCCCGCCTTTGCGCCAGTTGACAGACCCGAACTTTGTGGCACCGAGGTTTCGTGAATTCCATTGGTCCCCGTTCTAACTGCAGTCCCAGTACCAGCAGCGCAATAGTTGGTATTGCTCAATACCGTACAAGTCAATGTATTGTCACAGCATCCTCCGCCTAGGGAAGTCGGGCACGAAATCTGGTTTGTTGTACACCCGCTGGGGACCTCGGATACAATGGCGCTTGTAGTCGACGTCGTTAGAGGAACGCAAGTACTGCTGCCACATTGAGAATCGAATGAGCAACATCCTCCCCCATATGTCGCAGCGCATTTATAGGCACTGGTAGTCGGACAACTTCTGGCGCAGCAAGAGCCGGTTGCTTGAGCCGTCCCGGCGGTGAAGGTTGCGGTGCCCGGGCAGAAGTAATGGAGGGAGTCGCATGGGGTGTCTTTGCTGCAGTCCGAACCGATTGAGCAGCAGGATGGTACATTATCGATGCCAATGATACAGTATGCTGTGTTGTCACAGCAGACGGAAGCACCGACGTCCAAACCTGGCGCCCGTCAGTAGATATCGACAGATAGAAGTGGGAGAGAGAGAAAGTATTTACATGGATGCTGATTTGTACCACATCCACCAACACCAATGATCTGCCGTTCCAAAAGCTGCGCTCCTCCAAGATAGTACCGTGGACTGAGTCCGGCCGGAACTTCCATGGCTCCATATTGCGCAGTCACCGCTGCGACCAGCCAGACGGCTAGCGACAGCATGTGAATTGAAGACATCTCGAAATGTCGGATTTGGTGGGGTATCGATGCTGTGAAGATTGTCCGGACATCCACAACACCACTCTTCATAAATCTAAAACATTATTGATGAGAAGAAGAAACAAACTCGTTAAAAAGCTGAACATAGCGTCCACACCGCGCATGATCTGTTCGCACGGCAGGAGACAATTGCGATGTGCACTGTGGCTTGAGGGGCCACGTCGTTTAGATACCTTTCGGCCCACGATAAGCTGCGGGCGCTGCAGCCACAGCTCGAATGAGTTGTGGTTGGCGAGAGTGGTGCCGCTATGCATATATGTCTCGTCAGCTCTGGTGGTCTCAGACGGCCTGGCCTGCGAATCATTGAAGAGGCTGAAGTCTGCCTGTGCCAGCTGCATGATGTCGGATTCGGAGGTGACGGAGGAGACCCCCCACAGACCCTGGTTTGGTCGACCGGTGATCCTTGTGTTGCAGCTTGCTCGTTGACCTTCCCTTCTCACTTGAGATCTTGAGACGAGGGTGCTACTCGGGGCTCTGAGAATTTCAAATAATGAGAAAGGCAGGTCAGCATGGAAATATTTGACAAGTGAAAGGAAAATCATAGGATCGTCAGGGGTGTTAGAGGCCGGAGAAACTTGTTTCGCAGGCGGTCAGCTTGCTGCACCAGCTTAGATAAGCTCGGTGGTAGGCACCGTGCCTCCTTCTCAAGCTTGAGCTCCTCGCCTCTTTTCATCCGAATTTTATTTCTTGCTGGCACACTTCTGGTATCAACTTATTGCGTATCGCAAACTCGTTCCGATGGAGTCATCTCGAGCTGAAAATGTATCGCTACCCCATCTTAAGAGAACCCGGCCATCGTCCCGGTCTCCGAATCTCTCCTCTCGACGATCGAATTCCAGGACAAAGTCTCGACTGCAGCGTCCTGCAAGTCATGTTAGGTAGTATTCGACCTGAAAAGCCGAAGTGCTGGACTATTTTTGTTCACCCCTCATTTCTTTTTGTGTCAGCTTCCATCGGCGCCTAGCTTCAGTAGGTTCCTACTACTGCAGCCCTGCTGCTCGACACCAGGCAGAGTCGCCAAATTATCCAGTCTCCGCAGCGCGGAGTTACGAGTAGGGTGGGGTGGATTTCTCAGACTCTCGCCCCCAAAGCTCAATCCATAGATAAGCCTCGGGTTGCCTCAGAGACAAACTTTCTTCTCATTTATCCATTTCTGCGCCAGACTTGCCCTGCATCCAACACTTCTCAGCGCTCAAGACCTCAGCTCAAGACTACGTAACCTTTGCGGTTGTGCGCTCAACCACAAGAGCGTAGGATGCTGGTTTGAGGCCGATTTAAGATTCCTTTGTCAGCTTAAGAAATTGAAGGGGGAGACAACTTGCCTATGATCTGATCTTCGGCCCTGAAGCAAACAATGTAACACACCAAGCCTGCATGCTCTCCTTTGAAGACTCCTTGAAGAGCTCGATCCGGAACAATTGGGGTATACGGAAAGAGGTAGGGCTATTTGGCATGTAGCGATGGACCTCCAGGGCTCTTTGCACGATGCATCTTAGCCAATACCTCTTCCCAATCCCCCCCATTCCGGACGGTGCTCTTGTCAATGTTCTCTAGCTGCTATGGTATGTCGCTGACTGTTTTTCTAACAGGTGTCGCACTGTACGGCATGTCAAGTCCTGCCCCGGTTGTCAAAGGCATGGACATCCTGTCTCGGAAGTATTCCAACCCTGTGTGTTTAGAGCGAGGAACTGGAGAGGATGTCCTGGGATTATGATTCAAATTGTGCCGGTTCGCGGACGGCACTTGTGCCCAACGTGTGTGAGTTTGAGATGGAGGCAACAGGCTCTCTTAGCCTCGAGGTCGAGATCAAGGAGTATTCATCATCAAGGGAGATTGTATTAGATAGCTTGGAAACTGGGTCGAGGCGGTTCTTGTTTTCGGCGTTTGCGCTGCGTATGGAGGTTAATATCTCTACTCGGTCGAATTAATTGGTCGCTGTACGTTCACGTCCCCTGCGAGGTGAAGTTACTCTGCTCGGTAGCTGTTTCCCTTCTGGCTTGGGTTGCCTGCAAAGAACGGCCAGCCCACAGCAGTTCAAGAAATAGCGGACCTTCGGACGATATCCTGCCATTTAGTTTCTCCTACCCAGCAAAGCTCGACCATGCTTGGCAGGCAGCAGTTTGGGAAGCCTGCATATATACTTCGCTGCCTTGTTGAGGTGTATCCGGCAGATTATAAGGCAAAGTTGATGTGGGTTAGACGACGATCTCGGGATCCGATCAAACGCAGTGCAACCAGGTCAATGGAAACCACGTTCCCTGTAACCTGCAGATCCCTTCCCCATCCGTCGCAAGGCAAGTAGGAATGTTTGCGGCGACCGAGAAGAGCCCGTTGTATTGGGTGGCTTGATGTGCGAACTCGTCAGCATCGTCTGTGACCGGTGCACCATGACAGCCCACCTCCACATCCCAGATCTCCTGCTCTGCACCTCAATTGTCAGCCTTCGGGCGTAACTCAAAGACAACTGCCAGCCAGTCAATTGATCAGCCACTCGATTTTACCCGAGCTTCATCCCGACCTCTAACATCCTCTCTCATTCTCTCTCCTAAATGTTCCTCCAAAACTTCATGATCTGAGAACGTCACGCTTCGGAGCCTGCTCCGGCCATTGTCAACACAATGGACATCCAACTCGGTCCCCTCATACAGCGCACCATATGGGGACCAGGCATCCTCTTCACCGCCCTCATCTTCCCCAAAATCTTCTATGCCTCACATGCATCGCGAATTCTCACTTTCGCGGCTGTAGCAGCCTCAGTGGTGTGGGCGCTGCAACCACATGATATCGACAATCCAGCCACATCATATCTCTTCGGCTTCGCGCCTTGCTGGACATTGATCGTTGCCGCTGTGCTTTTGCTGCTGTCCACTCCAGCCCGGGATTTCCGGAGGATTCGGAGGAAAGATGAGGCTGTAGTGGGAAAGGGTGGGACGGAGGAGCTGTATGAGTGGGAGCCGTTTCCTGAGCAGATGCCGAGGAGGTGTTGGTGGGCGCTCGATTTGATGGTGAATTGGAGAGGTTTGGGATGGAGTTATCAGAGACGACAACATTTCATTCCAGATGCTGTCAAGAAGGTTTATGATGAGGCTGGAATCAACGTCAAGCGGGATGGAAGCCAGGATGAGAAGAGGTGCGGACAGACAAGGTCTTCGTTCCTTGTCCAGCAAAGTTGGTATTTTGTGGTGGATTATGTTTTGCTAGATTTCTGCATCTACTTTATGGATCGGGACCCGTGGTTCAATAGACCTCTTGGATCGGATCAGAGGCTTCTCTTTGGCTATCCAGCTGGAAACTACGATGTGCTGGTCCGGCCCTACCGTGTCTTTGTCGGCACTCTAGCCACGTACACAGTGATGGATGTCGCTCACGTGGTTCTGGCCCTTGTTTGCGTTGGACTGGGACCAAAAAATCTAGGCACCCTCGGCGAACCCTGGCAGCACCCTCCTCTCTGGGGGACTGTCGATGACTTGTTCCATCGTGGTTTACCAGGTGAGAAATCTCCCCAGCTATCTTCCTCAATTTCTAACAGGAAATCACAGGCTTTTGGGGCAACTTCTGGCACGACCTCTTCCGCTTCCAATTCCTCACCATAACCAGGAAGCTCCTCCCCTTCTCCGCAAAAGACAAATCCAGCGCTCACGGCTTCCGCGGCCTCCTGGCCATGACGCTTGTCTTTGCGCTCTCGGGTTCTATGCACGCAGCCGGCTCTTACACCGAGCTCCGAGAAACTGCCCCTCTGTGGCTATTTGCTGGCTTCGCGGTGCAATCTATAGGCGTCGCGGCGCAGGAAATGATTACCATGCTCATGGTAAAAGGGAAGGCTGGGCCGGGTGCGAGGCAGGTGGTTACGATTGCCTTCTGGTGGTTTTGGGGGTGGTTGACGGCGCCGATGGTTATTGGTGATATGGCTGCTTGTGGGCTGTTCCAGTCGAAAGTTATGCCGTATTCTGTTGTGAATCTCGTTTGGAAGTAGATTTATGTTAGGAAAGGGCGGAAAATTTACATGTATGGCGGGAAAGGGCATTCACGGCGTCTGGTAAGAAGATACACCTCTTCAATCATAACTTACATAGAACGTAAACCTAATTACGACTTACTCTACAATCTCGTCCTGAAATCTCTTATCACTCAGTTCTGCCCTTCCTATGGAAAACTCTCTGCACCACTCCTCACAAACCGAACCTTAACCTTCCCCAACATCCTCAACGCAATAATCGTCTGCCTCCGATCCAAACACTCCAACACCTCTCTCCTCTTCTCCTCCCACCCTTTCCCGCCATCATCAACAAGCTCCACAGAATAACCCTTCAAAAGCACAGCAACAATCGTGCAAAACTCGACCTGTGCGAATTTCTTGCCCAGACAACTCCTCATCCCCGCTCCGAACGGGATATAACTGCCTTTTTGTGGGCAAAGGAGGTTTGCATGCGCGGGTGATTCGGGGAGCGTGTTGGGTGGTGGAGTGTAGGTTGGGTCTTTGAGCCAGCGGGATGGGAGGAAGAGGTCGGGGGATGGGGACCAGTATTTAGGATTGCGCTGTAAGGAGACGGCTTCCAGGAAGATGGTTGTGTGGGGTGGCAAAGGGAGGGGTTGGGAGCGGTAGGTTAGCGTCTGGGAAGTTTCTGTTGATTTGAAAAGATTGATTATCTGCGGGCAGAGACGGAGGGTTTCGAGCTGAGGTTGTGTTAGTGGATGGTTTTTTGGAGAGTGATAGTTCCGTTGTGTGAAAGGTGCTTGGGATATTGGGGAGATGTGCAACAAAACATCTCTTGGCCTGAGATTCATGAGTTGAATTCTCACGATTCTAGACATGGTGGTACACTGAGCATGATGTATAACATAAATGAGCTGGAAGACACAATTCACTCGAATTGGCCAAAGAATATGAATATGACTTGATATTCTCAAAGTCCTGAAGGAGATAGGACATGTAGAAGAGACAGCAAACATACCATCAGCGCCATGATTGTTCTCATCTTGGGGTAATCCTCATATGTCAAGTCTTCTCCTGGCTTTTTCGCCGCCCATATGCTGTCTATTTCATCTCGGATTCTTTGCTGGAATTCCGGTTCTGTGGCGAGGAGGATAAGAGCAATTTCTAAGACGGAAGCAGATGTTTCGTGGCCGGCGATGAGGAGGATGCAGATATTGCCGAGAATCTCTGATTCGTCCAACCTAGAACATCAGGGAGTCAGCAATCTTTCCGATTTAAGAAGATTCCGGGAAGAAATATAGTAATAGAACCTCGTTTCCTTACAAATCGTTTTCGTTAGCTCGCAGGATATTGCTAAGTAGATCATTTCGCCTGAGAAGTGGTTTCGTACTAGTGCTGTTGCCAGTGCCGTCGTCAGAGGTAGGGGTTGTACCTTCAGCGCTTGGGACATCGTCGATCATCTCTTGAATATAGTGCATGAATTCACCGAACGCAGCTGGTAGGGTTCTGAGGAATTTCCATGGTGAATGTTCCAGTAGCCATGGGGAGAATCCAATCAAGAAATAGAAATTATCCATTATTTGATTCATACAGTACTGCCATGACATCGAATGAGTCTTTGATTCTGCTGGAAACCCCGAATCCGAATCCGAGTCCGATTCTACCGGTTTGTGAAGAACGTTGAATCCAACGACAGATTTAGTCGGCCATGGGATGTGCCGATTGAAGGCGGCTCCAGATAGTACATTGAGAGCAATGGCCTTCAACCAGAAAAGCAGGTCGTCGATAACTGGTTCCTCCCCAGGAGCTGAAATATTGCCGTCGGTTTCGTGAGTAAATGAAGCAAGCATTGCTTTCGCTTGGGTCAAGGTCTCTTGGAAGACGAGACTACAAGAATTAGTTTCTCATTATACCTCTGCATGATGGAACATTACCTGCTATTCCGCTCATTAAAAGAAGGACCAGTGATCTTGCGATGTCGTTGCCAATCTGAACCCTCTGCTGTGATGACATTATCGCCAAACCAGGTCAAGTCATGGTAGTAGAGCTCTGCTTTAGGGAAGTCCTTCCATCGATGAACGACCTGGGAAACGACATCCGCGTCAGACACGTGTAGGAGGCAACCATCAGCCGCGGCGGTCCAAAAAACATCAGATCCAAGTTCTTCTCGAGGAAGTTTGCCTTTGTGTGCCCATGAGAAATCTCTCTTCATATAACGGACCCAATGTCCTAATCCGAATGGGAGGCTTTCTAGAAAAGGAGCAAACCATGGCGATAACAACCAGAACCATCCCGATTCACGGTACCAATAGACCGAGACATATGGAACTGGCGAGGCTGCTGCAAAACGACGAGCTTGGCTGAGAGACGTCCAGAACCCAAAAAGCTTGGAGATGACCACAGCGGTCAGGAGGGCACCAAGGAGAGCAAATATTTGTTGATACATGTCGAGGTTGCCTTTACCATGGTCTTCAGAAGTGAATCATTCTGAGCCGAAACATCTTCATATGATTTTGAGAAGCTTGAAAACTGACTGATAAAAGGCACCGCCAGCTGAATGACTGGATGCGAGTTTGCAAAGACCTAAGTTTTTCCGGGCCACTGAGCCTCCAGAGATTGAATGAGCTCTTTCTCGGTAACCTGCCTGGACGGAAACGTAGGCAGACTTCAGCTCAGTTGTAATACGGATACGATAGGCATTTTTTAGACGAGGCTGACACCATGAGGTGTTGACAGCGGCTTGAAATTCTGCCGACTGTCGGGCAGTGATATTTAGCGACCACGTGACTGTGGTGTCCCTTCCATTGTTCAACTATACTATGTTCAGCTCCATTTGTTCACCTGAACTCCAAGCGGGACTGCTGAGACGATGCTACTGAAGTAACCTTACCAAGCTACTCCTCGATAAACGGATCTATCTCGAGATGAATGGTATCGAGGCGCTGTCAATTGTAAGCTCGAGTGGCGCTCAGGTGTGCACATGCCTCTGGTGAGCACCTTTCCTTAGCCTCAGCATCTTCAGCCACTTGAAGTAGTGTTTTGGTTCTATATCTTGCGAGCGCATTGGTATTTGCAGAATTCTAGTTTCTTGCAGCCACCACCTAAGTTGTCCGTTTGGTTGGGGACAGGCTCGAGAAGCCTAGAATATTTAGACTGTCCTATATGTTGTCAGTCATCGCCTTAAAGCAGAGAATACTCTTCTGAAGCCATCGAATCTTCAATGGCAATGTTTTCTTCCCAATATTGAAATAAGGAACAGCTACGCCAGCTCATGTATACCCTCGGCAAAGATTCCAAGTCGCCTTCTTGAGCACGGAGAACCCTTGCAGCTTCAACTCTCACCGACTCCTTCACCTTCATGAAGACGATGGACCGAAGTCGGGCCATGTTTTTATCTCGTAAGTGGAGTTTGCTATGCTGACCCACCGCGCACAATTCCGGCCAACCGACCAATAACAGCATTGCGGATATTCTCGGACTATCTCGCTCACATTTGAATAGCATCAGCTATCCAAGAGGTATGAGAAATGATGTTCGGATTTGATGACTGAAAAAGCATCCACATGATACTAATTGGGGTTTGGGCAGTTAAACGCTTCCTCAATGCGCCCTAGCATACAATTACGACCAAAAATTATGCAAGATTTGCTTTCGAAACCCCCAAAGTGGAGAGCTGCACGTGATTCTTCCCCCTTTGTTGCCGTTTGTTTGCGATACTTTGAAGTGGTGGTGGTTCTTGACCATGCGCGCAAAGGATGTTGGAGACTCAAGACCACTCACAAATATTTCTTTTATCAATGAATACGACATGTGGAGCCAACGATACTTTCTTGTTATCATAAGCTCCAAAGGCCGGATTTCATTCCGGCCACGCACACAACAAGATAAAAGCTCGAAAATTCGCATCTTTCTTGAAAATCCTTTGTCTCCATTACATGACCTCAAGTCTCGCAATTGACGCCAAACTTTCCTCAATACTTTTGCTATTCATTTGCGCTTTTCAAGATGGGATCTATTGTTCCTTCTCTCAACTTCAACGTCCTTCGGGACACCAAACCAGACGACACGAGTCTTCCAGCCTTCATGGTCTCAATAACCCGAGGATTCCTTCCACGTCAAGAACCTATCATCTCACTCCCAGCAGAGTTCGACGTTCTTGAGTCCATCCTCGCTCGCATGCCTATCAAGACCTTGAACGGCACCCCAGGTCTCCTTGCTACCGCTACACTTGGAGAGACTATCCTCAAGGAATTACCTGACCTCACCAGCGCTATCGACAAGTACAAAGATAACCTCCCTTTGATGAACGCTTTGTATCGGGATTATTCGTTTCTCGCCTCCGCTTACCTATTGGAACCATGCCATGAGCGGTTCACGAATGGTGAAAGTTATGGCCTTGGCCGTCAAACACTCCCTTCCGTTATCTCACTACCAATCTCTCGCTGCGCTCAACTGTAAGTATTCCCCAAATTGTACATGATCATCTCTGATGAACAATAGTGCTGGTTTCAAACCCTTCATGGAGTATGCGGGCTCGTATGCTCTGTTCAACTATCGCCTCCAAGATCCAAAGCGAGGTCTCGAGTACGACAATCTTCGTCTGATCCGAGCTTTCGAGCATGGCCTTGACCCCAAGTCATCCGAAGCAGGTTTCGTTCTTGTACATGTTGACATGGTTCAGAATTCAGGTCCCCTTATTGATGGAGTTGTCTCTGCACTCGATGCATGCGAACACAATGATCGCGAGGCCTTCAACATTGGCATGGAAAAAGTCGCCACAAGCATGACCAAAGTAAACAAAGTCATGGACGGTGAGCACATCCGACTCTCTCCCTCTTCCCATAATTTGACGCCTGAAATTGACATGTGAGAGGTATGTGGGGAAAGAGTAAGCCAGGAGATTATACTTCGTTCAGAACATTCATCTTCGGAATTACGAGTCAATCTATGTTCCCCCACGGCGTCGTTTATGAGGGTGTTTCGGACGAGCCGATGTCCTTCCGTGGCGAATCTGGAGCAAATGACAGCATGGTGAGACCAAGTCGCCCCAACTCAGCATTGAAAACTAATATCGCATAGATTCCACTCTGCGACAATCTCCTTCAAATCGCAATGCCAGACACACCTTTAACCACCATCCTCCAAGACTTCCGCTCCTACCGCCCAGGAAACCACCGAGAATTCCTCGAATACGTTAAAGCACGCTCAGCCCATCTTTCTCTGAAATCCTACGCTTTGCAAGAACCCTCATCAGCAGCACTCTACCTGCTCATATTGAACCAAGTTCGTGACTTCCGCTGGAGGCATTGGTGCTTCACTCGTGAGTATATCTTGAAGAAGACCACGCATCCAACTGCTACTGGGGGAAGTCCGATTGTAACTTGGTTACCGAATCAGTTGCAGGCTGTAATGCAAGCTATGGTTGATGTTTGGGAGGGAAGCGGGAAGAGACTTGGGAAGAGTTGTGAGGAGATTATGGATTTGTTGTACGTGCAGCGAGAGACTTTGAGGAAGGAGGTTGAGAAGTATTGCCAGGAGAGGAATGTTGATGCTAGCAAGGCTTGATCTAGCAGGAATGATCTTTTGGATATATGGGAGGCAGCTGGTACATGGTGGCAGGCAACAGGCGAGACTCGAGAGAAATGCTCTCTCTTTGGTTTTTTAGGTTTTGGCAAGATCATGTAAGCTCATGTTAATTTACGCACTTTTTGCCTTAAGTCTATCCATAGACCAGACTGAAGGGGTCTTCCATGTGTTCCATTCCTTCGACTGCTGGTCCCACGTGATAATGTGAGTGGTCTTTTGATTCGAGGATGCTTTCTAGTCCGTTAAAGAACATAGTTTGTTTTCCTATCCTTAATATTCTAGACACTCAGTTGATAGTGGGGATGCTGGGGCCGTCCAAACGATTTGGAGAATACGTGATATTTCGTGACCTGAAACTAAGAATCGCTCCAAAGCTATTAGAAGAATGGAAGTTCTAATTTCTCCAAGGATTAAACTGCTTGGGTGTGTGCTTTCACTCAGCCACCATGACCACCAACAAACATTCACAGTGGGCCACTAAACCTCGACAAATGAACGTGATTCGGCCCCTTCGGCCCTCACATAAGTCAACTCCCGACTTTTTTACCACTCCCAACCCCCCTCATCCTTCGTAAACATCCAACATCAACTTCAGAGAGACCAATATCAACATCACAACACAAGCAAAGATAGTCTTCAACTTAAAGATTCTCACCCTACTCAACAGCGTTCTAGCTCTTGCATCTGCAACAAAACTTGCAACATCTTCCAGGGCTGCAACGCTGGCCTTTCGCTAAACACAAGGCGAGAACTACACAGACCACACACTGTTCAAGACGAACATGCTTGCTTGGCAAACTGGTTCCAGGCACAACGCAGCGCAATTCTAATAACGTGGGACGCCACTGTTGAGAAGTCAGCTGCCAAATGGGCCAACGATTGCAGTAATTGTGCAAAACACTCTGTAGGTTATTTGACTGTCTGGAAGAATAAAATCGAAAGAGGATACCATGCTGACGGTGCAGCAAATAATCTGCGAAGGTAATTGTGGTGCTCGGGGAGGTACTTCGCGCGATTGTTAAGCAGAATCCATCGCAGGTGAGATTCCGACTCTCACAAGCGTGGTAGAGGGCTGGGCTTAGAGCCAGTCAACTATATAATTGGGACCATCCTGATCATTCAGAGTCTACCGGCAATTTCGCTATCATGGAGTGGAAAGAAACTAATTAGCTGGGTTGCGCAAGGAAACTATACCATAAGCATTTATACAGAACTCATCCAAGATGAGAAAATGAGTATACGAATGAACAAACGAAGACCGAAGCCAACAGAAACTACTTTAATAGCGCAAGGCTGGAGGATTGTCTGTCACTATAACCTCTTTTAACCGGACGGGTTTGTATATATTGGGTTGTTATGATAGGGGAGGATAGTCAATTCTGGGCTCTTCGAACGGATCAAGTCGATGTCAACGAAACCTGCTCTAAGGAGGAATTGTTTGAGCTAGGTGACTTGGGGCGTGGGGGGAGCGGAAGCTACCGGATGAAAATCGGTATATATCTACCACACACTCTAATCTCAAGGATCCCGAACTAACTTTTCTACCAGGGATGATCTTTTTGGTAAAAACTATACCCGTCGTATAGCTAGGTACTGTAAGGAGAAGGCAGACAGAGGCAAGACGACTCTATTGGTATCTAAGCTCGAAGCCCTAAATGGCTTGGCTGACTAACGGCTAGCTGGTTCCTTCCCTGGTGGCGTCACCACCCCCACACGTCACCCAACAGGTACATTCTCATCACTCCCAGAATTTCGAGGTTTGGATCGAGAACTGCATCCTGGACCTTGTCACGGCGCAAGAACTGGACGAGCCGACTACCTGGGAATTGTTTAGCCTGCCCTTTGCTCGATGTTGTTGATAGCAAGAAAATCCCTGACTGTCCTTGCTGTATACTTAGCAGGACCCTCAACATTATCCTCAACCTGCTGTTCCACATCTCCATTCCACCACTCCTCCTGTGACATCTGCTATCTGCGCCTCTTCCGCATTCCCAATTTCCCAGGTTCAACGCTTCCTTCCCAGCGCCCTACTTGACAATACATGTACGGGATTCCGCGTCCCACAAAGGACTTTAAAGAGCATCGAAGAGATTATTTAGATGGACTGGGTCTGGGAGTCGAGGTCGGGAAACAAGGCTATTGAAACGAATTCTTTGAGCTGAAGTTCGGTGCCTGTGCTAATAACCGAGTTGCCCTGTTCGTCTTGAAATACCTGCTCAGATAAATCAAGACCCAACGTCGAGCACTTAATGCGGAAAACTTTAACTTGACGCCTAAACAGGCCCCTACATGCTAACTTATCTAGAATGTGTGGAAGTGTTTGGTAGGGAGCAGGAATACAAGGTATCAACAAACTTTGTCTTGATCGAAAGAAGTCACTGAACGCGAGGGACGCCTGGTTTACCGGGCTCCCGCTCGCTTAGTAAAAAGGGGGTGGGGTAATGAAGAATCTCCAAGTATCTAGGTGGTGAGCAGGTAATAAGGAATCAAGTAATCTTAATAGTACTTAATCCAGGCTCAACGGCGTCCTCCTTGCAGACAAGCTCAAGTTCACTGAAACGTGTTTTTGCAGAGATATGGCTTGGTAATTGAGGGATTTGTCAAAGGCGCACTTTCTTGCCCTTACAAATCTTATCTCCGATCCCACCAATGTCCGAATTTCCCCCGCACACGTCATCTTCGATGGAACCCGTTCGAGAAAATAATTACCGGCGCCACTTATCTATATAAGTGCGTCGGCTCGAAGGAAAGTTGGTCGATTGTACTTCTTTCTGTGTTCAAATAGTATGAAACGTATTGCTCGACAGCTTGCAATCAACACTCCAAAGTCAATCACCAAACTACCCCGCATCTCACAGAGACTCCTACATTCACAATCACTGCCCAAAATGACCACAGCCACCTTCAAGTATATCGACCCTGCTTCCTACGAAGGCAAAGGCAAGCCGTGGGGCAAGGTTGACGGTCCCGGCAAATCTTTCACTCTCAAAGACTACCAAAAAACCGTGACATCCATCCGCGGGCACGAATCCGAATTCTCAACCGACAACAGCGGTTTCGCAGTCTACAACTCACCCGCCAGAGAGAAAGCCTTCACCGACGAGTCTGCCATCCGCAAGGGCTACTACCCGGAAGTAGAAGCCATGCTCAAGGAGCGACTTCCTGGGAAGATCAAGAAAGTAGTAATCTTCGACCACACGATCCGTCGACGAGACAAGAATTCCCCTCGGCAACCAGTACAGCAAGTGCACGTGGATCAAACACCTGGCGCTGCTGCAGCGAGAGTGCGACGCCATCTGCCTGCTGAGGAAGCAGAGGAGTTGTTGAAAGGGCGATACTCGATCATCAACGTTTGGCGTCCAATCGAGAACCCGGCCACCGACTTCCCACTCGCAGTCATCGACTGGCGATCCACTGCTCCTTCGGACTTCATCGCCGTCGACCTCCTCTACCCGAAACGAACAGATAACGACGATGATGATCGTGGGAAAGAGGTTTTGCCGGACGAGAAGACGATTTGGAGTAGAGAGGGATATGAGGCGAAGGGGGAGACGTTCGCGGTTGCGCCGAGCGAGGGACACAGGTTCTTTTATATGAAGGATATGACGCCGGAAGAGGTCATGCTGCTTAAGTGTTTTGATAGTGCAGGGGAGGGGGAGAGTCTTGGGAAGAAAGGATTGGCGGTTAGGACGCCACATACGGCTTTTGTGGACCCCAAGACTCCGGAGAGTGCACCGGGAAGACAGAGTATCGAGGTTAGGTGTTTGGTATTTTATGAATAGGTGGGAATCTCTGTACAGGCCTGATTTAGCGTGCATAGAGTGAAGATTGGCTAGGAATGAATTTCTTGCCCACAGCTCCAGTTGTTGTTCATCGCGGGAGTAGGGGACTTATGAGAGTTCGGACTATTTCGTCATCACTGTACACCAGGAGTTTATACAAAGTAATAATAATAAATCGTAAATCAAAGACGAAGGCAATTCTCATTCTATATAATAATAAATATATAAATAACTAGGTATATAAGCATGTTTTCAAGCTAAATGCGGAATGTTCGTAGCCCAGGTCGAGGTATATGCATCAGGGGGCAGAAAACAAAGTGTACGAAACATTTCCACAACCATAAACACTCTCGCAAGAACGTATAAAGAGCTCACAAGCTTCGTCATCTGATCTTCAAACCATTGAAACCTATCCGGGATTGTAAGCAGCACAAGAAACAGAATAAAAAAGACAGTGCAGTATATACTTGCCACCCGCCAGAGAATCAGCTCGACTTTGCTAGGAAAGGTGAAGTTCCATGCCGCAACATGTATTCCCCCAAAGAGGCTGCTCCCAAGTCCTAAACCAAGGAGAAAGTAGTGAAAGTTATCATCTGCCTGAGCAAGGTGTTCTGGAGTAACATCGTTCGGGATCGGGCGCCCATTTGTCTGGGGGAGTGAGTGCCACACATATTCTGTCTCTCCGAAAAATATTCGGAAGTTCGAGCCCCCCCTAATATCGCTTTCCTCCCGAGCTATTTCTACCGGTATGGGCCCTGAAAATTTAAGGACCGTATATGGTACAAGGACACTTTTGGGCTTCTTCCATTGAAGTATGTAGATCATGATAGCACAACTTGAGAACGCAACAACTGCAATTTCAAGCTGGGAGACTGCAAGTCTTTTTGCAACGCGTGCAAGGACTTGCACGACTATCCATGTTATCTGGGCAACAGAGACTACCCTGGCAAAAGAATCTGTTTTGCTTTTGTCGTTGATATCGTCTGCAGATATCAAAGGCATCTTGGGAAGCTGTCTAGACGTTCGGAGCTGGAGGATACTAGCAGCTGTGAGATGAAATGGATTGTGGTGCCTAAGGGCATGCGTTTGATCCCGAGGGACGGCGGTCTGTCTTGATGAGGCCGATGATGGCGCTTTCGTAATCTGCTCCCGCTCATCCGTTACGGAAGGTCCTGGAAGTGGTGTTGATTCGTTATGGATCTTATCGAGAGCTTGCAATTCCTGCCCCGTATTTCCCCTTATAATAAACCCTCCCATATTTGCAAATAGGGAGTGGGTCACTGTCCATTCAGTCCCATCTTCCCCAGCTAGCTTCTGAAGCGCTTTGAGATCAGATTGTGCAACGACAAGATCTTCCCAGGCTTTCGACAGAACCAGCTCTGGCGCCAACATGGTGACAATCATCCACTTCGCACTTGCCCATGTTCTTTTGAGCCCCCACTTAATATCGCCTATCCAACCTGGGTCCGTCCCATTGCGTTCCTCGGGTACATTCAGATGTTGAATGGTCCATGTGCAAGCGATGATGGTGAAGAGACAACTCCAAAGTATGTCTAGCGTTCCTCGTGAATCGGGACTCGAAACGAAGTTGGTCGTGACATTGGGTGTCGTGCAAGTCGTGTCGAACTCGGTGTACGCTCGTACAGCGAACGTCAGGGGGAGGAGGAGAATCAGCTTGGACATAGAGAAGTGAAATGGTGTCCTAAGTGATGATGTTAATATATTGATACTGATATACGAGATAAGCCTAGAACACTGAGGAGAGAAGGAAGGAGAAGACGAGTTTCTTCATCGAGGATCGGGCTGAGCTGCAGAAGCTAGTTCCAATCCAGTCACCGTAACACATGGCGGTTGCGTGTCCCTTCATGGGCTAGATGTCCCCATCGTTGAGCTCGCAGAGCACGGCATACTTGGAATACGCGTAACGATGGATTTATACAAATGGTGGCTCGAGCAGGTGCTGTGGATGAGAGCAAAGAGGTTGATGAAACCAATTAAGCCTAGCCCGCTCGGACCTCGCTGTCTCGCGTCCTGGAGACCCTGTACTGTACTCGAGAGTCTGGTACTGAAAGCCGTAAGGATCACACGTGCCAACGGGAAACGCAAAACCCGCATCCCGCTTGCATCTTCACCTCACCAAAAATCTGTGCCGAACCCCACGAAAAAGTCAAGCACTAATTTTTTAGTACTATAGCCTATATTATAGGGCTTCCTTTTCCTCGCGACTCTCGACTCTCAGAGTTCACTTTCCATCTCTCCCTTTCCACTTCTTACTTTTACTTTTCACTTTTCACTTTCGCCCGCCCCCCGTCTCCCCCCCCCCTCCACCCCTATACTTATATATATATAAGAATTAAAGAGAGAGAGTAAAGATTTTAAGAAGTAGCAGAGACTGAGCGAGAGGGGGGAGTGGTAGTGGGCGTGGGCGTAGGCCTGGGTGTGGGCGATTTTTGGTGGGGTGAAGCATGCAAGCGGGATGCGGGTTTTGCGTTTGGCGCTGGCACATCACGTCTTTAACCTTACGGCTTTCCGTGCTCTGACGACATCCTGGCTGGACAAATCAGTGGTCATCAATTGCAAACCACCCCACTGCAAGCTGCGTTTCCAATCATCATCGACCTCCTCGTCAGCTCGCCCCTCCTGTTGCTCAGTGGCATCCACGTACGATTTGTATTTCGTCTCCAGTGACAAATACCGTTTCGAGTCTCGCTACAACACTTCCCCCTCTCAATCCGTTTATGCTCTCTCCACGACTCTTCATCAACACTGGCCGTCACCTCTTCCGTCAAGCTTCGCCCCGCAATCAACAATTCATACAAACTTTTGCAACTGCGTCACGAATCATGGCACAAGAATACAAGCTCAAAGGCCTCAGCAGCCTCGACTTGAAGCCGGGCGAGAAGAGAGAGGTGGAGGTTAATGGCATTGAAGAGGGGAAAGTGCTGCTGTGCAATGTTGGAGGAAAGGTGACGGCTTTGGGTAGTAAGTGCACCCATTATGGAGCTCCGTTGGTTAAGGGGATTTTGACAGGCAAGTAATCCCTCAAGCCAATTCTCAAGATCGAATAACTAAGATGGCACTCCTTATTCAGCTGACGGAAGAATCACCTGTAAGTTCTCGAACCCCCTAGTATACATGCCATCGAGTCGAGATCAAACACTAACGTTTACTTACCTAGGCCCCTGGCACGGCGCCTGCTTCAACGCAAAGAACGGAGACATCGAAAACGCCCCTGCTCTCGACTCCATCCCCTCTTTCCAACTGTCCGAAAAGAACGGCGCGGTGTATATCACAGGCGAGCAACAAAGCATCAAGGGTAGTCGAAGAAAGCCCAACATCAAGATTTCAGGTATCAGTGGTTCAGAGAAGGTTGTGATTGTTGGAGGTGGCAGCGGAGCATTGGGCACACTCGAAGCTCTGCGAGAGAACGGATACAAGGGATCAATTACTTTGATTAGCAGTGAAGGTTACAACCCAATTGATCGCACCAAGCTTTCAAAAGCACTTATCGACGACGCATCAAAAATCGCTCTCCGCGACGATGCTTGGTTCAAAGAGGGGAATGTTGATTTTGTGTCTGATGAGGTTACTGGCATTGACTTCTCTGCCAAGAAGGTTTCAACAAAGGCTGGCAGTTTTTTCCCGTACACCAAGTTGGTTTTGGCAACAGGTGGAACACCCAAGTCTCTCCCTCTTCCCGGCTTCAAGGAACTCGGCAATATCTTCCTTCTTCGAACTGTCCCTCACGTGAAGGCCATCCTGGCTGCTATCGGAGTCAAGAACAAGAAAATTGTGATTATTGGAAGCTCTTTCATTGGAATGGAAGTTGCAAATGCTGTTGCAAAAGACAACGATGTTACTGTCGTCGGCATGGAAAAGGCTCCCTTGGAACGTGTTATGGGCGAAGAAGTTGGCAAGATCTTCCAAAAATTATTAGAAAAGAATGGCGTCAAGTTCAAGCTCAGCGCTGGAGTGGAGAAGGCCGTTGCCTCCAAATTCGACTCGTCCAAAGTGGGAGCTATTGAGCTCAAGGGTGGCGAGAGCCTACCAGCTGACTTAGTTATCCTCGGAACCGGTGTCGGACCAGCTACCCTGTTCTTGAAGGAGAACAAGACAGTCGAGCTCCAAAAGGATGGATCTCTCAAGACGGACGGACACTTCGCTATCTCCGGATTGAAAGATGTCTACGCGATCGGCGATATTGCAACTTACCCCTACTATGGGCCAGGTGGCGAAGGAGCGCTCACCCGCATCGAGCATTGGAATGTCGCACAAAACGCCGGCCGCTCAGTGGCAGCAAACATCATCGACCCCTCTGCTGCCCCCAAACCATTCATTCCAATTTTCTGGTCGGCGCTCGGCTCACAACTCCGCTACTGCGGCAACACGCCCAATGGTTGGGACGACCTGGTGTTGAAGGGCCAGCCCGAGGAGGCGAAGTTCGTAGCTTATTATTGTAAAGGGCAGACTGTGGTTGCAGTTGCAACTATGCAGGTTGATCCTGTGATGTCGCAAGCGAGTGAGTTGATGCGGAGCGGGAAGATGCCGAGTAAGAGTGAGATTGAGAAGGGTTTGGATATTTTGACCATCAGTTGAGGATTACGGTCTCCTCTGTAGAGGGGGCCGGGTTCTTTTATTTGGCGTCTTGGGAAACAAGCAAAATAAAAGACCCTGCGGAGGCCTTTATGGCAATTCTTGCAATATTCTGACTCCAAATTCGAAGTTCCAGTTTTATATATATCCGTGTGCCCGTTTCAATTGACCGTAAGATGGGGATTCGATTGCCAAGTCCGACGATCGGATGAGCCTCTTTCTTATAACTGACCCCGCCCCGACTACAAGATTCGCGCAAAATTCAATGACCCTTTTGTCAATCAAAATATGAAGTTCTCAGTAGTTGGAACGGGGACGTAGCTCAATGGTAGAGCACCACAGGAAACATCAGGCGTGTCTCGGAATGTGTCAGTTTTCAAACTACTGTAATGCGCTAGTTCGACTCCAGTCGTCCCCAAATTACCTTTTCAATACCTTTTCTTTTTGATATTTAGTTGATTGATTTCATTCTTGGGGGGTTGAAGTGATGGGGAGAGAAAGAATATATTGTGAAAATCACGGGACCCACTTTTGGTGGACGAGCCATGGCCGATTCAACTTTTGTCTTCACAACCGACTTTCTCAATCCAAAAAGTAAAGAACCGCGGGCGTGGTCTGGTACTCAAAAATCACGTGCTTTCGTTGCACATCGCATTCAATTGAGCTCTACGAACGCAAATACAGTCGACTTGAGACCGCATCGACGAAGACGATATGGTCGACTTTATCAAGTTTCTGGTTCCATTATATTCTGCATTCAAACTAATAAATCCTAAGATCACTATTGATAAAAAGTGTCCCAGTGATCTTGGAGAGATTGAGAAATAGTAATTTCATGTAAATGGTGGTTGAGGCGATCGATTTATGAAGTCCTTTTGTTTCGTTCGTCAATTCGTCAATTTGCCCATCAACTCGATCAACCCCGCGATTTAACTTTCGATCCCTTCCCAATGTATACGCCGAGTATCCAAAATACTAAATTCAACAACAATATGTGAAATTTGGAAAGAGCAGTGCTGTTGCACTTCAATTATCTTAATTCTGAATAATAGTGAGGGCAGAGATTTGCAGTTTCGAAAGGACAAAGGGGAATCGAACAAGGGAGTCCAGTGGATGGCTGATAACTGAATTGAAGCATTACTCAGAAGCTTAAGGAACATTCTATGGTATTCAGAGAGTTACATCTTGAGAGAAGATAGATTTTGTGGTATGGAGGTTGAGGCGAGATCCACCTGTCAAATTAATCTTTCGTCGATTCGTTCATGGTCAACTTGACTTTCTAACTTGTAAAAGCGCATCTCTCGATAAATTTCAAAAAGCTATAGGCAATTGCAAACGTTTGCTATAAATGATAAATAGAGCGGTATTGCAGGTTTTGGGTGAAGGAGGGAGGAGGTGGAGTTGAGTTGATTGATTCGTTTTCCGCGGGTTCGTCGATCGATCACCGGCACTTCAATGCGTAGAGATTTCTATCTCGCGATGTGCAACAAAGTAACAAAAACACGTGATATCTCGCAGTCCCAGAGGTAGTGAATCGTGAATGCAAAACAGTTTCCAGGGGGCACGATTGCAACCGTAAACAAGGAGGCTTACAAGCGAACACGTGACTAAATTCTCCTTTCTTTAGATTTTGCCGAAAGCTGTACTTACCCGGTATTTCAGGACCCCCGTGGAGCAGGGTGTTATATTGCGGCGAAGAACACGACAAGGGGGTTCCCGAAGTGCAGACCACTCATTGATATAAGAAAGAGACCCAGAAATATTTCTTCGTCCAATCTATCTTGGCGCTTTCCATGAATGCTCTCCTCTTCATTGTTTCTTTCCCTTCAACGATAGCTATAACAGCTCCCTAAGTTCCTTTCCTGCATCCGCATACCAATCGCAATGTCTCAATTGCTCCGCCTTTTTCTGGCCATAGCCCTTGGACTAGCCTCCCTCGTCCATTCATATTCAGATCCAGGATCCTGCACCGGCGCCTGCTGGGCCCATGACCCAAGCATTATCCAACGCGCCAGCGACGGCAAATACTTCAAATTCAACACAGGAACTGGGATTGAGATCGCGACTGCCGACTCCCTTGCTGGACCTTGGACCCTTCAAGGCTATGTGTTGGCGAGTGGGAGCTCAATTGACAACCCGGGGAAGAATGACCCTTGGGCTCCGGATGTGCACTTGGTGGGTGAAGAGTACTATTTGTACTATGCGGTAAGCGAGTTTGGGAGTCAGGTTAGTGCAATTGGACTTGCAACTAGCCCGACAATGCAGCCTGGGACATGGACCGACCAAGGAGGTGTTGGGGTTGTGTCGAAGAAGGGACAGGCGTACAATGCAAGTGAGTATATCATATTTAATTCTTAAGAATATGAGAAGCTGAACTTTCTCAAGTTGATCCGAACCTGGTTGCAGTTGGCAGCGACTACTATCTCAACTTCGGTTCTTTCTGGGGCGACATTTACCAAGTGAAACTTAACTCAGCAGCAACAAAAGCAACCAGCGCCGCAACGCACAACATCGAGTATGACTCCGCTGGCACTCGACCTTGCGAAGGCAGTTACATGTTCTTCTACAACAACTATTACTACCTCCTCTGGTCCCACGGCATCTGCTGTGGCTATGACAAGTAAGCCAGCCATGAAAATTTAGTCTCTGACCACAGCTGATGGAAGCAGAACTCTCCCAGCACCAGGCGACGAGTACAGGATCATGATGTGCCGTTCTAAGACCGCCACTGGTGGATTTTTAGATCAGAATGGCGTCGCATGCACCGCGAGCGGAGGAAGTATCTTGCTTGAAAGCCACGGAAGTGTTTACGGGCCTGGCGGACAGTGAGCTTTCCTGCTTCCTTTCGCTTTTTCGATATGGAACTAAACCAATCACAGGGGTGTCTTCACAGATTCCAGCAAAGAGTTGGTTCTCTACTACCACTACGCAAACAAAAGCATAGGACTCGGAGACGGAGATTATCGGTTTGGATGGAACGTCCTGAATTGGTCCACCGATGGGTGGCCACAGGTGTAATTAAACCAATCGCAAAGGGCGTTTGTTTAGAGAAGCAAAATCAAGATTTGTTCTTTTGGTTTAGAAAGCCCGGGACCCTTGATCACGGGTCTCTTTCTGTAGATCTTTTGGGGGGGATGGGGACCTGGAGATACGTAGTAGCTGTGACTATTGAAGTGATTCACGACAACACATCGCGTGAATAGCCCTGGCGCGTTAAGTCCGCGATCTGTTATAGGCTGTTATTAAAAAGAAGGCTGGGAATACCTGCACAGTGACGAACTTTACCGTGACTGTGGCCAATGAGAATGAGCGATTTTCGTTGTGTTCCTGACTGACCAAACGAACGACGGCCCCGCTTTTCTTTCCAGCTGTGCATTCGAAACCCTGTTCACCTTGTGATCAAGTCCCAACCACCACTAGTTCACGTCACTTCTTACTCGAAACGGCGACACACGACTTCAACAGATATCCCCGTCCTTTGCTTTTGCGTCGCAATTATGCTCTCAGTACGACGCGCCACAGGATTCGCACAAAAAGAAACATCGAGAAGAGGCAGCGTTTGACAGGGCAAGTCATGGCGGCCGAGGTTGAGGACCTCGAGGCCTTGATAGGCCGCATTCCTGCCTGCTGCTCGACGACGACGCCAGAGCTTCGTTGTTGTTGCGGTCGCACAGATTGCGCATACCTGAAGCACAACTGTGTGGCTCTGGACGACCTCGAAAAGGAAGTGCGGACTGCTGCTCAGCTTGGTCAGGTATGCATTCCTCACCTCTCCACTTTTCGGTTCCCAAGATTACACGACTCGAACAGACTTTTCCCAGGCTTGGTTCATGTTGTGATGTCGAAATTTTCTCTGCAGAGTTTTGCTGCCATGGAGGAAACAGAGGACTTGAGAGAGAGTAAAGGACTGACGTTTGCTTTACAGGCGTTACTTGTCAGACATGAGCAGTACATGCACGATGCCGAGAAGGATCGCCTGGAGATGGGCGCCAAGATCGAGAAACTCGAGTCGGATAAGAAGGCCTTGGAGGAATCGAACGCGAAGAATATCGAGGAGAATCGCGGTTTGTTGAATCAGTTGGAGGGGCTTAATACCACGGTTATCGAGTCGGAATCGCATATTAAGTCGTTGGAGGCTACGCTTCAGTCGACGCGCCAGGAACTAAGGAAACTCGAGGGACTCGCGTCGCGGACTCATGACTTGGAGGTGCAGTTGGCAGCTTTGGAGCAGGAGCAAGAGTTATTGCAGAAGACTGTTATCACTACTGAGGAACAAGAACGTTCGGCGATACATAGATGGAAGAAGGCCGAACGAAGACTGGGCGAACTCCACGACCAACTGGAGAGGATAGAACGTGAAGCGATGGATGAGAGGGAACGACATGTCGAAGTGCTAGGTCGGATGGAGAGGCAACGTGCAGTTGAAAGGGAATTGGATACTGCTGCTGGACGACTGAAGGGTGCAGCGGCGGCTACGACTGGTAACGGCAAGAATGGTAGCAATGTGGTTTCACATTTTGTCAAGGATATCCTCCAGGATAATGCGAATTTGCAGATGGGAATCGTCGAGTTACGGGAGATGCTCATGAACTCGAATGAGGAGGTGCAGATGCTGAGGGAACAGCTCTTACTGCATCAGCCAGTCGTGGAGGATAATGGAGACGGCAGCGGACCTCCGACTCTGAGGGCAGAACTGGCTCCCAAAGAGCCTCCGGAACCTCAGGTCATCTCCCAGGCTCTTCATATCCATCATCATTATCACGCCCCCAAGAAAGAGGAGATTCGTCGACCGAAGAAGAAACGCAATCCCCTCAACACAGCGCTGTTTACTCCGCCCAAGAGCATGCAATCTCCCAGGACACCTAGGGGCCAAGACACGGCGAACGCGATTTTGTCCCAGACAGCAGTCACCATCCCGGCACCGATCACACCGACCAATCGATGGTCAATGCAGTCTGCTCAGATGTCAGACTTTGCTCCTTCTTCGGTACCGAGTTCGCCGCAGTCAATGTACAGACATAGCGGGCTGTTTGATAGAGGATTCGATATCGATTCGTCGAGACCCACGTCTCCAAGTTCAAGTGTCGACCCAATGTCACCACAGTTCCCATCTCGTCACCGGAAACGCGATTCAGAGGTCTCAGCTCGCAGCTTTATACCTCCGAGCAATTTCCAGCCTCATATCATCCACGAAGAAGAAGATGGCGACGTAGAAGAGCTTCCTGATCTCCAGGTCACTGACGACACAACTCCATCGGATTTGTCCCATGACACGGAGGAGCTTACTCACGAGGATGAACCCCATCGGACCTCTCAATTTCAACCTAGTCTCCGACGGACCACATCCCACGAGTCTATCCTTTCGATTTCTGGCATTGACATCCATACTCTAAAGTCCCGCCCTTCACAACTCACAATTACAGGAAGAACCCCCGTGCTGCGTCCATATAGCAAACTTGGGAGCCCATCAACGGCGATTTCTATGGACGGCCTAACAAGCTCTTCCATGATTACAGCACGGCCAACACTCTCTCGCCACGGACAGGACAGCACCACCTATCTGCGGTCTAGCATCGCTAACAACAGCGACAACCGCTCCATCGCCTCTTCCAACCCGATCGAAGGTATCGGCGGGAAGCTAGGTGGCTGGGTTTTCGGGCGATGGGGCGTCAGTCCCGCGAAATCACACTCAGATCTCAGAGGCGCTTCGAGGACTCCAACATCCCAACAGAGAGCTGTCAGCGGACCACCCGTCGATCTGATGCAAGCATTCATGGGTCGTCCACCAGGGATAAACCAGAAAGGTCCAATTCCGGGATTTATAAAAAAGACAGCCAGGACACCGAGTCAAGTGAAGCCTGAAGTGGTCGACCATGACGCATTGCGAGAGATCTTAAGCGAGGGAGGATCGGTGAATTGAGCGGCCAGGACTGCTTCATTGTTCCACGAGATTTTCGAGCATTGAAGGGAAGGGAAACAGAACGCTCCGTGACTTTGGGAGAGGCTATGAATATACGGCCATTGACGGTCACACGATCATTAAAGATTTCCTTGTGTATATCAGGAAAGAGGGGAAGGCATTGCTCCTAATTTGCATGGTTAATTGAGGCGTTTGGGGAAGGCATCGGATACCCTTGCTGTTGGAGATAGATAGATAGTCTTGTTACAGAGATGCAGATAATATAACTCGTTAAACATAGTTCCTTCGGGACGGAAATATTTTGTTGCACTAATTATTTTGGTGATCAAGTGATCGCGATCTTGCGTTTGGTTTGTTCTGCTATTATTTTGTCATCAGTTCGCAGGAAGGGGTATTTTCCCCCCCAACGCTTCGATGTTGCGGCCAAGCAAGCCCCTGAAATGACTTACCAAGTGATGTCTAATCAGTGAAATCTTGGCACGTTGTTACATGATTCGGTTTCTAATCAAAACTTGTCCGCAATGAGTATGTCGAGAGGAGTTACTAAGCCGACTTTGCTCTTCAATAGCCCGCGGCCAGACATGGCTACTTGAGGTTTTGCATCGGGCTCCAATTGAGAGAAGCATGTACCCAATATAAAACCCTAGTCGACCGTCTTACAGGCCTTGTTTTATCTTACCCCGAAGCCTTACCCCTCTCGTGGATCACATGCACCTTGCTATCTAGACGTGTGCGTTGTCAGATCGAGGCAACCGCTAGGTAATCCTGGGGTTATGATCCTGCAGCGGATTCCCCATCCAAACATCCCACTCCTGTCAAAAGAGCCTCACAGTCCCCCACATGGCTCAACGTCTAAGGTGGTTTCATCCCTCGTTTCCCCTTGTATCTCTTTTCTTTTTCGAGCGAACTTAGTATTCGTTAGAGCACGCCCGTCTTGCTACCCTTTTTAGTCGGTGTCACACACAAAATCCACAAACCGTATCTTACCGCTTAACATGAAATCTGGGTCGGACATAACGGCTCACAACTGACTTACTTGTCTTGTTCGGCAATTCGATACTTCCCTCCAAATTCGACGGCCTAGGCCCACCGGCTTTCAGCCATTCCCTTGAATCTGTTTCGATTCCGTCCACAGAAGAGTTGGGCCGCGCTATATGCAGTGAACGGCACGTACAAGAATGCGGAAGAATTTTTTTGGTGTGGGCGGGTGGGCGTCCAAGCGAGCCACTCAAAGCGGCCCTTACTGAGTTGTCTCAAAGTTCCCCTTTGCATTACTCCCCCCCCCCTCCCCCTAATTAAATGTAACAGTGGGTCAAAGTGCAGGGGTTTCTTTTTGTAGAACAACTGGACCGTGCCAGGCTGGTTTTTGCGGGGACCCACTATTACATTTATTTAGGGGGGGGGGGGGGGGGGGAAAAGAGTAGCTGGTGGAACAAAAAATCGTGCATCAGTGGCTTGGTGCTGTGCTGATTGGAACAGGCGACGACTTGTTATTGGCCGTCTCACCGCTGCTGATTAGTCCTTCGCCAGGGGAAACATTCGATGAGCTTGGGCGATTTGCTATTTTTCGGGATGCGCCTGCGCCTGCGCTTTCGATCCCGTCCTCGAAATTCAATGACCCCAGCTGAGCTGGCCCATTGGCTGGGAATCACTACCAAAGCTCAAAGCGAGGCAACTGCAGCTGTTCTATTTGTGCAGGTCTCCGCACCCACCTGCAGTTTGATGCAGCGGATCCAGGACCGTTTTGTAGTCAGTGTCTGGCCCCTCGCCAGTTTGGAAAGGGAACGGTCCCCACTCTTTCTATTACTGGATTAATATATCTGCCTGGGAGAGGCCGACCTATCGAGTGAGAGGTATAGCAGCATGATACGCTACAGTACGATGTCTTGTGGTATATTCTTAGCCTGGCTATGTTCCGGAACTGCAGTGCATCGACACTAGATAGTATTCGAGCATCGGAACGCCCTGTTTCTAAGGAAGTTTGGGACAAGAACTCAGCCGGCTGCAGCTGTAATAGCAAACTCCTGTGGGCTGTTAGAAGAAGTTTGCTGCTGATTGACTCACCACTGGCACACCAATTCCTGTCTTGATAACTAGCTCGCCGTCCGTGGAAGACAATGCCGGGGCTGCTCGGAACCTGCAGTCTTGCGGCAGTCAGCCATTCCGGGATGTCTTTGGACAAAAGGATTACCGATCCTAGATTTCTCTTTCTCAATTGGAGTGAGAGCAGAGAAGATGCACCCATTGCTTGATGTGGCTGTATGGTTTTCAATTTGTAGCGGGTATAAACCGAGGCACGGTGAGAGTTAGTTGGTCGGCATGGGTGAATGGGAGGTAGCAAGTGTTCAGAGCTTCAGCTGACATGAACAGAGGATGTGCTGCATGCGGGAATTTCTGGTAGCTCTATTGTTGGTCAAATCTTTTGACCCCGGGCATCAACTCTCCAGCCCCAAGCCAGAAATCCTCCGCGGTTTCGGTGAGTGTCACACATAGTCCCGCATCCCCTATATAAGTCTCCCTTCCCACCATCAGCTTGCTGTCACAATCGCCACTCCTCAAACTTTGAATCTCCTCGCGGATAGATAGGTACCTTATCAACAAAAGCAATTCGACTTGGCCACTCAATACTTCAACAGTCGACATGAAGATCGCAGAAGAAGTTACTGTCTATGATTCTCAAGGCGAAGGCAGCTCAGGAGCGACTGATACTCAGGCCACCGATCCTGGTAAGAGCCCTTTCACCTCAAGTCATTGCCATCTCTCACACATAGTAGGCTACGGCAAGTAGCTCTGATCCGAGCTTTCGATCTGGTTGAGGGTATGGGTTCGATTGTAAGCTATCAAGGCGAATTTCGTATGCTGCTCATTATTGCTAATGTAATCTGAAGCTAATGGATGGCAGTGCCTTTGGTAATTGGAACTCACCAACAACGCGAAGCAAGTTATGCTGTCGGCTTTCGTATCACAGCCCGGAATCGAGTCGCAATCTCTGTTTAAAATTTCGACACGCACTCTTAAAGAGGAGCAAATACATTAATATAGTCCCTTAAACATAGTTCTTCGTAACAGTAGCCCTTTGATATCCTGCGTGTTTTGTGGTCAAGCGACAACGAGCTTGTGCTCTGGTTTTCTTTTATCCATTTGCTTTTAGATCATTGGAAGGTTTTACTTCTGGCATGGGTCAAGGATTCTGGTTTGTTGTGACTGTTGTGATGGCTCGGCTTGCGTTTGATCTTGATCACACAATGTCTGATGCATAGTATTAACCACTATGTATCTGGTCGAACAATAGTTCTTTAGAATAATGATATTTTGCCGTTTGCTTGTTTATAGTAGCCAAGTGATTACGAATACATTTTTCAATTTTCCTCTGCGGCTACTCTGTTGATCCTTGTGTAGTAGTGTGATAGATGTTTCGACCAATTGGACACTCATGTAGGGACTGTATATTTCGACGTCTATTTGCTTTTGCGAGTGCTGGGAAGTGTTATTTCAGTTCCGTGTCACAAGCTCCCCGCAAAAACTTCTAAGTCGTCACGTCGTAAATACGTAAATACGTAAATGCGAAGCGGAGAACGGGCGCACATGGAGTGCAAGAAGAAGACTGCCGAGGCTCCGACGCAATCAGGGGCGCTCTGTACCGCAAACCGACCTTGACAGGATGTCTTATTGGGTGTTAAGGATTTTGAGCTGGAATTAAACTACGGCTTGCATTTGTGTCGGGAAATTCCTAGTTCCCTTCATCAAGGCTGTACACCATCATCAGCTGCATGCACCACAGACCACCGTGTGGATCGTTCCGAGTGCTATCAGCCGCTGGCGCAAATCAATTGTATTGGAAATGTATTTGAAAAAAGCTTGGATATTTTATCAACTAGATTCATGCAGCTTCAAGGAGATGAAAATGGCAGGAGCAAAGAGAAGAGCTCGCGTGGCATGTCTCGTAATTGCGGTTACAAGGCTCTCCAAGCAGTTGAATACCTGTGATTGGAAGTGCATTACGAAAGCCCTGCCTCCGAAGCCAGTGGCTGTTTTGGGGGCCGATCACTCGAACAGGGGTTCTTGCAGCTTGCAGAAGTACCAAGCGCTGCTCACTGCCGAGTCCCACCACCGCCGATTCGGCGGAGTTTGACGGTGTCCCGAGACTATCCTGCGAACCCCGACGGCCCGGGAAACAAAGGCCGACCAAGTCTCCAAGCGGTGCAATTGTGGTGGTGGGGGTGGCGTGAAGTCAAGGAAGGTCTAAGAGAAAGTAGGTCTATTGCACTTCTTTTCCCAAGAGAAATTTGTTCGTGGGCTAACCGCTTGATGGGACTTTATGTACGGAACCAAGAGAAGATTCGTTCAAAATTCACGTTCGTCTGCGTCGGACGATGTTGGCTCTCGATTCTGGAATGCCGTTTGCCATTACATAGGAGCTATGGGTCTTTTGCAGGCGCGGCGGCAGCAAGGATACCTACAGAACCTACATCCTTACAGAGACGACAGCCGCAAGGTCAATGGGGGTAGCCTTCTTCTGCAGTGAAGCGAACTGATGACTTGCAGCAAGGCCAGCATTGGTCTTTGATTGGTTTCGGAGCCAATATTGGCGAGGTGCTGACTCGTGGTATGCCAACTCCCGTTTCTGAGAGGTTCCCACCGAGTCATTGATCAATTTAAAAATGGGAGCCTCAGCAAAAGGCTTCAGAACTAACCCTAAAGTGGCACTGATGTTCCGCTTGTAGTTAGTGTTTCTATTTCAGCAAAGAAGCCGACAGATACAAGTCGGGCACCGGGTTCCACATACCCTTTCGAATTTGGACCGGCTGATCCTTTCTCTCGGAGCTTCCATGAGACTTTCTCCAATCCAGTGGCCCTGACCGATCCACTAATCAATCTTAGGCTTGATGGTTATAACACCAACGTGCTTTCATGGCCTCATCAAACAGAAAACCGTTCAAGTTTCGAATCTGGGAATCTGGGAAAAGAGCAACAACTTTCCTTTCCAGAACAATGTCAATGGATTCAAGGGTGCGCTGCCAGTTCTTGGCAAGAAGCCGTGATTATGTAAGTGAAAGTTTTGGTATTCGTCTTCTTTGCCTACAATCCTGGGCTGCACGTCAGATTTGGTTCCTTCAAGGTCTCAGGGGAATAGAGTTTCTGCAGTCCGTTGCACGCCCTTCGCCTACCTTTCCATCCCCTGAAATTTATCGGTCATGCTGATGTGGCTACATCTAGAAAGATTTTTCTATCTTACGGGAAGGCAAGACCGGCCGGTATGTCTTAATTAGGTCACTTGGGCAGCAGTGACCACTTCTGCTTGCCCCCTGCCTCTGTGCCAAGTACCAACCCACAAAAGATAAATAGAGGCTGTACACCCACCCATCTGTAGCGTCTTGCGAGTCACTCTTCTTCTCAGTTGGAGAGTTCAACCAAAGCAACTTTACCTCCAGCCGGGTTCGAATTCACATCAAATTGACATCACCACATATTCGTTCATCAACAGCACGCACATTCTCTCCAAACATGAAGATCACAGTGAAGATTACTGTCTCCGATGGTCAGGGCGAAGACGGATCTGGAGGTACTGAGACTCAACCGAGTGATCCAGGTAAGAAACTTCGCTTCAGTTCTTGCGTTAACTCACTCTATCCTCCGAGGTTATGGCAAGTAGCCCGCTCGGTTCTTAGCCAATTCGATTCTGCTGAGCAAAGAAGCCCAGATTTGTGCAGTACGTTTATCTCCCATTATTTTGAGCCAATTTTCTGAGCTGAAGAGAAGCAATGCAGATGATTGGAGGTCTTTACAATAATGAAGATATGTTTTAGATGAGTGCACGTGACCATCACCCAGTGGTCGATGCTTAACGTGCCTTTCACCCTTGAAGCGAATTGCATGTGTCTGAGGTGTCTCTGTGAGATTTAGACGTGGGTTGTCGTTCTGGGAGATGTAGTACAATAGGCTTGTTAAACGTTGGAGTTACATTGTCATTTTAGATGTTTAATAGTCAAGTGATACATGCACGCTGTTATTCTTCTCTATATTTCATCACTTTGCTATTTTGAGAACAAATACCATGTTCTTTCTCTTTTACTTTAAAAATTGGTGCCTACCGCAGTCGAGAAGCCTCGCTGTACATGTCATGCATAGTGATTAGTGACGGGAGAAGCTTGAATCGGGAGATGGCCTCCTTTTCTTCCCATAACCACGCAGTTTAGGACTAGTCCACTGCGGATCGTCATCCACATCGCAAGCCAAAGTCTTTCGATGTGCAAAGACGAAAAGAGGCTTCGCCGTCACAGAAGAACATTCGGACAGCTTAGTGAAAATCCAATGCTGCTCGAAGGTCAAATCGGTTTGCGCACGTTCAAAGTCCAAAGCAGTTGACCCTACCAAATCTTTATCACCGAACCTAGATCAAGAATGACGTACGCCCCGGGTTCCCATGCAACTTTCAACAGAAAACTGCAAATATATTGTATCGCCGATACCCTCCTGCTCATCCCCTACTTTGACACTTATCAGCGAGGGACTGTCTTGATCGGCGCCAGTCGGATCGTCCCTGCCTTTTGCAACACCTGGATGCCGACGCTTCAAGTCGATGCCGGCCTTCCACTGGCAACACGCAGCCTTCACGTATTGTTGCCTGGATTGCTCTTCTTATGATTCGATGAAGAAGCTCGTGACACCTGTCAGAAAAAGCAGCATGATATTGGGCAAGCGGCCACCCTCGCCAAGTGGTTCCGCTAGCCATGCTGTCATCGAGGCCCAACCAGGAAGAATGACCGAAGAAATGAGGCTTTGTGTCTCGGTGCGGCTTCCGCCAATCTGCATGGACTAACCCCATTGGTCCGATTACTCGTAAGGCTCTGCGGCTGGAACTTGCATGGATTTGAAGATTTTATGAGCCGGGGTGCAATGCTGTACACCGTTGGTCGGCATGTCATACATTATTGGTCGAACCCAACCAATGTCATTGTTTCCCCACCACCCTCGCATGCTAACCTCCATTACGGCTTTCCCCATCGGGAGGATAGTGTTCGCCTCGGGGAAAAGTCGCTTTGGAACGTCGTGAGAATGAGTGCAATCTTTCCCTGGGATATGCATACCGAAGAAGTCTTGGTCACCGGCACATTATCTTCGGTGTCTCATGAATTGCAGCCAGTTACCAGTCTTGAAAGTCTTCCTATACTTTCCTGACTTTCACGCAAGAATGATTACACCCGTCCTGCATCTGCCTCTATGTTATGACTACCCTGAAGTGTTAAATGGGCGTTCATCCCCCACAAATTTCCCCCGCAGTCATTTTTCATCTTCCACAGAAGAACCCCTGAGCAATAAAATCTCAGTTGCCATCCTACCCTCCCTTCGCAACATGAAAACAACAGCGGAGAAGTTTCCCTCCGATTCCCAAGGTGGTGGCGGTTCCGATGGAGTACCTAAGGCTCAACCAAGCGATCCTAGTAAGATCTCGATCGCATCTGCCAAAAACATAACTGACGGTCCCAGGCTATGGCAAATAGTCCTCAATTTGAAGGAGGATATGAACTGAAATTTGTAGGTAATGTTCTATCGGTATTTGAGGATCTGGAAATAATATCACTGAAGGCAAAGTGACGACTTTGTGTTTGCTATGGGGAGGTTGATGAACATCGAATGAAATCTCTTGATCGTGAAATATGCCATCTTTTCCTGCTTAGTGAACGCTCTCCCCAATGATTTCAAAACATGATCGCTGGCAGGAATCGTAATTTGTGGATCCCCTAATCTCGGAATGGTAAAGAGAATGGAGATTTCAGCCTTGCCCAAAAGGCTCTCGATTTTGAGCGGGTTTCCCTTTCAGGACACAACCGACACAACAAGTGGTCGTCATTTTCAGATTCTTCTGAAAACCCACCCCCACCTTGTGCAACCTCGTTACCAGCTAGTAATACAACGGTCGCACGAGCCAACTCCACGAGTTCCTCGTGGGGGAACAGCAGCAAAAGCAAAAAGGGCAGCTCCGCCCCCCCAAAGCCGAAGCCTTCGAGGTTAGGTAGCGCAGCACCTATAGAAAATACTGTACTACAGCATGTTTTGACATTCAAATTAGGCTAAGGGAAAAGTGTGATATACGGCTAGTAACAAGTTTGACACTGCTATATAAGAACGAATAGTGAAAATGAACGGCGGATTGGAAAGATTAAAGGAAAGGCAGTTTTCAGGGGCTGAGCACGGGACCGCTCGGCAAAGCAGAAATGTGGGGCGCGTTTCTCCAAACTACCCAACCCTTTCCAAGATCATCCTCAAACTCCCTTTGGCTCACTTGCTTACTAAACCGGCTAAGCCGAAAAGTTTCCATAAGGTGTTATGGTCTTTCTAAGCCTTTGTAATCTCACCTGGAAGAAGCGCCGTGTGAAGGTTAGTAGCAAATAAGGCTCTGATCTGGCCTCTCTTAGTGGCAGTGTGATTCGACCCGACCTCTTGTTAGCCGATGCCGCATAGCAGGCCAAAGCTGTTCCTCAGGATTAAATGGAGATACGAACTTGCAATTTAGAAGCGAGAATGTCTTTGCAGAGGGCAAACCCCGTCGCCCACGGACCCGGTCTGCAAATGGCGTTAAAAAGGCTCCGTGGCTCTCACAACTCCGCTATTATTATCCCTATCCGTCCCCCATAGAGCTTTAAGCCTTTAACTACTTCGAGAAAAACTTTACTACCTAGCCCAAAGACATACCTGACATTGGCTACGATTATATGATATACTCCCTCTGTTACTGGGACCGTGTTGGACCAAATTTAAGTCGCTAACTTGCTATATCCTTCTCACATGCCGTCTTTTGGCGACGATAAGTGAACCAGAAATGATAAGCAGATGTCGATTTCAGGCATAGTGCCTCAGGCAGGGCAGGGATGTTGGAGCATGTGGCTTTCTGCGCAGATAACTCACCGCGAGAATTTCCCCGCTCAAGTATACTTCAACTTTTCTCTGCCACACCTCAACTCCAGCTCTGATGGTCATGTATTGTCTTGAAAGCGTTTGATTGCGCCCACTATCAACCTTTTCCCTCCTTCAGGCTAGTTTATTCTTCGAGCCTCAATCGGCTTGATGCTTGCTCCCAAGCGCCATTACTCACATCACACCACTTCTGTTCCATTATTGCTCCATTTGTGTTCATAAATACCTTTCAAGCTATTTAGCAAGTCTCGCATTTAAGCCTCAAGGATGTCTCCTTCCAGCACAAGCACTACGGTACTCAATGCTGCTCTGTCGGCAGTCGCGATAGCCACTATGCTGCAGCACATGATGAGAGAGACGAGCGATACCAAGGAGGTAGAAGCTCAAAATACTACGAAACACCTTGGACCTTGGTCTTCTGCGGGTAGAAAGGCCATTTATTTATGGAGACAACCCTCACCACCACTTGGTCCTCAGGTAACTGCAAGACTCGCAGACAAATTCTGCGGAATCAACGATGTTCATCTATCACGCGTTCCTCATGGAGAGACGGGGACTACCTGCTGGTCCATACTCCTTGGCACGATTCACCCTCGAGCCCTCTCTATCGACTTCTCTGAAACGGTGCAAGGGAAAGCAGTCACGAGAACAAATGTCTCCAACGACTGGTCCCAGATACATCTCGTCGCTCTGGTGAACCACGAGTCACAATTATGTGTTAAGATTTCTCGTGCAACTCTAATGACTCTGTTTGCACTCACCAACGCACGTCCGATCTATCGCTACTCCTCTGCAGCAGGCCATCGCTCTGCTTACCCCTCTTATTGCGGGCAGTGGACCATTTCATGGCCGATTGGGAAGCCTTGTGTTGTGCGCTTTGCTCCGCATGACCGTCACAGTGCTGCTACTGACGTCTACCCACCCTCTCTCCCAGCACGGGTTAATAAATGCGTCGAGATGATGGCAGGCATAGTCTCAGATGGAGCCTGGAAAGTTGCCTTTCCGGGACGCGCAAAGCACGCAGGGCCATGGCTTTTGCAAGAGCGACCAAAGGGTTTCGGAGGAGCACATGGCACTCGGCACTTGTATAATATGCAGGGTGGAAAGGTCTTCGAAGTCGATTTGCTTGCTCTGGTACCATGGACATTCAATGAACATGAAAACGCGGTGAAGCTGGAGATCCCGGCCTTAGGAGAGGCGACCAATCATGCCGTTCTATATGTCCCTAAGCATGAAGCACAGGTTCTAGCAAAAGCTCTTGACTGCCTACCTTGGTCATCGCTACCTTGGTCTCTTCATCGGGGGCTGAAAGATGTTCTTCTTGCTCATGGCAAGCCCGTCATGAACCAGTATCGAGTGCAGTTAGCGTCTGGGTTTCAAGCTGGCGTTCTGGCAAGTAGGGCTGCATTAATCGAAAGAGGTTGGGCATCAGAGCTTGTTGATGGGCCCATGGCGAGCATGGCAGAATCGGCAATTTTATCGGGGAGCGGTAATAGTGGAGATGTGGTCAGAATTGTTGTTGCGATCGTGGAATGTCTGCTTCAACGTGTCGGAATGGTGGACAAAGTTAACCTAGACAGGACTGATTTTTGGTCCAGGCAGCTAGAGACCTCAGGCAGTTCTGGACTGGCTGCATTCTATGCTGGAGAGCAGTTTCGTGCTGCTGATATGGATATTCTTGTAGCGTTGACAAAGTTTTTTGTGCTGGAGTGGTCACAGGAACTCGACTACCAGCTCTACCATGATCTGCCTGTGGAGATATTGTTGGCTTAGACTGTCAACCGCATTAGCTTTCTGGTCCAATATCTCTTCTTTTGAAAATGCAAGCAAATTCCGCGAACCAGCAACTTTTATTTATTCTGTTCTGCTTCGAGATTAATGATATTCGTATATAGCTTCCGAGGTTGTTTGCCCTTTGTTCTCGTCCTTGCAGCGTTCTGATATTCTGCCCGGTAGTTTCAGCTCTCCCCTTTTTGCAATTACCGAGCTTGTCATCTTCCATTCGCACATCCCCCTTAATGCTCTTATCCGAGCCCTAGCCAACGGTCTCAGCAGGGAGTCGGTTACGTGCTTCCTCTGCTTTATTGTTTGAGTTGACGCTTGCGCAAATAATCTACCAAAACTGTAACATTCGCTAATCAAGTCATAAGCTACTTATTAGTCTTCAGCACTTTACAGGGATATGATTAGATTAAATACGCTGTAGTCGCAGGACTTTCTGCCGCGATCCTCGGAACGATGTTGCTCATTTAGCATTGTTGATGCCTGAAGTCTACAGTACGGCTCCAACGAGCTCGAGATTCCGAATGCCATCTGATCATAGTCGCGTGACAATTTTCGAATATATATCTTGACCTTCTCTTCCACATCTAGAGTTTGTGCTTTTTAGTTTAGGATCTTCGTATAGACCAATTCATTAATTTGTTGACGTTGCTACACTCAATTAAAAATTGTAAACAAGCCGTCAAATTCGCAAAACGGGTTTGCTATAGACCGGCTCTGCTGACAAGATTATAAGCTAAGGAGAAGAAAGAGGAGAAAATCGACATATATCCGCTGTGTAATTGACTGGGCATGCTGACTGGAGGCAGGATTTGGAAAGGGGCCTACTGGACGTACTTTGTGGCCAAGGGGCTGGCACTTCTCATGTTTTGATCTGTGGATGTTCAGTTATGAAATAGTTTTCAACCAAACGGACCCCTGAAAGGGTTTCCAGTCGTTCGCTGATTCAAGACTCGGAAACACCTATTATGAGAACGAAATCATATGTGCTGGGGAGACGGGGGGATTCCCTGCTGCAGATTGCGGGTGATTTGTTGCAGAAGCTGTTTTCTCCTCGCTTGACGAAAGTCGAAAGAATAGGGGGAGTTGACCGAGTCCAAATCCAGACTAGTCCAACTTTTTCCATGCTTCTTTCGCTCCGTTAGTTTGAGGTAATTGGATGCACTTCCTTTTTAATGCTTTAACTGACGGCTCTGTCAAAGGCGAACCATTAGATACCTCCTATTCGAGCTTCAATAGCCATTTTGTATGCTGTGTCCACCACACCACAGGTGCTGAAACGAGGGAGATCGACAAAACGAGGACACGAATTCGAGCTAACTATTTCTCATTAGCCTATTCTAAACTTTCGGCTTGCATGAGGCGTTCTTCTTGGTGCAGCTCGATATCTTCGTGGTCATAAGAATGACTTGGATCAGGCGTTTTACTGCCGTATCCCGACATGGATGATGTTCACTTATCCCTCTCCATGTATCTCCTTACCGACCTCTTTCGTTCAACCCCTAGGGCAAAAGCTGGCACCTTTCAGTCCTGGCTGTGCAATATTGGGCAGTCGAACACCCGCGTCAAATTAAGAATACCTGATTGCGCGACCCCATGTTGTCTTGAAGCGACGCAACCACGAGACTTCGGCGAAGTGAGGATTTTTCTCAATTTTGTGTATTTGATATCTATCGCTTTGTGTAGATGCCAGGTCTGCGGGTAGACGGAAATCAGGTGTGTCTCCTAAATTTCTGGAAATGCCGTTTTGAGGGATTTGACTGGAAGTGGTTTTGCGGGGCAAGTGTGACGGATGAGTTCTTTGAGAACCGAGCGGACTATTGTAGGGTCTTCATGCGGAAGCTACTTCCAGTTGACTGATTCGTAAAACGATACTTCTCTATTGACTCAATCCGACCAATCTCATGGTGTTGCCTGCACCTACATGCACCCACCTCATTTGTGGCGTTTTTTCACTCTTATTGCAGCTGGCATGCCTGGAACATCATGAAAATGGAAATGGACACAGTAGTGCCCCATTCGCGGGTGCACACCTAACAGGTCTGTGGTCACCGATGCATTGCATTTGTTATCTAAAGCACTTCCTCCAGTCAGACCGCTTATAGCACTATTCGGGTGTGCATTGAAGAATGACCACACCTACTTGTTCATCACGTCGCTGCATAGCAGTGACCCCGACACATAAATAAACGTTTCTCACCCAGGAATGATCTTTATTACCCGCCCGTCTTGCAATTTCTAAGAAAGCCATACAACTACAACTTCAACATCCACCCCAAAACGCAATCCAACTTCAACCTCCGACACTTCCACCGCAACATGAAGTCCGTACCAGAGGGAACATCTTTCTTGGGTGTCCAGGGAGAGGAGAGCTTGGAAGTCGGAACTAATGTTCAACCAAGCGATCCAAGTAAGATCAAATTCACATTAGCCAAGAACATGACTGACGGTGCCAGCCTATGGCACATAGTTCTCCACGGGAGTTCTCACTTTGACGGATGGTACGAACTGAAACTTGTAGGCCACGAGAATCTAAGAGTAACGGTGGGGAAAGCAATATGACGTATTTATGTTTGCAATGGGGAGGTAGATTAAGCATCAAGTGAAAACACTTCGTGAGATATGCTTCCTTTTCTGGCTAAGTGAATGCTTGTCTGTCCATTACCTTCTAAGCGTGAGCTCAGGAAGAGAGAATAATCTGTACCGCCATAAGTTTTCGCAATATGGAAAGAGAACGGGGATGCCGGCTTGCCTCGAGGCTCTTGATTCGAGTGAGGTGTCACCGGTGTGTCGACAATTAAGCGAGAGGAAGGGGAGCTGCCGCGAATCTGCAAGCCTGACTTGATTCGCCTGTGCCACCTGCAGCGAATCTCTATAGTAGTCGGGCGTAGAAGGTTTGATGTTATATTTCTTTGTTCATCGCGCTAAGCGAAGGCAGAATGCTCTGCAGCCCCACTTTCTCAAGCTTTCTCCCACACCTTTTCCACCATTCGACATGCCATTGACAACAGCGAATGCCCATCTATTTTTATAGGATCCACTAACTAAAGACTCCCAAGGACCACTATTAGTAGCATGAATCACATCATGCCACAGCTGCATGGCCCTTGTGCACGACCCTTGTTAGGCCCTGTTCGTTTTCCAGAATTTCACGAAACTGGGTGGTTCCATTTGACGAAATTACAAAAACGAACGGGGCCTTAGACATTGCTGTGTATAATGCAGGCCCGAGACCAGAAACCTGAGAGCTCAATCTGCAAATCACCAAATTCCAAAACTGAGGAGCTTTCTTCAAGAAGTCAGTGAGGATAAACCACCAATAATGTCTAACCAGGAGCTAAACCTGGGGGGCTGAGTGGGCAACTGCTGCAACCGCTACAGCGTTTTATGACTATGAGGCTCGGGCTAAAGGTGACCTGGGTGTTACGACAAACAACTTGATTGAGATTGCGACAGGAACGGATAGTGAAAATCAATGGTGGATTGGAAAGCTCAAGGGGACCGCAGAAAGAAGAACAGGGGTTGGGCACGTGATCGCTCGGTAAGACGGAGAGTGGGGGCATCAGCATCTCCAAATTACACACCAGACACAACCCTGTCAAGCTCATCGTGAAAACCTCCTTTGACTTCCAACCCGGCCGGCCGGAAAGCCTCAACAAGGTGTTATGGTCTTTCCAAACCTTGGCTGTCTCACCTACAAGAGGCGCCGAGTGAAAGTGAGTAGAGAACAAGACCGAGGTCCTTTAGTGGCTCTGGTGGCTGACTGCGACCAAAGTGTGATTTGACCCGGCCTATTTGCGGCAGATGCAGCGCAGGAAACCGAAGTTATTCTTGGGTATCCAGTGGAGATACGAGCTTACCGTTCAGGAGCGAGAATATCTTTGCTCAGAGCCAGCCCAGACATCCGCGAAGCCACGCAGCTAATTGCCAGTCACGGGACGCCGTTGCTCGTAAAAGAACATTCTTTTCGCTTTCACCTTCCCTGCCTATCTCCATAGAGACTCAAGGTTTCTATTACCTTGGAAAAAACTTCACTGCTTGGCCCAAATATATGCCTGATATTGGTCACGATTATATGACATAGTCTCTCTCCCATTGGAATCGCGCGGGACCGGGCTCAAGTCTCGAACTTGCGGAAACAGCCTTTTCACATACCGTCTTTTGGCTACGAACGCGAGCACCCAAGACTCTCGAAGATGCAGGCAGGTTCTATGCCCGGACTATCATTCAGACGCAGAAAGCGATGAAAGAATTGTCGAATGAGAGGATCGATCATCTTGTTGTTGCGACTTTATTGATGACAAACTACGAGGTCTGCTATAGGACATCTCTCTTGAGAGGTTGGAGAGCGTGAGTTAACAGCTTTATAGAACTTTATGTATAGAGCAAAGAGAAGATTTGTCCAAAATCCACATTCTTCCACGTCGGATAGTGTTAACTCTCGATTCTGGAAGACTGTTTGCCATTAAATAGGAGCTATTAGTCTCTTGCAGGTACGGCGGCAGTGGGGATACCCACAGAACCTACTTCTTTACAGAGCTGTTTGACGACCATTGGTAGGTCGACTTGCCGGCATCCTTGACTTGCGTCGCATTAACAAGAAACCTCTCCCAGATCCGAGCATGAATTCTCCGCGGTGATACCGTCCAAGAATGGCTTCAAGATGGTGCATAGTATGGTGAAGAAGGTCCCGCATTGAAACTTGATGATTTGATGATTTGAGTTGCCGCTCTCCGATCCAAGTCATTGAAGATCTTTTGTCAGAAGAACCTGGCCCGGCTATTACAAACGGGCATTGCAGACGTGGTAACAGAGGCCCACCACCTCGACATTGCGCTAGCAGAATGGCCAATAGACCTTCCCGAAGAATGGAAATTCTTAGTCGCCTCCCTTGAAGAAGACCTGGAGCCAACGAAATCCGACCTGATGTACAACGATTCTGTTCATTACTGCGCAACACACGGCCATGCAGCTGTCTGGATGCGGTTCATGGCCGTTTGGCTTATTGCGAGCAGCATCTGCCTGCGCTTGCTTTCTGCTCTTCCCCAGTGCATATTCGAAGGACTGTCGACAACTGCGCAAATAAAGGCTTGCCAGGAGAACATAAACCTGCTGGCAACCAATTTGCGTTGCAGCGTTCCTTTCTTCTTTAATTCCGACGACATACATCACGACCCAGAGTCGCCGACTTTCAGAATCAACAACAATCTCACGTAGCGCGAGATCTTACCCAAGATTGCAACACTTTTGTCTTAGCCATTGGCTATAGTTGTCAGCACAGAAGCCGCTCCGGCGACCCAGACAGAGTAGCTAAAGCGAAAGCTGAAGGTCGTTACAGGTGTTCAAAGAGAGACCATAGTTCAATCCATCGCTGAGACCGAAGAGCTCAAATTCTAGCTGCTTTGCTGGTTGAAAATGAACATGTTGGACCTAGAACATCCCCGGGTTGCTTCCGGTCGCTGGCCGACGGGCATATGGCCCCTTGAGTTGTGCCACCTATCAATGCCGCCGATTCATGTTGATTCCCCGAAGAGGCATGCTTGATCTCACAACACGAATCATCCGAGTTTTCGATACCATTGCAGCACACAACCGCGCGAGTTTGAGCAATAGGAGCAGGAGGGGTAGCTCGCAGGTTTTCTCGAAAATGCCATAGGGCAGGTCAAGCCCTTGAGCGGCAATAACGTCAAATACGTAACAAGTCAAGCCCAGTTGCTGTCGGACTGTCAGGTTCGCTGAATTCTTTCTCTCGAAGTTTCCGAGCCGCCTCAGCCTCACATTATATACGAATGGCAGCAACAAGTTCCTAGTTCTCGGCGCCACCGGCCATCAGAAATCTCTCTCCTCCGCGAACTACTCTCCCGAAAACACAACATCATAGCATACGTGCAAAATCAATTCAAGATCCCCAAGGACCTCGCCTCCAGCCCGCTTCTCGAGGTACACACCCTCAGCGCCCAGTCTCTTTCCCAGCTAACAAATTGAAACAGGTCATCAAAAGGCGAAATCACGGACAACTCTGCCCTCTCATCCGCCACCGCCAAATTCTCTACCATCGTCTCGCCCCTCGGCCTCCAGTAATGCGCAACTACCGACGGGTTGCAGAAGATCATGGCTCTCAAGCGCGAACACGGCGTGAAGCAGATCCATGCTCCGTGCGCTGTGGCCTCAAATCAGGAGGAAGATAGCTTCCATTTCGTTGAGTGGATTATGGTACTTATTGCAAGGGTGGTTTTTCGAGAGCTGTGTATAACTGCGAGATTAATTGAGAAGGTATTGGGGGAGGAAGGGCAGGGAGTGGAGTGGACGGTTGTCAGAGTTGGTCATTTGTGGTGGTGATGAGGAGAGTTGGAAGATGCGCAGGGAGGATGAGAAAAATGCCGGGAGTGTCGGAGAAAAGGATTTGGGGATCGGGACGGGGAGAGCAGCGTTGGCGAAATGGCTTGTTGATTGCGTTGAAGGGGCCCAAGTTGTGTGGGTGGGAAAGATGCCGGCTGTAAGCACGGCGAATGGTAAGAAGAAGAGCGCATGGGGGCCGCAAAAAATAGAAATAATTTAGAACCAATCTATTTCTCATCCTCACCGCAGTTGTGACTAATTCCCGAGGGTTTGTGGCTGTTTTATCAGCTTCAGCCTCTAATTCAAAGTCTGTCACGATTATGTGCCTTCGATTAAAGGGGTTAAGCGAGACAGCTTCAACGAAGGAGAACCCAAAAAAAATGCTTTACTTCAACTCAACACAGAAAGAAAGTTAGTACTTACAACACAGCTACTGTTTTTGCGCTACCACATCCAATTAAATTCCTGGGCCCGATGTCCCCTGCTCTTCACTGTGCCCCCCTAAATGATTCCCTCTGCTCACCAGGTGTCACCATCACCTGGCTAATCCGCTGTTAATATTTTGAGATGTCACGATAATTAGTAGTAAATATCTGATACATACCGCTCATTGCCCTGGTCTTTACATGCAAGAGACACTCGCAGCCCAGATCACAAGGTCACCGAAGCAACCCTGGATGCAGGACTTATCGCAGGATCGACCCGAGGTACGATGAGCACACGGTTTGAATCTCCTCTGCGTAGGTAGTGCTTAACGCTAGGCCAAGGCACTGTTTTTAGGTCCTCGCAGAGGGTACCGTGCTTAGAGTGTGTAGGTAGTTTCGCCCAACTGATCGCTACCACTCCGGAGGCGATGGCTGTGAAATGTTAGTAAATCTGCAAATTGAAAGGGGTTGGGGATTGAATTGGCCACTTGGCCATAGAGTTGAGTTGAGTAAAGCGCTGTGAATTTCGTTAATTTAAAATATAAGACGAGTAGGCGAAATATTGAATGTGAGACGGAATCGGCCTCGAGGTTGATGCTGAGGCAATTTTGCACCACTTCAACATCAACAACGCGGTAAAATGGATTGAAGGAACCCAGAATACAAATAATCTGCATATAAAGAAGTTGTAGACTAAAATTTAGACGTCGTTTAGCTGTGCAAAAGCCAGATGCCTCTTCGCCTCCCAGTTCCGGATGAGTTGTTATCTCGCCATCACTTCTCAAGATTGACGTCTCAAGCAGCTATCAGCTTCTTTTCAAGTAACATTTGCGTTGCCAGCATAGGAAACATCCTCCAAGTCATCGCCAAATCTCGCTGTCTTGTCCAATCTACCCTACTCGCCTTCTGTCCCACGGCCAGCATATACCCTTAACTTCTCCACCTAACCCACTACTGCCTCACACCGTTTTCGCCTTCAAAAGCGCCCCATATACCTCAACACAGCTCGGCAATATTGACCAGCTCTATCCTGCCCCATTGCAGAGCGTTGTGCCGGAGAACTGCATACATTCTCTTCGATTCGCCCCGATCGTAACACACCTTAACCGGAATTACATCAAATCCTTTCATTCTTGAACCAGACTCTCAAACGCCTCCTTAACTCTGTTCTAGATCCCCACAAGGGTGTTCTCCGTTACGCACCGGCACCTTGCTAGAGCAACGTCGACAAGTGTATCAGGTGATGAGATGCCAATCCGAGGGATATGAAAACGGGATGACGATCGACCTTCAATCTCGTGTTCCATGGCAAAGAAATGCTCAAGTCAGGTATTTGGCTCTACATTTATGCCACGGCTGCAGAGACGTGGACCGAACGGCGTCGGAGTGTTCGGGATCCACAATATCTGGATTTTCAAAGCCGTGTGCTCAACAGAGAAAACTAAGAGGCGAGAGCTTGATGATTGAATGGGCGAGTTGGGAAAAGCACAACAAGTGAAGATCATGAAGTTAAGCGAATATCTGGAGAAAGGGGCCCGCAGCCATGATTCTCTCCGTCTCCGTCCCTTCGACTGCCTCCTTGACGTGAAGCCCGTCTACCTTCCCTTGTCACCTACCTAGCTGGCTAACCCTACTGACCCGCCAGAGTATAGGCCGGAAGTGCGAGAGCCAGCGGATATCAAAAGGCATATCGAAGCGGTCGAGAAGAAAACCATAGAGGCTCTGCCGCGGATCAAGAAGCAGGGGTTGTTGAGAAGAGAGTGGGTTCCACCGATGTTTAAAGGCACGGAATGGAAGGTGAGGCATCCGGGAGGCGGATCCTTAGGTGGATTTCGGCGGAGAGATGTCCTTGAATGGAATCGTCAAGCTAGGTAAGGAGTGGCAACCACAAAAACTGTGTGGTAGAGTGGATAGCTTAACACTTAAGTAAGTCGGGAAATTTCTCATCACTTGTGTCTTGGTCTGTTCAGATTCAAACAAATCCCTTCCACAAACAAATACCGATCCCCAGCACCATAGTAGAACAACCAACAAGGAATCGCATCGTAGCCATGGGCATGCTGCTCGTTTGTGGAAGTTACTGCTCGGATGAAGACAAGTTCGGCCATGATAAACGTTGTCCAATTTGTCTGCTGGACCGAGTAACGGGAGACTGGGATGAGCATAGGAAGCATGAGAAGAGTGTAGAGAATACGGGTTCGGAGAAGACGAGTCCGGGTTCCTTCATGGATCAGGACCCGCAGTCAGGAACAAGATAGACGACCCCGACGAGGCAGATCGGATACTCCAGGAGGTTCAGAAAATTGATCCCCAGACGCTAGGACCGTCGAGAGCGATTGATTTAAGAATGAAATGGTAGTGTATTGCGAATCAAGCTTACGAGAATGGGAGTTCTTGCCATTCCAGCAACAGCAAAGCTAAATTCTCACGCCCGACGAGAGAGTGAACTTGGCACTGGCTTCAACGAGGCTCTCAAGATTCAAAGACGGAGACGGAGATCAAACGGGTTCAAAAGGCAACGTGCGGCTTCTCCACTCAAGAAATATGTGGAGAAGGTCTTCACCTCCAAGAGTTCGGCCCCAGAAAATGCGAGGACACGCGACATGTCTCTGAACAGCCAGCTGAGCGGAGAACAAGTCACGAGACCTGCCAACTGCTTTGTGGAAAATGTCAACATTTTGTTTGACAGCGAGACAATTAGCTATGATTCAGAAGAATATTGGATTGCGTTGCTTTTTCTTGGTGGCCCCTCGAAACAGTCCAGGAGGCTGGCCTTTTACGGATGGGATCTGCGACACACATGACAGGCCCTCCATGGCATGCCAGCGCCTCTGATTGATCCGACGATTGATGAACGGATCTTCAAAACATCTGGCGTTTGGGATGTGGCTGACGATCACGTGCCGCCAACAAACTCTGTGCCTCTCGGAGACTTGGAGACTAGAGATTAGCCGAATTATGCGCCGGGGGTGAAGCTTTCACAAGATTTGATGTCGTTTATCCACGTGGAATAATAGACTTTCTTGCCTTGAGATGAAAGTCAATGGCCGGACCCTGGGTTCTTCGGATGATCTGACAGGCTTGGCAAGAGATGGAAACATCAGGGCACAGCGCCACCGCGATGCCGATGCAGATGCAGAGAGCTGCCATCGGCAGATGAGGTCATTTCGCCCCAAAATAGCACGGCGGGCGTAGGCGTAGGCAATCGAACCGAGTGGCAAGCAAAGGTACTGTAAGGGCGAGGAACTCTTCTTGGACCGAATTGTTCAATCAACCCGAACTTGAAATGCAGTGTGGAGTATAGAATTTTAATATTATCACTTGCGCAAATGACCAAATCTCTCTCTGCCTGCTGTGCGCTTGAACTTTGCAAAGGATTGAGAGTGGACTTAGGTGCTGGGCACAACCCTCTCTGGTCCACACTTCCCCTGCACTAAGAAACAGAGCCTTTCAACGCCAGCAGCGAGAGCGCAGATCACGATACGAAGAACAGCCGACCTGCCCTGCCCTGCCCCCTTCCACCTTTGCCATTGCCTCCGACTGGCGACACCGCGACCTGAGGGCTTCTGTCATTACGGTTGTATTGATGTTTTCGCGTCTTCAACAGATTCCAAGGACAAGGGCTTGAGATCCCCCGGAACTTCGTGCGTCAAAAAGCGGCTGCTGTGCGAGCTGTGGGCGTCTGCAAGGCCCCTCGATTCGATTCGCAGGCCTGCCAGGGCACACCCCTGAACGCTCCCGTACCTGGCAAGCCCGTCAAAATTATCAAGGTTCAAGGTCTTGGCGTTCTTCTTCCAGCAATCGCCTCCTCTATCGCCAACACCAACGTCGTGGTCTTTCTTGACCAACACTTCTTCAACCTCACTCCAACCTTCGATACGAACCCCACACTCGTTTTCTGTACTCCTCGGCTTCGATCTCGACTTGACGTCTTTTGGATACCGCCGCCCTTGTTTAATACTTCGCTCCTGGCTGGAAACCTCCATTTCGCGCCCCTTCCCTTCCCAGCCCACCAAACCACACACTTCGAACTTCTCCAAACACACGATCAGCGCAGGACCCTCGCAGATATTGAAAGCACTTTCTTAGAAGTAATATCTATTGCATAGAACATCACACTCCTCGCTTCTTCGAACATTCCAGCGCCCACACTTCGACTCGGGCGACGCAGCAGATGACAGGCACGTTTTGGATATCGTGACCTTACTCTTTTCATATCCTCACAATGGCATCCAATGGCTTTCTGCGGCCTCAACGGCCACCGCACATAACTGTTAACTCGGGAAGGGGTGGAAACATACTGGACAGCATGAGATTAAACACTCCGGATTCCACAATATCGCCCGGCTCACCAGCCACACCGGGATTGTCGAGACAACTATTGCCTGCAGAGGGATCCGCATCAAGTGGGCCGTCGCGGCGGATAGCTGGCCCTCCAATCTATGGCTCCCCGAACGTAGGAGCATCGACAGAAATGTTACTCCCACCTTCAAAGATAAGGGTACACCGACCATACCAAGATATGCCCGAAAGCTTCTCACGCTCCACCTCGGCGATGTCATCACGGCGAACAAGTTTCAGTTCAGATGCTGGTAGTCGAGATAGCCGCTATGGACCATTTGCTTCTCCATTCGACGATTCTAGAGCTCCTTCGAGAGCGGGGAGCGATGACGACAACATCAACACACAGACGGTCTCAGAGAAATACAATATCATGCCATCTGCGGGACTTTTACTCTTTCCAGAGGATGTAGAGAAGGACGATTGGTTACATAATCCGGATCCGAATGACAAAGACCGAGAGAAGTGTGACATATTTACCAAGAGAGGACTTTTGAACGTTGGAGGTTTGGCCTTCATCACAATTGGGATATTGGTACTATTCATTGGATACCCAGTCTTGTATGAAACCCCTCCCTCTTGGTCGGCGTTCGAAGCTAACTCACAAAAGAACATTTACACGAAAGATACCAACAGCCAAATCCTGCTCAAGCGATCCCGGTTGTTTGTCCGACAAGCTGCCTTTGCTCAAAAATCAAAGAACTGGGCTAATCGATCCTGATACACCGGTATCCGCGTACAGCAAGAAATCGAATGACGGGACGACTCTGAAGCTTGTGGTAAGTTTGTGGTGGCTGGTAATCTGACATGTGCTGATTGTATAGTTTTCCGATGAATTCAACACCGATGGACGGACCTTCTACGATGGAGATGACCCATATTTCCAGGCCATGGACATCTGGTATGGTGTCACGGAAGATCTTGAATGGTATGACCCGGATGCTGTTACGACTGCCAACGGGACACTCAATCTCAAATTCGACGCCTTCCAAAATCACAACCTCAACTACCGGTCCGGCATGGTGCAATCATGGAATAAGATGTGCTTCAAAGGAGGTCGATTGGAGGCTAGTCTTTCCCTACCAGGAAGTGGTGAAGTCGGAGGTTTCTGGCCTGGATTTTGGGCGATGGGCAACCTTGGAAGACCTGGATTTGCAGCCACAACAGATGGTCTATGGCCATACAGCTATCATGACAAGTGCGATGCCGGAGTCACCGCAAATCAGAGCTCTACCGATGGAATCAGCTGGCTACCTGGCATGAGGTACCCAGCCTGTACCTGCAGTGGCCAAGAACATCCCTCCGCGGGTAAATCACGTTCGGCGCCTGAAATCGACGCCATAGAAGCTTCAGTTGCCTTTATGGGTCCTGGTGCAACCGGCGGCGCCACTGGCATGGCATCTCAATCCTTCCAGGTCGCCCCGTTCGATATCTTCTACACTCCTGATTACAACTTCATGGAGGTCTATGATAACGCAGTGACATCCTTGAATGGTTATAGGGGTGGACCATACCAGCAATCCGTATCGGGTCTGTCGTGGCTGAACAACGAATGGTATGATGGGAATGCATATCAAACTTATGGTTTCGAGTACATTCCAGGGAGCTCGGGAGATGTGAGCTGGTTTGTTGGGGACGATTATACCTGGAAGGTAGACCACCGAGCGCTCCGACCAAACGGGAACGTCGGCCAGCGAGTGCTTCCGCAGGAACCAATGTCCGTCGTCATGAATTTCGGCATGTCACCCTCTTTCTCAACCATCTATATGGCGAATATTGCCAAGTTGCTGCCAGCGACCATGCGGTTCGATTATATCCGAATCTACCAAGATCCAGACAATGAGATGGTTACTTGTGATCCTCCTGGTTATCCAACAACCTCTTTTATCAAAGCTCACCCTGAGCCTTGTACGTATCCCTTTTGGACTAAACTAGATTTGTGCTAACACGAATAGATGCCAACCCTAATATCACACGATGGAGCGACACGGGCTACCAATGGCCTAAAAACAGTCTTGTCGACGGTTGTTCAACATGACCCTCCACCTCTGTTTCATAAATCAACAACAAACCTTGTACATTGTACATTTCGAACTTTCACATTCTCACTCAATACGAGAAGTGGTATGAACTCACACACATCAGACGGAAACGAACATAGAACGGCGGACACATCACCAAAGAATGCAGTCTTCCTTAATCAAATTAAATCAATTCAAATCATTGCATACGGAGTCGGCGTTGCCATCCCCTTTTCAGCATAAATTTGGGAGGCTCTTTTTCACAAGCGGTTGTACAATCAATACCATTGCTGTTCCTCTTCCTCTTCCTTTTGTTTACAAGCGTTGGGTAATTAAACTGGGTTGGATTATTGGGCAAAGGCCAAAGGAATTCTTTGGTTTACTAGAGGATGGGATGGGATGGGATAGCTCTAGATGAGTTTTGCGTTTTACGAAACGGCTGGATAGATACATACATGCATGGAAGGACGCCCTTATGATAATTGATCGATAGACGACAATGAGCGCTTGCAGGGACAAGATAGAGAATGAGCGAAGGGAGAGGGTGTATTGTGTATAGAGAGGGGGAGAGATAACAAGAAACAATAGAGTATCAAGATGGTTCAAAACCAGCCGATTGCGCTTGCTTAATCTGTGTGAGATAATGAGGACCTGAGGCTGGTAAGTGAACCAACAGAGTCTTGCAGATACAGCCTTAGCAGCTTTATATCTTACTAGTGGTGGCTCAGCAAGGCTGGATCTTGAGGTTATTCAGACTGCATCCAGCAAGCCTGCGAAGGTGGTGTTCAAAGGAACGCCCCCACAAAGTGTAGCTGTCGGCTTCGGCTGTAACAACATTCGACTCGAGGGATCTGTGATATTGCATATCCAATGGATCCTTTCGCAATCGCCTCTACTGCTACATGCAAATTCAAATCTGAGAGCAAGCATGTGACTGGTGTGGCTAACGTCAAGTTTCGGCTCCAAGTGTACTTACTTTCCTACGACCAATTTCAAAATTGGTTGGTTGGGGCTTGAATATCGCTGATGCTATAAGCCCTACGGGTTATCCCGAGGAAGGTGTGCAGACGATTGAATGGTTCAAACGGCAACGCATGCTTCCGGGTGACTCCTACCCCAGCCGGAAGAGTCTTCCTCTTCCTCAGAGGAAGTCGGAGATAAATGCCGGTGCAGCTTACCTCTTCCAAATTCATATGGCTATGACGTCACAACTTTCAAAAACTCTAGGAGAAGTGTCCTCTCGAGAAGAAGGGAACATGTTGTATTCTTTCACTGTACCATGAGGGAACGACGAAGAAGAGAAATCGCTTCGTGCCGCAATGCCTCAAACGGGATACTTGAAGAGTCAGAACGATGACCGTCTAATCGTAACAACGGGGAGTGAAGCAGCTGCAAAATACTGCTTGAAGACTTCGATGCTGCATCTGGAGGTAAAGAATGTTGTTTTGATCGTTGAATGCGGTGGGCAACTGTCGATTGTCAGGCCTATGAGCTCACCAGTGCAAGTCCTTGCTCATTTCCTAAGTTTACTCTCAGCTCTGGAGACACCCGCAGGTTCGTCTCCTCCGCCTCTCTCCCTTTTCATTCATTGTGGGTCACGCTAAGCGCCACTACAGTCAAGTTGCTGTGTCGCGAAATTTCGCAAGTTGGCATTACCTGCCGGCTCGAATGCTGGTCGCAGGGCTCATGCTAAATCCATTGTAGAGTTTCATAGGCGAATCAAAGACGACTTCCGACACGCTGGCCAGAACTGGGTCGTAGACGTCGATATCGAAGCGGATTTCCCCTGGGCTGGCATCGAAAAAGGGTGCATGGAATACACGAATGGAGATATTCTTTTATACTTTAAACCCGTCGTCAAGCGGATAGTCGAGATGGCCCGCAATCGCATTATTGCCATCCATGTCTGGAACGGCACTTTGAAGGTCTACCATTGAGATTTCCCCTTCGTTCAGTGTAAGTCTGACTCATCTGCAGAACGTTCTAATAACGCGCCCTGTCGCTGAGAACGAATATCTTTTTCGGCAAATAAACTCTCTTGTCCTCCTCGATTCCAGTTACCCGTCGGCAATTCCTCGCTTTGCTGGGGCCGACTTGCACTAGCAAGTCGGACCCAGCAACTCCGACATACCACCAACTCCGACATTTGCGATAAAATATTAATTATTAAATCAACCACATAAAATATCGAAATAACAAAATTAGATTATTATAGCCCTTAATTAAGTCTATAATCGCCTAATAGAGCTTTCTGCCAAATAAAAAGGTTCTGGCATAAATTATTAATAATTCACTTTAAAATCATAATGACATTCGTGCTTCCTATTAAAATCAGTTTGCAGCACATTAACTAATTACCATATTTATCGATATTAAATCATATATTACTATTAAAATTAGAAGTCTATATATCTTCCTGCGTTATCTGAGTATTAATAGCTTCAGATGCATTATAATTTCGATCTTTGCTATCCCTTCTCCTTCTGCTTGAGTGATCTTACTCCTTTCTCGATCTCGATCGGCTTACGGCCGTGTTTCGTCACCAACTTTTCCTCCTTTTATTCTAATCTTCCCTCCAACTTTTCCGAGTTTTCCGTCTTCTACTAGCTTTTTTCTTCCTTGTCTCCCGATTCCTCTTTCGTCTTTCTCTACTCTTCTTCTCTTATCTCCTCCTCCGGTTCCTCCGATCTTCTGTCCTTCGAAACCATGTCCCTTTCTTCGGTGCCCCGTCCTTCGCATTCTAATATTACGTAGACCATTCTTTAGAGGAGATTATAGCCGGCCTCCATGAACAGGTTTAACGTCATCATTCGTCAATCCTCTTCGCTTTAACAAAAGGGGAATTACTAAGCCCAGGAGATACGGATCGTCTTGCCCGCAACTGCTGCTTGCGATGGCTTCCAAAATTTAGCCTTAATTTGGGCCCCTCTTTTCTGAACTTCTTATTTGAAACTTTCGAGAGGGAGACATATAGTATCTCGTATCTTTCGAGAAAATCCTGCGTGTGCAAAGATCCCTGTTGCTGAGAGAGATCTCGAGATAGGGGTCTGTATAAAAGCCGCGTTTTGGTAATACTATCGTGGATTAAACCCTCAATTCCAGAGTTCTCTTTGCCATAATCGGTAATATTAGTCTCAGAAAAGGGTTGAATAAGATCGTTAGTGTCGTTAGTGCTTTGATTTTGAGCTTGATTGAGCGGAGGAAGCTCTATTTCGTTATTACTTGAAGGAATATCGGAATAAAGGGGCTCAAAATCAGGGGAGGCATTAGGCTGTTCCTCCCATATTGAGCGATTAGGAGGTTCCATTCTAGCTTGGGGCTCGTTCGACGCAGGTACGCAAATAGCTTCGTTAAGGCAGTTTTTATCGAGGGTATAAAGCCGTCCTTTGACCTCCTGATCGCCTAGTTTCTTCTCAGTACGAAGCTTCATAGCCCTAAGAACTGGCTCAGGATTAAGGGGGTGGATGCCCGCTCTTTTGAATGATGATTGGATATTTCCTTTAGTAAAGGTTTTCTCACGAATTTGAGTTAATACCTGAAGGAACGTAGTCTTCGTAAAGTTATTTTTCCCCGCACGAACTCTGTCTTTAATAGAGCGCTTATGCCAGTGCTTCTCTTGTAAGAAATAGCCTATATCCAGTGGTTGACAGAAGTGTGTGGAATGCGCTAGTAAACAGAAGGGTATTATATCCAATTACTCGCAAATAGATACAAATTCGTAAGTCATATAGCTACCGTAGCCATCAAAGATGAGAAGACGATATTTGCCTTTTCGTATGCCCTTGGTTTAATAGTGGAAATGCCATAGCCAGCTAATAGCTAGCTCGTCATCTGTATAGCCTGTTTCGCTCTGGGCGATTTTCGTACCATCGGGGAGATTATTATCAAACATCTTCTCTTTAAACACCTTACAAGGCATAATAATAAAGGCTTTAATTGCGAAACCTCCGGCTAAAATGCACTCCATTACTATAATCGACTCTCGTTTGGCTAGATCTTTGACATAAACCTATAATTATTAATTAGCAAGTGCGAAGTATAAAGTACTAAGTATAATTATCAGGTGGTGCTTACCTCTCGAATATTCTTATGTATAATTACTGTCGAACTAGCAATGCACCCAATACGAAAACCAATCTCATCAACGTTATACATATCAAATATTTGTATTTCGTACTTATCCAAAACAGCCTGGAGCCGTGCGAACGTCTCCAAGACTAGTTCTGGAATAAGTGCCTTCTTCCGTCGATAATCCATAGGCTTTATACATATAGTATGGTATCTCCCAAGCTTCCTTTGCTTTTCTACCCAACGAAGAGCCTAATTATTCCCCAGGCGATCATTATCTCCATTAATTAGGCCTATAGCCTCTAGAATTTGCGTGGCAGCCCGAGTAACCATATTATACCGAAGCGGGAAACCCCTCTCAATGGCTATATCCATATACCATATTAGGCTCATCTCCTGGGCCTCATTTAGGCGCGTATTATGCCCTCCATTCTCCGAAAGAGGCTTTGCTCCCTGTTCCCTTCCATATAAAGTCGTATAAGAGACGTCAAATACGCCTGCTGCGATCCACAAGCTAGTAATTTCGGTTTCGGATGGGTCGTGGTATGCCTTCAGGGCCTCCTGCATTCGAGCCTCCTTCTCCAAATATAGCTTCGTCTTGTACTTTGGCATCTTCCGGAGCCTCCTAGCAAGCTCTTCAACCTGTCTTCTCGACGTTCGACGCGTGGCTTTTGGCATGGTGGTTAATTTGGTGGTTAATTTGGTAGTTGAATTGGTGATTAATATAATTAATGCCCCGCGATTTTTGGTGTTTTTTGGCTTCGGCGTTAAGCGAGTTCCCTCCGAAAAGAATTCTAAAAATCACGTTTTAATTTATAGCACAACACCACGTAATCGTATAAAAAAATGCTCTATTGCGCGATTATAGAGTCTAGTATAGCCTATAATTATATAAAAAAATTATCTTTATTGGATGTGTGGTTGTTTTTTAATCTAATATATAGACTAAAAAATCGATGTCGGAGTTGCTGGGATGTCGGAATTGGTGTCACCAGCGAGCATAGCGAGCTGGCCCGAACCGGGTGCGGAAATGCCTGCGAGTAGGGGTGACTCGCCCCAGGGATATCGCAGTAGTGGCAGTTAAAGGCGCTCTTGCGTCTGGCATAGAACATTGCATATCTATCCACAAGGCCTCCCAGCCCATGCCAGATGTCCCAGAAACACGTCCGTATTCCGTATCAAAGGACTACTTATTAGAGATTCCAATGCGGACCAATCTCTCCTTCCATAAAGAATCAATATACTGCTTGGGACGTCGTGATCCTGATGGAACAGACCGTAGGTACGATTCGGCTATAGTTTTTTGGTAAAGGGGTCAAGACTTCGACCAATTCAAGCCATTTCGGTTTCCAGTAGCGAAGTTCTTCTCGTCTGGCAACGCGCTGATTTTCTACCATTTCATCTCCTCTAGTTCCAAACTGATAATCCAAGGCCAGTCTATGACTGGCCACACAAGCTGTAAGTATTCTTTTTCCGCGAATCTTTTCAAGAGCAATCTCCCGACTGAATCGCTAATTTACTTCCTACTCCATAGATCAAGATCTTCCCGACCTACCTGTCCGGGTGTGCGCCAATCTTCAGAATAACAAAAATTGATCAATTTCGCAATTTCGTAACGCTGGGGAAAGTGTGTACTTGGCAGAGTACGAAATTGTGATAGAACCAGTGCCAGGCCCACTATCTCTTGACCCGCGGAGACTAGTGATTAGGACTATATCTGCTGGGTCAGAAGAGCTCAATGGTATGACAGTTCAATATGAGTATGAGGTGAATGCTGCGCGGTCTTAAAAAAAAAGGTTGTGTACGACCGTACTTGTCTTGAAGTCGGGAACAGGGAGGAGGTAATAAGTTTCGCGAAGAAGGAAGAGTGACCTGGTTCCATACGAGGGCCAATGGAATCCCCACCTGAATCTTCAGTTGAACCAAAAAGGAAGAGCACACGGGAACGGAACCCCAAGTCTTGTTGTCAAAACATACGATATCACGATTTATAGATATGTTGGAAAGTGAGAGGAAGCATCTTGTCAATTCCATCAATATCGTATGATTGTAGACTTGATAAAAAGGGTGATCTACCTCATTAGCGACAGTTAAGACTTTAGTTAACACCTAAGAAGTGTCCAATTTGGAGAGCCAATTGATGACCATCATGGCTTCAACGAGGGCTACCGCCTCCCCAAAGTGCTGCCCATCAGGTGTGGAAGCTTGCATCGTCAGATTGTACAAGCTCAGCACATCAAAGTGGTTGGTTTTGGCCTTCACAGACACTTGCTTTTGATAACTCCAGACAGCAGAATTTCTCTCCTTGGGCGGCGTATCAGCTGTTTTGTTGGTACTAAAGGCAGGGGGACCGAGGAAGAGCATGGGAATATTGCGTTCAGCCCCAGTAGCTATAGTATGCCATTCCTCCATTGCACGAGTTGTGGCTGCGACGTCGAAAGACGAGCCGTGGCTGAAGGAGAAGATCAGGGGACTTGGTTGCCAGGGATTCGGTCTTGAGTAGGTTAGGTCTTTGAAGAGGGTCTGCGAGGTGGTGGATGCCGGCACGCTTTCAACTCGTATGTAGGCGTGAGGAGTTCCTAGAAGTGTTGCTGTCAGCTCTTGAATGTACTTGAGAATTTAGGAACAATGACTTACGTGCACAAAAGTATAGACCTCCCTTACCACTTCCTTCATTCTTCTTGACTTCGTCCTGATTTTTCACGGCGTATCTTGTACATTCAGGGTTGAGGAATTGTTCACCGCACTTGCAGCTCATTCGATCCTGATCTGACATAATCCATTGCTGCACACCACCAAGAGCAAGATCCTCTCGAAGGAGTACATTGAAAGCTGCGTATACTGATTGTACAACGTCGTCTCCGATGAATGAGATAGCATTGAACCGTTCCAGAATCATGCATATCTCGGATGTAGAGAACCATCTGTACGTACAGCCTAGTCGAGTTAGTCTGAGCTCTGTGTGTTTTCGATGTGCCAAACATTGGGGTTACATTGCTTTCCTTCACTTACCCTTCCCAACAAAAGGTTCGTCCCAGCCATATCTGCCGCCGCCACTAAGAGCGTCCAACAGGGTTGCTCTATTCTTGCAAAAGGGGGAGACTTTCGGGTTCATGGGCCATGGTGCAAGATAGATATCTGACTGCGTGATGCCACAGTCACGACTTCCGGCGAAATGCTTGAATGCACTGATCCTCGTTAGTACATTGATTGTCCTTCAAATGTCCCACAGGTTTTGGAGTTGGGAGGCGGCAGAACTTACTCTTCTCCAGGCTCAACGATCATCCATTGATGCTGGGAAGATGGCCGGCCATTGGAAGCTCCGAAGAGGAGGGAGAGTGGCAGCCAAAGTACCATGTAAGCTAACAAGCAAAAAAGGAGGACTACAGCGACGAAACGGAACATTCTGCCACGGGAGGAGACAATGCCTCCGTCGAGTTTCATGGATGCCCATGAGGCAGAGAGCCTGGGTGCGAGACCCATGCTGAGGATGTTATTCAATGGGAAGATGGAAAATTGGAAATGAGAGATGAGTTGGATCGTTGTGGCTCCCCCTTTTGGGAAAGAACGGGGTCATAGTTGCCTGAATGCAATACAACATGATTCAAGGACGCAGTCACCAAATCAACGCCATTTCAAGCGCACCGTCTTGTTCTGGAACATTGTCTCGTCAGAGACTTCTCCTGAGGATAACATCGTGTAATAACATCACTTGATGAGAGGTCACGTGATACCCTTAACACACACACACACTCTCTCTCTCTCTCTCTCTCTCTTGGAACCGCCATAAACAGAATGTACAGAGAGGATAGCTCCTGCGCTCCCATTGGCCCGCAGCCTCGCCGTACAGTAAAATGCAACGAAAAAAGGGGCTTGTCACCCGACTCCCGAGATCCTCCGTCTCCAATGTTTGCACGAGCCGAAAATACCCATCCCGAGGCAGGAGGACCATGATGGACCAGGGTGCTGTGAAGCATCGACTGAGAAGCTCCAAGAATCTCGAATTTGGCCATGTGCATGGCTGCTCAATTGGCCGAGAGGACGAAGGGAAGGTTTACAGTATGAGCAGCTCATTCTGGCTCGCGTGAGGTTGAAAGGGAGAAGAAAGAAAAGGTTCGTTTTTGCCCGGCCCAATCGAGCAAGAGTGCGGGGGAATGGACAGGGGGCGGGGCGTGGAGCCGATCCATATCTGCGGTTGTGTGCTTCATGCTTTCTGAATATCCTCTGAATATTGTCTATTGTTCAATTGCTCTTCCGAATCGTCCTCGATTGCTCGCCCAGCTTCAGTGTCGCCTCCCATTGTCGGGTTTGCTTATTCTGGTACTGTTGCCTCGGCATCCCGCGATTGCATTAACTCGATAAAGCTCTGCGTCATATTCACCAGTCACACGCCCCGTCAACATCAGCTCATGGCAGACGAGACTTGTCAACATCGAAGGCTCTACAATTGTTCTTCATAGGCCTGAGGGCTAGCAACAGCATTTAGGATGTCGTGGAAGAAGACTGATATACTGATGGACACCATCAGGCATTACTCGGGCTTTCCAGCAACTGGCGTGAGCTTGCGCCAGATGGTCCAATTCGGGGAGAGGCCCTCGACAGGTATATATGACTTCAATCTCATGACGTAGGACTTCAAGAGAAATAATTGCTAAAATGCCGTTGCTATCAGGAACTCTATTTCGCGCGTCCCAGTTCCTCTCCGAAGAACTTCCAATACGGCTTGCACACCGAGTACAAGAGCTTGGAGATCTGCCAGATGGATTGAACGAGATGCCTTCGATCAAGAAAGTCCAGGATTGGTACGCCCAGTCGTTTGAGGTAAAACACACATCTCTCAAGCTTGCAGGCATAGACACGGCTGTTAACGGGTGATGCAGGAGATCACCACCCTTCCACGGCCACAACTCTCGAAGGACGTACGGGATCGACTCATGAAGCCCGCAAAACAGACCGGCAGACAGTCAAAAATCCTCGCGGAAGCTACAAAGAACCCCAGCGTTGCGAATGGGCAGTATACATCCTCACCCTGGCAGAATGGTAATGGTAATGGAAGCCACGAAAAGAAGGGCTCCGCACGACGATACTTTGCAACTGTAGAAGACACAGAGGATTGGCCCCCAGAGCTCCACGACTACAACCAACGATTTGCCCAAACATTAAACCATATCAAGCGAAGGCATGACAGCGTTGTAACGACAGTGGCACAAGGTATTCTGGAATACAAGCGCAAGCGGCAACGCATGCAGATCGATAACAATATACAATCCTTCCTTGATCGATTTTACATGTCACGAATTGGAATTCGAATGCTTATTGGGCAACACATTGCTCTGACGGACCAGAGCCACCATAAAGACCCAACATATGTGGGGATCATCTGCACGAAGACGAACGTCCGAGATCTAGCCCAAGAAGCCATTGAAAACGCCCGATTTGTATGCGAGGACCATTATGGCTTATTCGACGCACCAAAAGTCCAATTGGTCTGCCCCCCGAACCTGAATTTCATGTACGTCCCAGGACATTTGTCGCACATGTTGTTCGAGACGTTGAAGAACTCTCTACGAGCGGTGGTAGAAACACATGGACAAGACAAGGAGGATTTTCCCGTGACCAAAGTCGTTGTAGCTGAGGGGAAGGAAGACATTACCATCAAGATCTCCGACGAAGGCGGTGGAATTCCTCGAAGTGCAATACCTCTTGTATGGACATACATGTACACGACCGTCGATACGACGCCCAGCCTGGATCCCGATTTCGATAAGAGCGATTTCAAAGCTCCAATGGCTGGATTTGGATACGGTTTACCCATATCAAGGTTATACGCAAGGTATTTTGGAGGAGATCTGAAGCTGATTAGTATGGAGGGGTAAGCTCCCCTCTCTCACCTCCTAATTGTTCCTCCATTAACATTCGATTTTTCTTTCTTATGTAGATACGGCACAGACGTCTACCTCCACCTCAACCGCCTCTCCAGCTCCTCGGAGCCTTTGCAATAACAATCAGCAGTCATGAGGGGCGCGGGGTATTCTGGCCCCGGGCCACAAGGATTGACGATGGGGTGGCGCAAGCAGATGAATCTCAAGCTTCGACATTCACGGGAGGTGACTGAGAGAAAGCAGGTGGGTGATGCGGAGAGCATGATCAATGAGGGCTCGAGTGCTTCTGGTCACCTTGGCTTTTTCGAGGGCGAGGGCGGTGAAGTGTAAATGTGCTAGGGAAGCGAAGGGATAGTGCGCTTGTACATATTAAGGGAAATGGAAAGACGGAGTTTGAGATGTGAAAGGAGGCATGGTGAAAGAAAAAGGAAACATGGAGTGGTATTATGAAATTGAGGTTTTAAGACTTGGTGAATCATCTGTTACGGCCGTCATTTTGGATTCGAACGAGTCGCATCGATACTTGAAATGATATACCATACGAATCAACAAAGCGCCTAACGCCGAGGGCTCAATGCTACATAAGAACACCGATCTGATCTGCCTGAGTCTAAAAAATATATGTAACATGGCGAGAATCCTAAGCTTTATACAGCGTATCTAAGAACCCACTCGCTAGCTCAACCACAACGCTCTTATTGGGTAGACTGCCCGCAACACCATACAGCGCCGCGCTATCCCCCAAACTCTTCCCTTTCGCTCCCTTGCCCTCCACAATCCGCACCCTCTCCTTCTCTTTCTCGCCCTCAACCACCGCCTCTAGATCGCTCACGAGTTTCTCCCACACCTTGACTATCGGCAATGTAACAGCAACGTGAATAGCCGGGGGACTTTGCAGGGAATTCAGATGCCATCCTTTAGCAGACATCGCATCCGCGATATCGTAGATATCCAGCGTTTTGGAGTTGAAGGCAACGACGGAAACTAATGGGTGACCAAGAACCTCTAAATCGTTGTTTAACCCGGGGTTTTCTTCAATTGCAGAGATGATCTTTTTCGTTGCGCCAACGATTGAGGAACAGGCTTCGATGTACCCAGCCTCACCTACGCTCATTAAAGAGGCCCAGCATCCGGCGATAAGAGCTCCTGGTCTGGAGCCAGCGATGGACGGGGAGGCGTACACGCCGCCCGACCAGTCGGGGGAGATGAAGTATTGATAGCTGCGTAACGTGGTGTCGCGGTACAGGACGGTGGAATTGCCTTTTGGTGCGAATCCGTATTTGTGCGTGTCGCAGCTGATGCTCGTTACGCCCTTGAGTCGGAAGTCGAAGAGCTCGGTCTCAAAGCCGGCTTTTTCGAGGAAGGGGACGAGGAAGGAGCCCAGGCAGCAGTCGACGTGTAAGGGGATTCTGCGTTTGACGGCTAGCTTGGAGAGGGCGGTGATGTCGTCGATTATTCCGTGGGGGAAGTTTGGGGCGGAGCCGACGAGGAGGACGGTGTTGCTGTTGATGAGGCGGGACACACTTCTTATGTCGACTTGGTAGTTTGGCGCCGGGCAGGCAACGAGGTGGACTTTGATGCCAAAATAGGAGCCAGCTTTGCGGAAGGCTGTGTGGCCAGTCTCTGGAAGAATCCTAGATCGATGGTTAGTACTTGGAGATGTTAAAATAGTACGGCAACTTACATCTCTGGTTCCGTAACACCCCTCTCAGAATAAGCCTTCTGTCTTGCACTTAAGCAAGCCATCAGAATAGACTCTGTGCCTCCACTCGTAGTGACACCAGCTGCCCCAGATGGAGCATTGAACAATGCCAAAACCATCGAAACAATCTCCGCCTCCATCTTCCGTACACCAGGGAACACATCAGGATGAATCGGATTGGCCACCGTAAACTTGCCAAACGCTTCCGTCTGAATCATCATCAAAGAGTCCCCACCATGATAAACAGCGCCAGACACAAAACCATCCTCCCATCGCGTATGATCCATCTGCGCCAGCGTCCCCAACTCCTTCATGACCGTCTCCTCAGACCACCCCTCCTTTGGCAAGTTCAAATATCGCACTACACCCGGTCCAGAAGGAACAAGCTTCGATTGTAACTTCATGATAGCTTCAGAGACCTGCTTCTGAACCTGCGATCGCACTCCCGGTGCTCGCAGGAAGAGGCCATAAAGGTTGCGTCGGATAGCAATATACGCATCTGCAAACGTCCCAAACACGCCTCGGCCTTTCAGCTTCAGCAATCCCTTCCTCGTCCATCGCAGCAGAAAAAGGAAGAACACGATGTTGCGGAATCTAATTACTCCATCAGTATACGCTGATACGTATGACGGATCAGGGTCTGCTGCAGCCGGGGAGCTCACAAGTCAATGTTTAGTGATAGTAATTGGCTACTCGAGCCGCCTTTCTTCACGGTGAAGCTGTTGCGCAAGCTCACTGGCATCCTCGACGTTCCGGGCATCTTTGCGGTTGGCTCGAAAGATGCGTTGACTCGATGTGCGAAGCTTGTTCTCAAATGTTTCTGGTCAGGTCGAGAAGGTGGGATGCAACTTCAAGTCAACAGGGATTGGGCCGAGGCGTAAATCACATGGAAACTGCCGGTGTCCCAAACAGGGAGCCGCTTTCAAGATTCTGCTCTTCTTTCGGGCAAAATACCGGCTTGGATACCGCTTTAATGGAAACGTTGGGGCCTTGCAGTAGACGGAGCCGGCTGAATTATTTCCGTCTGCGTTCATTGGATCAAAGGTGGAGAAGGCGGATAAAAAGGGAGATACGCGAATGCGATTCCGGACGGCACTTTCTCAGCCTTGCCTTAGAGCATCCAGAAGAGACAATGTTAAGACATTCGAACCGCTGCTTGACGTCCATTACTACTCTAAGCTATCTAGTACGATGCGAGCATTAACTTGGCTCTCGGTGAGCCCGAATTTGTCCATCTCCTCACACTCAAACAGGGTATGTGATGTAACGTACAGGAGAGCAAGGCTTGCTCTATCCAGTTCCCTAAACGCCATTTCTAGAGGATACCCTTCCTCATGCAGATGCTGATGCAAGATAACAGACACAGGTTCATCTTCATATCGCTTCATACTCCGAAACTCCGCTCTTTCATCTTTCCCATTGGCTCGTCGTAGATCATCAGGGTCATGGGACCCTGCTTCATGCGTAAATTTGGGGTATGTAAAGGGTGAACAAGTCATCATTGAACACGGAATGCCGTCTTCCACTGCTTTGAGAACGGCTCTGCCTCTGCAGCACAATCTCGCCCACCTTTATCACACCCTGCGAATCGTATGACAAGGTCTCCATCCTTGTATATTCCATCGCCAGCAGCGTCTTCTTTGCTGTACGCATTCATGATCCGCTGAGGGATGAGCCCGAGTTTCGATAGAATTGTCGGATGCCATTGGACGATATGTTCCTGATCATCGTTAAGGATTTTCACGGAGAGTTGGAACGTAAAATACTTACCAGGGCATGAGTATCTGCCTTCTGAAAACTGTAGGATCGGTATAATGGGTCGAACCAGGTGTCTAAGAAGAATTTACTCCATTCTCCTCTCCGGATGATGAAGCTCCCTTGCGCCAACCCATCTTTATCCTGAGTGAGGACGAAATCGACTTGATTCCCTTTCAGATGTCCGAATGTCTTGATAACACTGTCGGGTGGTACGATTGACTGATCTCTGATCATCAGACCTTCTAATCGCTTTGGATTCATTATGTGTCCCTCTACTGTCAATTCCGGGTTCATGATCAACGAGTTCTGGTCCAGATACCACATATAAGTGCTGTGAGGGAACTTGGTGAGGGCATGTCGAATGGCAGGAACTCGAGCCCAAGAATTTGGAGATCCATTCAAATCGTAGTCCGTAACGGTTGGAAAAAACGTTGCGTACCCTATACTCGATCAGCATTCCAAGTCTTCCCTGCTCTGCCAAAGTCGCTTACCATGCTTCTTCGCATACTCCATCCTATTCTCCTTGATGTTGTTTATATAGTCTTTGCTATAGCCGTCCGGATCTAACACCGTCACCACAACCACCGGCGGCGTCCCTGATGGAATTCGTTCTGAACCGCCCACAATCTGTGAGAGAATGAATATCACTGCCCCAACAGCACACGCGCAAAGAACTATCGCCTGTACCCGACTTCTGCGCAACATCGGAAACCGTGTCGATCGAGTCGCATATGGAGGGGGATTCGAGGATTTCCTCGCGGGCATGGCCAGATGCATGGCTGAGGAGTTGAATCAGCAGGCCTTCCGGCGCCCCGATTATCGTTGTCAGGAGACTGCCAAGAATACGAGTCCCGTCCCGTCTTGAAAGTTTCCCAAGCTCGCAGTCGCGATGGCAGGACCGGGGAAAAGCTGATGTTTCCTCGTATCCTGGTCGTTCGAACAATGGCACACGGTGTCCCCTCTCCCGATCTTACAGTTGCGCAGTTGTGCAGTTTCGAGTTTCGAACGCTTCCAGTAGGTACCGTGTCAATAGAATTCGACCTCCGCGACTATGAAATGAGAGAATGAGCCCTGGCAGTGGAGCATTTAAGGTTCGAGGATCTCGAAATTAGTCTTCGAAGATAAAGTTGCGGTACATGATCTTAATAGGTATGGCGCCAGATAGATCTAGCCAATGAAAAGTCGGGAGGCATATGAGGCATGATAACGGAGGGCTTCTGACGGAAGGTCCCAATAAGGCAATTGCAAGCTGTGTACACCCGTCATTTTGTATCGCTTTCAATGCAGTTTTCTCATTGCGACTGATCTCTTCGAGCAATCATATGTGCACCCCTTATGTGCCTCTATGGTACATTATAATTCTCCGTAGCCAAACTTTTTTGGGACTAGCTGAATCTAAAGAGCTGATGTCAACAGGTTAACGTCATGGGAATGGAATTGCAGATATCTTAAAGCTCGAGGTAACTTGAAATTTCTTCATCACTTTTGCCTCAAGCTCTCAATTAAAACCTGTGATCATGAGTTCCTCAGTCATTCAGTTAGAATGCCAGTGTAAGGATGCACTTCAGAGTTCTCGCATCTCTTCATCTTCAATCAGGTGCTTTCCTTGATTTATTCTATAAAAAATCCTCCCTTGAGACAGGAACCCTCTGACCGACACAGGCAACAATTACCCATGGGGGAAGAAAGGAAGTAGTTCTCTAGCTGCGAAATATGCTGCGGCAACACCTGGTGGTCACTTCAAGCTCGACGAGTCGAAAGAGTATGCTGAGGTATGTTATTTCCATGTGATCGAATTTTGGAAAACTTACGGCTAATTAAATTTGCAGCAATGGATGGGAACATACCCAACAACCCCTTCTCTAGTTCTTGCAACTGGGGAAGACCTCCAGAAGCACATCAACAGCAACAAAGAGAAGTTAATTGGGAAAGCAATTCTTGATAAATTTGGAGCCGACCTGCCCTACCTTCCAAAGGTAAATTACCCCTGAACCCCTCCCAAGTCAGAATACTCAGCAGAATCTCAGATCCTCTCAATCGCCAAAGCCCTCCCTCTCCAAATCCACCCAGACAAAGGCCTCGCAGCCAAACTCCACAAGAAAGACCCCGAAAAGTTCGGAGACGCCAACTGCAAGCCCGAAATCGCAGTCGCTCTCGGAAAATTCGAAGTCTTCGTTGGCTGGAAACCAATTCCCGAGATCCAGCAGCTCTTCACGACCGTCCCCATTCTCAAATCACGATTCACCAAAAGTTCCGAGACACACTTCAATGGAGAGACGCTGAAGGAGGTCGTTGGCAAGATCCTTTCCGCATCCGATGAGGAGATTGTGGAGCTCTATGAGTCGTTGAAGAAGACCGAGGTCAAAGACTTTGGAAAACATACGTACTTTCCGGAATTGCTTCCTCGTTTGGCCGAGCAATATGATAAATCGGATCCGGGAAATCTCGTGGCACTGCTCACCATGAACTATCTGGTTTTGCAGAAAGGAGACGCTATCTACGTCCCAGCAGAGTAAGTCTTGCCTATGATCCAACAACTGAACAGTGACCCGGACTCACAATTGACAGCGGGATACATGCATACCTGAGCGGTGATATCGTAGAGTGTATGGCTCGTTCAGACAACGTCCTCAACACCGGGTTCTGTCCCCGAGCCGATCGAGACTCAATCGAGCTCTTCACCGCAGCTCTCACATTCAGCCCCAAGAATGCTGACGAAGCTCTTCTCAAGCAGAAGAAGTCGGACAAAGGACTGAAAGGCCATACGCAAGTCTTGGCTCCACCATTGAGCGAATTCGACATGCTGATTACGAAGTTGAAAGGCAAGGAGACAGAAACAATCAAGGCTCTTCAAGGCCTGGCTATCTTGATTGTCACTGGAGGAAAGGGGAAGATGAGGGCTGAGGGTAAGGAGCATGAGGTGAAGGAGGGATATGCCTTCTTTATTGGGTATAACACTGAGATCGAGCTTGCGGCGGAGTCTGGCCTTGAGGCTCACATTGCTTTTGCTGAGGCTTAAAGAGCCTGAGATATCACGGAATATAGAATTCTTTTAGAGACAGTAAAATAGGGAGAGTAATGTGGTGAATGTATCAACTCAGTCGCCTCTAATCCCCACGGGGGCATACTGCCGAAGCAGAAGATCACTACCAACGATCGTGAATAAAAAGTGGCACACGACAGAGTGTTGACAAGGCCTGCGGTCACCCATAGTGAAACGAGAACAAGACGCCCAAGTTTCGAGGCTCCAGCTAAGCTGTAAATGTTTGCACACAGACTAGTTGACATGATACTGAGCAGGATTTCGTGGCAACTTAAGAGTGTGCAAAGGGTAGGGGAAACTGTCATAGAAGCTATACGAGCTAACGGTAGAAATATTTGCGTTATTGTGACTAAGTGTACACAGGTCATGGCATCCAGAACGCCATCACTGAATGCAAATGCAAAAAGGACAATGTTATTAAGTCTTCTGGGTCTCGGGCATTGCAGAAGCTGACGCATCTGTAGCACCCGTGGCTGGCGGAGGGCCAGCTGCAGCTTGGCTTGCTGAAGGTTCCTCAAGGATCTCTTCGAAATCGTCGTCATCGCCTTGGACATCGACAACTCGTTCACCAGCCTTCTCGAGCGTCTTTGCAGTCCATGCTCTTACCCAAGTCCAAACTGCCTGGTATGTGTTAGTGGGATGCTTCTCAGATGAGTCTGTGCACTTACTGCTAAAAACGTAATAATCCCAATGATGACGACCGTCCAAGAAATATCCTCCAAGCGGTCTCTTCCTCCACCCCTTCTACGGTGACCTCCTAGAAGTCCTCCGTTGCGAATATTGAACCATTGCCACGGACCCAGGACAAAGAAAATCTTAACGAATCCGAGTAAGCCAAGAGATGCAAGCCCTTTTACGAAATGCTCTATCCATGAACCCTCCTCGTCTTCGAACAGAGTCGCAGGCCTTCCACCACTCGGTATCGAGGTGATCGTGTCTAAGGGATCGAGGTAAATGTTGATGATTGGATCCGCAACAAATCCGAAGACGAAAATCGTAAGGAGCATGATAGCAAGGGTAATTACTATTTGTGTAAACGTGCTGGAAATGTACCGACTTAATCTCATTCTTTCCAAACGGTATCGAAACTTGCAGGTTGGGCATTCCCAGTAATTTCGCCGGCCCATAGCTGGATCTGCATGCCTCCACTCCTGCAAACATCCTTCGTGTACGTATTTCTGGGATCCTCGACATTTGCATGGCCGTATCAACCGGCCGGATGACGGGTCTGAAGAAACGTATTTGACGCTTGGAGCTGGGTGTAGTATAGACGGAATCCCTCCAGTCAGAGGCTCGTAAGTTGGCAGGACCTCTTCTAAGCATATCCTACAGGTCCGTGGCGGATAGTGCCTTTGGAACCGAGGTGGTGCGTTTGCCTCGTCCGCATCCTCATGTTGCTCTCCCTGCTCTTGCAGATGTTCGGTTGGGTCTTCGTATCCAAAAGTACCTGGCGGATCAACATGTTCTTCTCGAAAAGCATCCTCATCGGTAGGCCAATGCCATGTGGGGCGTTGTTGAAAAGCAGACATTGTATGAAAATAGTTTGGAGCTTAGAAGTTGAGAAACGTGGACATCATCGAGGCAGCTCCGCTTATAAGCTTTGCTGCATCATAGAAACCATCACCTTTGTAGCATTAATATGAAATACGCCGAGAACGTGGGACAACGTATCTCGGTCTTGAGATGTGGCTTTAGAAAGACAAAGAAGCTCCGTGGTTCGGTCGAAGATGGCCCTTAAAATTCGCGAGCCTCAAGGCTGAGGCAAAATTCAGGCACCGATTTCGCGACGCGGCAGGAGCTGCCTGTAGCTTTAAACTTCAACACAAGCAACGACAACAGCTCAATCTTTCCACCTCTCTCACATCCGCAAAAATCCTTGACCCCCCTCTACATCTCTCTTTCCTTGGGATTGCCGAGGAGTAAATTCTAGGACTGATAGACACAATGGCGGACAGATATTCCTTCTCCTTGACGACCTTCTCCCCCAGGTAAGCTTGTACTTCCCCAGATTCCCCAAGGACACTTCAAGAGCGCGCTTCTGCAATTTAGACCTCGAATGCTAACTCTTTTCAGTGGGAAGTTGGTTCAAATAGGTTCGTCGCCCAAGTCTATTCCGTTTGGCGGCGCTCTCCAGCCTCACCGTCTTCTTGCTGCTCGAGGATGCTAACTCCCTCTTTTCAGAATATGCCTTAAACGCTGTCAACCAAGGTGTCACCGCACTAGGTATTAAGGGTAGGCTATAATTCAAATTTGAATACCAATCTGGTTCTAGGCTGACCTTTTCCTCAGCTACAAACGGTATCGTCCTCGCCACAGAAAAGAAGTCCTCATCTCCTCTGATCGATCCTCCATCCCTCTCAAAAGTCAGCCTCATCACCCCGAATATTGGCATGGTATACTCCGGAATGGGCCCAGATTACAGAGTTCTGGTCGACAAGGCACGCAAAGTCTCACACACCGGTTACAAGCGTATCTACAACGAGTACCCACCGACGAGGATATTAGTGCAGGATGTTGCGCGAGTTATGCAAGAAGCCACGCAGTCAGGTGGTGTACGGCCGTACGGGGTGAGTCTGTTGATTGCTGGGTGGGACGAGGGTATTGAGCCGGAGACGGAGGGTGCTGCGACTACCGATGTACACCCAGATGAGAAGAAGGCCTCAGGAAAGACTGGTGGCATCTTGAAGGGAGGACCCATGCTATATCAGGTTGATCCCAGCGGCAGTTATTTCCCATGGAAGGCAACGGCGATTGGAAAGAGCGCTACTTCTGCGAAGACCTTCTTGGAGAAGAGATACACCGAGGGTTTGGAGCTGGAGGATGCAGTACATATTGCTTTGTTGACTTTGAAGGAGACGATCGAGGGTGAGATGAACGGAGAGACTGTAGAGATTGGTAGGTTGCTTCCTCAGCTTTCTACGTTTCAGCTAACATATTGTAGGCATTGTTGGGCCCCCGGCTCACCACCTGCTTGGCGTTGAGGGAGTTGAAGGTGCACAAGGACCAAGATTTAGAAAGCTGAGCCCTCAAGAGATCGAGGATTACCTTACGAATCTATGATTTTCTCTCTTCCGCAATGCATCTGGTAATTTGGACGTTGTGCAACTCAAGATGGCACGGTGTATTATAGAATGGCATAAGATGACAAAATGGAAGAAATGAGATACCAAATTAGAGTACATTCGGACTCTGTCATTAAGTGATATCCTCTACGAGCAGGAAGGAGTTTTTGTAGCCCGCATGAACGCTGACAATCTGTTTCCCCCCAAGAGGCAAGGCTATCTCCCCCAATTCAGACAGCTCCTTCACATCCAAACCAAGTTGTCCATTCCTATTAGCACCAACAACATACAGCCTATGCTCAGTTGTCAGGGCAAGAATATGATCTGCTCCAACCGCCACATCAAGAACATCTTGTCCATCCAAATCAATAGGCTCTGGCATTCCACTGAATTGATCCAGGATTTTCGACTGACCAGGACATCCGCCCCAGAGATATAAATCATTGCCAGAAGTTAAGGCAGCTGTCACATAGCCACCCGAGGATATCTTTCTGATTGGGCCGGTCGGTAGATCTGAGAGGTCTTTCACTATGGATGGTAGCTGTGCTGGGCTGTGACTGGGGTCAGCAGAGCTTCGGAATGGTGGCGGACGGGTTATTGTTACGTCTCTTCTGAAACCTCCCGTCCAAGACAAGACTCATATCGTCCATCACCCCACGTCCAAACTTTCCCATTCTTCGAGAGAGCAGTGAACGTCGTCTGATTTGCGGCTATCTGCTCAAAACACTCAAACTCTCCGAGGTGATGGCCGTCACCATCGATATATGATTTGAGAGAACGGTATTCTTTGATGAACTTCCCTTGGGTTTCTGCAAGCATGATTAGATGTTGAAGGATGTGGAGATGGGGTTGTATACCAGCGAATTTTTCGTTGCCTGCAATGGCTACTTTTCGGAACCCATCCTTTTGGGTGAGACATAGTTGAAAGACGGCATCGAGACTACCTGCTGCTTTTATGCCTGATGATGTCCTTACTAGAGATATTCAGCTTATTGTAATACCTAAAGAGTAGAGAATTTCACAGAAGATATTGTCTAAGCCTTGCAAGTTCAACGTACCGGGATCGGAAGAAGGAGAAGAGGAGGCGATGATGGAAAAGGGGGGCTGTTCACGTGACTAAAAATCTCAAATCAACTTCAGCTATTGGGAGGACTTGATCCCAAAGGTTTTGCACGAGTAAATGAAATGATAAACAGAAAAGTCAAGTTCTATAACTTACCCAATGTGGCTGATAAACTGGTCCGAAGCATCTCGAGGTGTTTGCTTCGGAGGATACACTTAAAAGTCCTTAAATCCGCAGGTGCGAGAGAGGATTCGCCCTGGAAATCAAGCTGACCCCACGCATTGAAACCGGTGGCCCACAGCTCCATGTCTTGCGAAACCGTTGCGGCTTTGTTTCTACCGAGGTTTTTCATTTAATGTTGCACTGCTTTGCTCAGCCTCGATGTGCTTAATTCTGCTGCGCCCCACATTCAGTTTAGCTCCCCTCCCCGAAGCGAACTGCTGCTTACTTCAGCCTTTCGACATGAAATATATACACAATTCATCCACAAATTTATCTTTTCTCTCGTATCGATTATCCTCTAGGCATTGCTCCTTATCTCTGAATACCGTCAATCAGCGCTGCTGACGTCTCCTCTTCGACGCCCAGACCCCCGCGCTCGAGGTCGACTGGGTCGGGAAGTGCTGCCTACGGTCAGAGAAATCAGGCTGCCACATTGTACCTGCAGGGACCGAACCTTTAGGACACCCATCCCCATCTTTTTCTAGGGGGTACCTTTTGGTCTTGTGTCTTTTGTTGCGATTTCGTCGTTCTATCAATTGAGGTGGGAAGAGCGGTCGGCGGACCATCAACTTCCTCTGCGCAAGTCACGCGAGCGCCAACCATCTGGGGGAGATCTTTATATCCTCTCATCTTTGGAAAATTTGTTCTCTGCAGGGCTCCTGGCCCCTAACTAGAGTTTTTACTTTTGTATTCTTGGATATATAGAGCGTCGTTGGTTCCCTGGAGCGGCAAATCGGACAAACCCTTCCTCCTCAAACTCAACCCGCCATCAGACTCCGGAGACCAAAGGGAACTTCGGACGTGGACTTATGGCTACAATCTTCAATACTGACTCGGGACCTTGAATAGCTGCCATCATGAATCTCAGTCTGCCCATTCGGTCTTCTAGCAGTCGGCGGAACGAAGAAAGCAGAAATCACTTCACCAACTACACCCCCACTTCTTCGACGGAAGCTATTGCGGGGCCAATTCGAGAACCGGCACCCCTGAATGACCGATTGATTGTTGGACTTGATTTTGGTACTACTTACTCTGGGTAAGTCGAACTTTAACTTCGGTCTTCAACTGCTGTACATTCATTCTGGAGCTCAATACCAGAAAGTTTGAAAGTGGGCAGACAAGGGGTTTACGTTTTCTGCCCGTCTCCGAACACAACAGGTCGTTCAAGTTGAGTCGAAAACAGGTCAAAGCCACAAAGTGATGCTCGAAAGCTCGGCCATGTGACCTTCACAAAACCTCTCCAAAACCCCGAGATTTTCCAAGTCTGTTGGCAATGGTAATTTAACTAACTACCGAATAGTGTCGCAGCAGTCTATACTTCAACTCCAGACGATGTCGAGATCATAAAGACCTGGCCTGGCGGCAACGGAATCACATCCGACAAAGTACCCACGGAAATAGCATACGACTACCCCTCACATATACCAGAAGGTGGAGATCCAACAATAAAATGGGGTTTCCAATTCAGACCCGAAGAATCTCGACTTCGATGTATCAAATTATTCCTCGATCGGTCACAAAAGTTGCCCTTTTACGTTAGTCCATTAGAGACTGCAGCTCAGCTGAAGAAATTCAACAAGAATGTCGTGGATGCCGTTAGCGATTATCTAACACAAGTATACGATCATACCATGGAGACACTTACAAGACGGTATGGCGAATCCTTCATGGCCTCGACAAAGGTGGAGTTTGTGCTTACCTGTCCGGCCGTATGGTCAGATGCCGCAAAGAACACAACTTTGCAGGCGGCAGAACGGGCAGGAATGGGAGCGAAGTCTGAAATCCAGATGATCAGTGAGCCCGAAGCCGCAGCTGTTTATACCCTCAAGGCTATACAGCCCAATCATCTGAGCGCTGGCGACAACTTTGTTGTTTGTGATGCCGGCGGTGGCACCGTTGATCTGATCGCCTATAAAATTATCTCACTGAAGCCTTTACGGGTCGAAGAGTCTGCAGTAGGAACTGGCGGGCTTTGTGGAAGTGCCTTCTTGAACTACCGCTTTGAGGAGCACGTACGAAATCGGATCGGCAAAGAGCGCTTCGACGAGATGAAGCTCAAGAAAGGCAAGTGCTGGCAGATGGGGCTACGATACTGGGAAGAATTCGTAAAGCGTAACTTCAACGAAGAAGAACACGCAGAAGTCAACGTGCCATTTCCAGGCCTCCCCGATGATGAAGAAGCTGGTCTGGACTGCGGTTTCCTGGTCATGACAGCTCCTCAAATTAAGGAGATCTTCGAGCCTGTCGTCAGAGAAGTTTGCGAGCTTGTGCAAGGCCAAGTCGATGGCATACGACAAAAAGGCGGGATTGTGTCTGGTATTGTGCTCGTTGGTGGCTTTGGCCAGAGTAATTATCTTTACACTCGACTGAAGTCTCACTTCAACACCGCAGCACCGCCCCCATACAGCGAGAGACCAACGCATGCTCAGGCCACTGCGATAATCGAGAACGGTTCCGTTGAGGTCATGCAGCCCGTCAATGCATGGACTGCAGTTGTTCGCGGAGCTGTACTGAGAGGTCTTGAGGGAAGCATGGTCATTTCTCGCAAAGCAAGAATGCACTATGGGACTTCATATGCCACCGTGTATGATGAAGATAAACATCAAGTGAGCGAGCGGTATTGGAGTCCACTGTGGGAACGATGGATGGTCAGCGATCGCATGCAGTGGCACATCACGAGTAAGTCTCGAGCCTTATCAAGCGTCTACCAGTGCTAACATTCCCAAAGAGGGCGAGGCTCTCAGCGCAGCAACGCCTATCAGCTTTCACTATACCCGGAACTTCAGGTAAGCTTCCCGAGGCATGTTCCATCATTGTGAACGACGACTAATGCAAACCAGGCCTGGACAATCACTCGTTGTATCCGACGATCTCATCGCATCTGATGCAGACGGCGAGCCACCATCCTCATACACGCGCGACCTAATAAATGTCTGTACGCTCACTACAGACCTCGGCGCCGTGCCTAAAAGTTTATTCACAAGACTGACAACGACTCGTGGGGTGGAATTTGACAACTTGGACTTTACGCTCGAGATGGTGGTCGAGAGTGCCGGGTTGGCATTCGAGCTGAAGGTCGATGGGTTTAGATATGGGAGAGTGGAGGCGGAGTTCCATTGAGTGGGTGTTGGGTAGGAGTTCTAGATGGTATCAGCGGGCTTTGTGCAAAAGTGGCTTGGGTGGAGGTGATGTTGAGTAATGGCGCTGAGGACGATATGATGATATATATGCTCGTTGGAGATTTCACCGGTAGGTTGGGTCGCAATAGCTTCTATGAAAGTAGAAAAATGAAGGCCCAGAAATATTACAGTTCTGAGGGAGGTTTGGTGACGAATAGTGCGTGCAAGTGTTCGGGGAAGATACTCCGTACAATACGGGAAGTAGAGGAGGCCAACTCCCGATCCAAGCTTCTTCTTTCACCGCTCCCAGGATAACCCTCCCTCTGCCCCTCACCGTTCGTAACCATCGACGTGTCACTGCATCAGAAACCTTTTCACATGATAAACTAACGAAGTTTGTTTCAACTACCGGCTCAATGCCGACGAAAATGATGCTATCTGGAAATTCGCTTGGGCAGCAGTGAGGCCCCGCAAGGCTCAAGGGTCAGGTATCAAGACAAGGCGAAAACCAGCAACAGCCAGCCATTTTGCTAGCCTTGGCCTATCGTTTGGAATACTCATCGGAACAGAAGGTTTAAATTTGATCAAGGCGTGCGTGGTTTTAGTCCAGGGCAAGCTTTCTCGATCGCCACTCGAGGCAGCGAGGCTGTGCAATCACATCCACAAATAGTTGCCTCGTGACGCAAGCCCCGAGTAAGAATTTTGTACCTGCAATCATTTTGAGTGGATAGAAGTCTTCAGAGATCAGCTGGGACCCCTGGACTTTTTCTGGAACAGTCCTTTTGAGGGATTTGTGTGGGAGAGGTTATTTGCGGGGCATGTGAACTATAGCTGGTGACAGCAAGGGGGGAACATTCGATTGGACATCGTGAATCCTCCAGAGGTACCAGTGTTCTTGATGTATCATGGTCCTGGTATATAGGAGTCATCATTCCTGCCTCTTCGGTTGTACAGGTGGGAGTTGTCTTCCTCAGGTAGCCTAATAAGGCATCACTGCCGTCTTTAACGAGATTGAACTCATCCTAAGGTCATTTAAAAGAGATACGCAACCGTGAAAACAGCTTGTTGTACGGGATCCGAGTTGCACCGGCTCCCATGGGTCGACCAAGAACAGACGGGCTACATATGCCCCCTTCTTGTCGCCCTCGGACTTCCATTCAGACTTTGACCCAAAGTTTCCTAGATCCACGCTCACGTAGGCATCCAGCATCTTGGTAAGCACCTTGAGAGGAGAACGGATAATATTACTAACCCAATGAGTCACAGAGAATGTCAATCTATGTTCCCCACATTCAAAAAATAATATAAATACCACGACCTTTTTCAAGATACAATTTTGGAGACTCGACAAAGGGTATCGAAACGAACCAGAAGCAACATGAACCCGAAAGAAGAATCGAAAGAATAACACTGAACGCCCTATGACTTCCCGATGCACCCGCCCATTCATCTAAAGTCCTCGTTCAATCGGCCCTTCTGATCTTGCGGTGTACGAGTAAGCGTGGTGAGGCAGATTTTCGGGCACGGTTCCCAGCGAAAGTCAGTCAGCCCTCGGGAGGACCGTCCTACCGGGACCCACGTGTTCATGTCAGGTACGGACGTACCAATCGCCGGCGATTCAGGAAACGAGAAATCGAACCAAATACAGCCGAGATAATGTCGAACAACGAAATGCAAGAAATACCGTCGAAAAGGTCGCCACTGTGGCGCAAACGCCACACAAAAAAAAGTCGGAATTCCGCCCATGTTACTCGTAGCATCCCTGCTGTGAGAGGAAGAGAGAAAGAGTTTTCGTCGAATATAAAGAAGTTTTGTCCCACGAACGCCTGGGAAATGAGACGCACCCGAGACACCGCGGTCCAGGCTTGACTCGGAATTTGGATGTTTCAGGACTGCTGAGGTGCCGCGCAGGCCCTCAATTACTTCTTCTGCCCTTCCCTTTCCCTTTCGAGGCCATATGTCGCCGTCTATGTCGATCATCCTTCTCCATATCGTGTCTCTCTTCAAGCGATCTGGCTTCCCTCCTCTTCATATCCGAAGTTTTGTGTCCGAAATCAACCAGACCGTCACAATAACGTCTTTCCGTATGCCTGGTTGCCCACTTATAGTCTTCATTGCTGATAATGCGTTTCGTCCGCATGTATTCGATTACAAAGAAGTCGGGCCCCGTGTGCTCAAAGCGTTCGAGGCGTCGATAATGATCAGCGATGTGGCGCATACGCTCTCTCCAGTTTGCAACGCGGTCGTTGGGGTTCTCGAATGTCTGTGGGCAGAAAATGCAGATAGTCTTCGGAGGAGGACGGTGATTCAAGAAGTGGGTGGTGGTATGCGAAATATAGGCATCGATTTGGGTGGGATGGAAGGTTACCTCGCAATCGACGAACTCGAATGGGCAACGAAACTCGTATCCGTAGTTCATCGCTGCTAGTGGTCGATCAGAAGGAGCACTCGATGGAGCAGTTGATGGAAAAGAAGCGTCGCTCCGGTCGTCGCTGTCGTCTATAGAAGATGGAGTTGCAGTGGATGTCCGACGACTCCTCCGCTCTGGGGAGAGAGGAATCAGGATGGGCGAGGAGTCCTGGCGTGCAGTGTTAAATCCAGGAGACATGTATTCGTTACGGCTGTTCGAATAGCATCGGTCGATGCAAGACATTGTCCGCTTTGTGGATCTCGAGCTCATCTACAACTTGCGTTGACGAAGCGATGATAAGACTTCAACCGTCGAGGATATTCTCCAGCGAAACCAGCGCCAAAAGGACGTCAAGAAATAGAATCTCGCTCACAAACGTCGAAGGAGACCAGCCCTCTTCGCGAGCGGTCTCTGGGTCGTGAGTTGCTGAAGTTGTCGCTGGCCAAAGGAGCGAGGACTCGGATTCCAGAAAGTTGGGTTGCTCGCTTCCGAGGACGTTTTAAGGTTGCGTGGGCAGAAACGTTAAAACCACGATCGCCGTGAATTGACGGTTAGAGGAAAGGAGGACTCGTTCGAACGATTTGGGGATGGAGATTCAGGAGCAACAGTTGCGTTGGGGAGAATATTTGGAAACTTAAGGGGAAACGGCCCTCTACCACTGCAACGTCCAGACGGACCAGGATGCATGCCACATCACATCCCGCGATGCCAGTGATTCGGCAGCATCTTTCAGAAGACTCAGATGACCATGCTTGCAAGCTAATTCGACGATTATCCAAAGACCCTTCGCCTGTCCGAGCTCAGTTGCTTCTTCTCATGGTGCACAAAAAATTTGTCCCATGGTCAGCGGTACAGAGGAAGCCAGATCCAGCACTGAACCGTCCCCTCCGATTCTTTGGTCCAGGCAGGGAGGGACTTTCTTCAGAGGAATACATTGGCTCCTGGGAATTTTCGCGATCATGCCAGCCACGACGTGGTGACGCTTCATGGCAGAAGTTCATGTACTACTCTGCAAGCTTCCGCAAACAATGAGGAAGATACATACGAGGAGAAAGCGAGAACCTCCAAGGGCTATCAGCGCAAACAGCACCTAAAGTCGCTTCTTGCCACACCGCCTTTTCGGAATGTTCTTCGATGTATAACTGGACCAAGTCCGTTCTGAGCCTCTGAAGTGATCAATGCAAGGTTTCTTTCGAACCACCCTGTCGATGCAAGATGTATATTGGGTCCCTTGGCATGAGTTGGCCAAATTTCTCGCTCAAAACAGCAAGGAGCGCTGGAAGCCTCCATTAGAAGACTTTGGCACGAATTTCTAGCTTCGGCATCTCTTCTCCGGTTCCATTTCCCTCTCTCCTCCAGGAGCAGTACAGCCTGGGGTGTCCTGTAGCAGCTCATCTGATGGACATCTTGCCTGCTGAGGAAAGATCAAATATAGGCATCACGTCGACCATGTCTTGCAGCATTCTGCTCGGGCGTCGAGCTTGCAGCAACCGTGCACATCCCACAGAGGTTCCAGGCTTTCGGCACACGTCAACGGCATTGAGATCCCATTCATTGTCATCGCAGACCTCGAATCACAGATCGACTCTGCATGAACGAGACAGATGACCTGCATACCCATCTTTGAGGGGTCCTCCCGCGGTGGACCCTGATCTCCAGCGAATCACGCCTCGACGGGCAACTTCTGCAGCCAACAGAGCCTCTAAAATCGGGTTTACCCGTCAGAAAGGCCGTGAAAACGACCGCCCCACTCCCCAATGTTGCTCAGACCGCTCTCTCGCTCTCTCTCTCTGAGACACTCAGGGAGGTTGTCACGTTTACTGGAATACTGCATGGAAGGAGCACGGAAAGCGCAGCAATATCAGCGCTGGCAGCATGCCTGTCTATTTTGATAGCTGATTCGTGCATGTTCTATCAGGCTGCAAAACTGCCTCTACCTGAGGGCTTTTCGTAATGTACATTAGCTGGACACTGAAGCTTGGAGCTGAAGGCTTGCCATGTAATTGGCTGATCGCAGCTTCGATCGAATTTGCTTCAATCGGGTGCACAAAGCACTCGTATTTTTGCAACAACATTACGAAGGTGAGTCCTTTCCCCGTTCTCATCACCCAATTTTAGTATCCCAGGAAAGGTTACGCAGCGGATCTCCCTCTCGCTCAACGTATCCTCATCCTCGCCGCCAATGTCCTCCATGGTATCTGGATCGAACATTGTTCTCTGATAGCCCTCTATCGACGGCATGATAATACTAAATACAGCTTTCTGTACTCTCAACAACCTGGAAAGCTCAATGGCGCCGTTGACAAGAGTCCGAAGTGGCTGATCTCGAGCCTCGGTGTGCTGTATATCGCCGATTGAGTCCATAATACTGTTTACTTGGTTGACCACAGTTTCTACCACCGCTTCTGTTTCTGCTTTTAGTTTCTGGGGCGCCTCTTTACGGAGAATTGCCAACGTTGTCGACCTCCATTGGTTCATGCTTTCTAAAGATCCTTGTATTATATGAGCCAGAGTTCTCATATTAGGTGCCAGAGAGCTTACCAAAAGAGCTGAGATACTTTTCAGCTTTTGATAGCTCGTCTGCGTGTTCGGCTGGAAGACCAATAAAATATACCTCAAATATATGCTCCAGAAAAAGTCTTGATACTAGTGATTGGATGAGGTGTACTTTTGATGATGAGGCTAGAGGTTGATATGTGGGGACTAGACGAAGGAGCTGTTCCTGTGTTTCTTCGTTGGCCTTGTCGGTATCTGGATATGTTTAGCGCCCAATTGAACAAAACTCGTTCTCATTAAAAAAAAATGATTGTAGAACTTGCAATTGGAGAATGAATATAGTGTGCTAGGAACAAATTCTTGGCGCTAGCCACCCAAGCAAAATTGTGGCAATGTCCCACACAATCTCGATGTTTGTGTTCCAAAGCAAACGTGACTTTGCAATACTCATTTTGAAAAGAGGAATCGAAATATAAGAAAACTGGGGGGAAAAACCCCGACATACCAATCTTCACTCTCCTGAAATTAGTAATAACCCAATTCTGAAGTCCGTTCCCCAGCCTCTGCATCCGTTCTCCAAATGCCTCATCCGTAACCTGCTCATCCATCTTGGAGCTCGTACTAACAAAGCTCTTCAGCCCCCTCACCTGCCCCTGTAAACTCTTAATCATCTCCTCCTTGACCCGCAACTCGCCCATCGCCTCATTGTACGCCTCGCGGAACGCATCCCGATCAAGTATCAGGCTCGAGATCCGTGTCTTGATATCTCGATCCCTGCTCTCCTTCACCTGCTCGAAGCCGCTGACTTCCTGCCGCAGTAAGCGTAATTCTGTATCGGTTTTTAGGAAGGTTTGGTTGAGGCTCGAGTGTTTCTGCTGCCAGAAAATCGCCGTCTCGGATTCATTCGTGAGTTTATGGGATAGTGTTGTCAGCTCGCGCTCGAACTCGTCTACCATTGTCGCTAGCTCTTTTTCCAGCGCGGCGATCTTCTTGTCTTTGTCTTTAGCTGCAGAGTCCGTTTCGGACGTGTCGGAGGCGTTGCCGTCGGGCGTGGACTTTGTAGAGGCATTTTCGTCGGGGTGGTCGGTTTTTGAACGCCCTTGTAGCCGCGCGGGAGGCGGGGTTGCGATGGGGGATTTGCCGGGTTGGCGGAGCGGGCGGGCTTTCTTTTCGTGCCCACTCATTGTGAGTTTCTAGCGGTGGGGAGGGAGAGGGGGTTGGGGATGGGCGTGGGCGTGGGCTTGGGATTGAGGACATTGAGGTGTGAGATGAGGCTGAGTGGGGAGTTGGGAAGTTGAAGTCCTTGTTAACTGGAGCCTAAAAAGTGGGGCTACCGCCGTAGCGTGGGGCAAGGCTGAAAGTTGCCACTTGGCGAGGACTGGCTTTCCCAATCGTCGTTAAGATAGAATTGCATGTTGATTTTCGCATTTACTTTAATCTTTCTAGCGTTTCCCGTCTCCAGAATTTGCTTCAAGAAAGGTAAGTAAGCCCTCCAATTAATTGCCAGAAATCCACTTCTCATCTACCGAGTGAGGCTTTAAGTGAGAATAGCCATTTGAAAATTCGCAGTGGCTGATCTTGCGTCATGCTGTCACCAGGTAGACTCTGATAGAAATAAAAAAGGCCTTATACTTTCAGATGGTATAAAAAGTTTAAGTGCTAGGTATGTTTATCTGTCCAATTGTCAACAAAGTCAATTGAAACCTGATCATCATGCTAATACCGAGTCATTATCGACTCAATATAACAAGATGAAGAGGAATTAGGGGTAAAGTGAGAGTCGTTCAAGTATCTGAGGCTCCCTTGGTCTGCGAGGAGGTACAGCTACTTAGCATTGAGCTTCCAAAGGCACGGTCGGCCACCCAACCTCTTGGTTGTATAATAAGCAGATTCACCAAATTGTACATTTTCAATCCAAAAAAAAGCTTGCAAAACTGAAATTTCTCTTGGACCAAGTCTTCAACTCTTCCGTCCGCTTTTCTCGGGATACCAGTGTCCTTGACAAGGACTCGTGAAAGGAACTTCGAATTGTCCTCGTCTTCCTCCTAGTCACCGCAAGCCCCATCAGTATCCAGAAAGAAATTCTAAAAGGAGGGAGTGAAATCCCCAAACTCGATCGACACTGAACAAAGCCACTCTCAGGAGCCCCATCAGAGCTACAACTGTCTTAGGGAAAGCTGTCTAGAGTCGAATAATGCTTCAATCGGTACCTCACGCTTGATTGCTGAATTTAGCCGCATTTCTCCAACCAATAGTGATGTCTCTAAATCAGCATATCAAGTATGGAATGGAGGAATGTGGAGAGACTATCTCTTCCACTACTCTGGAGAGGGTCCGAGGGCCGAGATGTGAGAAAAGCTGAGGCGCATTTCGAAATCGGGAGACTTGTCCCGAGTCCTTGCATCAGCTATTCCCGAATGACGACCAAGAAACAATGAAAACATTCTGATTGAAATGAGAGCATGCCAAAATCCTAGCTTGTTAGCAAATGAGGCGGTTAGAGCATCCCATTGCTTGGAAGATCTTGGGTTGAAGAAAGAGGCTGGTCCTCACACCTGTCTTGCCTTTGATGAAGCGTTTTCGGCACCGGCAAAGCGTCTTTCGCTATGAGTTCGAGGTGGTTTACCACAGAGGGCCCTCGTCCGGATCGACGACTCGTCACGCACGGTGAGTCCTAGCTCGAGGTGGCCGTATGTTCTCAAATCAAATCAAAGCCACTCGGAATCCTCTATTTCAGCCAAATTCAGCACCCAAGCCCCCACTCCCAGGCCCACCCTATCCGAGCAATCTGACAGGCATCGTGACTTGTTTTTGGCATCGAGACGTCACGCTTGTACGACGAGCCTAGACGCCTAACAGGCGCGTGAGGCAAGCCGGCCATGTGCGGAAGGCTAGCTGTCGCTTCAACCACATCCTCTAGATGTACTTGATAGCGTATCCGGTCTGAGTGGAGACGATGAAATTTCTGGTACCTTCCTCGAAAGAACTGGTTTCTCCCTGCTGGCGAAACGGCCATGAGATTTGATTCCATCCGAATATCCAAATCTTTCCAAAATGAAGTCTCCTTGCCTGCAGTGTGACACCTCCGACCTGCAACCGCTATCGGCCGATCACGAATTCGTGGGAGCCCTACGGTCTTCCGGTGATGCATGCCGCATGGACTGGGGTGTTGGACAAAAAGAGTTCCAGGGATCTTCGTCACTAACCTCCTCGTTGACTGGTTGGTGTTGACCAGGGAGAGACTTGGTATTTTCTCATCGGCAAGAACTTCCTCTAAAGTGCTACGATTTCAACGTTTCGGTAGTGAGAGACTGTCCGCTTTTTCATTCGGTGAGCCATTCCAATGGTCGGGTCGGCGCCTGAGATTAGAAAACAGGATTCCTCTGAACTGGTCCCAACGTGGAGGTCTTCGGCTTCCCGTCGAGGCTTGCTGCTTCCGGAGGATGTGTGTACTCGTAATTCTGAAAGAAAACCACCGTCCGGACAGTTTTATGTGAAGGTGAGAGAGCTTTATATGGCATGAACAGGCCAGAGTCTGGACCCTTCTGCAGCAATATGTATATCGAAGTGAGTCGAGCTTGCCAAGGTCTCAGACAGGCTCACGGCTCAGGGACAGGGAATATGATTGGCCTATGCAGTCTGACGTCGCGAACGCCACCGTCGTCATAATGGCTGGATCGATGCATCTCAGACCGGGGCCTGGCTCTGGAGGGGACTGTCCGCCGCCCTCTTGTTACTGTACTGTGTAGAGTCGTTTTATCCACCCACCCAGAGCAGGAGGCAATCCGACAACTCAACTCAGCCAGAGGCTCCAATCAGAGAGCCAGACTCGGTTTTAGTCAGAAGATTCAGCAGGAGCGTTCTTCCGCTTTCCTTCCCGCTTCCCGCCCCCAGCGCACTTTGTCACACTCGGTCCCTGTGCTTTGTCGGTGCCACCACCCCCGTCGTGGCCTTTTCCTCAATAGAGGCTGCGGGAACTTGTGTCACTGGGTGGCCGTCCTGCTCTCTCATCCCGTAGTACGGAGTGCTGAGGCTTCGTCTGGACCGCGCGATGTGCAGTCGGAGCACCTATGAATTTGTGATCTGTAGCCCCTCCCATCCCTGACCGTGGACAAACAATGGGGATAAAGATGGGAATCTGGGCTGCGTCCGAGCACCTGATCATCTGATATTAGTCACCATCCACATCGACATCGTCGGCAAACTCTTGGTCATTGTGAGAATAATAGCCGTTGAGGTTCGTCGAAGTTTGTCTTGGGAGGTGCTAGCCGAGTTAACCATCTGCAGAACGTGCGGCCGGCCTTTTTCCTCCGCAATCTGGAAAACCCCACGATCTCCAAAGATACCCAGCATCAGAGACCCTTTGAGATCACGAGATCTTCCCAATATGCCCGATAGCACACGCCGGGAGGCCGAGGACAGGGTGAGGACCATCCTGCTGTGATGCGCCACGCAAAAAGCTGACTGCAAGCTCACAGAGCGAAGAGGGCTCGGTCTCGTTGCCGGACCTGGGAGATAGCATCGATGCCGTGACCTTCGAGCAGATCTTGGAGATGGATGACGAGGAAGATGAGCGCGAGTTCTCCCGGTCCATTGTCTTTGGTTTCTTTGAGCAGGCCGAGCAAACATTCAAGAAGATGGACGATGCGCTGTAAGTCGACGCGCAGCGTGATGGGCGTTTCAACAAGGGACAGCGCTAATTAGAGTGTCTTCTCCCCACAGGAAGGAAGGAGATCTCGCAACACTCTCTTCACTGGGCCATTTCCTGAAAGGATCATCCGCTACGCTCGGTCTAACGAAGGTCAAGGACAGCTGCGAAAAAATCCAGCACTACGGGCAGAAAAAGGACGAGGAGGGCACGATCGACGAACCTGACGAGGCAAAGTGCTTGGAGAGGATCAAGGAGACATTGGTGGCCGTGAAGGAGGAATATGCCGAGGTGGAGAAGGTTCTGAAGAAGTTCTACGGAAGCTGAATGGGCGATGGCGGTATTGTGCACGTTCTCGTGCTGGAAGGACAATGGCGAAGGCAACAAGGGGCCGTTGGATTTCCGGCGGCGACATTGGGGCTCATGCCTGAGCAGCGATCCTCTCTTATGGCAATGCTCCCATAGCTCTGGCGTCTGGATTGCATCTCTTTTCGCAGCATAGCATATGGTATTTCTTTTGTTGCGGATTTCAGAAGCCCGGGGATACTACGGTACTTGGGAGAGCGAGGATGAGTGATGATTTTTTTATATCTGCGGAGGGAAGCAGAGCAACCAAAAATGGCAGTTGCCAACGAATCATTTTCTCAATGAATAGAATTGGTATGCCAACCATTTCAACTTTCAATTGCTTTTCAACTCATATCTCCATTCATTGCCCCAGCCTCGGAGAATTCGAATGCCACGGCATGAGAACTAAGGTGGTCCTTGATGAATTTTTGTTACTTTTCCTACCAAACGTCATCCACTCCCCCACCTTCTGAGAACTTGGAAGCTTAATCGTCACAACGACACAAAGTTAGATTCAAACTTTACCCTTGTTTCAAAAATATAAATTCCTAGGTTTTCCAAGCTCCAAACACAAATACGAGAAAGAATTTTTCTTCCCAAGTGAGACTTAAAAATCAAGCAAAGTTCTTGTACCCCACATTCTTTACAAACGTCTGCTGCCAAGGCCCCTGTTCCTTCTCCTCAGCAAGTTCAAGATACATCTTCCCGTGAGCATCCCCGTCAATGTCCATAAAAGCAGCCGACCCATCAGCCTTCCTCTCATCACCATAATAGAACCTACAATCATCAGTTCCTCACTCACATTATCTTATCTCAGCAACCATCACTTACTTGAACCCTCTGTCCTTATACGCAGCAGCCGCAGACTGGATGATATGCGCTGTCGCCGACTTCCCTACACCTAAATCAAGAACAGGTGCAAGGGGAACAACATTTGTGATGTTGCCTGTGTATATGAATGTCTTTGATGCAGATTCAGGGAGCTGTTCGAAAGCTAGCACAGCTTGCTGTGCGGCTACGAAAGCGGAGGTTGTGTTGACGATGAAGTCGCGAGTGAAGTCTGCCAAGGGAAGGGAGAGCGGGTTCTTTGCGTTGTTCATGGTTAATGCTCCAGCTGTATTCCGTTCATTCAGCAAGCAGTTCAACCGAGTTATTTAGAAATAATATTCTTACCATTGTAAACGACAACACTGGGGAGGCCCAGCAAAGCTTTGACTTTCGAGAAGGCATTGACAACGGAGTTTGGATCTGAAAGATCGCTGGGGATGTTGACTTGGTCAGGTGTATTGTCTGCTTCCTTTGCTTTTCTGGCGGCGAGAGCGACTTTGTAGCCTTTTGAGGCGAATGCTTTGGCTACGTGCGACCCGACGTTTGGGCCTGCGCCGAGGATGAGGATGGCTGGGGATGTGGCAGGCATGGTTTTGACTATACAATGGACTGAAGGATAATTATATGATGCAATAATAACTAGCGATTGCGATTGGGTACTGTACAAGAATTCTACGTTCTATTATACCTTTTTGACATCCACCGGGGGCTTCAATGTGTATGTTGTAAGCAATCGGCGCTGCGGTTCCATGATTTTCAACAATATGACATTATCCAATGTTCGGAGCGGAGTTTATTGACGCCTCAAACAGCATCCGATGAAATGACAGGTCAATAAGGTTGAAGCTGCAAGATACCCTCCCCGATTGGACGTACCCATTCGATGACGGACCACTCATATTTATGTTCCGGGAGATAATTTCTTGTTTAGATCAATTTTGGGCTACACGAAGCAGATGCCAATGAACTCCTGGATGATTTGTAAGGATCAGGGCGTCCTCGGCTCCCGCCCACACCAACAACATAATTATACTCGTCTTCGCCTCATAATCTCGTCCCGAGAGAAAAGAGGCCTTATTTAGATCACGTTTCGACCGGATACCGCTGAACTCCTTGTTAATTTGTCATAATCAGGGCATCTCAACCTCTCCCTCAACAACATACTCCTCTTCACCATCTTCATTCTTCTTCGCCCCCATCTTACAAATAGCCACTTTCTCAATCCTCACATTCATCATCCATTCAAAGTCTTCGAAATCCTCCAGAATCTCTCGCGCGTCAAAATTTAATTTGGCCTTGCTCCTGCCGTGACCACCTTTGCCTCTAACTCCAGGAACGTAGACTGTATTGACGATCGTAGCGTGGAGCTTTAATGGACGGTTCTCCACAAGAATAAACTCGGCTTCTGTGAATATGTCTTTAAGCTTTTGGCAGAAGGGATAAAGCCGATCGTCGTCGGCTGGGGCCGAGTAAAGTATTGAGGTTTTTGACGATGTGTGCATGCTCTCAAGCCCTTTCAATGTAACCTGCAATGGCTTTGCCTCCTCACTGTCATTCGCTATCGCTTTGGCCTTCGACATGCTCTGAGCGACTGGGTTGCTTGTTTCATCTGGATTTGAAGATGAAAGAAGCTCTTTCAGATTAAGCTCCCTCAATAATTTTAACGAGCTGTCTATTCGTTCTTGGGACAGCAAGCTCATTACGCCCAGCGTGAGATGTAATGTGCCCAAAGGTCTGATGGCTTTCTCGGGTATGCCATTTGGAAGTTCTGGTGTGGAAATTCCCGTGACCTTGTCTCGAAAGGTGGCGAGTGAGTTTTGAAGTTGAGAACGAGAGGTTGGCGTGACGAGTGGGAGACACCTGGGGAATCTTAGGTCAATATAGGCTGAGCGAAAAATTGAAGTACAAGGAAAGTGCGAGATATTTAGGGGAGGTTTTTGATGCCTCAAGACTCATGAGTCGGTCAGAGAGGGGCAAGCAAATGGAAAGTTCAGAATGCATACAGAAAGTGAGTAAGACGCGGTGGGCTTGGTCGTGGAGGCATGGCAGTATGCTGCTCAATGGAATCCACTCAATGAAATAGATTAATAGGTGTTTGAAGAATAGCATTTGCGTTTTTGTCTCGAAACGGGAAGGTGCCTAGACTCGCTTGAATGAACGCCACCTCTTTGACAAGGCTGCCACGATCTTTCCTTTACTCCATGCAACCTCCCTCAAACCTCAATCAAAAGGGATTTCGATAAAGATTCACTTTGCGCCGGTTGCACCGGCTGTTAATACACAATCTAGACCCTTTTGCTAGCCCGTGCGACCCTCAGATCCCATCCCAAACTCTCTTATCATCCACCCCCGCCTCATCCCTTCCTGGCGCCCTCCGCTGCCTTCCCTCGATCGCCTGTTTTAATTGAGCTCCTTATCAGCATGGACGACTCCGATGATTCAGCTTCGGATGTCTCCGAGACAATTCTCGAGCCTTTCGAGGAAGATGAACTCCCCCGTTTGCCAGACGACATTGTTGAGGATCTGACAGACCCCATCATTGATCTCTTGAGTGATGAAATCTCTCTATCTCCACTCACTTTAGATGATGGTACGCCTTCCATCAAGCCGAGGCCATACCAGCTTGAAATTGTTCAAGAAAGTTTGAACAAGAATATCATCATTGCTATGGACACAGGCAGCGGCAAAACTCACTGGTACTTTTGTCCATGATTTTTTTGATCTCGTTCATTTTGGTCACTTTCGATGATACAGGGCTGGCCAAGTGTGGTCATACCATAGATTCTTCAATATTGCTCCAAGCTAATTACCTCCGGGGAGATAGCGCAGTGATGAGGATCCAGTATGAGCTCGAGCGTATCCTTCCCAGCCAGGTTAGTGCGGAACTCGTCTGGTTTCTCGCACCTACAGTATCTCTTTGCTCTCAGCAATACGAATACATCGAATCCCAGCTCAGTGCAGTGCAAGTGAAGTTCCTCTCAGGCGCCGATGGTGTAGAGCGCTGGACTGAGCAGAGTCTCTGGGATGGCGTGTTGAGAAACGTACGCGTGGTTGTCTCGACTTACCAAATTCTTCTCGATGCTCTCACGCACGCCTTTGTGAAGATGGATCAATTGGCCCTAATCGTCTTTGATGAAGGTATATTTCCCCCAGCCTCAGAATCCGTGGCCCAAGAAGTAACCGCCCAAAGCGCATAATTGTGTAGGGAAGCAGGCTGGGGCGAAATTGATGCAGAATTTCTATCACAAACGGAAGTCACAAGGCCTCTCTGTACGTATTTCGAGCTCTAGCTTCACCGTTGGAATGTTCCTCGACCTTTAGTACATTTGCATTGCCATTTACTTACTAATTAACCTACCAGATTCCGCACATCCTAGGGCTTACAGCTTCGCCAGTGATGAAATCAGACCCGCTCTCCGTGGCCAAAATCGAGGAAACCCTTGACGCCATTTGCAGAACTCCCACAAAACACCGTGCAGAATTGAGGCTTCAGGTCAAGCTGCCAGTACTCTCGCAAGTATCTTATCAACCACTTACTTCCGAAAGCTCACTCGAAAGTTATACAAGAACCATCGACAGCTTAGGCCGGGCCTTTAGAGGCCTGAAGATATCCGAGGATCCGTATGTCATCGGCCTACTTGAGGAGAATACCGATAGAAGCCGAAGAAAACTTGCAGAGATTCGACTGAATCGGAAGACATGGTGCCACGACCAGATGAAAAGTTTCTACGCAACCACCCTCAAAATCTGCAGTGAGCTTGGAGCTTGGGCAACCGACTACTATGTTTCTCAAGTCATAGCTAAAGTGATGAAATCGGCAGTTGAATCTGGTCCATCTGTTGGCATATGGGACCTCGCAACTGCAGAGAAGCAATACCTAGCAAAGACATTAAAGGGAGTTGATATTTTCGGCCACACTGCTTACGAGACACCAGCGAGCATTCCTCTTGTGACAGATAAGGTGAGGAAGCTAATTGAGATTCTGGTTCAAATGTCAAAGTCAACCACATTTTCAGGCATTGTTTTTGTGCAGGAAAGAGCTCTGGCAGCAGTACTTGCTCATCTCCTTTCGGTCCATCCCGAGACGCGCGATCTGTTCCGCATCGGAACAATAGCTGGCACGTCAGCCAACAGTCATCGAGCTCAGAGTAAGCTTATCGGAGAGCTCATTGACGTAGACTCGCAGAAGACCGACTTGTCGCTCTTCAAATCAGGCCGAATAAACCTGGTCATAGCAACGTCTGTGCTCGAGGAAGGAATCGATGTACCATCATGCAATGCTGTGCTCTGTTTTCAGAAACCAGCCAATTTGAAATCGTTTGTGCAGAGACGTGGGCGTGCTCGACACCGAGATTCCGAGCTCGTCCTTCTCCTTGAATCGACTGACAAAGGAACTGAATGGCATCAACTTGAATTGGCTATGAGGAAAATTTACGAGGACGAAATGCGAGTTTTGGAAGAAACCCTACTTCGAGAAGATGTTGAAGAGCACGGCAATAGGACCTTTGAGGTTCCAAGTACCGGTGCACTGCTCGATTTTGACAACGCCGTCTCGCACCTCTACCACTTTTGCTCGAGGTTACCAGCCAAGGACTATGTAGACTTGCGCCCTGAATTCATTTGCGAGGAGAGTGAAGGGCTCGTCCAAGCCAAGGTTATACTCCCTCTGTCAGTCATTGAAGAAGTTCGAACCACCGAGAGCGAACAATTGTGGATGTCTGAGAAGAATGCGATAAAAGATGCCTCTTTCGTAGCCTATAAGGCTCTTCACCACGCAGGCCTAGTCAACGACAACCTACTTCCCCTTCTACCACACGACTCGGTCACGGATGAGCTGATATCATCTTCAGTAGAGAAGAGAGCGTCGATTGTGAATGTTCGTGAGCAGTTGAACCCCTGGGTCGAAATTGCAAGAGCTTGGCAGAGTTCGGAAGGCACCGTATATGAAGCCAAAATTACAGTAGGAGAACTGCAGATGAAGACCTGGCTCCCTACTCCGGTACCGAAATTTTCACCTTTCCACGCCTATTGGAATGCAGAGACAACCTTTACTATTTCTCTCTCGACTTCGGCTTCAATTACAATCAATGTGGAGACCATGTTGAAGGCCTGGAATGACACCTGGGCACTGTTGGACACTGCGTTCGGATCGAGGTTCGCTATTCAACAAAAACGAGTTATCATGCCATTCTTCTCAAATGTCGATATTTCTCAGATACAGCAGATGGGACGGCAACCCGTCACAAACGACATTCAGTTCAAGCATGAACCAGGCTTGATCAGAGACAAATCGGAATGGCAAGTTGCATACGTCTTCCGTGAGCTTCTCTCGAACAAGCCTTCTCTTCACAAAGTCCAGAATCCTTACGAGCATTTTGAGGATACTCAGGATGGACCTCACCTTTCTCTTAAGAGACTCCCTCGACGCTTCGATTTCCTTCACAAAGTCGTGCCTGGAAATGGCACCTTGTCAAACAAGACGCATTCGGCTGTTTTGCCAGTTGAAAGGTGTACAGAAGACAGCATTCCTTTCAAATTTGTGCAATTTGGCTTGCTTATTCCCTCTATCATGCACCGCTTCTCAGTATATCTCCTTGCCCAAGCCTTATCAGCAACGTTACTCAGAGACGTCGGTATCTCAGATCTCAACCTGATTGTCACAGCTCTTAGCGCTTCCAGTGCCAATGAAGCGTCCAATTATCAGAGGTTAGAATTTCTAGGCGATTCGATTCTGAAAACCTGCACAACAGTCCAATTGATGGGAGAATATCCTTTGTGGCACGAAGGCTATCTCTCTGCGAAGAAAGACCGCGTTGTATCGAACTCCAGACTTTCAAGAGCCGCCATCGAAGCTGGTCTCGACTCCTTCATAATCACTCAATCCTTCAAGGGGCACAAATGGCGGCCCGTTTACATCGATGACATGCTTGATCCACCCCTCGACGCAAAAAGAGATATGTCTACGAAAGTTCTGGCTGATGTTGTAGAGTAAGTGGGTGCTTTTTTCTTTCTCGAAACATCCTGATTTTTGCGTCCGATTTACCTGAGAAATCGTTTCGATCAAACTGCTGACTCTCGCGTTTCCCAGAGCCTTGATCGGTGCTGCCATGGTGGATGGTGGTATACCCAAAGCTCTGGTGTGCATGCAGGTATTTCTCCCAGAATTGGAATGGACGCCGTTGGAAATACGCCGAACATACCTATTTCAACGCACACCTGATGTTGACTTGCCAGCAACTCTACAGCCTCTTGAGGCTCTCATCGGATACAATTTCAAGAAAAAGGCGCTTCTAGTGGAAGCCATGACGCATGCCTCTTATAAGAGTGGCTCCCAGTCTCTTGAGCGGTTTGAATTTCTTGGCGATGCGGTGCTTGACTACATTGTTGTCAACGCCATGTATCGGGACGCTGAGCTTTCTCACATTCAGATGCACCATCTGCGAACATCGCTTGTCAACGCCGACTACCTCGCTTTTTTGTGCATGGAGTGGAGCATTGAGCAAGAAGCTATCGACGTTGAGCCTGATACATCGACTCTGGATAAGAGAGGCTTACCAATATTCAAGGAAAAGGCCAGAAAGGTGTCATTACCACTCTGGCGCTTCCTTCGCCATGCATCTCCGAGATTAGGTGCTGTTCAGACCGTGACTGCTGATCGTCATAAAGGGCTGAGGGGGCAACTCATTGAAGCTTTCGAAACCGGGACTCAATATCCTTGGGCTCTTCTTGCACGCCTGAAAGCTCAAAAGTTCTTTTCTGATATGGTTGAGTCTCTTCTTGGCGCTATATGGATTGATTCTGGATCCCTGGAAACCTGCACTGAGGTCGTTGAGAGGATGGGCATATTGCGGTACTTCAGGAGAATGTTGAAGGATGGGGTGGATGCTTTACATCCTAAGGAAGCGTTGTAAGTCCCAATTTCTTCGAGGATCCCTCTCTTGTGTGGATTCCAGGGGTCGGAGCAATGTCAAACGGCTCCTGGAACCTTATACTCCCAAACCGCTTAAATCGTCCTTTGCAGATACCGGGCATTTGAGGACATTTGGTTTTCATTACTGTTGCTACAGATTGACCATTTGACTGTGCTGAAAAGAAGCATGCTGACTCCGAGTTCGTGGGACTCAGGGGCATGCTGGCAGACACCGAGTCAGTTCGGTATGTTATTTCCTCGAGGATTCGAGAGGCGGATGAGAGTAGAGAGTTTCTGTGTACAGTGTTTGTTGGTGATGCTCAGGTTGTGGAAGTCAGTGGTGGTATTAGCCCGGAGGAGGTGAAGGTGACTGCTGCTGAGGCTGCAGTCAGAATTTTGTTGAAGGCAAAGGAAGCTACCATGGACATCGATATGAAGGATTAGGTGGGGAGTTACGATTCATGGGAATTCGGGGTTCAAGAACTGGCGTTTTGGGGGGACAGGAAAAGTGGCACTTTTTTTAACGTTCCAGGAGCTGGACAATTAAAAATGCATTTCCGAAGAATTCTCGCCTGAGTTGTGCACGGCACATTTAAAAGCTAACCCTTCAGATATCTCAAAGACTCCGATATTCAGCTATCCTGATTGAGACCACAGAAATGTCCAGCTTTGACTCTTGGGACATTGAAGATTCAGTGCCCCTTTTGTGTCCCTTCTGTGTCCACTGCGAGAGCAGATAGCCCCACCCAGCTGTTTTTTCTCCTTCTCTTTCTTTGAAGGCCTTGAATTATTCTCTGCATCTAAATTCCCATTAGCATTCATTGAAAAATCATTGGCCGAATCCAATCAGGCTGCCACATCGTCATCTTTCGATATCCTGGCCCTGGGACGGGAGCTCCCGATTGGCATACGAGTAATTAAGTCTCGGAAAATGGCTGCCCGAGCCGAAGTGTGGCTCAGCACAGCGGGGCGCGCTTGGGGTTTTGAGAGGGGATGGTTCCAGCACCAGCACCAGCAGCAGCAGCAGCAGCAGGCGCTGCCGTTGACGTTGCTTGCCCGATCGACTCCAAGAGTGCTTGATGCAGGAACCTGATGTGATTGTGATGGCCGCCAACTTGGATTGGAAGCGAACTCCGCAGCACTTGGGACCGTGCCAACAAATGTACCTAGTAGATTTAACCAGCTTGTTTAGGCCGTCGGTCCATCTCATTCATCATTCATCATTCCTCATGGGTCATGAGTTCGCAGATGTGCAAGCACGGAGAGTTCTGGTGGTTGTTCGAACACGGTTAAATCCTTCCTCCAAGGAGGGTGGGCAGCGCCCGACTTCAGTAGAAATGCCATTTGCTTCTTCTTCATACTCGGTGATACCAACACACCATTACGTATCGGAAGCCTTCTCCATCCATCCTCTTCGTTTCCTACTTGCAAACAAGCGTCGATCGATATATTCATATTTCCACCAGGTTTGCTCCAAACCCGGATCCTACGAATTCAAACAACCGCATTCCATGAGGTGACATACACAGCCTCGCTGCCCATGGCGAACACACACGGTCGGAACCCTGAGCCTGATTACTTTGAGTCCATCCCCGAGTACACCAATCGCGATTCCGCCGCCGAGCCTCGTCGAGATAACCCCGCCTTACGCAGGGCATCGCCCACCCAAAAGCGCTCCTCGCCACCTATCAACGACGAAATGGCTTCTGGTGAAGATCTTGACGAGCTGAAGCTGCATCCTGTCGTTTCTCCAGAGCTCATAGCAGAGATTACCGAGAGGGTCACTGAGAGGGTTACCGTGAGGGTGAGGAAAGAAGGTACACATCATATGTTACTCTACGCGGCTCCGAGCCTTGCTAACTCACTATACATAGTGGTCGAAGAATTGTCGAAGCAAACAAGCACAGACGGTGAAATCTCGAACAAGTCCAGCTCTACTTCATCCCCGCCGCCAACGAATACTCCGCCATCTCCAACACAGTCTGCGAAGCCGGCGTATGCGCCTCCTCCACCTATGGAGCCTCGATCACCACCCAGCAGTCCGCTGGACAAGCCGAGCGTACGGTTCTCCGATCGTCGCCCTGCCGTATCAAGAACATACTCGACGGCAGAACTGTCTACAATCGATCAGAAATGGGGAAGGCTGTTTGACAAGGAAGGGACTCCAACGAAACGACTCGGTGAATTCTTGCGAGGCCTTGCGAACCATATAATCAATGACTTTCCGCCGAGGAAGAGCATCGTTATCACACCTACGAAGATGGCAGCATAGTATGCATATTCTCAATTTATCTTCCCATATTTCGAAGTCTTGCGAGTTAAGGTTTCCCAATAAAGCACTGCTAACATGAGAACGTTCAGCTATGCCAGCCACGCTCTGGAAAAGGAGCCTCACCCTCTTCTCTGTATGTACTTGATAAGATTTGCCTCTAGATACCTTCAAAATCAGCTAACGTCAATCATAGCAATCTTCCGGGCAAATTCGAACGAAGAACATATACAGCGCTTGTATCAGGGTTTGGGTTGCGAACATCATCTGGTCCAGGAGGACTCTCACTCTGAAGCGATTAGTATTCCTCCCCGAACCCAGGAAAAATATCAGGAGTGGAAAACTGACACCTTGTAGTTCCTTCACTCACTCCGGTAGGCTTCGCGCACTGGATGACTTTATTCATACTAGCTTATCCGGAAGAGGAGTGGAGACGGTTGGAGAATGCCGTGATGTCTATGCCTATTGATGCTGATGGAGATTTGGTAGACGGGAAGCCTGAACGTCTTCCAAAGCAAATAGTGAGTGCCTGGAAACATAATCACCTGTTTTTCCCCTTAGGGTGCTCCGACCCCTCCTCTCCAATCCTTCTCATGAAGCACACTGACCTTGCCATCTTTCCACAGTCACGACACCTCCTCCCAGAGAAGACAGATGCAAACTCTCAAAAGTTGTTAGAAAGTGCTATCTTACAATTCTTGGCTGATTTTGGATCTACCAACCGGCGGAGGGGCTCTCTTACGGCTCCTTCTCTCAGCCGCCGCTCTTCTGCTCGATCACAGCAGCGTCCGGTTGAGATTCATCAAGCCCGAACCTCTCCAACAAGCTCAAAACCTCAACCTATTGAGCGTGAGCGGAAACCGTATGCTGGTGCTCCCTCCAACTCCGAGGGTTCAAGCAACGAGGAGGGTATCAAGATAGAGAGAGATCGCCAGCCATACACCGCTCAGCCTGGAAGTGGCAAAGTCTACACTGAGAAGAACACCCTCAATATCCCAAGCCGACCCGGCCGTGCAAATTCTACCAGCAGCCGTACGAGCACAAGAGAGATGTCTGATACGGGCAGCCGCGTCAGCGCAAGAGAGCCGTCTGACGTTGCTGAGCCCCGTGAACCCCGACACCAGCGGACACAAAGCACAACAAGCCAAAGCGGCCCTGGACGTCCTGCAGGCCGAAAAAACAGTAGTCCTCCCTTGAGAAACTTCCGCCATTCTGTTCCGGACGATATCCAAGGCGGAGGCAAGTATGGACCCGGGCCATCCTCATCGACATCCAGCTTCAACCCCGGCTCCTACGGCTCTACCACCTCATTTCCACCGCCGCCTCCCGGCCCACCACCCATCGACATCCGCAGCGAGCGAGGAGACAGGAGATACCGCGACGATCGCCAGTACAACCGCCGAGGCACCGACCCCGAAGAAGTCCGTTTCGCCGGCGAGTTCAACTCCCCTAAAGATGCTGAGAAGTGGGATCGCTATCGAGAAGCGGTCGTTGGGGATCGCGATCGCGATCGTGATCGTGATCGTGACCGCCATAACAATGTCCCTTACGAGCGAGGCTCTGTCTCCATCGATCCGAGGGATATGAGAGGTGCGGAGGACTTTTATCGAGAGAGGCCAAGAGGTCCTGAATATGATGCTTATGGCAGAAGGATTTGAGCGATATCGATGAGAGATGAGAAGAGGAAATGATAATGAGGAGATGGCAGGCCATAACGGACACTCTTTTTGACATGAATGAGCGACGAAGCGAATCGGATCGGATGATACCTACACGCGAGCGTTTTTCGATAAAGCACAAATGCCTTTTCATTCCTTTGTACTCGGGGTTTGTATTGAAGCGATGGATGGGTGGAAAGGATGGAGTTCAGCGATGTGTGAATGTATTGAGATACCTACCGAATGTAACAAACAGTGTGGCTGGGAGAAGGATAGGATTTGGGAGACAGACGGCGTTATCTTTTCCTTGGATTATTTTACTTACTCATTGTTCATACTTTTAGCGCATGCTGCGTTGTTGGATGAAGAGAGATGCAGACTGGATGAAATCTATCCATTATAGACGTATTTTTCAGTTTCGAGTTTTAAGTTTTTGTACGACTTGCGCGGAAAGTCAAAGTCACTCGCTTGGGAGGCATTCTGAACTTGAGTTTGCCTTTGCTTTTCATAGCAGTCTTGATACAATGCACAACAGAATAGTAAACTATCAATCATGTCCCGGTCTCATCGACACTCAGAATTCTGAATTTCCATCTAGTCCGTGCAAAATTGGTGGTAATGAAGCTCGGATCTGAGTGAACATGCAAGAGCGTGATGGCTGGATGAAGGGTAAGGTGGAGGATTTGACAGAAGCTGAATACTTGAATGAAGTTTTGAGGGAGATTATCGTACAGGAGATGAGCCATGATCCAAGCACAAGGATTGTTATGAGGGGATTGGATGATTGAATGAATCTCGACGGGAGCTTTGTGATCAAATGAAGCCTATGTGGGTCTAATTGTCCTCACTTCCACTTCCATTTCTCTTAGAGCGGCTTGATTGATGCCTGTTGAATTGAGTTGTAGACTTGATAGTTTATTGAATCACGGGAGGCCCTCTTTCAAAGAAGCGGTGGTTCGGTGAGTAAGTTGTTCTCTCCTCCGAGGCGTGAAATGGATTATTGCAGTGTGCTGTCTTGCAAGACGGACGTTTTGAAAGCATCGGGAGTTGCACGATGGGAAGTTCCGACGCTCGTGGAGGTTTTCATATGTTATCAACAAAAATTGTGTGCACTCGAAGGAGTTCGAAGGAGATTAAGGCTGCTAGAGCCCTGTGAACAATGGAAGGGATGAGATATCTGAAGACATGAGGTATCGATGAACAATTCATATAGAAGGATCTGAGATAGTCCAACTTAGTTGGGGGCATCGGAAATATCACCTTTTCCCTCTTTTTGGAAGGAGCTGGAGGTAGTTTCTTCAAGCATGTGACGTTAGCGTAAAAAGGAAAGCTCAATTTGGCAGTCTGTTGACCTTCTCATCTCTTTCGATCTTCCCCAAAACAACTCTTGTTGCATGACACGTGAGCGCCCCCCTGAGCACCCCCTGCATGTCAAACTCACGTGGTTCAGGGGCTTAGCTCCTGGGCTCATTTCCACCTATATAAGCTCTCCGGAGCACCCAAAAATTCATGCTCTTTAGAGCGTCCTTTGCGTACGACAACTCTCTTTCAACTAACACCAATGGAAGGTAACACTCGCGACTAACCCGCCATCTCCTCTGCTCCGGTGCCGAGAGGTGACGAAGCCAATCGCCAATGGACTTCTGCTGAGTAAGGGTCCCCCTCACTAAAACGACATACTGGCTGACTCTCACAGACGCAAGAGCAATCCCCTTCTCCAGAAGTATGTGGATCCAGTCGCAATGTGAGACTTATTGACGATGCCAGGTACCAACGTTGTGCCTGTCTCAAGCGGAAGAGCACCGCTTGTTACTCCAAGACCTAGCTCAACAATAGACATATAATGAGATCAGGGCCAGGATATCGGTGCAGTCACCGCCAAGCTGAGATGCCGCCAATGTACAGGTGGAGGTGCTCAAGAGATGTCATGCGAATCCTTGTGGTTTGTGGAAGCCTTTGACGGATTTCAGCAAAGCAGCTCGGAGCGCTGATGGTTCTAACGTGACTTTGCCCTGTCTGTCTGATGAATAACATCTGGCCAGTGATATGCAGTGGTGCGAACAATGCTCTCAGGGGACGTTATCATGCGAGTCCAGAATCGCTCCTCCTGCTACGATGAGCGATGTTGCTCCCGACGGGATGTCTACTTATTCAAATGCACAGATCGATGAGGTCTAAACCTCGACAGGTCTGACGCGGACAATGATATTGGTGCATTCTATGATCCTGAGGCTGGAGATGATGATGGGTGGGAATACTCGGACTACATTGTGGGTGGCAGTGAAGCAATCCTCACACGCCAGATTCTGACATTTTTAGGATTCTGCTGCACCTAGCTATACGGAGCTAACCGCGGTTCAGAGCAAGTCAAATTCCTCTAATTCGAAGCGGGCTAAACCGGTAAGTAAGCTTCTTCTACATGTCGCTCGATTCTAAATGTTTCCCAGATCAGATCTTGAACTGCGGCTCCTCGTTTCACGAACCCCCAACCACAAGCACTGATCCGTGAAGACGACTCTGATGATGCTGATATGATGTGAGATGGACATGCATCCAGAAATAGCCAGTGGGAAAGTTTGGCAATGAGTGTTTCTGTCGCGTTCTTTGAAAATGTATTCTACCGAGGGAGCTTTATAGCAGCAGAAATCCGCAGAAATGAAGTATGCTCTTGAAATCTGAGTTTTGCATTGCGTGTGTAAAACCCCGGTGATGCACGACAATAGGGTGACCTCGTCTGATCGACTGTTTTGGACAGCTAAGTTTACACACTAATGCTGCAGACTCTCGTGCCAAACGCCATCCACAACAAACAACGCAAGACTGCTACTCGAGACACGTTTGAGGAAACACTCCAAGCATCTCACAAAATCCGACAGCTTCGGACATGCTCCAACTCGAATCCAGGATGGCTTCCCTCTCGTTCTCCCATGAAAGCAAAGACTTTGATACTCATTGCTGCATTCAACTCGAAGCCTCAGCACTGACACTCTGGGTGAAATGAGTCTTTTGATAGGCAGATCAACAAGCATGTCACTTGACCGCTTGCCTTTCGCCATGGGGATTTCTTCAAACTTCGATCGATCGATCGATCGATTCCGTCAGCCTATTGGTTGTCAAGAACCCTCGCTGCTCAGTGGAACACCCAGGCTGCACATGAAAATCGTTGTAGGTTATGGGGCACCCATACCGAATGACCTTATCTGAAACGTACACCATGACACGCAATTCAACTTTCATTCGAGGAAGAACAGCTGCTGTAGAAAATTGATCGTCATGCCAACTTTCCAAAACTTGGTAAGTTGTTGGAAGCATGACGCCACACGCACCGCCACACCTGTCAGGAACGTGATCGACAAACTTTTCTGCTTTTTTGAGGAAAAAAGTTAGTAAGGGGATGAATTCATTGGAGGAAGGAGTTCCAGTGTTTGGGGAAGGAGGGTCAAGCCACACGTCCCTGGATAATGGCTCGCTGGGCCCCGTATCAGAAGTCTCAACCACCAAAAAGGGCTTGGTCGCCGGAGGTAGGTCCGGATCCGAGACCGACGTCACAGAATTTACAGTCGCCATATATGTTTCTATGTTTCGATAGTAAAGCTACTGAAGACATACTATCACCACCTCCAGGATCAATTGTCACAGCCTTTTTGATTGTCAGGCACGAATCAAAAACACAATGACTTCTCCGCAGAAGTCTCCTGAGAGCGGTTTTGCTCTCCAGAAATACCTCCTGCTCCACTCCCAGCACGACGCTCTTCAGAAACGTCTCGACCAGATCACGACTTCGTTTCCGACGACATCATCTACATCTCGATCTCCCAACCACAGATACGCCTCGCTCTCATCTTCACCTAGCTCCGACGATGGCATGTATCTCCCCTCACCACCTCGGAAGGCCCGCAACCATCATCGTGCCGGTAGCATCCCGCAGTCCAGACCTCGACCTGCTCTCAAGACAAGGAGGTCTTCTCTCCCGACCGTGATCGATGAGAGTGTGCTTGGGGAGATCGAGCAAGATGAGATGAAATTGAAGGACGTCAATCAACAAATCAAAAGCACACTCACAGAGCTGCTCAACTGTGAGAGCGTCCGGGGTGATAGGAGATACAGAATGTGGATACAGACTCGATTGATGGATACCGAGAAGGAACTAAAGAAGGATAGGAGCAAGAGTTATGATCGAAGGGGAAGTGAGGATGCTTCGGGGATGATGTTTAAATAGAAGTATGGACACGTTCGGTATTCTCGGCGTCGGCTTGATGATTTCCGCTTGGAGACCCTGGCTTAGATTTTGTAACATGATACCCAAGGCTGTCACTAAGCAGCTAGTTTTTGAATTCATAATGATTATGACTGGATATTTGTACGTCCGTAAGACAAATCTTCATTCCATCGTGAAACTTGGGTCATTTGGCGCTTGCAAACATCCCGATGCTTGTTCGTGTTTCACTCGGAATGAAACATTCCCGGGAGGCGCAGGCGTCGACGACGCCACTCATTTGGAATGCTAGCGAAGAATCCCGCCAATGCTTTACAAACCTCCCCCCTGTCTCTGTGACAAAAGATCAAGACCGCAAGTGCGGGAGGCAATGATTCAACCTCCCAGCCAAGCAAGCCCCGAATGAGGAAAATCTGCACACGTGACCACCCACTTTTATCCGACGCCACAACGTCCCTTTCACATGCCGCTGCCGTTTGCCCTGCAGAAATGCGCTCACCTGCATCTAGCGATGAAGCATCCCACGTCTCAGAGGTTCAGTTCAGACGGAGCACGACGTATCCGCTGCGTATCAGCCACCACCCAATTGCCCCCAATTCCAAATTAGTATTGTCACAAGATAGGTGGGTGTATCTCAGGAACTTCTTTCACCGCAACAGCCGTTGCTTTCCTCCCCAATTCCTTATATTTACATCTTCTCTCCTTTCTTGTTGGAAGAGATAGCCGCCAGAGATAGATTACCCGAGTCATGTCTACTAAGTGCGAATCTGAGAAGCTGGCTCCCCAGCACAAGAGCGCGTTCTTTTCGTTTATCAAGGTACGTGCCCCTATTCCTCGCAACAGCAAAGCGCAATGCTGGCGCTCAGTTGGGACGAGAATTGGCACTAATCGTTCATAGTCGTTAGCAACTTTCAAAGGCGACCTCGCATCGCTGACTGCCCCGCCATTCCTCTTATCCCCGCAATCCATTGTCGAGTATTCGGCCTACTGGGCTGAGCATCCGAGTCTTTTTGTTGCCCCAGCCAGCGAACCCAATCCAGAGAAAAGAGCTCTGTTGGTCTTGAAATGGTTTTTGAGCACGCTCAAGCAACAACACAGTAACAAAGATGACAATGGGAAGAGAAAGAAAATGAAACCGTTGAACCCTTTCCTAGGAGAACTTTTTATTGGGAAATGGGAAGACGAGGCTGGGACTACAAATCTGGTCGCAGAACAAGTTAGCCATCATCCGCCGGCAACAGCGTGCAATATCTGGAATGATAAGCATGGAGTTAGGGTACGCTTCGCTTTTTTTTTAATAAAAAAACCGCAGCGTAATGCTAATGTTATCCACAGCTGCAAGGCCATGTTGCTCCAAAAGTTTATTTCAGCGGAACTGTACACATCGATCGAAAAGGCTACTCGCTCCTCCATCTCGACAAATACGATGAAGACTACTTAATAACTATGCCGAAAATACACGTTGAAGGAATCATGACAGGCTCTCTTTCCCCTGAGCTCAGCGGCACCACATATATACGAAGCTCTTCTGGTTACACCTGTCAGATAGACTATATTTGTAAGGGATGGGTCAGTGGAAAGCGAAACTCGTTCGTTGCGAAGATGTTCCATGACGATCACGAGAACGAGCCTTTATATGTTGCGGAGGGACAATGGAACGGAGAATTTTCCATCAAGAAATGCGACACTCAAGAATTGGTTGAGAAGTTTGACATCGATACCGTTCCTCGGACGCCCTTACAAGTTGCCCCACTGGAACACCAACATCCCTTGGAATCGAGGAGGGCATGGCAACACGTTGCGAATGCTATTTATAGAGGGGATATCTTCGCAGTTGGCCATGAGAAGACCAAAATCGAGAATGAGCAAAGAGGAATGAGGAAAAGAGAGAAGGCCGAAGGAAGAGAATTCCCCAGGAGATACTTTTCAAGAGCCAAGGAAGACCAAGTTGCAGAGAGGTTAGCTGAGGGCATGAAAGGGGAGACTTCCATGAGAGGGGAGATGGATAGTCATCACGGGGTCTGGATTTGGGATGAGAAGAAGTACAGAGGGATCCAAGACAGCTTGCGAAATGGCATCAAGAGCCCCACAAGAACGAGGTTTGATTCTGGAGTTGGAGGGATTCTTTTAGATATGAAGGACGAATAAAGGCATTGATTGATGGGCGTTCTGGTTGGGCATTTGAATAGGAACCTAGTAGCATCAGCAGGCGATAGAATACCCATGAATAGAGTTTATTTAATCCAGACCAGACATTTTCCAAGGAAGAGAGATACCTTTGTTCACATGTAATTCCCGCAAGTCACGCCATACAAAAAAAGTATGGTCAACAGAGAAGAACAAAACGGAAGTTGCGAAAGTGAAACTTTTCAGCATCTGATATGACGCACGTCGACTTAATGAGGCCATGTGGGTACCGTTCTACAGGGATGCGGGGTAATGGCGCTCTGAGGAGCCAATGAGAGAAAGTGCAACGCAAGGCTGAGCTCTCAAATGATGTCATATCCCCGCATGGCAAATCGCGAAATCGAGGCTGGGCCAAGATTCACGACAAACGGAAGGCACTCAACTGATATATAAGGATCCTTCGATGCCTCAAGAACTCTTCCTCCTCAAACCATCCACACATTCAACCCGAACAGAAATCAATCAACCACATCAAAACCAAACAACACACAACTACAATCATGTCTGATAAGAACACTTCCACTGTCCAGTCGTACATCGACTCTGCCACCGGTGCAGTTCAATCTGCCATTGGCAGTTTGACTGGCAACACCTCTGACCAGGTATGCTCATCTGCCTCCCTTTTCCCAACATCATCGCCAGAAACTAATATAACACAGAACGCCGGCGAGGCCAAAAAGTCCAAGGCTGAACTGGAGAACGACGCCTCCCACGCAACTGCCAAGATCGGCAGCTACTCTGCTTCCTCCTCTGGCGCCATAACCAAGGACGATCCCAACCGCTCCAATGGTTCATGGAACCAAACGATTGGATCTGCGAAGGAGGCTCTTGGTGGACTTGTTGGCTCCGAGGTATGTTCCTTTTCCCCTCCTCTCCCACTTAGCCTCGCAAGTCATTGCAAAATAGTATCGTTTGATAAGTATTGATTTTGACGTATTCATCAACAGGACCTCAAGCGAGCTGGTGCCCAACAAAACGCCGAAGGCAAAGGCCAAGAAGCCCAAGGTCAACTCAACGACTTCAGCTCAGGCATCGCCAACCGTGCCACCGGTGCCGTCCAAGGTGTCGTTGCAGGCATTACCGGCGACCGTGACGCACAACTGAAGGCTCAGGAGCAGCATGATATTGGCAAGACTCAACAGCGGGGTGCTGAGGCTGATATTCAAAAGCAGAACTCTTAGGTTCGGGGAAGGATGAGGAGGAGATACCTTTGGGGAGTGTATGATAGTATGACGTGCGTGGATCATGAATCGGGATGGGAAATGGGAACGGTACCAGCGGGAAGGGTTTGCGTGATTTTGTTTTCGTGGTAGTTTAGTACCACAATAAAATACCCCCTCTTTGCGAACACCTTGTATCTTTTCTGTTCTTCTGAGACTCTGAAACCGTGGCCTGAGATGATATTCCTGACATTGAAAGAGCTGTGAAATATTTTGTATCTTGTAGCTGTTCATCGTTAGCACTGTCCATGACAATGCTCATTCCAATTACCTTCTGCTTGTTGAATCCATTACTTTTGTCAGCGCAATTCAAGTATGGCTTCGCCGCCTGCTAGTCCTGGTTGTTGTAAAATCGATTTTGTGGAACCACTCTTCCTCTTGGAGATCCGCGGAACTGATTGATAGATGATTTCAGTGCAAGATTCGGCCTCTTGAGTGTTGATTTTGAAGTCATTGAATGCTCATTTCGTTGAAAAATTGCATTTCTCTGTCCTCGCGGACTTTGAATGGTGCAGCGGAATCTCGGACATTGAATAAACAAAACTCCGGAGTTGAGATTTACTCTCGAACGGAGATCGGATCATTGCAAATCTGAGAAGGTTTTCATGCTCTCCGGAGATGTCCAGACGAAACCCAATGTACGAAAATACTTTAGGACATGGAGTCGATGTACAACAAAGCTTTGAGGAGAATTCGTTTTAGGATTCGGCAATGACTCGAGAATTTGCAATGTCGGTGGAGGGTCGGGCAGCTAGCGTGGTATAGAACGAAGCCTGAGAAGCCGTCCACTTCAATTCCTGGCAAGATGAACGGCTAGTGTTAGCTTCAACGAGACATTGAAAATATTGTGACTTAACAATTCAACGTCCCTTAAAGTTCAGCAAGCGAGCGTGATATGCAGCTAAAATTTTGAGAAGGCCGTCCGTCTTGATTCCTTCCATATAAATCACGGCGGTCCAGTGGTGTTTTCAACCCGCGATGAAAAACACAATCACTTTGCTGATTTTAAGATCCCAACGAAACTCGGACAAACGGTACGATATTCAACAGATTCAACAGAAAGGGTAGAGCTCGTTCCAAAGTTCCAAATGGGAGAGGAAGTGGAGTGCAGCACTTTTCATCCGACCCCTTCCCCTGCGGACTTCCGAAAGGATGAAAACAATTGGCTAAACGAACGAGCAGACGTGCAACAGTTCCATTTGCTTTTCTGAAATGCTCGAGCGCTATCTGGCCAGTGCAGAGTGCTCGCATCAAACAAATTGTTCTAGAAATTGCATTTGAATGGATGAGGAAAGGGGTGATGACTTTGGTGACTTCCGGCGGACGCTGCGAGCGTGGTGCTCGAGTGGAAAAACTTCTCCCATGTCCGCCACGCGGCGGACTCTCCTCCGCCCAGTACCTGTTCTCATTATAAGTGGAGCATATTGCGAGAAGGGAGATACTGCTTGAAGCCTTGAAGGGGACGACGGAATCAGGGGCTGGACGAGGGATGGTCATGTGATTTACCTCGAACTTCTCGATCAAATCGTAGCATTGCCAGCCTTCTCTTCTCCTTCACACACGTCGCCTTGATTCACAGTTCACTGACAAAATCTTCTCGACAATTAGGCATATCGTATACATTCATGATTCATCTCGCAAAGCACGTTTTTCTTGTTATTTATCTCCGGCTTTGAGACATGCGGCCGCTTGTGTCCGCTTAGGGCCGTTGGATCCTCCTTCTCGCTTCACACTGGCGATCTCTTCGACCGCCGTGCGTGGCCGAATGCCATCTTCCCGCACTTGAGGCTAACAAAACACTCACGTCGACTCATCCACCATCACTTTGACTACGAGTGACCGCGCACGGCGGAAGAAGCTGACGTGCTGGTCACCGAGTTGCAAACCCCACAATTCTTGGGTCTGCAGGGTCTTTTGCACAGCATTTTCTCCCCTTCTGGTTAAACAAGTTGCATTCTATTGCCGCAAATTATGTTTTCGCATGAGCGGCAAGCTTTGATACGGTCTGACAGCCACACGGCCTCAAAATTCACACGGCGGAGGAGATGGAACTAAGCAGTTTTATCTCCTCTCTGCCTAGCACGCCAGCCCTTTGATAGGCTCAGATTCGTGCCTCAAACGAACGACGTGATATCGCGGACCACTTTTCGCCTTAGGCTCAGGTAAGCAATGGAGATCAATCGCCTGGCCATAACCAGGTCATTGGGATATCAATCAAATAGACTTTTATATAAGTGCTTACCCTTCCCTTTGTCCAAGTGTGAATTTCAAGCCACAGTTCAATTCAAGTGCTTTGATTTGTCACCTTTCACTTCACCTCTTTTAGTGCATTGTGCTATCAGACTTCAATATGGATTCCAGATCAATAACCTTGGCTGGTGATAAGGAGGTTGGGAGAACTGCAACCCCTTCCCCTCGCCTATCATTCGAGAAGGAGTCCAAGACGGACCTAGGCGACACTACAGACCAGGAGAATGGCTCTATCACAAACGGCGCTTCACCTGAAGAAGAGGTCGAGGGACAATATCCTGAGGGCCTGCGTCTCGCCTTCATAGTCATTGCGCTTTTGCTCAGTATCTTCCTCGTAAGTTACCCATTGAATACTACCCGAACAGGACTGATAGATTGATACAGGTGTCTCTTGATATGACGATTGTGGCTACAGCTATCCCCAAAATCACGGATGAATTCCAAGGTCTTGATCTTGTTGGTTGGTACGGATCAGCCTTCTTCCTGACTGTAGGAGCGTTCCAATCGACCTGGGGCAAAGGCTACAAGTACTTCCCTCTGAAGATCACGTTCTTGACCTCAATTTTCGTCTTTGAGATTGGCAGTCTTATTTGTGGTGAGTCCGATTCGAGTCGGCACCGACTTCGACCCGAACCCTGCATAGCCAAAGAGATAAGCTGACAGACTCCAGGGGTTGCTCCAAACTCCACAGCCCTAATTGTTGGGCGAGCAATTGCAGGTCTTGGTGGTGCGGGTATCGCATCGGGAGCCTACACCATTATTGCCTTCACCGCCAAACCGAATAGCAGGGCCGCGTTTACAGGTCTGATGGGTGCTGCTTATGGAATCGCATCTGTCATCGGGCCTCTCCTAGGAGGAGTTTTCGCAGAGAAGGTATCATGGAGGTGGTGTTTTTACATCAACCTACCAATCGGAGGTATCTCTGCTGCAATCATCCTGTTCTTCTTCAGCACTCCGCCGCAGGCCGTCCCCGCAAAGGCAACATTTAAAGAGAAACTCTTGCAGATGGATCTTCCGGGCACATTCGTGATCATGGCTGCTATCATCTGCTACATCTTGGCTCTTCAATGGGGAGGACAGTCCAAACCCTGGAACTCGCCCTCAGTCATCGGGACTCTCGTCGGATTCGTCCTAATCCTCGCCCTCTTCGTCGCCATTGAATGGTACTCCGGAGAGCGAGCCATGATCGTAGGCCGCATCGCCAAAGACCGCACGATATTGGTCAGCATGATCTTCATCTTCTTCCTGGCCGGCGCTTTCTTCCTCTTCCTGTACTACTTACCCATTTACTTTCAAGTGGTAAGTGGTGTCAGCGCATCCCAATCTGGCGTAAGGAACCTCCCACTCATCCTGGGTTGCACACTAGCCACTATCCTCAGTGGGGGTCTGATCTCTGCATACGGCCACTTCGTTCCCTACATGGTTGTGGGGAGTGTGTTGAGCACAATTGGCGCGGGACTCCTCTACACACTCAACACAACGTCCGGTTCCGGACACTGGATCGGCTACCAAATCATCACTGGTTTGGGCATCGGTCTCGCGCTCCAAATTCCCATCATTGCTGCCCAGGCCACTGTCGGCCCTGCAGATCTGTCTTCAGTCACCGCTATGATCCTATTCTGCCAAACCATCGGAGGCGCATTCTTCGTCTCTGCTGGTGAAGTCGCCTTCACCAACACCCTCATTGGAAAACTGCCGACCACTGCTCCAGGTGTTGACGCTGCGTCTGTGGTGGCTGTGGGAGTTACTCAAATCAGAGCTACTTTCGCTGCCAGTGATGTACCGGGTATCATTCAGGCTTATATGGATGGTCTCAAGGTCGCGTATGCAATTGCTATTGCAGCTGCGGGCATCTCGGTGTTAGTTTCACCATTGAGCCCGTGGAAGAACTTGAAAGGGAAAGTGCAGATGGGTGGTGCTGCTTAGACTCTGCCTTCTGGACTTGCATTTCTAGATTTTATGATACCAATTGTCAGCGATGTTTAGAGTTGTATCTTATGGGGTTACATTTGATATTTAAAATTGAGAGAGGCGGGATATCAAAGTGGAGTTCTCTTGGACGGAAATGTGATAGATTAGAACTCTTGTTGTGACGTCAGCGTCACATGACCTGACCCTAGCGTGGCACCCTGTACTTAGCTCGAGCTCCCCCCTCCTTCTTCCCTCTTTAGACGTTTACATACACACCCAAAAGAGCTGTTTACCAGACCAGGTCTTCAGCCCCGGGTCGTGATAACTCTTCTCAAGACCGGTAGGGTAGAGCAGGCTGCGGATTATTAATAGAGAACTAACTTGTCTATTTGAACTGAATCGTCCTTCCAGTTCACCTACTTTCCGCAACCCCACTCAAGTGAGTTCAGTATTTTCTAACGGATTCTACTTTACTATCCGAATCTCTTTAGTTTATTGTGTTGTCTCCCAGCAAGACTCTCGTCCACCGTTCAACGGCCTCAGTACTAAGTTCCAAACCTCCATACTCCAGACTAGAATACGGGACTTTGCTGGATGCGGTCCTCGGATCGTCAAGGTACATTCGGAAGAGTTTTATTTACATTTGGGCTACGTGGGCCGGACATGCTGAAGGCGGAAAAACACTCAATCCTCGAAGACAAGAAATCGCACACCTTTGATCAAGGACCACTCCTCCTCTACTTTGGACTTGCCGCGAATCTCGGAATGTTGCTTTACGATTCGACTATAAGAAGGAAAATTTAGCAAAGGAATCCTCTACGGACTTCGATGTACTTCGAGTGTGAGCATGACACCATGTATTTCACTCAAGAATTCTTATTGTACTGTGTGTCAACAGCACATTATCCCTTCGTCCGGTGAGACATAGTCCACGCTAGCAAGGCGGCGTGGCTCAGTTGATTTTCTCACGCGAATAGCTTCATTCTCGTGTGCAGTCACATGATCTCGGTACAGCATCCCCTATCTAAATGCGGCTAGCGCCAAACCACTCTCGTCAATTTCTCACCTCCGTACGGCATGTCTCACCGGACGAAGGGATACGGCACCTACCCCGCCTCGAATTTTCTATCCAAATCGGACTTCTGGCGTTACGACGATATGGTAGTCGCTCCGCTCAATAGACCTCAACGCGGGGTTCTTACTCGGCGAGCCTTCTGAACGTACCCGGGAGCTGGTGGAGAACCAGTGGTGTGCCAGCATCTGAAGGAGATTATTGTACTGGTTCTCGACGACGACCTGCAAGTCAGCTGCGATAGCAAGTTGTTAATAATACAACATCACGAACCTGCCCCGGATCGGAGGCTGCAGACGTTCTGGGCACTTAGCAGATGGCGTTACTGAAGTATATGGACCGTTTTCGGGAAGATATCGTACGTTCGACGGGCATTCTCTAAGAAGGGGGACCTCTTCCGGAACTTTGTGATAACTAGAAGTGCCCAATATTCCGGACCGTGGCGACCTATTTGCTAATGAATTGATCATCGGCTGATCATTTGAATGTGTGGGTTCGACCATGATCACGGCTAAACATTATACTATTTTAGCACAAACATTGAGGAAACTCGCTTCCAAGCTCTCCAAGTATCGAACCTCAAGATGTTCCAGACAATCTTTCAGAGTCTTATCTCGCGTTTGAAAGCTATTTGAACACCGGCCTTAGATCAATGAATACCCTGAACAAAATCAAAACCAGGTATCAAATGTTCGAAAAGGCTTCCGTTTGCTTGGGATTTGGGCCCTCAAGCGAGACCTTTGAGAAGTGTACGCATAGTATTTGGTTCATTGTTTACAACTACGTTACGATATGTTCATTCAATTCCGTATCTTTCGATCCCCGTCCATGTCCACGTTTACATGCTATGTACCTTTGAATTCCTAGTCCACTTTCTGAACGTCTTTCCATAAAACCAAAAAATGATCCCCGACAAACAGAAGAGAAGAATCAAACTCATGTTCGTCATAATAGGAGGGATGTATCCACTCTTGATAATCCAAGGGGTGATGAATTTCGAGAATCCGTAGCCCCAAACGTTCTTGTTGACTGTGATGGCAACGAAGATTGATCCTGCGACGGGCTTGTACGAATCGATCGAGTATGTCGACGAGATGGATGGGAGGGCAGCAACCTGAATTCCGGCGCAAGTGTAGCCAATAATGACAATTACCTGTTTGTCGTCAGTATTGCCCAGCGGATTTTCTCGGAAAATGGAGCCAATCTACCTTCCAATCCCAGGCCTTCTGATAACCAACAGCCACCACTACATTTCCGATGACCATCAAGATAACATATGGAATCATGGTAACCAATCTCATCTCGGGTTCTCTGATGCCTCGATTCCTCTTTGTTAGCCTTGCTGCAATGGCATCGCTTAATGGACCAGCGGTGAAAAGTCCAATCAAGGCACCGACCAGAATGGCGAAGTTGAAGAAGCCGATCTTGGTGGATGTGAAGTTGTAAGGCGGACTAGCAAAGGCTTGCGACTGGGTCAAATTCAAAGTCAAGAACGAAGATGCGGTCCAGGAGACCACGAAGCTGGAGAACTCCACGATTGGATACAGGAAGAGCTTCCATGGCAGCCAGAGTTCCATGAAGAAGTTGCCCTCGTATGGTTGAGCGAATTTCCATTGAGATTTTGACGGCTTTCCTCGTCCCAGATATGGATCTTCATGAGTGTGGGCATGAGTGAGCCCAGCCCCTTCAACGACAACAGGAGCTTGTGGCTGTACAGGTGCAGTCTTTTCAACATCGGCGTGGTCCGTGGCCGAAGTCTCAGCATGGTTTTGAGCCAAGCTTTCAAACTGTTCTGCAGATCCTTCTTTCAAGGGCGGAGACGATGAGACCATGCTGTTGGATGGCATGAACGATCGATTGAATTTCGTTTCTGGGAAGAGGAAAATGCAGCAGACAGCCACAAACCCGAGAAGGGCAGTGTTCAACCACCAAAAGCTTCGCCATCCCAACTGCTGTGCCATAGGGCCGGAAATAATGGGTCCAACCTACAGTTTGTCAGACAGTGTACATTTTTTCGAACCTAATCGTGGGTGTCCTTACCATCAAGGATCCAAAATAGAAGGCGAAATACAATGTCTGATATTTCCCGCGGTCATGGAGGAAAATGATGTCTTATTCCCAAGAAATCGGTGTCAGCATGCTTCTTTCAGGTATTTTTCACCAGCAAAATGTTCCAGGAGCTCCTGGGCAATGCGAGCAGAATTTCCCAGAGACTCTTGAAACGCTCCTACGAGGGAGGACTTACCCGCGATAATAGTGGGCTGGGCGGTCTCTGCTGGCCCTGCCCCAATACCATTGAGCCTGGACGAAATGTCAAATCTGGCCAGCAATCTCCAGTGTCCCAATACTCACACACACGCTCCCATGAAACTGTTGTACGAGTTTGCTTTTGCTCTCCATATGCTGCTGCCGAAGCAGATCAAAGATGACGCAATTAACACAGGGCGTCTACCCCAGCAAGTTTGGATTGGCACCCTAGAGATATCAGCAATGGTCTCTCCCTCTGAGATCAGCAAGTATACCAGATGAAATTACTAAATCCAAGCACCAGAATGGCAACACCGGTGAATTGTACCACGGCCGTCAAATCAGAATCGAAAGCTTCCATGTAGTCGCCAAACATGGGTGCCTAAGTGGCGATTAATAGCTGGTCCAAAGCAAAAAAGGGAAGGACAAACCAGTGCCAGAGGACCCATTCCTTGAGAGAACGACACCAGAGTGGCACACATCATTGCAAGGCCTTTCCACATCGGACTCCAGTTCTAGATTCTATCAGCACTGTATCAGACTTGGCTGTCGGTACCTGCGAGCTTACAAGGGGATCGTGCGGGTCGTCGCTGGGTTGTGGAACCAGCACAGAGTGCCCTCCAGTTCCTGCTTTAACGAAGTGATGTGTTCCAACATCTATCATGATCTCTGTGCCTGGAACGATCTCTGTGTGCAACTCCTGCTCCAATTCTCTCAGCGCCTGTGAAAAGAGCTCGTCAGTCAAGTCCGGACTAAATTCAAAGATACAAACCTACTTTCTCATCAAGATTCTGATCCATCTTGGCGGTTTATAATTTTGATGGCTTCGGGAAAAACAGCCCAGGCCCTTCAAGACTGAGTTTCTCAGACCTCAGGAAGGAGGCTCTCGCAACTCCAAATATTATTCTTGCGAAGAGGATCGTCATCACTACTTATGTCACTTCTTCCCTCCACATCCCGAGCCGGTCCTAAGCTAGCCATTGCCTCGTATCATCTCCCGAATCCCAGTTCCGAGTGGTAGCGGCCGGGGCTTGGAACAATTCGGATGATGGACTATTGGACATTACTCGCACCCTTCATTCAGGAGAAGCTACGAGCCTATCAATTGCGCCGGAGCATATCCCGATGTGGAAAAAGCTTGATTCGGACTTCGACCCCGCAGGAACAGGGATGGCTGGATGCATCCCCACGTTTTGCGTTGGCTCACTTCTCCAGCCGGGGCTCTGGGGAAGCCGCGGCATCGACACAGAATTCGGGCGCTGTCATCTCCAATGGTGTGGTGCGCTTAAAACTTGAAAGCTTGTTTGACGTGCGCCAGTAGCATTGCGAAGCATCAACGGGGAGGATGAAGCCTAAAACCTGGAGGAATCCCGATGAGGGAGAAATTGTTCCGCGAGAGTCACGAGAGCTCGTGAACTGAGAGAAGGGGTACGATTCAGTACAGTACGAAGTGACTCAAGGAGGTGCTTGTGAGTTTATGTAAAATTTTCCATGTCTGCGAATTCATGTCGAATAATAAACTGGTCAAGTCGTATGTTGTCATGGATCTCTGGAAAGCGAAGATGCTCTAACTGTCAAGATGATCGCCCCTGTCCGCACAATTGCCGAAGTGACTGCCCGGATTGCACTTGCTCCCCTTATGCTTCACCTCCGCTTTAGGGTTTCAATATTTTAATCTTGAGTATGCCGCCACTTAAAGGGCTGCGCGAGCAAGCGGACTTTCTGCCAGAAATGGTCAGATTTGCGGGGCGCCATTCTGATAGCTAAGGTAAAGGGTAATATTTTATGCGGAGAAGGGACATTTGGAAAGCCTGGAGAACCCCGTCGAAATCATAATGGGGATCTGAATGCAGTGCATCATGCAGAAATCTGCATCCTTGGACGCCGATTTTAGCCAAGTTTGCTCCAGCAACTAGAATCTGATCCTCTTACCCCAGAATTCCAGCACTCCTCCCTCCACCGGCAGCTGTTAAGTCGTATCTGCACGTTGTTGTCGCTTGTACACTGCTTATGTCCACTGCCAGGGCCGGAAACCGTATATGCCTCTCGATAATCGTTGCAAGTAGTTTGTGTAGCTGTATCGTTTTGCGTTCCGTCGGCATTAAGACAATTGCAGTATTGGTAGTTGGCGCATGCAGAGGCGGAAGCTGCTTCGAGAGCGAGAAGTAGAAATAATATCGCCTTCATCATGGATAGATTCAATAGCAGTTCTGAAAAGGTCCGTTAATATATTGAAGAACTATTAAAGGCGTATATACTTACTAGTAGTAGATAATTCTTAGTTGTGAGATCTTTTGAGGGAGCCAGAGAATATTTTACTATTTGAACAAAATAAAAGTTCAAGGCAGCTTTACAAAGAACTAGAAGAGTGATTGTGCTAATTGCTGTAGTTAGTTCTATCCTCTGTAAGGAGATCACCTACTTTTATATTCATTTAGGGTTTGACAAGGTGTGTTATCTATTTGCCGTCAGATACAACGTATCAGGGCAATTAAATGTAGCGAGCTAGCCACAGACAGGGAGTGAAGGCCGATGAAAAGCTCGTGCTGTTGGCTTTCTGGTTTGTACCAGCCCTGGAACCCCCTGTCTCGCTATATTTAATTGCCTTAATACGTGAAATAAATCTTCTCCAAATCACTAAATATATATTAGAAACGTGGATCCACATGGCGGAAGTAGGCACTGGGACGAGTCAAATAAATCAGGATACATACTATAAATACCACCGAGGAATTATAGCTTAAAAGTACTCTGTTTTGTGCTTTATATTCTTATAGTTATAGCAGTATTAGCTTCTTTAAGAAGCTTAATCTCGCCGAGATATTAATTACCCCACTTCGGGTTTTACTATTTATAATCGGTCCGATTCAAAAGCAATAAAAAAAATATTATAATACTGTTGGTACAGCTCTTCCTTTGGGAGTCACGTGCGTAGTCACGGGACACGGGACACGGGACATGGGCAATGGGACATGGGATACGGGACATGGTCATGTGACCTCGCGTCCCATTAGTGACTCGACCAGTAGACTAGACCCCTTTAGGCTTAGCAGATTTAGGGATCGCATATTAATACTACGATACTGTAATCCCTACTTCTGAAAAAAAACAATAACTTTACTAACTAACGCAACTAGTATTTCTATGCCTATATAACGGTACCATGCGTTACTAGTAAACCAATACTAATTAGTTTATATATACAGATTAGAAAAGATTTTAGATTAGTTCTAAAAGTATTTAGTAGCCTAAGACAAATCTAGTCTATTCTATATTAAAGAAGGGAACTACTTATTAACTTTATAAAAGTATTTAGTAGCCTATAGAAAAGATATCTAGCTTTTACTAATTAATAAGTAGTTAGCTATTTAATTATTTATCTATTTAACTTTTACTATCCTTTAAAACTAACTTCTTTTAGCCCTAAAACTATCTTTTTAGAAACTATCTTTTTTACTTATATAATATTTGTATTTATAGAATTCTCTCTCTAGAATATATACCCTATATATATCCTATATATATTTTTAAAGCTATTTAACTACTACTTCGATTTTATTATTAAATTGAGTTCTTTAAGCTTTAAACTTTTCCGAAATTATAATATTTTATTTCCTAAATTTCTTATTATAAATAAAATATTTAAAAGCAAAATATTTATTTTAATACTTATAATACTTCTAGATATCTAGAGTATCTAATATCTAAACCAGGTATCTAGATACCTTTATTACTAAACCCTTTCTATAAACCTATTATAAACTACCTTATTTTTAAATCCCTTCTACTATAAATTATATATATATACTAGAAAGAACCTAAACTCGGTTTAGTATAAATACTAATAAGAAAAAGGAACTAATTAAGAAATAAAAGAATAATATTAACCTAGTAATTATAATAAAGGCTAAACTTTAGGAATATATAATTACTAAGATATATTAATATATCTTATATAGAAAAAGTAATAATAATCTATAAAATCTATTCTAGAATAACTTTAAAAACTTTAATATTATAGTATATAATCTAATTAATTATATACTTATATAAAATCTTTAAGCCTAATTTTAGTATAATAGTATTTATATTAAATAGAATTATAAAAACCTTACTATTATATAATTCTTTATTAATCTTACCTAAGAAAAAATAAAGAATATATAGAATAAAGCTAATATTATTAATAATAATCTAATTAGAACGAATCTTTTTTAGGGACCTATTATATTAGTTTATCTTATTTTAGATAAAACTAGATATAAGAAAACTAGATAATCTTAATTAAGAAATTAAGCTATTTATTTACCTTTTCTAAATTAAGGCTATTTACTACTTTTATTTTTATTACTATTAATTAGTATCTATTATTTCTACTAGAAAGCTTATTAGAAAAATAGTAAAAATATATTTTAAAATATAGAAATATAATAAAACTAATAATAGTTTTAATTATAAACTTATTATTTTCCTTAATATTTACTAATATATAAAACTTCTAGAAAAGATATTAGTAGGAACTTTTCTTACTATATTAAAGGAACTAGTATAAGACTATTTCTATAATAACTAACTTTCGAGCTATATATATAAAAAGGCTTATATAAATATTTATAGCTTCTTTAAAAGCCCCGGTTTCTATTATTAAAATTTAAATAAATAAAATACTATTACCTTAGTAATTATAATAGTAAAAGACCCTAAAAAGATAATATTTAAGCTTATTTAAATACTAATTAATAACTTATATAAATTATAATATAGCCTTATTCTTGCCTTATAAAATACTAAATTCCTATATAATAAGATTATTATTTCTTATTAAGGCTTATTAGTTATTATAATAAGATAATATTATAGTAATAGTAAAAAGCTTAAATTAAGCTAAAGGCTATATGCCGGGCTAAAAGCACTGGCTACACGCTAAGTCACGTGTAGTGGCACCACGTGACTAGTATTACGTAATATTAGTATACTAATATATAGTTTCGGATTCTTCTAATAATCTCGGCTAGCTTATTAATAAGCTCTAATTATCTATTACTATTTATAAAAAAAAGTAATAAATTACTATTAAAACCTATTTTACTAATTAATAATACTATTTTTAAAATCCTTTAAACTACTATTTATTTAGAAATTATTAATATAGACCTAGCTATAACTTTAGAACCTATAATAATTATTTTAAGTCCTATAATTATAATAAGTATATTCTAAAGTTATATTTTATATATAAGAAACCTAAATATTACTTATAAAAATATATACTAAAGAAATAAAAGGCTAAGAAAGCTTAATTTAAAAATAGAAATATTTACTAATTTAGATCCCAAAATACCTATAACTTTAATAAATATTTTAGTAGTACTTATATATAGTATATTACCGAATTTAAAGGAAAAAAATTAAAAAAATAATAAAAACAAACTAATAAATAATATTTTTAAAGCCTTATTAGTAAAAATAAATAAAGGAAAGAAATATTATTCTAATTCCTATTTTATTTCTATTAAAAGCTTCCTAGCTACTTCTATAGCCCCTATTTCTACTATTTCTATAATTAATATTCTTATAAATAATCTTATTTTTCTTTCTCTTATATATTAAATAATAGGCGAAAATTATATCTTAAAGCCTATTAAATAAATAAAAGATATTTAGATATTTATAATTAATAATATATTAAAATATAATACTTATTATTTTTATAAAATTATAATTAATACTAGAGCTTTTAGATTTTTAATTACTAGTTCTAACTAATTCTAAGCTTTATAGTAAACTAATAATAATATTAAACTTAATAAAATTACTAAAGATTAAGTTAATATCTAGTTTAATATTAGATTTATATTTTTTATTAAATCTATAATAATAAGAATACTA